AGTTTCACTTGGCAACTAAAGCCACTGGACATCGTTCCACTTGCGTGGCCATCAGCATCGAAAATGCAATTTGCAACTTGAATTTAGGTGTAACAGTTAAATACCACAATTTGCAGCTTGTTCTTGGTTCTTGACTGGAAAACATTGTTTGTGCTACCTTGAGTCGAATTGCTTCATAAACTCGGCTTTTTGTCAGTTTCACTCTTCTAACTTGACTGAAACGCCGGAAACGCGAACAACATAAATGAAGTCCAAATGGAAAAGATTACAGGGCTTAGTGGCTAATGGAGATGGTAGCGTGAGGAAAGGTGTGGGCTATTAAACTATGTAATTTACAGTATGGGTAACTCAAAATTAAGATTCTTACAAACATATTTCTGAAGATAAATCATTTTGAAAGTGTTGTCATAATGAAAATCTTTTCATACTCGTGAACGAAGTAGCAGTGTTTTTATGATTTGTCTTAACTACCCAAAAATGGAAATAAATTCCCTACCGTACTCAGGGTGATATTTAATTAACTTAAACCATAAATGTGATGTAGATCAGTTGATGTAGCTGACAAACACAAAGACTTGAAATTTGTTTAATTATATAGGTGCCTTCTCCCCAGGTAACTCTCTTTAATAACTTGATTATGGAGTACAAGTACTTGTTCTTGGTCTGGTTGCGCTTCAGTGGCTTTAGCGCCCACATGCTCAAGACCCGGGGCCTGGGAAGCACCTGATCCCCGGTCTCGCTGCACTTGCTCTCGTTCCTATTAAATAAAAATATATAGAGACAGACACGGGGAACCCTTCAGAGTTGGGCACGCAAATTCAAGAATAATAATTACATGCATATAAGTCGGCTCTCATATGTATACGTATAGTTAAGTATGCTGAAGAGGGTATAGTTGAACGATCTTCACGGTTGACAGACTTTTCCCACAGCCAATTGAGAATTGTAACTGACACTGGTGCAATTTGGCGAATGGTAGATACTTTGTAGATTCCTGACAGATTCTTCTCCCTAGTTCCCCATAATTTCAGCTCATTAGCAAAGCGTTCTAACAAAGTACAATCAGCCAAAAGAGAGATAGATTCAAATCCAGTCGCTAATGTGCGAGTACTCGTCGTGGTTTTCATTCAAAGCTCTCTAAGCAGGTCTCTTTCCATTCTCCATTCCGCAATTAAGCATTAAGGCGAAATTAGATTAATGGTAGGCCCACATTGAGCGAGGTAAACTCCCCTCATATCTTCTGGCTTTATCTAGTTCCTGTCCCAACATGCCAGCAGAGAGATATAGGCCCCAAAAGATGGGGTTAGACAAGATGTAGATGGAGTTCTTAGCTAAATTTTGTAGAACGTCGCTTGCGGCAATGCCAGCATGATAATTATTCTCCAAGACTAATGACTTGCTGGGTTTATCTTGAAGGCTAAAGGCGCAAGCCCAAGCCCAAAGCTAAATAGTACAATGTCAAACAGATGCTAGAGATACAAACTTCCCAAAACTGGTAGATGTACTTTGGTGTTAAAATAGAATATTTAAACTAGAATAATTTTACAAAAAAAGTAAATACTTGCTTTTCTTAATATACCCATTAAACTAGTACTTCCAAAGCGTTGCTTAATTATCTTTAAAATTAATAGTTAAACATAACATGATGAATTAGTTTCAAAAACTTTCATCGAAAGTTTGCTTTCAACTTAGCAGCTCTTCAGCATGGGTGGGAAATCTTTAAACGTCGCAATGTGAACTGCTTTTTCATAGAACTTGTTCTTTTTTTAGCACTCAATAAAAACGAAGCTAACGGTACGAGTTTAAACCCTTAGCCCTGTGAGATACATTTTGTATGTCACAAGTATCTATGACAATTGCAGTATGAATGAAGCGCTTTGTCTTCGAGTGCCGACAAAGGCAAAAAGGCAAACAAGTGAAAAGCCAGAAAAGAGGGAAATGAGCAGCCGTCGTTGTTATTGCGTTTGCCGGCACATTAAGTAATGTGATCTATGCAACCTCATCCGCGAGATACCATCTCGAGAGTGTGTATCTTGCGGCTGTGCAGATCTGCATATCGAATGCATTTCTTTGTTGTTGGGCCCCTGAACCACCGAAAGTGCGTTGTTGTTTTCTGTAACCATCTCATTTGCATGTGGTCCGCATTTCTTTAACGGATCTACAATATGAATGATGAAATGAGAACTTAAAGGATGGTTCTGGTGGCCAGGGACCAATTAAAACGTCTTCAACGAATCGCATGTAACGTGCCAAAGCTGTTAAGACCGACGAACCGAAAATTGAAGACCAATTGTTTTTGCCTTGCCGAGCGGAACGCGAAATTAAAGTGACTTTGAAGTGAGCTGAAGTCTAGGACTGAATTGTGGGGCTGTCCACTTGCCAGCGATTGCCAGGGTTCAAAGTTCACCACCACATGATATATATCACTGTCAACTTGAGGTTGTATCTTAAAGACTCACCATATCTTTTACTCCATTTCAGAGCTGAAAACGCAGACTGCACTGTTTTCCATCATGGACACCGGAAGTGTGGTTAGTGAACCGATTTCCGCGCATCATCGCGCCTTCGCCAAACAGAAGTCCGCCTCCATGGTAAGTTGCCTCGTTTGCAGAAAAACCTATGCGCCAATGGGCTTATTGTGTAAGACCTAACATAATTAATGCAACCGCCCTACCCCGCCCCTATTGTCTGATTCGATTATGTAAGTGCGCGAATACTATCTACGCTAATTAGATATTGACACGCACAGGCCGACAAGCATCAGGCATTAGCATTAGCCATAAGCTGCAAGCACTCACCCCAGATACTTTGCATCGCTACACGCTAGAAAGTTGTCGAAAACGAAATTCGCAAATGGGCAAACATAAATCGCAGATACAAGCCAGCAAATACCAGATAAAAATAAAATGCATTAACTTAAGTCGAAGATTTATTACACTATAATTTTTGGGAACATTAATCAAGCATATTTATAAACTAATGTGGTTAAAAGAGTTAGAGCACTATTTAATTTGAAAAATTAACGATCGAACTATTTATTTAAAAGTGGATTGTGTATTCCAATTCTTTTAAACGTTGATGTATTTCAACCTTTTCTTAAAATGTTAGATATTAATTTTTTTCTGTGTATTAAATCCAAGCTTCTCCGTCACTTTAATCCAAATAAATGCATATTAATAAAGCGTTGAAAACAACATAAAACATGAAAATGTAAGAGCTCAAAACAAATTTCAACAATTAATTGCAAATCCATTTGAATGCATTTTTAAGCAACACTTTCACGCAGCCCACAATGCAGAGTCATTCAAGCAGTTGCATTCAAACGATTGGTAGTTCGAGTATCAAAATCTTTTTAACAGGTATTATGTGTGAAATATTGCATAGCCAAGCTGGGAATTTTCGTATGTATTTATTTTTTATGTGGGGGAAGTGAGTGGAATAAGTAAGTGTGAGAAAAGTGAAATTATAATTCAATAGACTCGGAGAATTTCATGTGCTTTGAATTTCCTATAGTAGATAATAAAAGCGCAATGTGGAGTAATATTGCAATTTTTTCTTTCGAAATTAAAGAAAGTCACTTTGGCAGTTATGATGATGGAAATGAGGTGCTTATGACCCCACTAATCTTTAACATTCGGCCATTTGAACCTCCTCACTGGGCCTTTTGTGGGTAAATATCTCTTTAGATACATACTCGCATGATGGCTGCTTAGCAAATTAGTAGAAAGAAGTCAGTCCCCACAATGGAACTTTCACTCGCAGCGAAATGATTGAAAGCAAAAGTGAGTGACGAATATGTTTTGTTTGGGTTAAAAATCAACATCACCATCGATGCGAATCATCAACTGACAGGTGTTTAGACATGGGTTTTTGGGGGGGGAGGCGTATCAATTGTAATAGCAACTATAAATAGGCCCAGTAAATTGGCCATAACCAAAAGGCTGAACAAACAACTCCCCCCAAAATGTGAAGTAATCACAGGCAGAGCGAAACGAAATCGATATCTTTTCTTTCCCTATTCAAAGACCCTACAAAAACCAGCACCCCGAAGTCGGGCTGCATTTCATACCACCCTTCTCCTATCGCCAGATTTCCCTACTTACTTCACCATCTACGGTCAATTAATTCCTTCCACAAAATTACACCAATTACTCAACGCGAATGCTAAATAGATTTCCAGTCCGAGCTGTTAATAAATGAATTTGAACTCGTAAGATATGCAAATTTATTTATGATCTTAGGAAAAAGTCAAGAAATTTACAACGAAATCCGGCGAGTGAAGAAGTTCTCACGTTCACCCCGAGTAGTGGACAATGTCCGGTCTGAATTTATTTTCCTTCTTATTAATTTTGTAAAAATTTCTTAACAACTGCAACTTCCTCGAGGTGGTAGAAAAAAAGTAGGGGTTGTTACCGAAGGGGTGCAAGGAAGCCTAAAATGCGACCAAAAGGTGGTTGTTGCAGTTTTTGAGGGGCACATAAGTAAATGCAGCTGAGACAAGACTCTGTAACGGCTTTTAGTTCTTGTGTATTTGGGAGTGTTTTTTAAGATCTCAAAAAATATATTCAAAAGTAACACAAATGCAACCCTTCCATTGTCTCATTATTTTTATATTATTTAAAAGTTTTAACAGTTTGCCTGATTTATTTTGATGGAATATAATCTTTAGGAAAACAATGAGATTTAAGTCTTTATAGATCGTATAAGTCAACTTGTTTCAAAATGCAAGCAACTATATTATATCTGTTCTACACTGATAAGTAGATATGTGGCTTATGCAACTGTTGGAAATAGTAGTCTTCGATAAATCAGTTCATACTTCAACGTAATGCTCATTCTAAAAGCATCTATAACAAACCAAATATACACCAGTATTGACATTGAAAGAATTATTTTTCTCATCACGTAGTCCGCTCTTGTTCAAAGTTCAAAAAGCTTTTCCTACGTCAAAGCAACAGGTTCCCCAAAAGCTCATAGACGAAGCTCCAACCAACACACCCTAATTCAACTCAGTAAAACTCAACACTTCAGCTGATGTGCCGCTGAAATTTCTCTGTGTTCACCAAACTTTTGTTTATTATTGTGTAAATTGTCCACAATTGTTTATTGCTTGTATATAAATTCCGGTACGCGAGTGATATACTTTACCTCTGATCAAGTGTAATATTTGTGATAATCGAAAGACTGTAATCGAAACAACAAAAAGTGCTCAATTATCAGTAATTTAATAAAATTAGGAACTTTATCAGATTCCATTGGTCAGCTCAATACTGATTAACTTCTAATAAGTAAGCCCCACAAAACAGTTATCAAGTGAAACGTTTAGTGGGTAAAAGTCTAAACGGGCCAAACAATTACACACGAACCTCAAATAGATAGAAATACGAGCACAAAATGCGAGTAGTGGGATCCAGTATGCTGTCAGCCCTCAAACGACTATCAACGCGAAAGCCCCCAACGTTGGTCAGTAATATCAGATCTTTGAGCTCTTTTGGAACCATGAGCCTACCTGAACGACAGCCTTTTTCTCCAGACTTCTTCTTCCGCCAAGTATGTAATTAGCTACTCTATTATGAAATGTCCCGGTGAGATTTTCATAACCTTTCACACAGCTTTTTGATGGAGAAAGTAGCACCTATAGTTACCTTTTGGCGGATCTGAAGAATGGAGATGCCGTGATTATTGATCCGGTGCTGGAACAGGCGAAACGGGATGCCCAGTTGGTCAAGGATCTGGGTTTTCAGTTAAAGTATGCCAGTAAGTGAAAGCGATCTCTATCTACGGATGGATAGATAATTTCATCACGACACCAACGAATTTCCCTATTTCCCAAGTCAACACCCATATGCATGCGGATCACATAACTGGCAGCGGTTGGCTGAGGAAGTTGACGGGGTGTCAGACGGTAATTGCCGCCGCCAGTGGAGCAAAAGCGGATCGTCACCTGAAGGAGGGAGATCGCATAGATTTCGGCACCCATGTGATAGACACTTTGGCCACACCGGGACACACAAATGGCTGCATGAGTTATGTGATCAAGGATCAGGGTTGTATCTTCACCGGGGATACCGTCCTAATTCGAGGTTGCGGACGCACTGATTTCCAGGAGGGCTGTCCACGTAATCTATACGATAATGTGCATTGCAAGATCTTTACTCTCCCAGAGAACTTTCGCATCTATCCGGCGCACGACTACAAGTGAGTGGTGTCTGGAAAGATATGAGATTTATCTCTAATATCTGCCTATTCCAGGGGTCAATTGGAAAGCAGTGTGTGGGAGGAGAAGCGCTATAACCCCAGACTGACTAAGGATATCGAAGAGTTTGTCAAAATCATGGACACCCTAAACTTGCCATATCCCAAGAAAATAGGTGGGAATATAGGAAAATCAATGTTTAACTCTCCTTACTAAGAAATATAACTTTCAGATGTTTCGGTACCCGCCAATCGAGAGTGCGGAGTGTACGACATACCCAAGGAGTAAACCCAACCCCTGAATACCTTATATGCAGCTTATATGATAATGTTTCTCAAAGAGATTTGTAATCTTTAAAATAAATATATGTATATTTCTTATCAAAATCAACCCAATGTCTACCTTACTTCACTCCCTGACTTTGTTGTGCTTAATAAGATAAACTCACTTCTTTGTTCCCCTTCTTTTGTTACAGACCATTCTGAATCCGAAGGGTTGTGGCAGTGCCGTCAAGTACAGTCTGCACTCGACTGCAGAGACGAACCAGGAGACTGCCAGTACCACCACCACCACTACCCACTGTTCAACAACCGGAAGAAGGCGAAAGGGTGGTTCCCTGGGCGGTACACTCTCCTCGCGATCCACGCGTAGCGAATCCAAGGAACTCCGATCGGCTCTTCAGGATCGGGAGGCGGTCATCCAAAATCTTCGCATCCAACTATGTCTGGGCAAACTGCCACGCCCCACGGGGCCACCGTTGGATGAATCCGAGAAGCCGGCGGCTGAACAAAAACTAAACAGACTGAAATCGGAGGCGGAGAATAAGCGAATTAAGATCAAGAATCTGAAGAGTGCCCTTGAGAAGCTGGACATCACAGAGTGAGTAGCTTAATAATATAAAGAGGAAGTAGATACTTTATAGATATTATTTCATCCACAGCAATATAGACATTCGTATACGTCAAGCCGAATTGGAGTATGCTCTTGGGAGGGAAGAGCTGCAGATGCTTTCGATTGTGGAGGAGGCTCGTGCTTTGCAGGCCCGTCTGGAGAAGTCGAAGCCCGAAGCCCAGACCCTATACAACATCATTAGTTCTGGAGTCTCGCTGAGTCTGCATGCCGTACATGCCACCTCTGGCAGATGGGCTGCTCAACAGAGAACAGATCAACCGGGCTATTATGTTGAATGGGCTTTAGAAGGCGATGGATTGTACAAGGGCGATCGTATCTTAGAGATCAATGGACGTCTGGTCACCGGAAAATCGAAAGAAGAACTGCAAAAGCAAGTGGGAAACTCTGGCAAGTGCCAGATGGTGGTACTGCGTAGAAAATCCGTACCCATACCACAAAAGCAACTCGACCAGGAGAAGGAGAACAACATGAGGCTGCAGCATCGCATTTCCTACCTGGAAGAGCAGGTGCGAGAGCTCCAAACGGTAAAGGATCATAGTCCTCCCCAGCAGCAGCAACATCAGCAACAACAGGCATCCTCCAATCAATCTCAGCACGTGACCAGCATCAGCATATCTTCGCCTCCTTCGACGCCCCCTGAAAAACCACTGATCTTCCAGAGGGGCAACTATATTACCACTTTGGTGGGCGGCAAACCCATTGAGCTGATGGGTGAAGATATAGGCTCCACACAAACGCCGCAGGCACATGTGACCAAAACGTTGATCAAGGAGAATACTCACATCGATTTCAGAGATCGTCTGCCGCACATGTACTCCATGCCCTCCAAGTCGCTGTCCGCCTCGAAGATCTCCATAAACAGCGATTCTGCCTATATGCAGCACCATCGACGTGAGAAGGAACGCCACCGGGATCGTCAGCACCGGGAACGCCCCAGAGATCCTCTCCAGCAACAACAGCAACTGCATCGCGAACATCTCATGAGCACGCATGCGCGCAGTGTGGAGCATCTTAATCATTACAATGGGTAGGTTTTTAGATTTGATATTAAGGGGCAAGATGTCTAACCTTTTAAATCTTCTCTACCATTTTAGACTGGATCGTCGCCGTGACACGCCCCGTCAAAGTGAGACGCACACCCTAAAGCCCCGCCTCCCAAGCGATATGAGAAGTGTAAAATCCCTGGATTTCGATAGCGAAAACGAATCGAAACCGGCTACAGAGACGCGCAACGCTCGACCCACTCCCCCCAAGAAACCGCTTCGCCTGTCCCTTCAACGAGCCCAAAGTTTACAGACCGTGGAACTGCATCCCTGTACGGATCTGGAAAGGAAGCGACCTATGAAAAGGGTCCACCACAACAACAATAACAAGGGTGGTGGCGGATCACCGACTGATGGGGGTCAGACCATGCTCATCGAGAACTGCACTCCCATGCACACAGCCTCCCTGGGCAGACACAAGCTCATTTAGGAACCCAAATCCAACCAAACTTAGTGTTAATCGAAGTAGTTTAACCCTTGACCGTCACCAGCTGACGGTTGTACCCAAAAACAGGCGGACATGTGCAAAATTATAATTAAATATACAAATAATATAAACAAACTCCCAAATGGGTAGTTTTCTCTTTCGGTCGTAGTTATAGTATTGTACTTACACTCTATATCCATAAGTAGGGCTTGGCTATCATTCTGTAGTATTGGCAATTCCAATAATAGACAGATTTATTGAATGTATAAAGATTTTATTAGCACAATTTATCAATGTGAATACACGAATATTTTCACCTAATTAATGTGTATTTTATTTGGAAAACTCGATCTTAGCCTGCTGAGGAGGCTTTAAAAGGTGGTATCCTAGTATCTCTTTTATGTGTTGTATATATTTCAACAATATTTTTTGGCAACCAAAACTATTTTGAATTTCGCAAATATTTATATTTAAGATTTCCCTGCTCTGATTTGCTTATTTATCAAATTTTCTAACAAATAAATTCTGAATGGGAATCCTAATTAGGCTTCTTTAATTAAACATGGTTATTTCATACATAATTGATTTTTAACTAAAGGAGAAAGGTTCATCAAATAGAGAAAAAAACTGATTAAAATTGGATGGTCCAAATTGTAGCAATTATACAAAATTGTACACCTAGATTAAATGACTCCCAATATTTAAGACCTTTACTGTAGTCACGAGCCTGGCACACATTTTGAGACTCTACAGTGATAAGGTATTCAAATGAAAAGCACGTTAGCGTGTCTCCACAGCACTTTTAGTAATTTCAAAGAATTTGCATTGTTTAGAAATGATTATTCAATATATTGTGGATCTAATTTTAACTGCCAGTGGATAATTTAATATATACTTAGTAAGGGTTCTAAAGGTAAAATTGCCCAATCATCATCAGCAGTTGATGAAGATTTAAAGAGAGGGAGAGTAAGCTTGAGATAAGCCCAAGAGCGGATCTCTCTCCCACTCGATCGTGCTGACCACCCACTGCAATTTCCGCCGCTATACCAGGTAACGCTCTCAATTCTCCGTTCTCCGCTCTCCCCAAATATCCCCCCAATTCTCTCGGCGAGGTGATTTGCGATGGCAATGCCAATGGCTCGAAACAGTTTCGTCGCAGTTCTCCAACGGTACAGAAGTGCAATCGCTTAATTCTCGCAAAAAACAATCACTACCCAATTATTAAGTACTTGCTAACAAGGTGAGTGCGCAACTGGCAGAATAAAACAAAAAATAAGAACAAGGGCTAGAAATCGGGAATTTTGGGTGAAGGTTAAGCTCAAGTTTAAATTGTGTAATTAAGACGGTTTCTTAATTTATTTGTTTGCTTACTCTTTAGAACCAAATTTAGATATATTACCTGTGATTGCATATTACCAAAAACAAAAACCAGTTACCGCAAGACGCAGTTTATTTCACATATTTTTGATTCTCTCTCTTTCGGCAGTGTTCGTTGTCCGCTTGCCCTTGAGTGGGTTAAGGTAACCAGTTATAAATCCCTAAGTGTGAGTGGGTTAAGCTGGACTTGCTTCCAAAATTAAGGTGTATGTATGATAAATATAATACATATCCCTTGCAATCCACACATTCCACAGTTTTACACTTCAATGAAATTCTTTTTCCTGAAATGTTTGTCGAACAAGTGTTTACAATTTCGTATCTCTCCATATAGGGAAATTAATGGTCTCTTATCTCAAAACTGTATGGTTTGAGCGTTCAAGTTAGATGCCAAGTCACAGAATCAGAAATCAAGTAATCTTTGCCTTATTGTTTGCAAATTCATGATGAGTATCATGATCATATTGTTCAGATAAGGTTTGTTTAATTAGCATAACATTCCACAGGGGATATTTTAATTCAATTGAATTTGACACTTAGCCTGTGTTATTAAATCAAATTATCAAGTCAATCATATTCAATCAGCAAGAGCTGTACACCTGCATTCCTGTAAGGATCTGGAAAGTGAGTGACCCATTAAAAGAGTCCACCACAACTATAATCAAGGCATAAAGCTTCCCTGGGCACAAACTCATTTGGGGTCATTCCTATCTCAAAACTTTGTAGCTTGAGCGTTTAAAATAGTTGCTCAGTCACAGAATCAGAAATCAAGTAATCTTTGCCGTATTGTTTGCAGATTCATGATGAGAACTATGATCCCAATTCTCAGATTAGGTGGGTTTCAATTAGCATAACATTCCGCAGGGGGTATTTTAAGGCAATTGAATTTGAAACTTAAGCTCTGTTATTATTTTCAAATCAATCATATTCAATCAGCAAGCCAAAGCAATAATAACGCTCGTTTGATGGACAAACAATGGCTATTAGTTACAATTTGCGACCCATTTCGTGACAGTTTGAACCAGAATAAATAAATAGGTCCCAAAAAAATACTTATAGTGCCACAATCACATTTCCAGTTCTTTAGATAGGGTCAAAATTCAGTCGGTAACGAGCGTGAGAACCGTAAATTATGGAACCCAGTACAAGTGCAGATAAGGATACGTGTAGAGCAGGTACTGACCGCGTTTGAAGATCGCTTTAGAACATGAGCTGTACCTGATTGCCAGCATATCGCAGACATATTGATAAGGACTAGGGAAACCGGACCAATAAACCATTATTACCGCGATAAACTATGACATCCATCCATTTCATTCATGGGACATTGGAAGTAAAGTGCGTACGAAAAAGAGATTGTTGATTGACCTTCCCGCAGTCACACTTAACCCTGTGAAAAAGGCTGTTTGCATTTAGTTTCGTTTGGGTATCGTTTATTCACACACATAAATAATACCCGTTCGCACATCATATATGACCCACAAATCGTTTCATAAATTGAGGCTAGGCGCTTCAATTCCGCACACAACTGTCCGTTTTTAATGGAATCAAGTGAGTGTGCACCTGATGACGTCCAAATCAGAGATGAGCTTGAATCACGAAGTTTTGGGACTATAAAGAAATACAAAACACTTTGGAATTTAAGACGTTTTGGAAATGTTTCATGAGATTTTAAGATTGTTTTTAAAACAGTTTTTAAAGTTGAATTATCGACCAGCCAATCAATGAAAGCATTTTAGTTATATTTCATAAGCTCATAATATTATTTATTTCTAGACTTAAAGCTTTTCGGAACTATTGTATTGTTGAAGTCATTAATAATAATACATATGTCTAAAACTGAATAGAAAAATGTCACCTTTAGTACATAAAACCATCTCTAGTTTTTATCATTCAATAAAAATATTTATTTATAGCCAAGTTACCCTCTTCACTTGTACACGTGTCTAATTTAACAATGATTTCTATTCAGATTAAAAATGTTGCAATATCTTGTGGTCACCCTGGCACTTTGTGCAACAGTCTGTTCTGCCGCCCAAACGGTAAGTTCAAAGAAAGTTCTAAAAGCGTAACATTACAATTAACTTTGTTAATACTTACTATGCAGCGCAACATGCCCATTCAAGCCATAGCTTATCTGATCGGACCCGTGCAATCGGATAATAGCCAGGTCAAGGGCAATGTGACTTTTACACAGAACGACTGTGGCCAGAATGTCCATGTCCGCGTCCAGTTGGAAGGATTAAAGGAGGGCAAGCACGGCTTCCACATTCACGAAAAGGGAGATCTGACCAATGGATGCATCAGCATGGGTGCCCACTACAATCCCGATAAGGTGGGTCCTTTATCCTTTGAAACTTATTAAATGATATGACATCATGGTCTGTGAATGTATTATTTGTTTAATTGTTGTAATAACACGTGATCATCAAAGACGTTTATTTGATCAGTGAGCTGCTGATACATAAAATTAGTAAATGGTTTTTAATGTTATTTTTCAATTTCAGGTTGATCATGGTGGTCCCGATCACGAGGTGCGTCACGTTGGCGATCTGGGAAACCTGGAAGCTAACTCCTCGGGCATTATCGACATCACATACACGGATCCGGTGATCACTCTAACCGGCAAGAATGCAGTTATTGGCAGGGGATGTGTTGTCCACGAATTGGAGGATGATCTTGGCCTCGGAAACCACACGGACTCCAAGAAGACTGGAAACGCAGGTGGCCGTATTGGTAAGCATTCGGAATTGCAAATAAACAAAATCATATAATTAATACAAATTTATTTTTACAGCCTGCGGTGTTATTGGCATCAAGTAAATATCCCTTCCAACGCGACAGCCAAAGCTGAATGCTGCTCGAATATTTTATGTGTAGTTGTGTAACTTCAGGCACAGTAGCTAATGAAATGTTTTCCCACCTTTTCCACCCACAATCACTCACCCTTTGGCTTTCTTATTTTCGTCAATTAACTGTCGCAGTTCACTGACTCACTCGCTTTACTTTTTCTACTTTCCTGCCGTGTGTTTGTGTGTAATAAAATCAACAAAAATTAACCGAAATCTAAGCTAAACATTAGCAGTCTATGTATGTGCCACTTGTATTCCTGTATTCCACCAACTCATTCATGGCCTAAACAAACTGCCTCGCTTTTCTGGGGTTGGTTGGGTGGGTAGGTATGACAATAGGTTTCTTACCAATCATTTGTACTAACATCATTAACATTAGTGGGCAGCCAAAAAACAAGGGGAATTGGAATAACAACAACGGCTGGAATCGAATGGTTTCTAATCCACCTAAGGGTTCAATCATCTCTGTGAACTTACATTGTGTGTTTTCCAGTGCCCCACCTGTGTCTGTACCTGCACCACAACCACCAAAACGTCATCAACCACTGTACTATGTGCCCCATGGGGAGCCACAAGATCATGTTGTCTATCCACTGCCACTACAGCGCTATCCTTCGTATCCACTGCCATACCCATACCCATATCCGCACCCATATCCCTATCCGTATCCGTTTTCGCACCAATTGTATCTGTGAGATCGCGAATCGCGAAACTACACCTGTTCGCCTGTTCCACCTTTAATTGCAGCTCGGACGTGGACGAATGGCCATGTCGCGATGGTGGCGCCGGCGCCCTCCGCTATTCCCTCTCCATCCTGACCGTCATCGTAGCGATCTTCATGGCGCGCAGCCTCGACTAATTCACTGCACCCCGGAATCGGATCGATTGAGCATGTGGCATGGGATTACTGACCATCGTAGAGATCCGCATTCCCACTTACACCACTAATCACAACCATTAGTCACATATACACACACCCACACAAGTAACTATAATACTCCAGCAAAAACAGCATAATCCACCCAAAATAATGAAATCTAAGGAACTAACTACGCTACTTGTATTATGTTTGAAATTTAATGATAATAAAGTTTGTTATTTGTACTTTGTGTTTTGTACGTGCTGAGATAGTAACAAAATGTTTAAGATGGCAACTTGTTAGATAAGGTTTACCTACATTTAACTCAATAACAGATTAGACAAAGTCACTTGTTAAAATAGTATAAACTTGATTAATTATTAAGAACGCGGAATTGCTAAGGGAGTTTTAATGCCACATCATTTTAAACGTGCTTTGACAAAAAAATGTAATTAGATAAGATTATAAAAATATTTTTAGCCGAACAACATTAAAGAAAAAATATTTTTTATCTTATCCCAATTTCCAATAAAGATAATTATAACTTTATCAAAAGAATCTAAATAATTCAGAAGATAAATTTTCATTCAAACCTTGATATTTCTTTAGATATAAACAAATTTCTAACAAAAACTTTTGAAACCTTCGAAAACTAAGAAAAAATCCAAACTTACAACGCTATTTGGTAAATATAAATAGGTTAACAAATAAATTGACACCTTAAGTAATCAGGAAAACTATAATTAGAATGGGCCAATGCACGGAATAGAAATCCTAAAAACCCTAAAACCCAATAACGTCACCAATGCCTTTATTATTCCTTACGTATTCAAGTAATTGGGGCATAACTTTCCCTGACTTTTGATTGCTGAATTCCAGCTTAGAGCCACAATTTGCTTTAAATTGCGGAAGCCTTCAGCAAATGTTAGCCTTCCAATCATTCAAAGAACTGCAGTTTCAAACGTTTCATGGCCCCAACTAATGGTCAAGCAACAGCTTTTGTTTTTATTTTAGCGAGATTTCTGCGACCAGATATGGCCAGCAAAAGAATGGGTCACCCAGTGGGATTCTAGTAACTTAGGGCCATAATTCCCGACACGCAACATTAACATCATCCAAAAGACTGTGGCATACTTCTGGGCGTCTTTAATTATTTCGCACAGTCCCGACGAATTTCTGCTACTTGGAGACTTAAACCATTTACAACTTTCTTTCGCCTTCGCACGACAACACGCAATTAATTTCGCCTTTCCAAGTGCTAAGTGCCGAACTTTAAAGGGAAACCGAAACACCAGACGTGGGCGACCATTTGAATTTTTATGGTAATAAGTGCAATGACCCACCTGGAAAACCGGAGGTGTAGCCATCGGTGGGTGCAGTGAGGTAATCTCCGGGCGACCCACAAAACGTACCGCCTTTCGCTTTGGTCAAAGTTCTTTGGTATCGAATGTTGAATCAACGAAATGGGTTATGGAGGGCATGGGAAACCCCGAGGCCCTACGCCCTACGCCCGATCCCTATTCCGATTCCCGTGCCTAATCATGCCTGGCCTGAATTCGAATCGGGCCTCCAAGACTTTCACTCGCTTTCACTTATGTTCCGTCCCCGATTGCCACCCCAACCATAATCCCCGGATCCGTTGCCAGCACCAACCCGGAAAGTGGCCACAACAGACCCAAGGGGTTTCTAAAGCCCGTCCGGACAGGCATTGCGGTCAGTTCGTGGTTTAACTTCAGGCCGGCCAGTCGCATCGGGCGATCGCTCAAGCTCTCTGGATTTATCTCCCACCAAAGCGGTTCTAATTTTGGATTTAACTAAACTTAAAATAAGTTCACAGAGTGCTCAATTAAATAAATAAATCAAAATGCGTTCTTGCGGGCCGAGCTTAATTAAATATGTCCTATTTGCCTTTAATGTTCTATTTGCGGTAAGTGAAAATAATGGGATATGAAGGATTCTCTAAAAATGGAAACTAAAATATTTGTGTATAATTAAAGCTTAAGTTAAAAAAAAAAAAAAGGTATATAGAATAAGAAGTGGTTTTAATATGAATAATTTTTTTTACAAAATTATATCCAAAAATTCTGATTTCTTTGAATTTTATAAAATTCACAAAAAATAAAAGATTAGTAAATTAACAAAATCCAGTTTGTTTCGCCAAACTTATCTTCTTTGAAAAATAACCAATACTTGAATTTGACTTAATATAATTTACGTACGTGTTTTAAAAAGTATCTGAATATGTGATAAATCCTAATCAATTGTGAAGACCTATGAAAATATAATCAAGCTTTACCAATTATTACATTTTGGTAAATCTTAAAATAATGAAGATACTACAACTTTCTTAATATATTATATAATATATTGTAACGTTTTAAAAAAAAAACCATTTCGCCACATATCATAAATTTGTAATTTAAGTTTAAATTTTAAATGCCAATAAAATACGTTTATTTTTGTAAAGATAAACCATCAATATCCAAGCACGGATTATTCACTTGTATTTGCCCAGCAATTCCGATTTAATTCGCCATAATTAACGTCACTTTAAGCACTACAATTACGCTTTTGCAGCGAGTCTTGTTCAGGTGCCTCATTTAGATAAGTATCGCTGGAAAATGGCATTCTCACTCGCCATCGACAGGTACTCCCCCGCACCAGAAAACGCGATTTGCTTGAACGACATGCAAGTGATATGCGTGCTCCAAAGGACATGGGCATCGGGTGTCCTTCGCATTGACCAACTGAGCAAGCGACTTACAATGACGCCATGGACTTGAACATGGAATTTCCATTGACTGAGTCGTGGGCGATTTTTATCGTTCAATTAGAATTGGGAATGTAAATACAAATGCCAACTCGAATTAGGACTTGATTGGAAGCCATTACCTAAATTGCTTTACGGATAAATTAAAGGTCGATTCGATTAATCAAATGGAACGATTTTCTTTCAGATCTCCGGCCTGGGAATCCTCATCGCGGGTGCCGTGGTTCTGGCCGATGTGAATGAGTTCAATCACTTTGTGGAGGGCCGAGTCCTAGCTCCCCCAATTGTCCTTATAGTCACGGGTCTGATCATATTCCTGATCGCTTCGCTGGGATGTTTTGGAGCCATCAAGGAGTCACCAACGCTGCTGATAACCGTATGTTTTTTAAATAGCCAATACGATATGATAGGGACCTAAATCATTCAAATTCCCCCACCAGTTCGCTGTCCTGCTGGCAGTCATCTTCATTGTGGAACTGGCTGTGGGCATTGCGGCCAGTGTTTTCAAGAAGGATCTGGAGTCGATGGTGAAGAACTCGCTGCAGGAGTCGATCAAGCGATCGAACAATGAAGACACCATGGCCTGGGATAACATCCAGCAGAAGTTGATGTGCTGCGGAGTTGATTCTCCGGCGGATTGGAGGACACTGAGTGCGAATAAAACACTGCCGGGCAGCTGTTGTCAGCCGCAGTACATCGATACCACCGTGGGACATTGTCTGGAGTCACCGGCTCTGGGCAGGGACAAGTTCTTCCAGGATGGCTGCGTTGGCAAGCTGAAGACCCGCATCGAGAAGAACGCTACTATCCTGATCGGTGTGGGCATCGGCATTGCCTTCATCCAGATTCTGGGCATCATACTGGCCTGCTATCTGGCCAACTCCATTCGACGGGAGAGGGCCAAGTAAGCTCCATCATATCTATTGCTGTTTAAATTTATGTAGTTGAAATTGTTTTACCGTTTAATAACCTGCTCAATCTTCATTACTCCAAAAGAAAAACGAAATGTAAACGAAAAAACGCAACAATTCTTAATCGAATGACTCATTATTACCTATGTTCCATTTAAACAAAATTCTATAAAAAAGGTTTCTGTAATCCCAGTAAACAGTATGTCTATCATCTACTTATTAGTAGATCCTCTATCCTCCTTCTCATTTCCATTATTTTCTCTTTTCATCTATTTCTTAAAAATAACTCTCATATACTAACTATATTTCTAAAATATTTTCTATTACGAACGTATACATGAGAAATTGTTGCTGTGTGTTAACGAATGATTATAATCCATTTGAGGTCACCATTTCCTGGTATTGCTAAATAAATATAACTTTACAAACGACATTTTAGGTGGCTTCTAGTACTCTTTATTGTTAAGAATCTACATTCTGATGCTGTTGCGATTATTGGCCAGGCTCAGCGTCCACTTAAGCTTGAGTCCCGCCATAAAATACATATGGATTCTTAGGGGGTCTACGGTTTAGGGGTACCATCTAGAACTACGGGTGGACGCCGATATGGTGTCTCAGCGGGGTGCGATCGCGTTTTAACGAGTGCTCGACTACTGCTACATCCTCTAGGGGCAAATGCAATTTAATGGTCGGGTTCCACAATCGTGGAACTTGGTTTCTAACCGGAAATCATTCTATTTGCTCTGCAACAGAGCTTCCGAGAGCCGTTCAATGGCCGTGACTGGCGGCTTTCGGGCCTCCTTTTCACCGCTCTCGAGGATTGCGGCTGCAGCTGCTGCCTCGGCTGCTTCCGCCTCCTCCAGGACACGGGCCTCCTCCTGTTCCCGCTGCTTTTGGAAGTGCCTGAACTCGGTGGGTGTGAGCATGCCCCTCAATACCGTTTCATAGCTCACACTAACCCCCTTGGCCCCCATCTTCTGGTGCAACTTCCAGCACTCGCGCTCCTTCAGGCTGCGCACATATGCCGGATAATTGTGATCCGGCTGTTGCACTTGATCCTCACAGTTGGCCGCATTGTTGTTGTTCTCCTTCTTGGCCTCATCCGGCGACATGGTAACAGCGGGCAGCTCATCCTTCTTCGGTGGCTGGTCCATTTTGCCCTGGACTTCGGTGAGGAAAATGGAGACGGGCGGCGCTGTCGGCGGTCGATTGGCGCGGATTCGGGCTGCCAGAGGTGCTATCGATCCACGGCGTATCATGTGAGAGTACTCCTTGGAGGCCAGTTGGAAGGTGGGCGGATAGCTGTCTTGAAACGAGACTGCCAGAAAGCTTTAGTTCGGTTTCAATGGGTTTTAAGATTCTTAATAGTTTTGCACAAATTTTTGTGTAAAACTGAATAATTTATTTTACAAGGTATGGTCACTTTCAAATCGGCACCTTCTTACGAGACATCGGAAACTTACAAATAACTAACATGAAAATAGGTGAAAAATTTGATCAACGTTAAAATAAAAATGTTTAATGCAGATTTTTTGAGAATCAAATCACAAGTCTTTAGAGGTATGCCACTTTGAAATCGGATTAAGTTTGGTAAAGTTATGGACTCTCGAAGACCAATTTTGAGTCACTGTATTACAAGACATCGGAAAACTAGAAATAACTAACATGAAAATGGGTCAAAATTTTGATCAGCGTTAAATTGAAAATTTTGAATGCAGATTTTTAGAGAATCAAATCACAAGTCTTTAGAGGTATGCCACTTTGAAATCGGATAAAATTTGGTAAAATTATGGACTCTAGAAGTCCAATTTTGGGTCACTCTATTACAAGACATCGGAAAATTGAAAATAACCAACATGAAAATGGGTCAAAAATTTGATCAACGTTAAATTGAAAATTTTGAATGCAGATTTTCAGAGAATTGAATTACAAATCTTTAGAGGTATGCAACTTTGGAATCGGATAAAATTTGGAAAGGTTATGGACTCCACAAGTCCAATGGTGGGTCACCTTTTCACAAGCCATTGGAACTTAAATATAACTAACATGAAAAACCGTAAAAAAAAATTGATCATCGTTAAAATGGCAATTTTCCTAAGGCAAACTTCGAGCAAATAATAAACAAAATTTGATAGGATAATGGAATATATAAGGGTGTGTATCCCGACCCAGGTCTTGAGACTTACCCGATTTGCCCGTCTTCCTCAGCAGCGGCGCCCTTCGCTGCGCTACGCCCGACGGCGGCTTGTCAGGACCGCCAATAGGTGGCGACGATACCGCCGTGGAGCTGTTGTCCTCGCGCTCGGAGTCGCTGCCCTCGGAACTCAGCAGCGACACCAGGGTAATGACATCGGGGGCAACGACGCTGCGTGCCCGGTTCAGAGATTTTTTAGAGGCATTTCCGTTGCCGACGGCGGCGGCGGAGGAGGAGGAGGAGGACGAGGTATCCCCGATGACATCCAGGGGCACGGACACCACCGAGGACGAGGGCGTTCTCGTGAAGATTTTGCGGCGCCGCAGCTTCTGCTGGCTGCGCTTGCTGGCGGCAATGACGCCCTTGCTGCTCTCGTCCAATCCGCGGACCGGAGCGGACATAGCACGCACCAGCGGCGGACGCCTCTGGATGGTCAATGCCGGCGAGATGCTCAACGGGATGTCCGGAGTCTCCACCGGATGACTGCCCTCGATGTCGCTAATGTGCTCCGCTTCCGGCTCCACTTCCTGCTCGTTGGTGGCCCTTATCGTCTGCGACAGGACGATATTCAAGTTAATCCGATTCTTGTCCGCCTTGGCGCTGCTGCAAAAGGATAATGAGAAAATGCAACTAAGGTAAGGGAAATCGAAATGGAAATGGAAATGAAAATGGAAAGTTTCGAGTGACCTACTCCCGCCACACCCGGCTAAATTTAAATCAAATTATTTGGCATTAGTTGCGGGGCAATTTATGCTGTTCTCGATTCGAAATCATGCAAGGCACAGAAATAGAAATTAACTTGGGTGTTGGGTTTCGCCACCCCCACTCCATTCGAAAAGGAAACCATGTCAATTACATTGGCAATTGGCGCCCGAAAAGCAGTACAATGAAAGTGAGTCTACGAATCTGCGGAGCATTGAACTCCGCGGCTATCAGGCACTACAATTTGCGCTCAAGTTTTCAGCTTTTCAGGTTTTTAGCCAGCTATCTTGTCAGCGATTCGAGGCAATGATCGACTTAAGTGTGCCGAGGGGTGGTGGGTGTTGGGTGGTGGGTGGTGCTTTGAGGGGAGTCCTCAGCTCCCACATTTGAGCATGTCTAGCGTGTGTTATGCACTGGAACATAAAACTTTGACGTTTGATTCGGGCGTGAAGCATGCAAATTGCACAAAAAACTTGACGCTACGCCCATTTCGAAAGTGACACTTTCGGCATATTTATATAGATGATATCAGGACAGTCATTACGGCTAGAGCCATCGAGCTTATTACGTATACGTATCCGGCGAGGGGAATCCAATACGCACCCTCTGGCTGGCACCAAGGTTAAACAAAGGGACTCGCTCAAGGGTTTCCATAGGTGCGACAATCTACGAAATGTGGCTATTCCAATCCTAGTTTGGCCTCTTCGACGCTTTTTTAAAATCGTCCATTATCTATGGTTGTTAAACTTTATACTTCTTAGAACTATGGGCATAATGATAGTTAATGGAAACCCTTTTATTTTATATTCTAACTTTCACGATCAATTTTAATTAAATTTCAATTCAAATATAAATAAAAGAGAGAAAGTACCAGCAGAAACCATTCTGTTCCCAATGTTGTTATATTTTTCAAAATTTAACTTTAACTTTAGAAATCACAACATTTGAAATAAGCCTCTAACTCGAACGAAGTTACCCAGCCTTTGTAATTGTTAGCACAAGTTAATAATACTCACATCTTGGCCTCAGCGGGTTCAGCCTGCGTAGTCCTTTCCGCTTCCTGGTCCTTTAGCAATGATGAAGTGGAAGACCAGGCCACCAGGCTCTTATCCCTCAGCCTTAAACCCTGGACCTGTGAGGCGGTGATGCGGGGGGCAATCCTCGGAGTGACCTCCTCAACGGCCAGCGATGTCTGCCTGCCCACGGGATACAGCTTCTGACGGATGTTCTCGATGGATCGGCCAACGGAGAGTCCTCTGGAGAGGTAGCCCCTCTGTTGGGCCGAGAATCTGGCCGTCGGTTCGATGAAGGAGTGCTGCTTCCGCACGGACAGTGGCAATTGGTAGCGACCACCGGAAGAGGATGAGGATGAGGATATGTTCGCGGTGGACGAGGGAGCGTTCGTCGTCTGGAGGCGACGACGGCTGGCCACAGACAGCGACATGGTGACAGCCAGTTTATCCTTGATAACCTTGATTAGCAACGGCGACAATGAGTGGTTACTGGAATGAAGTGGGTCTTGGAGTGGTAGAGGCTTACTGCCTTACGTTTCAATTGCCAATCAATGTGGCACATCGAATGCAAATCAATTACGAAGTCATTAAGCCCAGAAGCAATAACTTTGTCAACAAAGTAGACGGACTGAAATGGAAACCCAAAGCGAACACCCAATGAACCGCCAACCGAAAACCGCCAAACGTCACGAAAGCGAAAGCCACTTTTTGGGGATACAATCCCTGTCTGGCCGAGATCGAGGTGGCCTCCACGTCCACTTGGCTCGAATGCCTTGCACCGACTGCGTTTTGTGAATGAAGAATTTCGGACTCCGAACCGGAATCGGGTTTTTTTTTTGGGGGAAGGTTCGTTTATGTTGCCAACAAACAATCAACAAAATCGCAACGTTGGCAAGGAGTCGCCTGTTATGCTGGCTCTCTTTAGAGTTTAGTTGTTTGTTCCATTTCCTGCTCACACCCACACGTCAGACAACCATCCACCGATCTACACTGAAAATTATGTGCAGTTAGTACGATTCTTTAAAACAAAAATGTTTATTCTAAATGAATATCTTAATCTTAAGATTTATAAATATACAATATATATAAATCCATTTTATTAAGGCACATCCTACAATCAAGTGTGCTTGTAATTCTCAACATGTTAAAGTCAAACAAAGCTGAATTGATGAATTGTAAATTAAAGATATAAGCAGTTAGAGATTTAATTGTATACCAAATTTTTTGATTACACTGTAAGCATTTTTGGGTAATTTGTACATGATTAATCTTTTGTCAGTGCACCCACCCACATGCCAGCCCCAGGTTTTTCCCACTCCCTCCGTGGACACGTGCAATTTCGGTGGGTCTGGCAAGTTTTCGACTGCGACTCAATGAACCCGCACGAACTTTTGTTTTCATTTGCGAACCACCCAGCCACCCAAAGCCCAGCAATCGAAAGGATTACAGCATTTTTGGCAATATGCAAATCCGGCCATGAATGAATGAATTTTGGCCAAATAAAGAAGAGGTGAGAGGAGAATTGCGTACAAGTCGCTCAATGTCAGCGAAATGTTAGATGCAAATTCAGTTGTCATAATATGGGTATGAGTATCTCCGCTCCGGATGGGATAGCAAGTGAAAAACTTTCACATTTGTGACAATTTCAAATTCATCAAAGACATGCAAAGTTCGGTGGATGAGTTCCGTGCGCGGTGGCAATCAAAGAAAAGTAACGAACATAACAGAACAGAAGCCCGGAGCCCAAGCCAAACACAAACACAAAATGGCATAAAACCAAAAAAAAAAAAAAAAAAAAAAAAGCAAAACCAAATCAAGCCCACTTCAAGGTCACAGCCACATCAACCAAACATATGCCTGTTAGCCAAAGTATTTGTACGAGTGTATGTATTCGGATTTCTGATTGCCAATAAAATGTACTTAAAACAAAGCTGAAAGGCCAATTCGGGGTGGATGGGCATTAATCATTTCCAGTCGGTAGTCAATATTTATGGCCTGACTTTGACGACGCGCTTTGTACCGATCGGACAGGACTCCGGATTGGGTATTTCACTTTTTCCCCGACTTGTGCAATTCAAAATCAATTACATTCGAAATGCCGTAAATATTAGACGGAGTCGCAACCAAATACGGAGCGGTACCAAAAGGGAAACATGTCAGACAAAAACTTATTTTAATTAGAAGAGGCGTCGATACCAAATTACTGTGACTGGAACGGCATGGACATAACTTTTCGGTATACTGAGTCTCATTACATTGCAATAAATAAACTTATTTAAAACGCAAAAAATGAAAATAAACATATTTGAAAAGTAATCGCTGAAACAAAGATATTTTAATCGTATTAGGTAAACTGGCAAATATTTTTTTTGCCATACCTATAATAAATGTTTTTATTCCGCTTCACACAATCTGAATATAATAGGTATATTTCCATTTAAAATAAACACAGATTGTTAGGTCAGATTACACATCTATTTCACAAACGAATAAAGTTAACTGCTCACAGGTTCTATCATACATTACTGAATTCCAGAAGAGAACACAGTTATTGGAGGAACCGCCACTTGGTTCCGACCAATGCCACTTTAAAAAGCTTGCTATGTTTCCGGTGGTCGAGGATATGTACTCCCCCTTATTGCCCAAATTGTTTATATCCAGCCAGTATTCATTTGTGTTGATGACTTTCGCAGAAACGTCGTTAAATTCAGTGATATTACTGAAACTGACCAGATGAGCTCCGTTCCGACGACAAAAATCTCCAGCAGCGAACCAATTAAGCTTTTGGTTCTGTTCAATATAATAGAAGCCCGAGCCGATCTTCTCAAAGTTCTTTGGGATGATCTTCTTGGCTTCGCCTTGCGATGAAGCCAGACTGGACTGAATCTGGTGTTGGGCAGCCAATTGTCTTCCAATATCGTCCAGCTTTAATTGTGAGTCCTGACGATTTACATCGCTTAGACTCGATCCTGATCCATGGTGGTAGGAAATATGATCCAGTATCGGCCATATCGCTCTGAAGCAGAATCCACCACATTGGCTTACTAAATCTTTTACTTCACATTCTGAATTTACACTATTCAACGCCAAAATTCAATACAGAGCCACGTAAAACCGAGCAATTTTGGTATTAATCATTATAAAGATGTTGCGAACAGTAAAAAAAGACACCATCGACTGATTCGGTGGCTCTGAAAGGCCTGTTAAATACCCAGACGAGTACTTTTGATAAGCCCGGAATCGACCTATGATGGCCCGACTTCCTCCACGAGATACAAAGTACGAGCGCATTCCAGATAAAGACATTTCGGCTGCAAATAAACGTAAGCTATAATTTCCATGTGAAAGAGAATATTTTTTTCGTTTTCGTTTTGAAATTCAAACTGAAAAATATCGCGCCCTTTTTTGTGTTATACATTTAGCTATTCTCAAGCTAATATTATTGTTAGGTCAGATTACAACTTTTTTGTTTTATTATATATTTACACATCTATTTCACAAACAAATAAATTTATCTGTTCACAGGTTCTATCATACATTTCATAATTGTAGAAGAGAACACAGTGATCGTTGGAACCGCCACTTGGTTCCGACGATTGCCACTTTAAAAAACTTGCTATATTTCCGGTGGTCGAGGATATGTACTCCCCCTTATTGCCCAAATTGTTTATATCCAGCCAGTAATCATTTGTGTTGATGGTTTTCGCAGAAACATCGTTAAATTCAGTGATATTACTGAAACTGACCAGATGAGCTCCCTTCCGACGACAAAAATCTCCAGCAGCGAACCAATTAAGCTTTTGGTTCTGTTCAATATAATAGAAGCCCGTGCCGATCTTCTCAAAGTTCTTTGGGATGATCTTCTTGGCTTCGCCTTGCGATGAAGCCAGACTGGACTGAATCTGGTGTTGGGCAGCCAATTGTCTTCCAATATCGTCCAGCTTTAATTGTGAGTCCTGACGATTTACATCGCTTAGACTCGATCCTGATCCATGGTGGTAGGAAATATGATCCAGTATCGGCCATATCGCTCTGAAGCAGAATCCACCACATTGGCTTACTAAATCTTTTACTTCACATTCTGAATTTACACTATTCAACGCCAAAATTCCATACAGAGCCACGTAAAACCGAGCAATTTTGGTATTAATCATTATAAAAATGCAGTATAGAAAGACACCATCGACTAATTCTGGTGGCTGTGAAAGTCCTCTTAAATACCCAGGCGAGTACTTTTGATAAGCCCGGATTCAACCTTAGATGGCCCCACTTCCTCCACGAGATACAAAGTGCGAGCGCATTCCAGATAAAGATATTTCGGCTGCAAATAATGTAAGCTATAATTTCCAAAGGAAATGGAATTTCGGCTATAATTTCCAAGTGAAAAAGAATCTTTTTCCATTTTCTTTTTAAAATTCAAACTGTAAAATATCGCGGTCTTTTTGTGTTACACATTTTAGCTATTCTCAAGCTAATATTAACCCAAAGTAAGCAGCTCAATAATGAGACCTTAAAAAATATATTGCAAAGACTAGAGAACAAAGACAAACAACAAGCTTTGAGTAATTATTATTATACAAAACATTGATATTGAATGTAAAATAAATATATGTGTTATATGCTATTTCTTAGATAGTTTTTGACCAAAAGATGGTAACTTAAAGAAAAAGGTTATAATTATGAAAAGGACAGCAAACTGTCTTTATAAAAGTTTTAATTTCAATGGATTGCGGAACACCTAAACATATATGTTTAAGATTTCTTAGCTATTTTATAGCTATTTTTACATTGTTATTGCCACCCCTGGCATCGACCAGTGTGACCATCAACCACTTCAGACTTCGGTTATTTTCTCGGCTGTCAAGTGACGTATGGTGCTGTCGTGGCGTTCGTTTTCAGAGAGAAAGAAAGTCCCGAGTTGGATAGCCGCTGAATTCCGCTAATTCTACTGATTCCTCAATAAAAACCACCTTAAAAACCGACCAAGATGTCCCGTCAACTGTTCGCCGTCTGCCTGATTGCCGCCGTTTGTGCGTCCGGAGTATATGGAAGCTGCAAGGCCACCGTCAGCTCCTTCAGCACTCAGGATGCCACGATTCTGACCCAACTGGCCCATGTGGGCGAGTTTACGCTGCAGTGCAGCGGATCTGCTCCCTCTAGCCTGTTCGCCGAGTTCCCCTGCGGCAAGGTAGTGCCGGTGGCCAAAGTGGGCGACGACAAGTACCAGGTGAGCCAGTAATCCTCTCCGGACTTCGTCCAGACTCTAAAACAAACCCTTAATAGGTGAGCTGGGTGGAGGACATCAAGCAGGGCAGCAGTGGCAATGTCCAGGTCCGTCTCTTCGACGAGGATGGCTATGCCAACGTGCGCAAGGCACAGCGTGATGGCGACAAGGTTTCCTCCGTGAAATCCCTGCTGGACATCTCCGTGCCCACCAAGGGCGCCTACAAGGGACCCTGGATCAAGGCCGAGCTCCTGGCCGCTTTCTTGGTCGGCGGATTCGCCTATTTCGCCTTCACCACCAAGGGCAAGGTGCAGTCCTAAGAACGCGGATGCCTTCGTCATCGATTCCTTGAATGAAATTCATTCGCACTAAAATCATGTAGCATCAAATTGGCCGGGTCCCAGAGATTTTTCCACATTTTGTACACCTAAGCATTGGATCGCCTGCGCCGCCCCAAAAATAAACAGATCGAAAAAACCAACCCAAGAAATCTATTTGAGATTAATTTAAGTTTAATTTAAGAGATAACTTGTACGATTACACGCTTAAGCCTGTCCGACTGAGGAGGGCACCCCGTTCATGGTCCCCTCCTCGTCGGAGGAGATGTCGATCATGCTCTCCACGCGCGACGGCGACATCACATACACAAAGTGCTCCGTGGAGCCCTCGGGTCCGACTGGAGGCGGGAGTATAACCACGGAGCCATCCTGCGGCGGCGGTGGCGGAGTATCTATACTGCAGTACTTCAGATTCCCGGCTCCTCCTCCGCCCGAATCATCAGGCGGCGGCGCTCCCCCATTACAGTCAAAATTCTCCAGCTCCAGCTCCAAGTCACTGACGATCCTCATGCAACGCATCTTGGCCAGCGACTGGAATTTCATCGGCATGGCACGCACCTGTCGGGCGAGACTCAGGAAGAACAGCGTATTGGCGTCCAGTTCCCTGTTGGCCTGCAGCACGGCGGACACGTCCCAATCGCTGGGGAAACGCGGATCACAGATCTTACGCGTTTTGGCGGGCGACGGCTGCTGTTGCTGTTGGATTTGTGGCATTTGTATCGTTTGCTGGGGCTGCATTTGTCCCGAGTTTCCGCCGGAGCAGCTGAGATTGATGGCCGTAGTTTGCGGCGAAGGTTGCACCCTTCTCACCTTGGAGGCTGGTGGCGCTGGCGGTGGAGGTGGCGGCGTGGGATTGCCCAGGGGGAGATTGACTCCTGGACAGCTACCATTTAAACGATTGGCATTCTGCACTTGGTTGGCCAGGTTCTGGAACAACCCGAGTGGTGCTCCTGCTGCCGCAGCGGCTGTCAGTTCCTTCTTGAAGTTATCCGCCGCCGCAAAGAGATGTGGTTCGATGATCAGGCAGCCCACATTGCTGTTCGGCCCACTTCCGGAGCTGCATCCTGGCGGAGTGATCGTGGGTGGCAGTGGCAGTCCTGCGGCCACTGCCGCCGCCTTAAGCGTGGCCAGTGGAAACATCTGCTGGGCCAATCCGCCCACTCCCAAGCCCATTGGCAGATGATTGGCCAGCGAGGCCAGGGCATTTGCATTGGCCTTGCTGACAGCAGCGGCTGAGGATGCGGGAGAGATGGGCAGGGGCAGGACCACGGCGGAATTGCAGCCACTAGTGGCTGGCGGAGTCATTGAACTAAGTGGAGCCACCGCGGCACAGTTGAGACTTCCGGTGGCACTGCCATTGCTATTGCTATTGTGGATTTGCGGTCCTACGGAACCGGAAGTTCCTCCTGCGCCGCCCAAATTGCTACCCGGGGAGATCATATTCGGGGGCGTGGCCACGCCCAAGCTAGAGGTCAGTGCGGGCGCCGAAGTACTGCTCAGAGCGGTCGTGTAAGTATTCACCGTGTGCGTTCCTATAGAAGAGCAACCAGCAGAGGCCGTGGCAATGGTGATCTTCAGTTCATCCTCGCCTCCATTGCTGGCTGCCTTGGCCAAAACTTGATAGCCAAAATCACACTCAGTATCGTCCTCGTCGTTGGATTTGCCATTACCATTGGCGGAGTTTCTGAAAGTGAGTTAAAGATAAGTTGGCTTCGGTTATCAATGTGAGGAGAGTACTTACCTGCCCGGTCCCTGGAAGGGCTTAAGGAAATCCATGTGATCGGCATGGGCCCAGTACTGGTACTTCTTGGACGTCTTGGTGCCCACGCGAAACGAGCGCAGATACTTTGTATAGCTGTCCCTTAAATTTTTCCATTTCCGCTTGGAAGCCTCTGCAAAATGATTTTAAAATTACAAGTTTAGCAAATTACTAAATTTTAAAATTTCTAAAAAATAAACAAATATATTACCCACCAAGGGTTTGATTAAAAAAAAGTAAACCACGCAATTTAATTATACATTTGCCATTTATTCTCTCTTTTTGTATGTATTTTGTATCTTAAATTTCATTTAATTCATTTCGTTAAAAAAATATGGTATTTTTTAATATTTTAATGCAGTGATAAAGTTAAATTGTTATTAAAAACATTGTGTTTAAATTTTCTAACACATAAAAACATAGCTTAATAAATATTCTTTATGTCTTAAATAAAACTAAAAACTTTAAAACCGAATTCAAAATTTCTATTAAGTGTGACCGCCCTTAAAATACAGCAAAATGCATTTCCAGGGAATCCAGTTGTGAAATAATACGACATTAACCCCAGGAATTTAATGCATTCCGATATCGGAAGTCAAGCGGTGTTGCACAAAAGCATATAACATTTTAAATTGTGTTGGATTAAATTACAAAATAATAGTGCTAAAACAAAATTTAAATAAACAGGAAAACATTTATTTGCTGGTAAGATATGTATTCTCAATGATCAAAATTCTTGTGATTCCCCGAATTGCAGGGGAGTTTATAAGCTTAAGTGACGCCACTGTATATAGTAAGTGTTTAAGTACATATGTATGCATATAATGCGTAGAAACCATTCTGTTAAACAGTTGCAACTAAAGCTCAAGGAAATTGATATAAAGGGAACTGCAAGCTAAGCATAAATTTAATGCCGCGATGCAACAATAACAAATAAAAAGTGTTTATGCGACAGAGCGGAAGGGCAAAAAAGATAGAGGCAGAGCTAAGGAATTTACAGGGTAATGTAAATTTAAAATTCTAACGTAAAAAATGTATAAAACTATAAGAGTACACTTTAAATTAGCTTTAACACTTGGCTTAAACATGTTTAGTTAAATTAATGGCTTCAGATGCCGGTGCTACAATAACAAAAAATAAAAGATGTTTATGCAGCAGAGAAAAAAAGAGAGCCGAAAGACATTACAGGGTGCTGCAAGTTTAAAGACTAGACCGAAAAAAAAAAGTATTATACAAGATGTTATAATGTATACTAACAAACTTGTTAGTAATATCCTTAAAACTTGGTTTAAATATTTATATTTCCGTTTTTAAAAATGGATAGCACAGGTGGTTGCGTGTGTGAACTTAATTCGCACCTGGCAATGCCAGTCGCAATGTTTTTGTTTTGAAAAGCTCTCGCCTGCCCACTCCCACTGCCGTCCCAGCCGCTCCTTCCCCCTTTCTTGCTCTCTCAGCATCAGAGAGCGCGCAGTTTTCGCTCTTTGACTGTTTTTGTTTGTTTTTTCTGCGTGCCAGTGTGTTTTCCTTTTTATTTTTTTTGTTTCTGCTTCTCGCTGCAATTTGCCGACCGCACTTCAACACACACACACATACATGGACGTTTTCTATATACATATATGTACCATGAGCGTACGAAAAATATCAGGCCGGGCGGTTTGAGTTTGGCCGCTTTCAGGTACATATATAGGTGTATATATATAAAAAGTACAGCAGTGTGCGTGGGTTCTACGTAATTCAATTTCCTTCGCTTCCTTTTTAGGGGGGTGGTGGGTATCATATGGTGGGGGTGGTATCTTAGGGGGCGCCTTTATAAAGTGGGGACGTTATTATAGGCGGTATTATTACCTACCAACTGAAAGACCTATCTCATCCGCGATTTGCGTCCACACCTTCAGCTTGACTTCGACGTTCTTGTAATCCGGATTGTGGTTGTTATAAACCACATCGTACTTCTTGACGATCTCGATGAAATCGGAGGTGTTATCTGATGTAGTCGAGGACTCGCTGATTGCGCGCGCCACTTTCACATCCTTCATGCTAACGGGGCTTTTACTAACGGTTCCTTATTTTTCGGGAGCCTTTTGCTAACAGTACACGGAGAGAGTAAGAGAGCAAGAGCGGACGAGAGAGAGCGAGCGAAAAACTGGCAAACCGTCCGACTACCGTTCTGTGTGCGACCGCTCCGGCAAACGTTGGACACTTGAATGAAACGACGACGACGACGACGCCGCCGACAACGAGCTGCATGCACACACAAGTACGCTCCCCACTCCACCGCTCCCCCTGCGCCGCCCCTGCCCCGCCCCCTCGGCACACCCCGCCCCCAACCTCCCGCCGCGCGCACACTCACACAAACACACCCGAACCAACAACAACAACGAAAGCGGGGCCCCAACAACAAGCGTACGTCGTTGGAGGACGTGTAAAGAAGAACAAGAACAAGAACAGGCAAGCTCAATCATGATGAAAGAGAGAGTGGGGAGGGGGGGGGACCGCTCCAGCGTTAACCGCCCACCAGGCAAAAACAACAACAAAAAACCCAACCAGAGGGCTAGTTGCACTAGTGTTTTGTATGTATGTAATATACATATGTATATGTCTGTGGGTTGGATACAAAAACCAAGCGCGACAAAATTGCGATGCTGCCCGCACTTTGTGGCAGTCGAAAATCTGCTACAGATGCTGCTTAAATGCATTTTAAAATGCAGAAGAAGACGAAACTGTTGATTATCACGTCCTACCCAAGCCAAGTTCAAGGTCATAAGCAAGGAAATATCGAAAGGATATCGATAGAAAGTCGTGGGGGAAAGGAGGGAGAGAGAGCTTAAAGAGAAAAAGAGAGTGATCTCCGCTTATCCTTATCAATTTTACTCAAGAGAGCTTTTTTTTGGTATCGCTTGGAAAGCATCTCCTAAGAGAGCTTGAGGATAAGAAAGAGGGGAAAGTGTTTTCTTAGAGGGGGGTAGGGAGGACAGTAGTATGAAAAAGACAGAAGGCGAGCTAACCCAAGGGCGTAACTGAAGTACATTAAAGAGGGGAATAATATTAATATTTCTTTAAAAATTTGTGGTTAACATTGATTTTTCGATCCCTTAGTTAGGATGGTTCAAACATTTTTTTGGGTGTTTTGTATGTTTAGTGAACGATTTAAATAATAAAGTCTGTGTTAGGGCGTGACGTACATACATACTTGTATTTTCTTTTATTTTTAAATTTGTTTAAAGAATGAAATGATTTTACGATGATATTTATTGTTTCTATCCATGTTATGGAGGAACTATCTTTAGTTCAATCCCCTCCCTCACCCCCTGTTTTGGATCCGCTTCTGGCCCAGCCAAGTGGCTCCATCGATCCGTCTCTTTCTGCCCCCTCTTGCGCCCCATCGTCTTCCTCTTCTTCTTTCGCTGCTGCTGCGACTCTGGTTTTGTTGTTGCGAACCTACGACCAGTTAACTTACCTACCGCTTTGGCTCCTTCCAAACTAACACACATACATATAGACTCTGGCGAATATTTAGCCAGGCGCCTCTACATCACTATGTGTGTGTGTGTGTTTGTGCGCTTTGGCTGCGTGTGTACGTTTGTATCTCTTCAGCTTGTGCGGGTTTTTTGTTGCTTTTATTATAAGTATTTTTTCGCTTTTCTCTCGTCTCGTCTCGCCTCGTCTCTCTCCCTCTCTCTGCCTTGCCTGCCCCCTCCAGTTGGCCCGCCCCCACTCACAGTTCGCAGCAGCGACGTCTCTGTGCCCTCTCTCCCTCCCTCTCACTCTTTTGGCACAAAGTCCTGGCGGCCGGCTTCCCCCTCTTCCCCTCTCTTTCGCACCCACAGCTCCCGGTTTGCCAGTTCCAAACATCATCATCATCATTTGCCAGCGAGCGACATCATCATCATTATCATCAACAGCCAGCCCCCAAACAGCAGTAGCAACAACAACAAAAGCAGCAGCAGCATTTCGTGGAAGGTAGCGGGGGCCTGGTGAAGGGGGGTTGTGGGTCGCTGGGCGTTTTGGCGTTCGACGTCGAAGGCCTGTGTCTGTGTCTATGTATGGGTGTGTGTGGGCCGTTCGTTGCCTGTATGTGTGTGTATGTTGTGTAGCTGTGCCGCAAAAAGAGTGTGGGGTTGGGGGAGGGGGGCAGATGGCGGAGGGGGTTGCCTGGAAGGGGGCGGGCTGTGGTCTATGCCAGGCAAGCTGGAACGGAGCGGTGGGAAAGGGGAGGAGGGTGAGAAGAGCGGGGGAGAGCGGCCTACCGCCGCTGGTGGAGCTGTGTTGTTGTAGCTGCTGTGCTGTTCGATGTTGTTATTGTTGTTGTATCTGACGTTGTTGTTGCCTTTTGCAAATCGATAAACGATGTCCGGACTGCGGAGTAGGCGAACGCTTTGCGTGTGCACATACATGTACGGGACGCCTATATATGTATATAAAAACCATATATTATATATACAAAATCATTGGTGTGCGTGTACATAATGTAGGCGATTTTTATATGATACACCGCCTAACGGAGTTTTGATGCAATCTGCAGCAACTAGTACATATTTACTTACGTGTGCACCCACCTTTTGACCCCGGTAACTATTTTGTATTTCGTGTTGACCCAACCATTTGGCATATTTGCCACATTGATTAACTCTCAAATTTAGGTTTCCCGAAGGCACAACTTAAAGCATGCGTTTATTTAGATTGTATTAGTACCATATTTACATACTCATCCATCATTTCATTTTCAACTGATCCACACTTGAAAGCTAAAGCTCTAAAATTTAAAAGTACTAAATCATTGTTCTCTACTTGGTTCGATGGATTATTTTATCCGGGTACAATACCAAATTTTCTAATCTAAGTCCCAACATTCTCTAAAACATAATATAAAAAATGAAATATACATTTTTTTTTAATTTTTCGACTCTATATACTTACTATAATTTCACGCGTTTATTACAAAGGAACCGAACGAAAACCAAAACGCCAAATATGAGTTCCACTTTTGAACAACATTTGCTAGAGATATCCGCCGAACTTTACGCCCCATCGGATAATTCTGATTTCGCCGTCGTCCGTGATTTTATAATAGATATAGTAAAGGATAATAAATTGCTGACTTCAACATGCAAGGTAGAACCGTTAGAGTTTGGTGAGTAATATAACCATATACCGGGAATAGTGGTGTAACAATCATAAACTTTAAACTATGAAATATTGTTTCTTCTAAATTATGCTGTGCTTTGTAGGCAGTCGTGCTTTGGGAATCCACAAATACGAAAGCGATTACGACGTAATGTTGGTGCTTGAATTTCCGTATTTCGAAGATATATTTGTGCGGACAGATCAACATCGGCCGGGGATGGTGCACTTGGACTTCAAAGATTTGCCCTTTAACACTTTAACAGCGGACGCTCTGCTGGATAACCGCTGTTATCTCAAGCGTGAAGGGGTGCAAACTTGGATGCAGGGCATCCTGATGAATGTCGTGGGTCGCCAGGTGAGAGGCAAGTCATGGGAATATTACCGACTACGTTACCACCGCGGACCCAATTGTCACACTATCATCGCGGAATCAGAAACTCGCGTGTTCTCTATTGACTTTGTGCCGGCCATAAAGATCCATTTCGATGATTCCGACTGGCAGGCCATTCCAAAGTGGGCGGCAGGTCCGAAGCGCTCAGACGGTAACACCTTTTTAGTGAGCGCCATTGAAGACGAAATATATCGCTTTGAACTGGGTGGTTCGGTTATCAGAAACGCCGTAGTGTTACTGAAGGCGCTATGCGAGGCCAAGAACCTCCCCAAGATTCGTAACTACCATTTGGTTTCCACGGCCATCCGTCTTATCGAGAGAGATGATTTCGATGATTCTTCGTTGGAATATGTCTTTTTGGATGTACGTATTTCTACACACAAAAAAATCATGAAAGTTCAGTTTTAAAATGTCTTGACCAAGATAATAATGCCTTAAATCAGAATCAGTTAAATAATGTAAATTTAGTAAATCAAAATCAAATATGAGTAACCCAGCTCTGTTTATGCAGCTTCTCTACGATCTGATCGATGCCCTGGAGGATAATGACCTTTCGTACATCAGCTATGGTGATCTGAATCTGCTTACAAACTTTAAACCACACCAGGTCCTTGAATACGTATCTGTTTTGGACAGTGTGTATAGCACCCTCAAAACTTATCCGTACCAATACAACCTTTCCTATGAGCGATGCAGCTGGCACTTTTTTGGAAACGATGAAGATGACTACGACTACTAGGGTTTGTCAGCCTATTTATAATTTGTTTCAATATTTTTGATAATTTTCTATGCTCTTACAACTATTTTTCTTTTCCGAATATGCACAATTTTCTTTTATAACTTAGAATAATGTAAGCTTGCCAATAATTGGTCAGATTTAATAAAAATGTATCACGCAAAAAAAAATCACAAATCTTTTTTAATCCCCTATGTAAATGTATGATTTATAATCAACCTTTTTATAGAAATATCTTACTTGTTTTAAATGAAGTGAATTTCCATTGAATTTAATATTATTTTGAGCTATAAAGCACGATAATTAAAAATGCAAAGGTACTAATACCCATTGATTATATTTATTGCTTTCTTGTTAATCAATGTGTGTTGTTGTGTGGTAAGCGATTTATACTATAATCCTTTTAATCCATGTAAGTAATGGGGCCCATTGGTCCAAAAATGTCCACATCCCTTCCCGGTGGCAGCTGGCGCTCCTTGATCTGCTGCTGCTGGAATAAAAGCTGCACCAGGATAATTACATAGTTGGCCATGCCGTTGTACACCTGCCAAAATGAGTCAGAGAAAGATTAGAGTGGTATGACCTTGGGTCAAGTGTTTACCCACCAGGTAAATGGTGGAAACATTAAGTACTGATGTGCTGCCGACCAGAGCCGCCTGTCGATTGTGCATGCGCCAGTGCTGGAAATCCTCCGTCTGCCGGCGGGCCACATCCTGGCCAGGAAAGTATCTCGAATAGTTGCTCAGCAAATGCATGCAGTTGCGCTTCTACAGGGGAATAAGACGCTCTTAATCAATGTAAAAATTGCCCAAGGTTGCCCCACCTCCCGCTGCAGCAAATACCCGTAGGTGCTAGTGATTATCACCTTGTAGGTGTGTATAACCACGTGGAGCAGCATGAATACGTACTCCAGATCCCAGGACATCCTGTCCAGCAGCTTCTGGCAGATGACGTACACGAAGCAGGTCATGATGGTAAAGTCGTAGAAGAGGCCAGCAGCGGCTGCAAATCCAAACACTCCATTCAGCTCCGCCAAAAGAAAAGAGCAACGCTTGGCAAAGTCGAACAATTGGGCAATCCGCTCGTGAACCTCTGGACTCTGTTCCCCTTGGTAAAGTTGCTGGAGCAGCTGCTGAACCAATCGCAGGCGCACCCGCAGAAAGTCCATGATGCCTATATGTACAAAGCCCACCAATCCCACGGAACTGGTCAGTAGGGTGTAGGTAAATGCCATCAGCAAGGTGGATGGAATGCCGCAGGTGCAACGCGCCGTATCGAATATCAGGGAGATGGAGAAGGAGAAAAAGCAAAAGCCGACGATTACAGTGCCATACCAATATTTCAATCGAGAGCGTTGATAGTTCCACTTAACATGTGGAAACACCTCCACGACAGACAGATCGAACTGCTGCATGCTGGCGAGGAGTCGCAGGTGCCTGCTCCTCTGACTGTCCAGCGACAGGCAGTACTCCGCGTAGGTGACCGAGCAGCTGAGACACTCCCAACTGAAGATCGCCTTGACTAGCGGGCTAAGATGTCCAAACATGGCGGCTGCCATCTCGGGATCCCTCAGCTTCACCATCACACTGCCCATGAAGCAGTTCAGTAAGAAAAAGCGCGCCAACAGGGCATAAATCACCGTCCACCTGGTTGAAACAGCTCCTCCTTGACTCGGACTCCTCACCCGGATCGTGATCAATCCCCAGTAGAGCAGCAGGCTGTACAAATTGCCGTAACAGTAAACAAAACCATCGTCTCGCTGCATTGTCTTAGGAACCTGAATTTGGACTGGCCAGAGCCGTACAGAGCTATTTATTCCCTCGCAGGGGTTAATGATTATTGATTACACATAGATATGATCGGACTAATTGAATACATCGTTTTGGCCGCCCCTACATGTCTGGTTGTTTTACACATTGAAACACATCCTTAAACAAAAGTGAACTGGCGTGCTTTACTGCGGGAATTTGAATTGGCGGTGGTGTTGTTGGCGGAGCTGTTTGAGTTTGGTGCGGTGCGTCGCAGCGCCTTCTGCAGGACGTGGGCGTCCGCGGGCTCGATGCGCTTATAGTACTGCTCCTTGGTGTCGACGATCTCAAAGCCAAACTTCTTATAGAACTCGATGGCTCCATCGTTGTTGATTTGCACGTGCCTAAAATGATTGTTTAAAGTAAGAACAAGTTAGATAAGCCAAATAATAATTAAGGACAAGAAAAAAATTACGCAGGGGTATCTTCTTATAAATATATATATATCTAGTATAGCTATATATATATCTAGTTAATACAGATAGATCAAATTCGAAATGATGTTATCTTACAGAGATTTTTTCAATGTTAAAGGCGAAATAAATTTTCAACTATTAAGTCCAAAAAAGTTTAAAGAGTGCAAAGGGTATTGAGAATAAGATAAATTAGACAACTATAGAATTATGTTTTCTAGACAAAAGTAAATATATAAAAAAAAGAAGGCATGTCTGGACTAAATCAAGAAAAGACTTTCGTATCTGCGAAAAACAAACAAAAATTGCTTCCTTGGCCTTTCCAACTTATTATGGTAGTTTTCTCACAGAAAAATGCTGTCAAAGTTTCCGTCCTTCTCGGCGAAGTTCATGATGTGCTCGAACATGACGGTTCCGATGCCCAGACGACGGTACGGGGAGAGGCATCCCAGAGTCATGATGTACAGCCGCCGTTGGTTTTCGGTGGTGTCGATGCGACAGCAAACGGCGCCAACCACAATGTCGTTGTAGTAGGCCAACTTGGCCAGTTCGCCGGCCTCCAGGACATCCACGTAGAACTTGTCGTTGTAGGAGACCGGAAAGACCACGGTGTTGAGCTTCTTAAGCTGCTTGATGTTGTGCGGCGTCACATCGCCCAATTCGATACTGTTCCTGCGAGGGGTTGAGGGTGGAGAAGAGGGTTAGTACATTCGACAAAAGCGGCACTTTTAGGTTATGATTCTGGCACAGCTTCTGCGGTCACAATAACCCAGTTGGACGCAGTGCATCTTCACTCACCTGGTCATGGTGGTCGTTTAGTAATTTAAGCTTTATCAACGCGCCTTGCGCCTCGAAATTCTAATAGAAAAATGTGTTTTAAGCGCCACAGCTGTTCTGAATGTCGAGGTTGTAGCCCGCCAGTTATCGTTATCGATTGCAGCCGCGGACCGCAGTGATGCTTGAATAGGTATTTTTCTTTGGCAAATAGCTAACTTGTTTAATAAGTTAAAAACCTAACAATGTTTAGAAACACAATAAATGTTTCTTCATCTATTATCTGAAGGCATTTAGATAGCATACTTTGATTTTGCCATATCATTTTTATAATTTATAATGATCTAATTCGAATAATTACTATAAAAAGGTCTTTGAACTGATGGTTTAGAGCTTTGTTATTATTTTTATATTATGTTTACAATTTTATAAGCTTATAAAATATAGTATGATTTAATGTGTTTTTTTTATTCCTATAATAAATATATTAAAAATAACTTGTTTTATGTCTAACATTACCGACATTGTCTTGACTTGTGTCATAATTAAAGGTTAATTACTTATAGTACCAGGAAGATAAGTTTTGTCAAGGTATAACATATTTTAAAAATATTTTTTTAATTGAAATTAATGAACACAAGGTAAGACTTATAATTATATATTTGGTTTTAAGCTACACCCCTCTATGATTATTTAATAGATTCAAGAATGTCGGGTTTTTGTTAAACTGGTTAATTCTAGCTACATTTTTTTTTGAAACGATGCCCTCCACTTCTGATAAGCCACCAACGCAATAATGAGTAATCACCTACCGCGATTTGCTATTGAAAAAGAAACAAACAGCGGCTATTTAATTTCTCCGTGAAAATCCATCGTTTTCGAGTGAAAAATGAATCCAAACATGAACATGATGCCCATGTCCGGTCCACAGATGATGCAGGTAATGCAGTCGTCACCGTCAGGACCCCCAGGTCCTGTACCCGTGCAACACCAGCAGCAACAACAGCCGCAACCGCTACAGCAGCAGCAGCAGGCCGAAAAACTGGACAACATATCCAGGGTGAAGAGTTTGTTGGGACCTTTAAGGGAATCCATGTTTCTTACTATCAGATCCAGTGCCTTCACCTTGCAGCAGAATAATCTAGCGGATAACCTGAAAAGGGACACAGGAGCGCATCATGTTCCACGATTCGACAAACACTTGGAGGATTTCTACGCCTGCTGTGATCAAATTGAGATTCATTTGAAAACGGCCATGCAGTGCCTCCAGCAGCAAAACTCCTCAAATCATTATCTCCCCGGTCCGGTGACCCCAATGCGTATGGAGACCTTCATGCCGGATAACGCAGGACCCATTCCATATCCCACATACTTGAACACCGTCCGGGTTCACGTCCAATCGGCGAAGGATATCCACGATACCCTCATTAGCGCCGCACAAAACATTTCACAGGCTGATTGATAGTTGTAGTCGATTAGGTCTTATAATTTAACAAATCTAGGCTTAAGTTTATTAATAAATAGTACTGATATTAAGAAAACCATGTTATTTTCTTTGTGAAAATGTACTTTTTGTTATATGGGAGTGGTGTGACCATTGTACAAAGAAAGATTTTATTGCAAAAATAAGCGAGGTAAAAAAGATTCTTTAAAATATATTTTTGGCAGTTCTGGACATAAAAACTTAACTTATCGAATCCAAAAATTATTATTTTTATACCCATTACAATTCAGTTACAAATTAGTTCGACTTTGATTTAATTTATTCGGTTAGTCCATAAATTTAAATATCTTATTATTGTTCTCTTTAATATTTAAATATTTTTCCAATTCAGCCCACCAAAAAAATACTGTGTACAGTGTGAACACCCGGTAGCAGCTCCGACAGTGAGAACATACTAACAACTTTCGATAGGCAGCTGTCGGACGTGTCACAATTAGAACGCAAAAGCAAAACAGCGGTGCCGCGCATTTATTAACAATAAAAGAAGAGGTAAGTCCTCGAAACGTTCTGCACCATTATTAAAGCGTATTAAGTATACTTTTCCTAAACCTATAGCTTTATAATCCATAGACAATGGCTGATGAACAACCCAATCTTGTTGCTGGACACCCACCTGCATGTAAGTGCACTTGCATTAGTGTGTGTGTGTGCAGGCATGTTTTTGTTTTTCGACAATAATTCCATAAGAAATCTACGTACTGCCCTGCTGGCAATTAATAATGCTCCCAATCCTATCAATTGCCACAATATCTACGGCCTTATCAGTATTTTAACCTGTTTCGTCAAATGCTGATAAGTAAACAAACAACCCGCACACACAAACACACATGCAAAGACATTGCTTCCAAAAATATATTTCTTACTTTGTGCTGACGTCAGATGCACAGCGACTTATAAATATTTAAGAAAATTGGTATACCCTTACAAAAGTTCTATGTGAATCACTCACTCAGCTTAAAATCTAAAACTATGCAATTTATTTAAATTGAATGCATTTTTTCTATAGCTGGCATCAACGAATCTGTCACATTGACCTTTAGGTTTTGGCACTTTTTCGCCCAGTGTAAAAGCTATTAACTGAAATCATTTCCAATCGAATTGTTTAACTTAGAACATTTTGAGAATGAAAAGACTATATCCTTCAGTTGCAATATAAAGTATTAAGCTCCGTTGGCTTGCCAAAGTAAATTTTATTTTTAACGTTTTTTTTTTAAATTTTTAGTGAAGGCAGGCGGTAAGAGAATTGTACAGCACAAGACACCCAATGCTGAACGTGCGCCGAAGGATGCCGAGGACTGCACTGGGCTTACGGTTAGTCCTGGTCATAATTATTTTGGATGAATCAAATAATAATTATTTTCTTTTACTCTCAGCAACCCATTGCCGTGAACTCGGGATCGGTGAGCGGTGCCCTCGTTAAGGGTAACACGGACTTTACGCCCGCCTCCGCTCAGGTGGCCCACTCGCCCAAGCCCCCAGTTGCTGTGCAGCATAAGCCCCAGAACCACATCCAGCAGCCACGCAAGTGATAAGGACTCCGGTCGGCCAACTATTATCATTATCCTAACTTTTTGATCTTTTGTTAAAATTCTATAAGTCCTCAATGGTATTGAAGTCGTCTATGAAAGCGATATTTACTTTATATGCATTTCCTACTGCATTCCATAAATGAATTATGCTGATTCTCTGAGTTAATATTTTTAATAAACTTTATCCCTTTTTATAGAAATAAAAAGTTTGGTTGCTGGGTGACCTATGATAAACTAGAGCTATCTCAGGGTGTATAATAAATTTTTGTAAAAAATTTATAAAAACGATATAATGAACTATATATCCTAACAACTTTTAAGCTATTATCCATGTTGAGTTATGTAGACTAATTGAAAAACTAAAGGTTGTTATTAAACAGATAATATACCAAATTTAGATTCTTACCACTTTCAATATCTATCTAAAGTTATCTAAACTGTTCATAGAAAACTAATTAGAAGTTGCTTTTAAAACGCCATTATAATTCCCAAGTGTTATTTCTGCTCATCGAACATATAAATGGGAACACTTTTATGAAAATTGGTGCCCAACTGAGCTTCGGTGGTCCGGGGTGCGGACTTCAAATCCGTAGTCGATTAGCGTCGAAGTGGTTCGATTCCACCTGGTGGGCGAATAATGGAGTAGCTTATTAAATTTTATTTTGAAACATGCTTTTTATTTTAAAAGAGCCCATTAAATAGCATTGGCTGCCTTGATTATCCAGGGGCGCAGAACGGCGACATCCACATAGACACCGGGGTAGTTATCGTCCGCACACCGGTAGCCCCATGATACAATGCCGACCAGCTGGCTATTGGCCACCAAAGGACCTCCAGAGTCGCCTGTACAGGCATCCGCATCAGTGTTGGCGGCACAAATGGTTTCCTCGCCCACAAAATCCGCACCATAGCCGTACTTCTCCGAGGCACAATCTCCACGATTAATGATCTGCAGCTGGGCCTTCTGAAGTGATTCAGCAAAGGCTCCATTCTCGGTGTAGCCCCAACCAGTGACAGTGACCGTTGATCCACTCAAAGGACTCTCATTAGCCAAATTTATGGCTCTGGTCGAGAGGCTAAAGGTCAGTGGAGTGGAGAGACGGAGCACAGCAATGTCATAGTGCAGGAAACGGGAATCAAATTGTTCATGGACCTTGTACGCCGCCACCGGAACCAATGTTCCGCCGTAATTATGATTTTGTGCTCCCACACGCACCTTCATCAGGGTTACGGATTTCTCGTGCAGACAGTTTCCGGCCGTGAGTACGATTTCCTTGCTGAAGATGACTCCGCCGCACACGTGGCGCGCACTAATCTGAATGGAGACCTGCCATGGGGCATTACGGATAACCTGGTCACTTCCACCCACTATCCGCCCATTGGTCTCCACATCTGCTGCAACTCCGAGGAGGAAAAATACCAGCACAGCTCCAACTATCCAGTATGCAGACATTCCGAAAGCCAAGTGCAAACTGCTCGTAGCTGTTCATGAAACACCTTCATGACGGAACTATTCGCACGGCAGTAAAAGTTAATCGCTGGGTAATAGGAGCTTATCGCAGGTATTACTGATACCTTCGAGTAGCTTTGGGTCGCTCAGCAGTTTACCCACTCTTCTTGTTCGATAGGAAATCCAGTTACCCAGGCAACCTTTCACAAACAAACTTAATTTTGAGTAGCAAAAATCCAAAACAACGTTCACAATCGAGGACAGCAACATGGAGGACTGGAAGATAACGCCGGACGAGCTTATCCGGCTGCGGGAAAGCTGTCTTCAGTGCATCCGGGATGGAGAACTCTACGAGCTGCGCAACGATGCCAAACTAAGGGCTGTTTATAGTACCCAAACCTACGAGGAATTCAAGTAAGTACAAAAAACACAAAACCTGAAATTTTTTATTACACAAATGATATTAGGGATATAGTGGATGCCGCTCATCTTCGTCCAGTGACCAGAAGTGACAAGGCTAATGCCCAGACTAAGAACCGACTATGGAACTCAACCGCCCGTGATTGATCGATTCCCAAATAAAAAAGAGAGCTCAGAGGTATAATCAGCAAATTCGTTTTATTTCGCAAGGTTCTTAGGCGTTGTTGACCACCCAGGAGCGGAGGTCAGCCACGCTGGAGTAGACTCCGGGGTAGTTGGCGTAAGCGCATCCGTATCCCCAGGACACAACACCGACAAGGAGTCCACCGGAGACCAGAGGGCCACCGGAGTCACCCTGGCAGGCATCCTTACCACTGGAAGCGGCGCAGATCATGGTGTTCCTGATCTCACTTCCGTATCCGTAGGTGGACGAAGAGCACACGGACTGGCTGACGATGTTCACGTTGACGTACTGCAGCTGGGAGGGGATGGAGCTGGATCCGTAGGACTGGGTACCCCATCCGGAGACGGAGGCAGAAGCACCGTTGGCAGGGTTGGAGCTAGCCAGACCGATGGCCTTGATGGAGGAGCTGAAGCTCAGGGAGCCGCTCAGCCTGATGATGGCGATGTCGTTGACCATGGTGTTGGCGTTGTAGCCCTCGTGGTTGAGGAAGGAGGCGACCTTGAGGACGGTGCCGCCGGAGCTCCAGTAGCTGGATCCAGCGCGGATCTGGAGGGAGGAGGCGGACACGGACTGCAGGCAGTGAGCGGCGGTCACGATGATGTTAGCAGAGTAGATGGATCCACCGCAGGAGTGGCTTCCACTGCGCTGCAGGGAGATCTGCCAGGGGAAGCTGGTGATGGTGGTGGCGGTACCTCCAACGATACGGCCATCCAGCTGGGGCAGGAGTCCCTCAGGGACGGTGCCACCCAGGGCGCAGACAACAGCAGACAACAAGATCACGAACTTCAGCATGGTGCGAATCCAATGAGTTGCCTTCCCAATTGGACACCCCTTTTATAAGGGGTTCCTATCTTCCCGTTGCGCATTAATCAGAATTTTCAATTATTTTTATCACTTTCGTGTCAGGAAAACCCAAAATAATCCGTTGAAGTGACCGCCCGATAAGTCTTCCACTCCAAAGTCTCGCATTTTTTATGTACAAAAACAAAAGAAAATATATATACAATGTATATTCCGGCGATCCAGCAAGGATTATTTTATGGATTTATTAGTTTAGAAAAATGTTTTCTGTCATTTCCAAAAACAATTTGTAACCATTAACCTTTTATTCTTAAAGCGCGCTATCAAGTGTATCAGGTATGCCCGATTTTAGATACCAGCTAGATAAAGTTATTTCCTTCCTTTGAATGACGTTGAAAAATTGGAATCACTCACCTTTAACATAACTATGTGTATATAGAAAAACGTGAGTACGTCAATTCATGGCAATCGTATTTTGCAAGGCAACTTCACGTTGACTAAAATGACTGATGGGTTGATAATATTGATAAGCGGTATCTTCCAAAATCATTTATAAGTGGACAATTTCGAGAGGCTTTCTTATTTAATTTGAGTTTTTATCAATCTAAAATCGAAGTATTTAATCATTTCCCGGTCTTATAAAAAAACTGCATAAATGCGATAAAAATGATTTTGTGAAATAACTTTATGCAAATCCGATTTTCGAAAATCATTAAAGTGACTAAAGATTTTAGAGAATTAAGCCACAATCATTTAGAAGTAAGCAATTTTGAAATCGGATATCTGTAAGAAAAGTTATGAGCTTAGAAGTGCAGGTTTTGGGTCACTTTTCTGCAAAGCAATTTTTTTGGAAATTTGGAAAGGGGTAACTCAATTAAAATGACGAAAAATCGACCCCAAAATACAAACCGATTTGAAAACGCAGATTTTTAGAGAATTAAACCACAATCATTTAGAAGTAAATAACTTTAAAATCGGATGTCTGCAAGAAAAGTTATGAGCTTAGAAGTGTAGGTTTTTGGTCACTTTTCTCCAAACCCATTTTTCAAAAATTTGGAAAGGGGTTAGCTCATAAAAATGACGAAAAATCGACCCAAAAATACAAACCAATATGAGTATACAGCTTTTTGGAGAATTAAACCACAATCATTTAGAAATATGCCACTTTGAAATCAGATGTCTGTAAGAAAAGTTATGAGCTTAGAAGTGCAGGTTTTTGGTGACTTTTCAGAAAAGACATTTTTCTAAAATTTGGAAACAAGTTAGCTCATAAAAATGACTAAAAATCGACCCAAAAATACAAACCAAAATGAGTATACAGATTTTTTTTTCATTTATAGGTATGCCACTTTGAAATCGGATGTCTGTAAGAAAAGTTATGGGCTTAGAAGTGCATGTTATTGGTCACTTTTCAGCAAAGCCATTTTTCGAAAATTTGGAAAGGGGGAACACCATTAAAACGACGAAAAATCGACCCAAAAATACAAACCAAGATGAGTACACAGATTTTTAGAGGATTAACTCACAATCATTTAGAAAAATGCCACATTGGAATAGGATGTCTGTAAGAAAAGTTATGGGCTTAGAAGTGCAGGTTTTTGGTCACTTTTCAGCAAAGCCATTTTCCAAAAATTTTGAAAGGGGTAACACCATTAAAATGACGAAAAATCTACCAAAAATATAATTTGGTAATAGATGCAACCGAAAAAAACTAACTGAACTATAAAAGCAAGAAGAAAAACAAAGAGTTGAGTTATAATCAGCAATTTCGTTTTATTTCGCAAGGTTCTTAGGCGTTGTTGACCACCCAGGAGCGGAGGTCAGCCACGCTGGAGTAGACTCCGGGGTAGTTGGCGTAAGCGCATCCGTATCCCCAGGACACAACACCGACAAGGAGTCCACCGGAGACCAGAGGGCCACCGGAGTCACCCTGGCAGGCATCCTTACCACTGGAAGCGGCGCAAATCATGGTGTTCCTGATCTCACTTCCGTATCCGTAGGTGGAGGAAGAGCACACGGACTGGCTGACGATGTTCACGTTGACGTACTGCAGCTGGGAGGGGAGGGAGCTGGATCCGTAGGACTGGGTGCCCCATCCGGAGACGGAGGCAGAAGCACCGTTGGCAGGGTTGGAGCTAGCCAGACCGATGGCCTTGATGGAGGAGCTGAAGCTCAGGGAGCCGCTCAGCCTGACGATGGCGATGTCGTTGACCATGGTGTTGGCGTTGTAGCCCTCGTGGTTGAGGAAGGAGGCGACCTTGAGGACGGTGCCGCCGGAGCTCCAGTAGCTGGATCCAGCGCGGATCTGGAGGGAGGAGGCGGACACGGACTGCAGGCAGTGAGCGGCGGTCACGATGATGTTGGCAGAGTAGATGGATCCACCGCAGGAGTGGCTTCCACTGCGCTGCAGGGAGATCTGCCAGGGGAAGCTGGTGATGGTGGTGGCGGTACCTCCGACGATACGGCCATCCAGCTGGGGCAGGAGTCCCTCAGGGATGGTGCCACCCAGGGCGCAGGCAACGGCAGACAACAAGATCACGAACTTCAGCATGGTGAGAATCCAATGAGTTGCCTTCCCAAATGGACACCCCTTTTATAAAGGGTTCCTATCTTCAAGTTGGGCATTAATCAGAATTTTCAATTATTTTTATCACTGTCGTGTCAGGAAAACCCAAACTAAGTGCGTCGAAGTGACCAGCAGATAAGTCCACCAATTCAAACTCCAAACATGCAAAGGCAAATTTTATATATATATTTATTTATTTAACAGCAGGAAATAAATTAGTAGCTGTAAGATCTTAAGATCATTTAAACTCGTAAGGTCCGTATTTTTAGTTTGGCTGGACAGTTGTCTATGTTTAATAATCACACTCATTCCATTATCTACCTTTAAATATTAATAACCATTTACTTTTCCTTTAAAAGTATGCCATTATTTGTATCAGTTAGTTTTCTATTGCATACTTTTATATACCTGTATTTATTTTTTTGAATCCCTGCAGTTCACAGGTAAACGCCAAAAAATGTAGGAGCTTTGGGATTACTCACCTACCTACGTTTAATAGCCATTTCCTCGGAAAACGATATATTAAGATAAGGTATCTCTTGTGAGATCCCCAATAAGTGGACGATTATTTGGGGCTTTGTCATTAAACTTGACCCTATTCCAATCTCATCAGCAGTATTTCTTCGTTAAATGACATAAAGTGGAGTTTATTGATCTAAATAAATTGTATTTAATTGTTATTATCAGATTAACTAGATATTTCATATTATGTGCAATTTGTTAGTACTTTTTACCTGAATATGTATTAAGTACCTCATTATTATATGAATTAATGTTCAATATTTTGAGATTTTGGAACATTAACATTTTATTTTAAAATCTGAAGTATGTCAAACTCGGGCTGTTGCAACTAGAGCATGATGCTAGTTTAGTATGTCATGAAGACATATTTGTTAAGATTCATGATATTTATAGTTTTTAAAGTTATAAAATATGTTTAACAAAATAGGTAATAGTTAAAAATACAACCACTTAGCCATGACTTTGGCCGATAATGGATTTTTTTAGATTGGGGAGCGAAATCTTTTGAACTGACCATTGAAATCAAATGAGCTTTTAGCGGCATTACGCCTCACATTCTTTCGAGTTGTGTGCTTATCTTGACAGTTAGATGTTTTTATAGTTTTTTGCCTAACTCAAGCCAAGGCTGCCATCAGAACACTTTATTTAAATTAATTTTCTTAAAAGTGGTCAGTTTTTGAGGAGATTTGAATATCAATTTAGATATTTTGAATAGAAATTTGTTGAGCCCCAATTCTACAGTTTATTTATATAAGGGCTTCCTTTTATAATCCCATTAATTCTTTACATAATCTCATAAATTTACTCTTCGAGTAAAATAGAAAATGAATTGCTCAATTATTTTATCTTCGGTCAAAATAATTTATTATTCTCAGATTCTTGAACGTTGTTATTGTTATGTATAAGCGTGCCCACATGATTACTTATCAATAACTATTTCTTATTAAATTCGCGAAATCTATAAGAAAATAAATATTTGCCGGTCTTTTTAATTGGATTTTTTGTGGTTTTTCTGATACGAAACTGATAACATTAATTAAAGGTTTTGATTAATTTCGTTTATATTGTTGTGATTAATCTAAACTTTCACTTCAAGTAAAACAAGATGAACCACATCAAACAAAAAATGGAGATAGTTTTTATAGCCATACCATCAAAAAGTCGTCTAATACCTTCATGAAATCGTTTAATCCAATCGTAGCTTTGCAACGGCATAGAATCTTTTATTACTTTATACTTGTTTCATAAATTGTCCTACGAAGTTTAAAAGAAGAGTTTTATGTCGCACAAGGATACTGTGATATAGAATATTTTTTAACCCAAAACCGGAATTCCCAAGAATAAAGTCCATCAAATACTGTTCATTATTGATTTTATTCGCAAAATGCTTAGGCGTTGTTGATCACCCAGGAGCGGAGGTCAGCCACGCTGGCGTAGACACCGGGGTAGTTGCTAAGAGCGCATCCGTATCCCCAGGAGACAACACCGACAAGGACTCCACCGGAGACCAGAGGGCCACCGGAGTCACCCTGGCAGGCATCCTTACCACTGGAAGCGGCGCAGATCATGGAGCTCCTGATCTGGCTACCGTAGCTGTAGGCTCCGGAAGCGCACACGGACTGGCTGACGATGTTCACGTTGACGTACTGCAGCTGGGAGGGGATGGAGCTGGAGCCGGAGGACTGGGTGCCCCATCCGGAGACGGAGGCAGCAGCGCCGTTGGCGGGGTTGGAGCCAGCCAGACCGATGGACTTGATGGAGGAGCTGAATCCCAGGGAGCCGCTCAGCTTGATGATGGCGATGTCGTTGACCATGGTGTTGGCGTTGTAGCCCTCGTGGTTGCGGAAGGAGGCGACCTTCAGGACGGTGCCGCCGGAGCTCCAGTAGCTGGAACCAGCGCGGATCTGGAGGGTGGAGGCGGACACGGACTGCAGGCAGTGAGCGGCGGTCACGATCACGTTGGCGGAGTAGATGGATCCACCGCAGGAGTGGCTGCCACTGCGCTGCAGGGAGATCTGCCAGGGGAAGCTGGTGATGGTGGTGGCGGTACCTCCGACGATACGGCCATCCAGCTGGGGCAGGAGTCCCTCAGGGATGGTGCCACCCAGGGCGCAGGCAACGGCAGACAACAAGATCACGAACTTCAGCATGGTGCGAAATGAATACTCTTGGAACCGATCATGGTGCTTTTATAGGCGGGTCGCTATCTGGGAGGCCGTTTAATCAAGGGAGAAGTGAGATCCCTCGTGGCGCAGGTGGATAACGCCGTGGAGTGGTTCTTGCCTGATAAGCTGATTAGTTCCTGGATTCACTGGTCATATCGACGGAGACAGTGACGCCATAGTTTTGACGGGGCTATCGGAGATATTCGCTTAAGGGGTTGTATAAAAGGGGACTTGATCTGCGGATCAGCATACAACCGATTAACATGTTGAAATTCGCGGTACTCCTTTCCGTTTTGGCCTGCGCCTTGGCCGGCACCGTTCCCGAGGGCCTGTTGCCCCAGTTGGATGGCCGCATCGTCGGAGGCTATGAGACCAGCATCGAGGCCCATCCCTACCAGGTGTCCCTGCAGCGCGGTGGATCCCACTTCTGCGGTGGCTCCATCTACTCCCACGACATCGTGATCACCGCCGCCCACTGCCTGCAGTCGATCGATGCCAGGGACCTGAAGGTTCGCGTGGGCAGCACCTACTGGCGTTCCGGCGGCAGTGTCCACTCCGTCCGTGCTTTCCGCAACCACGAGGGATACAATGCCCGCACCATGGTCAACGACATCGCCATCATCCGCATCGAGTCGGACCTGAGCTTCCGCTCCAGCATCCGCGAGATCCGCATCGCCGACTCCAATCCCCGCGAGGGCGCCACCGCCGTGGTTTCCGGATGGGGCACCACCGAGTCCGGCGGCAGCACCATTCCCGACCACCTGCTGGCCGTCGACCTGAAGATCGTCGACGTGTCGCGTTGCCGCTCCAGCGAGTTCGGCTACGGCAGCAAGATCAAGGACAGCATGATCTGCGCCTACGCCGCCCACAAGGACGCCTGCCAGGGTGACTCCGGCGGCCCCCTCGTCTCCGGCGATCGCCTGGTCGGTGTGGTCTCCTGGGGCTACGGATGCGGCGATGTGAGGTACCCCGGCGTCTACGCCGACGTTGCCCACTTCCACGAGTGGATCGAGAGGACCGCCGAGGAGCTGTAAAGTCAGACAAACACTTGAAATAAAGAATCGCAATTGAATCAACTTTGGTATCTCTCTCTGTGTCTTGGCCCAATTGCGTCGCAGGTGTAAGCCCTTAAAGTTGGCCAGATAAGGGCCGTCGGCTGGGACTGTATATAAGGCTTGATTGGCGGCATGTAAGCAAGCACTAGCTAGCAACGCTCACCATGCTGAAGATCGTGATCCTGCTGTCTGCCGTGGTCTGCGCCCTGGGTGGCACCGTTCCCGAGGGACTCCTGCCCCAGTTGGATGGCCGCATCGTCGGCGGTTCTGCCACCACCATCGGCAGCTTCCCCTGGCAGATCTCCCTGCAGCGCAGTGGCAGCCACTCCTGCGGTGGATCCATCTACTCCGCCAACATCATCGTGACCGCCGCCCATTGCCTGCAATCCGTGTCCGCCTCCGTCCTGCAGGTCCGTGCTGGATCCAGCTACTGGAGCTCCGGCGGCAGTGTGGCCAAGGTGGCCTCCTTCCGCAACCACGAGGGCTACAACGCCAACACCATGGTCAACGACATCGCCGTGATCCGGCTGAGCTCCTCCCTGAGCTTCAGCTCCTCCATCAAGGCCATCAGTTTGGCCTCCTACAATCCGGCCAACGGAGCCGCCGCCGCCGTTTCCGGCTGGGGCACCCAGTCCTCCGGCTCCAGCTCCATCCCCTCCCAGCTGCAGTATGTGAACGTGAAGATCGTGAGCCAGTCGCAGTGTGCTTCCTCCACCTACGGATATGGTAGCCAGATCAGGAACACCATGATCTGCGCTGCTGCCAGCGGCAAGGATGCCTGCCAGGGTGACTCCGGTGGCCCACTGGTCTCCGGCGGAGTCCTTGTTGGTGTCGTCTCCTGGGGATACGGCTGTGCCTACTCCAACTACCCCGGTGTCTATGCCGATGTTGCTGTCCTCCGCTCTTGGGTGATCAGCACTGCCAACAGCATTTAAGCACTTAATCCGTTGGTTGGATGTATCAAATTCCTTCAATAAAACTATGCAATACAGAAAATAAAATCTATATACTTTATTTTGAATTTATTTGACCATTCTATGCATAATATATGCATATATATATATAATAACAAAAAATTATACATTGGTTTCATAGTGCCTAATTGCAATTTAAAGTGAAACAGAGACTATATTTGAGGATTAACCAAACTTATACAACTTTAGTTCGATTTTATGAGCAACTTGCAATTTACAATAGAAATATGTGTAATGGCCATTTTTTTTACAATGCTAAAAAGGAGGTATTACATCTCTCGCCTCAATGAATATAAGAGTTAAAAGTTTTTGAGATTTTTATAGCTTGTGTATCTTATTTACTTTTAGCTGCAAGCTGGAAACGTTGGATTAGTTTTTTTTTTTTTTGTAAACATTGAACTCATACAATCTTTAAGTATCTTAACAATGCAGTTTTGTATATGAATTTGAACCAAACGTCATGCCTTCAGCTAAAGGAGATCATTTTGGAGATCATATTTATGGATTATAAAATTTTTAGATATTTTATATAAAATCTAAACAGTTTCTACTTTATTATTTCATGTACAACGTATTACAGCTCACGCCTTATTAAATAGATAATATGAAATGGTTATTTAACTTGCTCACGTCACAGGTGTTATCTTGTGAAGGGTTCAGGGGTATTCACATAAGATAACTCGACGTGCCTTCTGCGATCTCCACTGATTTCAATGGTCTCAAGTGGCTTAGGGTAAACATTTGCCCAGGAGCGATGTATCTAATCAGCTTAGAGTGCATCGCGTGGCCACAGTTCCACTCCATCATCCATTGATAAGTTGAGTGATGGTCTGAACAGCCAAGTCAAGATTAATTAGCCACATACTAAAGGAATTGATAAGATTGCACAGATTTGGTCACGGGAAGTCGTACGTTTCTCTATAACGTGACTAGTCAAAAGCTATGTTCCATGAATAGTCAGTATAAAAAGGATCGATTATAAAAAGTTTATTTCCATAAGACTCTTCTCATTCAAATGCAAATACAAAGCAAATGAATTGGCAAAAATTTTCCAGCTGATAATGTTGTTTATAAAATAATTTCGCTATCAATTTAATTTAAAGTATGTATTGGAATTTGCGACTGATGTTCGCCATTGTGCTGTCGAAATACAGCAGTTCCTTGATAAAGTCACCCCTTAATTTGAGGGTATTTCCAATATTTTGGGTTAATGAGCCAATAAAAATTGTCAATGGGTGATATAACCTAGTATTGGGAATTCCGGGTCGTAGAATACACCTTTACCAGGTCGGAACTGCAGTAAAATAAATATACATATATTCATTTAAAATTCCCAGTAAACCTAGTAATAAATTAAAGGTGGGTCTTGCGTAACACTCACCCAACCACATAAACCTCAAAAATGACTTATGACAATTAGCGAAATTTATATATTACTGATACTGCTATGTGTAAAGGAATCTCAACCGAGTTTGTATTTATCGATTTAACAAAATCACTAAATGTTAGACCTATTTAGATATATCTTTATGGTAGAAATTCTTATTGGTGTCATCACTTGGCCCATAAATGCGAAAATAATAAAGGTGTGTCTAGTTTAAAGCTCACCTAATCACTTTATGAACAACAAGGTCAAAACATGACGACAGGCAATCTATATCTATTAAAACCCGTTCAAGTGCCGACTTCCGAGTTTCGTCTTGTGCTCCAGATTTCATTCGGTTTCTTTGACAGACAGTAGAAGCCGATTGATAAGGAACTTTCCGTCTGGATTATTGAACAGGGTATGCTAATTCCTCGGCTCATAAGATCAAGCGATACTGTCACTTGTCCACTCGAGGGTCACCTTCCACCCACTCAATCATTTCACTTGGACGTGATGGAAGGCTATAAATGTTGGTCGTAGTTTCCTGATGGTTCAGTTTTTTTTTGCAGAATGCAGGGATTAGTGATTCTCTTGGTTTGCCTGACAGTGGGTTCTGCCTGTGCCGGCTCAGTTGGCGTTTCCAATGCCGATCCCTTCGAGCGTGAGGGTCGCATTGTGGGCGGCCAGGATACCACAATCCGAGCTCATCCCTACCAGGTTTCCCTGCAGACAAAGAAGGGTTCCCACTTCTGCGGTGGCAGTTTGATCGACGCCGAAACTGTGGTAACGGCTGCCCATTGTCTGGTGGGTCAAAAGGCGGCCAAAGTGTTCGTTCGTCTGGGTTCCACGTTATACAACGAGGGTGGAAGAGTGGTAGCTGTCCGGGATCTAGCCTACAATGAGGATTACAGCTCCAAGACCATGGAGTACGACGTGGGCATACTGAAGTTGGCCGAGAAAGTCGAGGAAACCGAGGACATTCGTTATGTGTCTCTGGCCGAGGAGACTCCGCCCACTGGAACCGCCGCTGTGGTCACCGGTTGGGGTTCCAAGTGCTACTTCTGGTGCATGAGCCTGCCCAAGACGCTGCAGGAGGTGTATGTCTATATTGTGGACTGGAAGACGTGCAAGTCGGACGATTACAAATACGGTGAAATCATCTACGACTCCATGGTGTGTGCCTATGAGAAGAAGAAGGACGCCTGCCAGGGTGACTCCGGTGGTCCTCTGGTGGTCGGTAATACCCTGGTGGGCATCGTGTCCTGGGGATATGCCTGCGCCGCGGAATTACTACCCGGTGTCTACACCGATGTGCCCTCTGTGCGAGATTGGGTCCTGAAAACGAGCAAAGCTTTGTAGATATTTGTAATAAATTATTTGACTGAGCAAGCACACTTTTAGGGATTGCTCAGAAATTTGAAAACATGAGAAACCGAATAGCTTTTTTCTATTTGTTCGATTTATATGTTAAACATAAATGATTTTTTATACATTTGTGGTAGGGTGTTTTAGCTGACATAAAAAATTAATGCATAGTTTCAGGAGCTTCATAAAAGTAAAACTTTTATTATTTCGAAGGCTTCTAGGTGATGCATATTGCGTATACGCACAGTAGCCTTTCTTATTGTTATAAGATGGTTCAATTGATTTCATAGCTGGGCCATTGAGTTAAGAACAATATTGCTTTCAGAAAAGCTTTCTTGGTTTTAATTTCCTTTTTAAAAGACAAACAAATATTTGAATAATCCGATAATACTTGAATAAGGCTAATTGATTGCTTATCAGAGCTAAACAATGTCATTGGGCTTAGTCAGCCGGCGATTTTTGAAGCTTGTTTCTCGGGAACAGCTACCATTCATCTTATCGGAAGCAATTTATTGTCCATTTCGCGATATGAGAAAAGCTTCTCGTTGGTTTTGAACAAGCAGAAAGATCCGATTTAGTCACTCATCGAACAACGCGATGAACAAAGTTCTATTACGGATATTTGCGGCTATATTCCTGCTGGGGATATTGATGGTGGAGGCCCAACCAGATGGACGAATTGTGGGTGGAGCAGATACCTCCAGCATTTATACCAAATATGTGGTTCAGCTGCGCAGGCGCAGTTCTTCGACTAGTGCCTATGCCCAAACCTGTGGCGGATGCATCCTGGATGAGGTGACCATAGCAACCGCTGCCCATTGTGTGTATAACCGTCTGGCGGAGAACTTTCTGGTGGTGGCTGGCGACGATAGCCTCGGAGGGATGAAGGGCGTGGTGGTGCGGGTGACGAAACTGATTCCCCACGAGCTGTACAATGCCTCGATTACGGATCACGACATTGCCCTGGTGATTGTGGATCCTCCCCTGCCCCTGACCAGCTCGAGCACTATGGAAGCCATTGAAATCGCCTCGGAGCAGCCGGCAGTGGGTGTCCAGGCCACTGTCAGTGGATGGGGATACACCCAGCAGAACGGCCTGTCCTCCAACCAGCTGCAGCAGGTCAAGGTGCCAGTGGTGGACTCCGCCAAGTGCCAGGAGTCGTACTACTGGCGTCCCATCAGTGATGGTATGCTCTGCGCCGGCCTGCCGGAGGGCGGAAAGGATGCCTGTCAGGGAGATTCCGGAGGACCTCTGGTTGTGGACAACAAGCTGGCTGGCATCGTCTCCTGGGGACAAGGATGTGCGCAGCCCAACTATCCCGGAGTTTATGCCAATGTGGCTTACTTTGGGGACTGGATTGCCAAGCAGCGAGCGTCATATGCTTAATCCAACCTCACTATAATATTGTATCATTGAATAAATAAAGTTGTGTAATATAATATTTTGCTAAAAACTTCAGTTCATGTGAATTCGTAAAAAAAGAAAAAAAAAATTTAGAGTAACAAAACCTTTAAGTTATTAATATTGTATGTAATTAGATTCGATCAAAAAATTCGGTTTCTTATTTACAAAATTCGGTGAAAAATGTTCTAAGCTAGGAATGTCCACCTTGTTAACCAGTCTAAGTTGAGATCTTTTATTTCTGACCGGCTCAAATATTTAATTTTAGACTAATTTTCGCTAAAAATTATGATAATCCGAGAAAAAAAATTTTTATGTGTTTTTTTTATCAAAACCATAAAAAATAATAGTCAAATCTTGGAATGTCATACCTCGTTAAATTTGTCATAAAATTTTCAATCAATTGCCATTCACATCTTTAAAAATAAATAATTTTGAGAAAAAAAAGAAAATAGCAAGGGTATTAAGCCTTCGGCGTGTCAATATTAGCTTTCGTTCTCTTTCGTAGATAGTTACGTTCTCTTAGGCAAGAGTTAACCTGATCCTGCCGATTATATTTATCCATATGAGGGGTCAAAAGTTAAAAAGAAGCCTGGTTAGGTAATATTCGGCCACCCCTATGTCAACAAAATTGATTGAAAGTTTGAAAAGCGCCATTACCAGCCATAATCATATTGTCCAATGGTATAGTAGACCATAAATCGTAATCACTCGTAGTTACGAATGACCGTGCATATCCAGAATAAAATTTATGGTCAATATAGTCGGGTAGACCGTCAGATAAGCCGTGCAGTTGCCGGCGAAGTGGTAAAGGCCCTCAGTTCTCGATTCTGTGTGGCTGTGCAAACATGTCGAGCTCTTGGTTGTTTTGCCTCGCGGGCTTTCTGATTTGCCTGCTGGCCTTGACGCAAGGTCTTCCCCTCCAGGAGACTGAGGAGCAGGACGAGAAGAGCCTGCCCGGGGGCCGCATCGTGGGTGGCACTGTGACGGACATTGCCCAGGTGCCCTACCAGATCTCGCTGCGTTACAAGGGCATCACCACGCCGGAGAATCCCTACCGCCATCGCTGCGGTGGTGCCATTATCGCCGCCAACAGAATCTTGACGGCGGCGCACTGCGTCATCGGCACGGTGGCCAGCCAATTCAAGGTGATCGCCGGGTCAAATTACCAGACCGGTTCGAATGGCGTCATCACCAATGTCAAGGACATCATTATGCACGAGGACTACTTCTCGGAGTTTGCCTACAACAACGATGTGGCCATTCTCGTTGTAGATCCACCACTGCCCCTAAACAACTTCACCATCCAGGCCATTAACATGTCCTCGGAAGAGCCACTTGAGGGAGCGATCAGCAAGATCAGCGGCTGGGGCACCACTTCACCCGGTGGCTCATCCTCGAACCTACTTCTCTCCGTCGAGGTGCCGATTGTGAGCAACGAGGTTTGTGGTAAGGATTACGAGAACTTCGGGGACGAGACCTACGGCATCACTCCGTCCATGTTGTGTGCCGGCAAGCGGGGCGTGGGTGGTGCGGATGCCTGTCAGGGTGACTCTGGTGGACCCTTGGCGGTGCGGGGTGAACTCCACGGCATCGTGTCCTGGGGCAACAGTTGCGCCCTGGCCACTCATCCCGGCGTCTATGCCAAGGTGGCCTACCTGAAGCCCTGGATCGATGCCAGGCTATCAGAGCTGGAAGCCCGGCAAGCAGAGCTCTAAAGGAATTGTGTCCCCCATTACACCATGGCATTATATTATTTTGTAAATAAATTCGCTTATTCAGCCACGTGCTTTGGTATTTCCCAAATCGAACAAGTTTTTATTGATTTTTCCCAAACGCAATCGGCTTAGACATAGATTAGATCAACCTTGGACTGTTGGATTGAGATTAAGTGACTGGCAAGAAATCGAAACCCTTTTAAAGTGCTTGCGAAAAAAGCCCCAGAAGTATGCTATGTCTTTTAATCGTAACAATAAGTAGGGGAATGGTATTAGAGTGGACCAAAGTTCAAGCGTAATCTAACTGGGGAATTCTTCACTCTCAAAAATATATACAAGGTCATAAATTATTGACGGTTTGATTATAACCCAAATTATATTTTGTATTTATTGAATTAAAATCTGATGAAACTCTGAAATTAGTAAAAAATTTAAAGATTAACTTAATATAGTCCATCAACAAAGGGGCAATTGCCTCAGGAATGACATTATCTTGGCCGGACCCTGTGTTCACATTGCTATCGGGAGTTATCTCAAGCACCGTCCATTAAGTTAATCGATATGGCCATCGAATGCTGCTCGGTAAGGTGAAAATTCGCCATTCGTAATCAGTTCGATAGGAACCTCACGCCCGTGCAAATCGATGGAAAGGACCATGTGCATTCCGCTGCTGCTGCTGGCCATCGGATTCTCCTCCGTTTTATCCATCTCAGCCCAACCGGAGGGCAGGATAATCAATGGGACCACAGTGGACATAGCCCGGCATCCGTATCTGGTGTCCCTACGCTATCGCCGGGATGAGGAGTCCAGCTACAAGCACGAGTGTGCCGGAGTCATCATCTCGGAGCAGGTGTTGGTCACCAGTGCCCAGTGCATCGATGGCCTACCGGAGGGCACTAAAATTCTAGCTGTGGCTGGAGCAAATACCCGCAATGGAACCGATGGCTTCATTTACCCCGTATCGAATTGGACCCATCATCCGAACTACGATCCCCTCACAGTCGACAATGACGTGGGAGTCTTGTTCCTGGACACACCCCTGAACCTCACGCACTTTGGCATCAGATCGATTGGCATCCGTCCGGAGCGTCCGGCTGTGGGTCGATTGGCCACCGTTGCCGGATGGGGATATCGGGAGGAGTGGGGTCCCTCCAGTTACAACCTGGAGCAGACCGAGGTGCCAGTGGTAAGCTCCGAGGAGTGCACCCAGATCTACGGTGCGGGTGAGGTCACCGAGCGGATGATCTGTGCCGGATTTGTGGCCCAGGGAGGCAGTGACGCCTGCCAAGGGGACACTGGAGGTCCCCTGGTCATCGACAATCAGCTGGTGGGCCTGGTGTCCTGGGGACGAGGATGCGCCCGACCCAACTACCCCACCGTCTACTGCTACGTGGCCAGTCTTGTGGATTGGATCGAGGAAACAATCGCAGCGGCCGGATCGCAATAAACATTGGCATTTCTAAGGCAATCGAAACGCTATCTTCAAGTGCCCACCGCCCGGATAGAGCTACCTAATTCAATAATAAAACCGTAATCAAACAAACAATATACTATGTTATCGACTAAAGCGAGCCGCACATTGGTAATCTCCTTATGTAATTCGGGTGGTCATAAGAAAACTAGCTACAGGGTACAATTATAACTTTAATTTAGAGGAAGTCAACTTTGCCCACATAGGAGTTGGCATCAACGGCCTCCTCTATCCAATCTCGAACATCCGGAACGGAGGCATAGACTCCAGGATACTTCTCGCGGGCACATCCCGTTCCCCAGGACACAATGCCCAGGAGTTCGTTGTTGTAGACCAGTGGACCGCCGGAATCGCCCTGGCAGGCATCCTTTCCGCCGCCGGTGACGCCGGCGCAGAGCATTCGACTGGTCAGCATGATGGAGTAGGCGCTCTTGCACTGCGTGTTCTCCACCACATTCACGCTGACCTCCTGAAGGACGTCGGAGATGGTGCCTCCCTCACTGGTGGTGCCCCAGCCGGTCACCGTGACGGGTGTATCGTGTTCCGGACGCTCCTTGGCCAGCTCAATGGGTTGTACTGCCTCATTGAACACAAACTCTCCATCCAGAATCAAAATGGCCGCATCGTAATCGTTGTTGAGGGTGCGGTATTTCGGATGAATGATGAACTCACGGACAGCCAGCACCTGCTGTGGTCCAGTGGGGAACCAGATGTTCGAGGAACCGGCCACAATGGTCAGGTTATCCGGACCAGTCAACGTGTTCACACAATGGGCCGCACTGATGATTATGTTTGGGGTGTAAACGGTGCCTCCGCAACGGTGATTTCCATTATACCGCATAGAGATCTGGTGCGGATAGTGGGTGATGTTCGTGTTCTGTCCACCGACAATGCGTCCATCGAGCTGGGGCACCTGCTCCTCCTCATTCCGGTAAAGAGGATCCGCCAGGGAGCTGGTCACTGCCAGCAGCAGAAACGCGACCAAAATTCGTGACATTTTCGAGCAACTGACCGCGAAATCAGCGACATGAGTGGATTTATAGAATAGCCTTATCGCTTGATAAGCCGTAGATTGCGGTTGGATTGGCCATTACTCCGTAATCTGACGAATAGGACGATAGGCCTCCTAATCAAGCAACAGACATGGACAACGAGCTAGTCATAAATCTTGCTTGAAATTCCTTCTGGGCTTTTCCCTAAGAATGGTTTCTCCTCTAGCCCATGACCTTGCAAGTTTTTTCGAATCGATAAACCTATCATTAAACATCATGTTTTTCCCAATCTATAGATCTTAATTGCTGTAGCTTTCTCTTACTATCGCTTTCTAAGAATTTGATTGGTATGTAATTTATTGCTAGTTTTTGCTGCAACAGACATTTAAATGTTCACCCAAAAGTAGACTTATTTATATATACTTAGTTACAGCAAGTTTTTTCAATTTAAAAAACCATTTGTTTACTCTATATAAATTTAATTTTTATTACGTATTACTTAATTCTAAGCCATTTACACTGGGACTAACACTAAGATTGCACATTTCCGGCCCAAGACTGCTGACATTTATCACAATACGCATCCGTTACGATACTACACGATATAATAAGGTGATTGATTGCACTTAGATTTCTTAGGGCTTGGGTTCGTTTCTATTCTTTTACTCTTCAGTTGGTACCTGCACTTTGCGTATTGGATGCAGTTTCCAAGGGTATCCTATTTCTACACACTAAAGACTAACAGCTAGCTTAGATCTAACAAAATTGCACCTTGTGGTTTGGCAAGAATCTTCGAGTTATTGCACTGATTGTTGCTATTGCGTTTCTTAATCTTAAAATGGAAGTCTTTCGTCTGCTTCTGATATTGCACGTCCCTAGAAACTAGTTTTTCCTCTTGGGCGATATTTATAACTAACTTTTCCTAATCATCTTGTAGAGCACGGAGTGCGTTTCTATGCTCTCCGCCCCGGACTCCCACATGTCCTCCGCGTTGGTCTCCTCGTCCGTTTCCGAGGATCCACAACAGGTGCTGCGACCTCGTCCATTTTCATCCGAGGAATAGGACGACATCGTGGTGGTGCTACCCCGCACATTGTGCTCCTGGGAATTCGTTTGGGAGTGGGAACGAGTCAGTGTTTTGTCCGAATCCGCATCGCTCAGATCGCCAGCAACTACTGCCATATTTTCCGGTGATCGACGACTGTGACCCGGAGAGACCATATGTTCGAGATCCTCGAAACGATTGTCGTTTGGACCGCTTTCCTCCTCGTTGTCCTCGATCGTGTCCACCCGGATGATCTGTCCCCGTCCAGACAGCATCTTAAAGTTGTACCGATCGTAGACATTTCGCTTGTACAGCTCCGTGGAATCGGTGCTCATGTACCCACTGTCCAGTTGTCCAAAACGCTGCTCATAGTAGGTTTGGCTACCAGGTTGTCCCATTCCAGCGGATTGGGCGGCATCCTCGATGATGGAGGCGATGTTATCATCCTCCAGAAATCCGGCCGGGTTTTTGCTGCCATAAGTCGGTGCAGGACTCTGGCTGGGACTGAACTTATTGGCCGCCATGGTCACAAACTTTCGCCACGCATTCTTCAGATCCTTGGCTTTCTTGGCTCGGTCCTTCAAGCCAATGGCAATCTGCATCCCCGCCGTAAGTTGGGCCTGCTCGATCTCACACCGATAGACGGTTTGGACATTTCCGCCGGAATTGGCACTTCCTGAACTGCTGGCCGCCCGCTGGGGATAGGCAATGCCCACTGGTACGCCGGCATTGCGATACATCTCCTTGGTGCGCTCGGAAAGATGACCACTGCTCCGATTGGAACGGGAGCTAATAGACAGGGCATCGAACTGGGCGAGATCCACCTCCTTCAGGTTCTTATTGCTACTACTGAACTCCGGCTCGGGGACGTCCTTTGGAGCATCCGGTCCAGCTTTCGAGGCCTCATCACGCTGACTCTTCCGTCGATTGAGATACTTGGTCAGACTGTAGTCGTTGCGCAGACTATTGATCTTTTTGTTGTAGATTCCATCGTAATCTTCTGATTCCTGGCACTTACCACCGATCTTGGGAGTCTTGGAACCCTTTATGTGAGTTCTCTCTTCAGTGGTTGCTGATATAGCACTCGACATAGTGTTGTTGCACGAGTTCTCGAACTCTGAGATCCCAGTGACCTCGGTGATCTCGCTGTGCAGACTGTAGGCATCTTCATCGGGCGCCTGGTTCTCCGGGGATAAGTTTGGAGGAGGTGGTGGCAGTGGACGCTTGCCTTGCACCAACGGTGGACAGTAATGCTGATTGGACTTTGGTCGTGGAGGAGGTTTTTCCGCCGGCTTGGGTGAGGAAATCGTGATGGTGGTCTTGTTCACCTTTGTGATGTCCACCACTGAGTGGGTGGGCGAGGTCTCCATTAGACGCTGACGACGGGAATGTTTGGCCTCCAGGGTGAGAATGCGACCCTCTTCTTCCGGCGTCTGCGGAACTCTCTTCTCATATTTTCCGTTCTCCTGGGCGATCAAAGGCGACTCGTAGATCTCTCTCAAGTTCTTGAATGAATTACTGGATCGCAGAATGAAGGAGGCGGTCCTGGGCTTGCTGGCCTGACTGGGCACAGGACTCAACTGGCGACTCAGATCCGGCAGGGAATTGATCTGATTGAAATCCGAATCCATTTGCTTATGGCCATCCCAAGCTGAAATGTCGCAAAAGCTCTGCTTTTTGGGCTTGCGATCCAGGGTATCCGGCTCGAATTGATCGCTATCCGTGCGCTCCAGATCGGAAGGGGGTTCATGCTCCACCTCGATGGTCATGCTGCCCCGAAAGGGCGTATCGTATTTGATCCGAGCTGCCGCCTCCTTCTGTCTCTGTTGCTGGCCAGGATGTGGGTGCTGGTGTTTCGCCGCCAGACGCTTCTTCATCTCGCCCTCCTTTCGAAATCCGTCGAGGCGATCGTAAACCGTATGACTGATCTCCATCTCCTCCTCCAGTGGCAGAGCAGTGCTCAAGCTGGGACTCAGCTGGGAACTCACATCCGAGGATGGGGAACTGGATGAGTGGGAACTCTTGCGCTTGCTGGGCTCCAGGCGTTCCAGACTATCCGTCTCGTAGTCTACAATCAGATATTGCGGGGACTTTCTCCTGTAGATCGGTGAGTCTGGCTGGAACTGTTTGAGGGACTTGCGACTGAGGGAGCTGTAATCCGGAGTGGGTACCGATGGAATGCTACTCTGCGTGCTACTATAGATGTCCTTGATTCTCTTCTCTATGGTGCTATCATAATCGGGCGTGGGAATATGAGCTGCATATTCGCGTTTTAGGGAATCATATAAGACCTCCGCGGGTTTCATGTTGCGCAGCATATTGTAGTGCTGCCGATCGAAGGAGGTTAGAGATGTGGGCGTGGAATTGGCTGCGGCGAACTGATCCAGAACCTCGCTGCGCTTCCTCAGCGACTTGGAGCGACTGGAGGTGCTGCGTAAGGAGGCCGCCGGCGAATCGGCCAACATAAACTTCGGATTATTGTAGATCTCCCCTCCGGTCTCTGCAAATCCGTAGACATTGGCGGCCACCGAAAAGGAGGAGAAACCTTCATAGGTGCTGTTGCCAACAGGAGTCTTGGGCTTGGCCATTTGCTCCGGACTATTCTTTCCGGGACTCCGGCTAGATTGTGAACCATGAGCTGACGCTGGTGAGGAGGACTTCATATTTTCTGTTTTAGATTTCTGCATCGGGGGAGGTGGTGGTCGTTCCTTGGGTGCGGTTATCTCTTTCCTCAATGAACCCTTGTTGGGAGATCCCGATGCCTTCTTAGCCGTCGATGGACCGGGTCTATCGAGGGTCTTCTGAGCCGGAGGCGCATCTGAGTTGGGCACACTTTGCAGCCACTGTTCGATGCTATTCCGCTTGTCCCCCATTCCCTTGGCCGCCAAATTCTGTTGCAGCGGAATGTTGTACATGGTGGGTGAACTGGAGCTCGAATCCGGCTGCAGTTCCTCGGGAATTATATTCAGAGAGGGTTGGTAGCGCTTCGAGGCCATCTTGTACTTGGCAATGGCGATGACCTCGCGGATCTTCTGCAGAAACTCAATGGCAGCTTGAGGCGGTTCCTGGAAAAAGTCCAAAATTATATGTTGTAGATAGAATTTTTTACACATGTTTTAAGGTTAAGTTGGCAACAATTTATTTATCAATTTAGAGCTGCCCTAATTTTATTCTAGGTATAATAAACTTACCGCCAATAGATGGGGCTCAAAATAAGCCGGATTGAAGTAGAGTTTCTTGCGCACATTTCCACTGACCATGGCTCGCAGATTCTCCAGCTTTTCCTCGCTCATGAGCTCATCAATTACGGCCACATTTTCGGCGGGCAGGCACTCATTATCCTGCAGGAAATCATCCACATCCATTGCGGCATTATCTGCGCCACCCGTTGGTTTTGGTGATTTACTCAACTGTGGATGCACCAGTACAGATGTCTGTAAAATATGTTTATTGGTCTTTGAACACATAAAACAAATATTTAACCAACCCACCTTGATCTTCTCCTCCATTTCACATTCAGAGTTCGAATTGGATATATCACTGGCGAAACCGGAGTTGTGCTCCCTTTCGCTCAGTTGTGGAAAATGCTGCAGCAAGGGATTATTTTTAACGATTCCCATATCTTCCTTCAGGCTGCCGATACTGGTTCGAGTATTGGACTCATTACCATTACCCAGACCCATGCTATTGGAGGAGTAGATGCTGCCCACTCGACTGAAGGGTGCTCCATAAGTGACTTGATCGTTCTTGGGATAGTTAATGTCGTTGGTCAGGTTGTCTAGAGAATGACGGGAGCTGTGACGTTTGCGCTTCTTCATGTAAAGATATAGAAACACGGAGGCCACATAGATGAGACCCAGGAGAAGACTGCAGATCCCAATCACCACGTATTCCCGCATGGTCATGCCATCGGAAGTGGAGGCCAAAGTGGTGGAATTGGCCGGCTGGAAGAAGACCTCGGGAACGTCTGTTTGGGAAGGTGAATAGTTATCATTTGGTTATTTGATTTCTGTTTATCGAATTCCACTTACTGTGCGCATATTTCACGGGACTTCCATTCACCCGGAAGGCAACACAAGGTGAGTGCACATTTCTGGGCGGCATCAGAGGTTCACCCTTGACATGGCTACTGGCATTCATGGCCACCGTCATATCTCGGCACACCAAGTGCACCACTATCAGGCGACCCTGCATCTTCTGGCGCAGATCAGCCTCACCCAGCCACAGCAGGAAGCTGCGTCCCTCATCCCGAAACATTCGAAACGGATAATCCGTGTCGATGGGGTTCCGCAGATCCGACCAGCCATTGGAACCCAGATACTGAGCTCCGGTTACAGCACAAACTGGTGTATGAATGCCTTTTGAAAGACAAGTTATAGAAAACATATGGAGTAATGTAGTATACGGAATTGGATAAGCTCAAAAGTTATTAAAATAATGTTAATATACTAACAAGTTATTCCTAAAATGGGGAGGCTTTCTGCAAATTGTAAATTGTAAAACTCTTAAAGACTTTCACAAATTACAACAACCTTGCGAATCTTTTTTTACTTAAAAACCAGTTTACTTTAAAACCAGCACACCCCTTATTATTTTAGTTACTAAATATTATACATTGTAATCACTAATTGTCAACAAATTTCGTGGGAAATGGGTAATTACCAAACATGTTTGCTAATTTACGGACTAAGGCGAATTTAAAACACAATGAATTACTTACTGGCAAAACTAATCTCCCTGCTGGGATAGATGATCTGACCCTTAAGTGGCAGGAAGACAAATGGGATCTTTTCCGAGGAGGAACCACTCACAAAGGGCGACAGGGAGCACTCTGTAACAATGGATGGAAAAATGGGAAACGATTAGGTGTTAGAGGTTGTGGGAAAGTGCATAAAAATAGCAGCGATAATGATCGACGCTTATCAATTAGGATTGGGAAACGGTAGTGAAACTACTACATATTTGTGCTGTCGCTGTTTTCCGGCCCGCCCAGCTCTTACTTTCGGACCGACTTGGAGTCCGATTCCAACTCCAATTCCAATTCCGATCTTCGAGTTGGATTCCAAGCTCGAGTTAGACCCCCAAATGGCAGTTGGCTGAGATTGTTTATGTTGGCAGACGACGACGACGACGGCGAAAGTTTCCTTTCATTCATTAGCAGCGGGGAAACAAGCGATTTGTTCAATAATAATAACATTTTTTCCCTCTTTGCGTCACGTTTCGTTTTCATTCTGCAGCCCTGCACAATTTCAGTAGCTGTTATTACAGCATTTCTTTCGTTCGGTTGGGCTTTTTTCTCGATTTTTTTCTTTTTTATTTTCAGTTGGGCAACCATTGTGCTCGGATATGACAAAACAATGGATGGATGGTGTCCCACACACATGTGGGAGCGACTCCCACCGCGAAATGGAGCACACAATTTGGCTCGGAATTAACTGGTGGCTTCCGCAATGCACACTCACCATGGATGTCGTCCACGCAGATGCCCAAATCCTCGCGATAGGCCCTCTGGTAGGGAAGGCACTTGCAAGTACATCCCGTTTCTCCACTCGCATCAGGATTATCCACTTGACCACGACCCTTTTGCATCTTGAGACGGCGGGTCAGCAGCTCCATTTGACCGCCGGCCAGAGACGAGGTCGCCGGATTGAGTCCATCTGTGGATTGGGAAATCTCTGGGATTATGACAGGCCGCACATTACCATGCTGATCTGGTGCTTACCGTTCCCGCCATCGCTGGACATACGCACCAGCGAGGCTGTGCCGCTCGAGAGTCCGATGCAGGTGTCCGCATTGCAGGCGCTGCTCAGGCCTGCGAGGAGAAAACATTAAGATGGATTGAGTCGGGCCTTCACAACAGCGCATCAACATCAACCGATTGACGGCTAATCAGACGGGCTGGACCGGACCCGACTGGAGAAGCGGCCTTACTGGCAAAATTAATGCTGCTGTCAGCGGATCAGCCACAAAAAAAAAACAGCCGAAGAGGCCACATGCCAAGGCAACTGGCCAACGACAGTGACACTGGCATTGCATACGGAAAAATACGCAAGTCGTTGGTACTTCAAACAAGTTGGGAAAATACAAAAAAACCTTAGAATGCATAGACGAATGGGAAAACTAAGACTATATCATATAAAATGTTATCCAATAGTCACTATAATTGAAGATTAAATTTGTAATAACAATATAAAAGTTGCAATTGTATGTTTCAATTGTAGTTCGTTTGTTTTTTAAAAAAGTTCTTTTAGAAGCAGGTATAGAAAAAAAGAGATTAAGTGTTCACCAAATTGTATTTACGAATTTAGTATAAAGTATCCTCTTAGAAAACAAATTCTTATCTCAAACCCACACTCTTTTAACTTTAAATTTCGATTCCTTAACTTTTAAATAAAATTTAATAATAAAATAAATTTAAAAGGGATTTAATACAATATAATATTTATTTATCATAAATGATAGAATAGTTAATAAAACTAAAGGCATAGTGTTAGCTACGAGTCCTTCGAATATGTTTGCTTAAATATGGCTATATAATATAATATACTGGCCATAAGCCTACATAGTCTCTTACTTGACCATCAATTTTTAATCCTAGGCCATAATACCTAAGCAAGCTAATGTAAAATCACTAATGCGAGACGCCAACCCTCTTTCTATTATATTTAAACCATTTCCAAGTGTATAACTCACCGCTCGTGTGGAAGGTATCGCCATCGTGATGTCGTGTGAGATTGACGAGCTGCCCGTTGGTCTGCTGCAGTTCCTCCAGCAGCAAGCTGGCCGGCATCAGTGGATCCTCGATGGTGTCTGGACTGGTAAAGTGGTTCCTCACCCGCGGATGGGTGGCCGTTCGGGGCGCCGAAGTGGGCGTGGCGGGCGGGAAGAGAATGATGATGAAGATGAGCAAAAGGAACAGCGGTAAGGATTGGAGCCGCATCTTAACAGCAACATAGCTGGATGAAGCGCACTCTGGGGGATTCTACGGCGCAGCTGCAACTGGTATTGTATGAAAAAAAAAAACAAAACAGCCACTAATTAATTAAAAAGAAGTCCAAATTCGTAGCTAGCGAAACCAAACCAAAACCAAAACCAGCTAGTAGTAAGTTGACATTCTTTGGGGGCCCCAGCTTAATGAGGCAGAAATTGTTTGGTCCGTTTTGCTGGAAATGGAGCAACATCTACATCCAGTTGGTGCTAGTTTTAGTTGTAGCTGTTGTTGTTGTTGTTGTTTAACGGCTAACGGACAACATTTAAACAAATGTTGCAATTAAAACTCGTTCTGGCGGCAAGTGTATACTTATTGGTTGGGACACAAGGTGAGGAGCTGGCATAATGCTGCACTGGATCAAGTGCGTCGCCGCGGTGGCAGTGGGAAAACGCTATCCCGCTGCTGCTGCTGCTGCTGCTGCGTTTACCGTTACCAAAAGACCGCTGCACTTGGCTTAGAACACCCCGTTTATACCGCTAATCAGTTGCACTTTAGCAGCTGCTTTCGGCCAGGCCAATTTACATAAATATTTCACACACACAGCAGAAATCGCTGGCACTGGCACGGGCACCACAGAAAAATTATTGGGGACTCCTAACTGTTCATATCAACGAGTAGTTCTACTAATCTTGCTTTTTTGGCTCTTCAAAAGAAGAACAAAAGAGACGGGTGCGTGTGAGTGGGATGGGTAGAGCCAGACCTAGAGGTATATATACACGTATATCTGGAGCCATAATGTGCGCGAATGAATGAATGAGAGAAGAAAGCGATAAAAAGCAACAGTTGCGGCCTAATTTGAAAGTAAAATTTCTTTACAAAACGCAGTAGAACAGCAACGAACACTAAAGTTCGGTGCCTAAGTCTTTTGATTGACCAGTCACCTTCATAATCACCATCCATCTACATCGGAATCTACAAGCTTAGCCAGCTCCATGGCCATCGCCATCTCCATCTATCACTCCACTTGCTGTACAGTTATGGCATTTAAAAATAAACAACAATATCATTTCTATTATTTCTCTTTCTTTTCGATTTGTTTACGACTTTGCCTTAGTTATTCGGTTTTGGTTTGATTTTAGGTTGTCTAGTTTCGGTTTTTCAGCTTGTCTGCATTTTCGAAACGAATTTAATGGCAGTAATGACCTGCTTTTAGGTTTTCCAACTGCAACATCAGCAAAAGTCGCAGCAATAGCAACTGAAACTGATGCGATTTTGATGATGCTGGGAAAAAGACAAAAAAAAAGAAGAAAACTTTTGCTAGCTGGCAGATGATTCTGAGATCTGTTATATTTATATGGTCTGCAGACTGTAGCATCTAGTATGTTGTCTCTAGTCGGATTCTCCATGGGGCACCGGCACCTATGCTGGGTCTTGACTCTTGCGCACTCGACTAAACTCAATTAACAGGTAATTGAACCCAACTGCATAAATTAGCCATATTCCATCTATTCCATCTCATTTCAGCCCATTGCAGCCCATCATCCGCCGCCATGTACGCGATCATTAATTATTGGGCAACACGAAAGAGCGTGTGCGCATTGTTCTAAGTCTGTGCATAAATTTAACCATAATAAACAAGTGGCAGATGCCCAGGGATCAGTAAGATCGACGCTGCATACACCCCTCAATTTTTCTGGGCTTGCCCAACGAAGCGATAAGTTCTGCAGTTGTTGGGGAATTAATTGGAATTATTCTTTATACAAACAAAAAAATTCTTGTTTTCTAGACAATTTGTAAACTATATGAATTTATTTTAAACTAGAAAACTAGAACAAGAAACTATTATAAAGAAGGGGTTACTAATTTTGATCAAGTTGGGAGCTAAGATAGATACGAAAGGTTTTCCCCCAATTTGAAATGTTATTTTAAATACTAAATTTAAACGAGCGTATAATATTAAAAACTCAAGATTGAAGTTTAAATTCAACATTGTTAAAACATTAATATATTAAAGAGGAAACTTTAACTGTGGCGCTAGTTAGCTGAGCAAAAACATTGATTTGTGGACATATCATTTTGAAAAGCAACATTTTAAGTTTATTTATCGTTTTACTATGTCACTGAATTCTTTCAAACAAAAGCTACAAGCTAATAGTATTCCTAAGTAAGTTTAAATTGCCAATTTAATAATCACATTTATTTGTTTTAGCCGTGGTCAAGTTAAATATAGAATTTTAAAAGGGCTAATTATAAATCATTAAACTTATTTCTCTGTTTGAATGGTGTACTTTCTAATGTGGTGTAAAAATAAATTTCAATTTGTGCGAAAGGTCATTTAAGTCCGATTGGTTTTGGATATATTTATATATTTTAGCTGCCACTAAGTTAGGCATACCCATAAAAACGTACGTGCACTGCGAGGGGTATAGAAATTACCACAACGCATTCTAACCTGGCCATTGCGATTCACATGAACATGCACCGACCATGGAGTTATTGGAGTTGGAGTTGGAGTTGGCGCTGGAGCTGGCTGCATCTCCGGGGAGCAGATAAACCCATTGTCTGGCCGGAGCAGTAGCTACACTTCCGAGTGCAGTCGACGTCACACTCGGCTCACTTTTAACACTTAGAACACGCTAACTGCTGCAGAAGAGCAGAAAACTCTGGAGCATCATCATCCCGGCATAATAACAAATTTCAAATTTATTCCGCTGTTATTTTTATTATTTTGTGTTAGTTCATTGTTGTGGCCAGAGGAGCGCATCATTTGCTCGCCGCCTTTAATGTGCTTTAATATGTACTTGGGCCGCCAACTTAGGGCCAAGTTGGCTGACGATGGCCAACGGTTTCGGCCAGTTGTTAAAGCCGAATTACGGCAGTGCAATGCCCGGTGTTTTGGCTTGGTTTGGTTTCGGTCTTTTTTTGTTTTGTTGTATTCCAGCAATTACTTTCTCCCAAAAAAAAACCCAAAAAAAGATTTTCAATTTGGGAGAGTGCCCATGCCCAGTGACCTAAACTCAATTGGCAATGGTCTGATAAACCCCAGAGCCAAGAGCAAATTAAAGCCCTTTTCCCTGCCAAAACAAAATCTAGATGTTATCTATTTTTTTTTTACTCACAGCAGAGCCCGTTGGAATTGGTGAATAAATTAACACCTTTGGCCGTTAATTTTCCTGACAAGGTAGCTCCCAGGATTGCTTTTCACACATAAACTTAAGCGGTTTCTTTTTTTGCCTTTAACTTGGTTAACTTCACTTTGCATCTGCTGGCATTTTCACACATTTCTGCGGCAACATTTTCTGCACGTTTTTCAGCATTTTTGAAACATCTTCATCTCGTGCCAGCACACAAAACAACACAAAAACAATCAGAGCCGCGATAAGTGTTATTGTTTTTAGAAAATTCGCTTCGTTTCGGTTTCTTTTGTTTTTCTCTGTTGGCCGCAAAGAAAGCGAAGATAGCGGCGGCTTTTCTTCGCGACTGGCGTTTTTTTTTTTTGGGGGGTTTGTGGGGGATTTTCTTTTGAGTTGTATTTCCAACCGCTGAGACGTCTATCAAGGTCGCCGTCGGTGGAGCGACTGCCAAAGCAATCGCAGCTCAAAGAAGCCAAAGCCGCCGCAGTTTAGAGGAAAAGATTCGGAGAGAGGTGGTGTGCTCTTAAACGAGTTTTCTTTTCAACTCCACGCTCTTATATCTCGAAAGTATAAGTTCGGACCATCTGTGTGTGTTTTGACAAATTGTACAACCAAGCAACTGATTTTCTATATAGTTGTGTTGTGATGTGTGAAGGCGAAGATCTCTAACTGCAGACTAATTAACGCGGACTGGGACAGGTTCTGCATCGCACATACGCCGTGTGGTCGGCGGTAGAAATGACAGGAATCCCCAGTACCGTTTCGTTTCGAAGATTCACGCTCCAGTTTGATAAAAGCTTTGGACCAAGAAAAAAGGCGTCATTTGTCATTGGTTCAACTCAATTTATGACAATTTACTCGCTTTAGCTGCGCTCGAGTGTGCAGCTGCATTTCATGGGATCTTAAGATCTGAAGATCTGAAGATCTTCGGTTTCCAAAGATCCGGAGATCCGTGCACCAGAACAAGTGAAAACTTTCGAAAACATCGACGGCAGGCGGAGTTATGGGGTCTGCCTCGAATTACACAGCCAATCTGTTTGACATAAGCGAGTTATAACATATATAGCCAGCAAAGCCAAAAAGACAATTACCACAAACGGGTTTCAATTAAAAACAGTTAAGCAGTGGCACACAAAAAGACAAAAAACATATAGAAAAATATATAGAAATATTGGCATCTCCTTTTGCCGGCGCTGCGTACGTGAAGTTTCCCAGTTGGAGACTCTAGGCTACAGTCTTCAGTATGCAGTCTTCAGTCTGCAGTCTTCAGTCTGCAGTCTTCGTCTTTATTCCCATCTCGTCTGGCCAATAATTATACTTTAGTTGGCGACGCGGCTGCAACTATTTGCTTTGGCTGCATTTACAGTTTTGGTTTTTTGCCGCTAAAGTTGCCGCCCGTCATTTAGAAAGTTTTAGTTTCGTAGATCAACATCTAATGATACCCAGCCTACCGCCTTCTTGCAGCTACTACTCCACATTATCGCCGGCCATATACAGTTCTCGAAAATGGGCCTTCGATCGTTTTATTTCTTGCATTTATGACTCAGTCTATCTGCATTTTATGACGCTCAATGTTCGAATTTGTATTTCTGTGTCAGTGGGAGATTTGAATCTCTGGACTGCTCCTCTGGGCTCTTATCTATCTGGCTTGAATAAATTTGTGGTCGATTTGGCATTGCGTTACCTACACACAATTGCCCGCGTATCTGTATACCATTTACCCATGCCTGATCCATAAATCTTTAACTGTAAAAAGAAGCCAGATCCAGCTCCAGCACCAGGTCTAGGTCCCGGTTCAGGTCCACATCCACATCCACAGCCATGTCCTCGTCCATGTCCATGTCCATGTCGAGGTCCAACTTATGCAAACTTTGGGCACACGTCGCTGGATGGCCGGCGGCTGCGGTGAGTCGTCTGATCTGCTGCTGCTGGAAAACTGGGAAACCAGTTCACGTCTGGGATGAGCACACAGTGGAAAACATATCACCATCAATTACAAATTAGTCTTAAATAAATGGTCTCAAATATGTCTTAATAAAGACAGGCGTATTTGTAGCGGCCCCTAAAAACACAAATTGGGCGGTGATAGCAATATTCAATTGTAATTCATTGACGGATATTTAAAACTCTTGAATATTCTCTGGAGATCTCAAATCCCAACCACAAACGGAACGAATTTGATTCGCAATATTAGAAAGTCGATGTTATATATAATATTTTATAATTTTTTTTGAGCTATGGAAGTTTTATAAATTTATTTAATTCTACATTTTAGATTCTTAAAATATTTAAGAACTATTTAGTATTTTTGATTATTTAAAAAAAGCTTTTCAATCCCAAAAAAAATATTTTAAAATTATCCATTGATAGTTTGGGATTGTGGATGTCCCTGGCTAGGACCATATAAACTTTTAAGTTAGCTTCAGTTTAGTCTATGTAAACAGTGAAGTAATCAGTTAGTCTTGTAAACTGTTCTAAAATTCAAATAAATATGTAATAAGAAATCTTACTTCACAGTTTAACATACAACATATATGTTTTAACAATTTTTTCTCTCTGCACCAGTATTGTAGTGCTCCTCCTATGTCCTCCAGTCCCCTCATCCCAGGTTTCCTCCTCATCTTGACTAGTTATTGATACGCTGGCGGCGGAGTGAAGTGTGCGGTGCCTCCGGCTGAGCTAAACAAACTTGCAATTGTATTCATAAATAACGATTGAGAAATGTATTCTTTTTTTTCCACGTCTGCGGTCGCGCACTTATTACCAATTGCTTCTGCAATAAACATGAAAATGCGCTCATCGAACTTGGTCCACATCGAATCTAGAGTTAGAGTCCATAACGGTTAATGGAGGATGCGAGTGTCCGATCTTGGGGGCTTGGTAATTATTTGAACTCTACACAGGTCGAATATCTCTCCATTGAAATTTTGTAGAATTTGGGGTAAGCTGGAAAGTATTGCTTAATACAAAAGGTTTTCTTTATACTGAAAAGGAAAATCGAATCTTTGTGGAGAATAAAATGCCATGCTTAAGCAAAGTTAAATGATTTTTTCACTATTTAATTTATCTTCGATGAGGCACATAAAAATATAAGGCTTTTTATTCTTCCCAATATGTTCTACATTTTATTGAATTTTAATTTTTTCATTAGGAAATAAAACTTTCCCAGGATCCACATTAATAATTAATTTCTAGAAGTTGTTTGACAAGCATTCAAGCAAGTTCATTCGAACTGGAAATTAATTAATGCTCATCACGCTTATAAAACTTCTTACTTCTAGTGGTCATTAATTGGCACTTAAAATCAGGTGTCAGGCCATATTCTATATAGCCACCTATCTTTTCTAACTCTTTTTTAATTGCTCATAAAGTTTAACGAGTGTAATTGTCTGTCCAAGTTTAGTGGTCTCCATACAAAGTTCTTTCTATAAAATCCTGTCAGGATAGACTTTTTATCTTAATATCTTCGTATATTACTGACAACTGGAACTAAATGATTGCACATCACGCTTTTTACCGATATTACTCTTCAACAAATCAGGTGTTGTCATAATCTGATCATGAAATTTAATGACTGTTATATAAATAATTGCTGTTGCAAGTTATTAATCTTCATATAAAGTTCTTTATAAAAAATTTCAGGATAGACTTTATAACTTTTATTTTCCCCTAGAATTTTGTGATAGGCACTTAAAATCAGGTGTCAATTGGAGGTAATACAGCTTAGCACGTTGATAATTGTTATGACTTTCGTTGCTCAGATTAAATAATTAAAATCCTAGCAGGAGACGGAGTCATTACCAAGAATCCCCATTGCGTGTGGAAGTTTATTGCGGTTGGATTCGGATGTGGTTTTGATGGCTTGGCAAAGTGGCGTATGACAGCGCCATGGGGCTGCGTGTGCATCCTGGCCAAGATGCAATAGCTCCATTACCCTTCGCTCCTCGGGAGGCCGAGTTCCGGGCTCTATCCATATCCATCCATCGCAACGGCTGATTGACAGGCAACAAGCCAAATGCATTTCAATTAAACGCTAACCGCTACGAATATTTCCATTTCTGGGTGAGTTACTGATTGTGTGTCTGGTCAGGTGTGCTCTGATCGACCGAACCCAAACCGAAACCCAAACCCGTAGGAGAACAATTCCAGAACAGCGGTCAACTCATCAGTATGCTGTATAAATTAGAGCATCAAACGGCGCTTTGCCAACTCGGAACTGGTCTATACTGTTACTGCTGCAGCACCACTATCCACATGCCCCATCCACAATTCAACTATTCAACTGTGGATGAGGTGGTGCATGTGGTTGCAATTGCTTCTGGCTGGAATCGGATGGGCTGAAATCGGATTCGATGGTAAAAGAATGGGAGTTCAATGACGAGGCGCGGAGTCATCGACGCAACTTGTGCACATATTGTTGCAAAATTGATATCAATTTGTTTTAATGGCCGGCCCATTATGGTGCCATTATATGGTTAGTCCGTGGGTTATAATAAAACACACTTTATTACGAGCATTATAGGCGACGCGCGCCGGGCTAAACAACTGGGGCTGTTGACTCGGACTCCTTGGACTCGCCGTCTAATCCCAGATTGATTCCAATGGCCTTGCTAAATGGCCATGTCCATGGCCATCAGACGGTGGCATTAGCATGTTAGCAAGAAAGCGGATGTCCACTTGGATGTCTAACGCAGACACTTTCCAGAACCAGTATGGGATCGTATTGACTGCCGGCCGGCCCACGGAATCGGGATTATGACGGAAAGTGTGCTGGTGAAATTTGAATACTGGAACTGGATTTATGCTCTGTCCGTTTCTGGTTATATATCGATGTCTCTGTGAGGTGCCACCGGGGATCCAGGATCCTGATTAAGACATAACTCATTGCCCACAGTTTATGTTTACTTATGCAGATTATGACTATATGGTACAGGAAGTCTATGTGCCAGGTTGATTGAACCTAACGCATCGCAACTATTTATTTCGTTGGGTGTGGAGCGAGTGAGGAGAGGAGCAGTTTGCGATGATCATGTTTTGCTATACGCTTCAAAAACTGTGAATAAACAGAAGCCCACCATTTATGCGATATATATTATTCATTGTTCTTAATGATGCTGATGATCTAATGGGCCACCCGAGTCACGCGAAGCCAAAGTTGGGTTCATTGAACGATGTGGAGAGTGACCGAAAGGTCCACCATCATACTCCATGCGATATATCATCCGATGTGCCAGAGGAAATCGATCGAAGTAGTGTGATTTGCAGCACATGTTCCCAATGCAATCACTTACGGAAATCTATTGCGTGGGCGTTGCCCGCAAAACAATTGCTTATAAACATTGTAATTAGACCCTTGAGGGTTTCTTGTATAAAAGGAGCCGTCCGCTGGAATGAAGTACAGTTCATATAATGGCAGACAGTGGCTATCAATCAAATCTCAGCCTTTTGCGGCAGTTTACGGATGAGTTTCGCTCGGTGCTGAGACAGCAAACTCCTGGTCTCATCCCACGCCTGCCTTTTAACTATGTTCGCGCCTTTTTGAGGTGAGTGTTGCATCATTAATCTGCTTAATCCATTTCCGGATTCATCCACAGCTTGCTCTGCCAATATCCCACTAAAAAGTTGGCTTCTTTGGCTCTGTACCGCTGGCTCCACGTGATTATCATGTGCAACATGATGAGCGTTCTCCTGACCTTAGTGTTCGCTCTGCCCGAGTCCACGAACGTGATCCAAATGGGCGACGACTTGGTGTGGATTTCGGGGGTGAGATTGCCGGATTCCACCCCAGGTCCCAAAAACTAATGGTACTCTATGTCCGATAGATGAGCCTGATTTTCACCAAGGTATTCTACATGCATTGGCGCTGCGACGAGGTCGATGAAGTTATTTGGGATTTCGACTACTACAATCGGGAACTGAGGCCCCATCAAGATGATGAGGAGATCTTGGGCTGGCAGAGGCAGTGCTACTTGGTGGAATCGGGTCTATATATCAACTGTTTTGTTCTGGTCAACCTCTTTAGCGTTGCTATATTTCTGCAACCCTTGATAAGCGAGGGAGCACTTCCCTTTCACTCAATTTGGCCCTTTCAATGGCATCACATGGATCTGCATCCCTATATGTTTTGGTTTATCTATGTCTGGCTGGCTGCCACTTCGCATCACAACCTGATGACCATCTTGATGGTGGACTTGCTGGGTATATCCACCTTCTTTCAGACGGCTCTCAATCTCAAGCTACTCTGCATCGAGTTGAGGAAACTGGGTGACTTGAGGGCGGTAAATGATGCTCGTTTCCATGAGGAGTTTTGTCGGTTGATTCGCTTTCACCAGCACATCATCAAGTGAGTTGTTATCCCTACTTTTGACCACAATTATCGATTTAAATTTTCAGGCTAATGACGAAAGCCAATAGAGTCTTCAATGGCTCCCTCAATGCGCAGTTGCTGGCTAGTTTTTCATTGATTTCCATATCCACTTTTGAGTCTGTGGTCGCGGCGTCTCTTGATCCAAAAATGGCAGCGAAATTTGTACTCCTCTTGATGGTGGCATTCGTTCAATTGTCGCTTTGGTGTGTTTCTGGTAATCTGGTCTATACACAGGTAGGATTTTATTATACTTTAATTAACCACTCATAAAAATCACTATTTAGTAAGGCTACAATCTTAAAATCTTGTGTGTTCTCCAAATGTATATTGTATGTTTTATATGTTGCTCTTAAAACACCCTTCATCAATTCTTAAAAAAAAGAGCACATCAAAATAATTATCAAATATATATTTTTGTAACCTGAACCTAAAAATGTTTCTAATTTGTATATTCTAAGCATTCCTATTTATTGTTCTATTAAACAGTCTTTGGAGGTGGCCCAGGCTGCTTTCGAAATAAACGATTGGCACACCAAATCCCCAGCCATTCAGAGGGATATAGGATTTGTGATCTTACGAGCCCAGAAACCTCTGATGTATATGGCCGAACCCTTCATGCCCTTCACCTTGGGTACCTATATGCTGGTAGGGATACAAAAACATATATTAAAACTATAATACTACATCCTATTCCACATCACTTTGTTAGGTTCTGAAGAATTGCTATCGCCTGCTGGCCGTGATGCAGGAATCGATGTAAATTTTTAGTTGTTTGAAAATAAAAGTTGGAATTTTTCTGGGCATTTGCATTTGCATGGCTCGTTTAGGTTGTCGCCGCGCCCAGTGACACTCGGGTCACTCGGAATCAACAATGGGGGCGGCCCACGCACACCCAGCGGCGACAGGTGCAACCCAGCTGCAAAGTGCAGGGGAGGAGCAGATGATGCAGTGCCTCTGCCTCTGCTCTGGAGCTGGAGCTGCAGCCAGCCTCGAACTTATTCAGACGTGACACTCATTGTCATGATCTGACCCAACGCCAGACAATGAAGACTGGTGATCGTTTAGTATTTAGCAGTTGGAGTTGTGGGCTGAACGCTTGGACTTGGGCCAGCAGATGCTGATCCATGCCCTTCACAAGTGGGAAAGTCGCCCATGTCCATGAAACGTTGACTGGCCGAAATGTCATTATGTGCCATGTGCACATTCGGCCAGAACGAAAAGCTCCAGCACTCTCGCAACTCCAGCAACACACCCAATTCCCGGGTGCGTGTATTAGTGCACTGGGAAAAACTAGAGGTGGTTTATGATAATATATATATTTAATTTATATAATGTTTGTTTAGGTCTTTTAAGCCGCGCTACATTACTAAGATTTAATTGTTCAACATTTTCCTAATGGTGACTATATATGTACGTTTTTGTTTATTTAATGGTAATCAAGTTTGAATTGAAAAGAAATTGTAGAAAAATATTATACTACATTACTGATCACTATTAAAATTGATCACTAAAAGAAATGTTACCTTTAGAAAATCAGTGGATTATTTATTTCATTTTATTTCTGTATCAAATATCAAGATGCAAATTATTAATTGTTGAAAAGAGATAAGCTGGGATATTTTATATGAAACAAGATCACATTCCTAACAATTGTTTTCCGTGTGGTGGCGACTCCCCAATTTGGAGGAGGGAATGGGTGGGCTGGTTGGTTGTCCGGTGGGGGGTGGGCTTTTGTCAACTTCGGTCTGCTCGCCGCACTGATTAACATTTGAATGGCAATCCATGTACGAGCATTTAGAACATTGTGTCCGTGGCTCTTTGTTGCTGTCTCCACATCTAATTAATTCCCCTTTTCGACCATTGTTGCCATGGAGTCGGTGCCGCTGCCCCCGCTAATGGTAATCGCATTGGCAATCGCGATGGCAATGGTAATCGTAATGGTCCAACCACCGATCCAACTGCAGACCAGCGGCGAAGTTAGGTTCTCCAATTCAGTTTGTCGCGCCATATTCTAACGATCGGTCGGGTTCGGTCCCCAATAAACCATCAGCAAACCATAATCGCTTCAATTAAATTTCTTTAATTTAAAATCCCATTAAACGGATATCCTTGCAGCATTAAACGGTATTGAAAATAGTTAAGTGGCCTTAAACGGTGGCCTTGAAATCCTGACTTTAATTAACTGTTGCTTAGATAGCTGAGTTATAAAGAGTGTATCCTTTGAAGGATATTAATTTAACAAGACTTTTAGTGTGCATAAAAGCAAGTGTTATTTGTAAGAATCTATATCTAGTTGGAGGTGAAACAATAAACTGGATCTAAGGATAATGATTAATGTTAACCCTTAGGATCTTTTTAGACTTTAAATGAGAGCATATTTCAAAAAGATTGTTATGATATAGGATGTTTTAGTACAGCATGTTCCATTGATTGTTGGAACCAAGGATCTTCTATACCCTTTCATATCTTTTCCAAATAAGTGTATAACCTCTCATACCAAATTTCACAATTCTGGGAAAGCTTTCAGAATTTAAAGTGACACTTTCCAAGTACAGCCACCACTTGAGGTCAATAGCTAACGTTTTCCAAAAACTCACTTCGCTTTTGTGCTGCGGCTGTGCGGAGAGCATAAAGAGTTGAGTGGACAATGAGCCGGAAGTGACATCCGGAGTTGCGGATCGATATGAGTCGAGCGACACGTAGCTTGGCTAGATTTTCGTTTAATGATCCAAATTCACGTTACGCATTGTGCACATTATGGCGGCAGAAAAGCAGAAATATATTTAACTATTCATGGGATTTTCCCCATTTTCCACCCACCACACACCTCTCGCTGCGGGGAAATTCTCCCTATTGAGGTCGCATATTTCATGTCATTTTGTCAGCCAATGAACTAATTAGATCACATCGGATAAACCAAAGCGACTAACCACAAATTCTGTTTCCAGCTAAACAGCACGCAATAGTTTCGAGACCCAAAACAGACCAACAGGTTGCGGCTGATAATGCCGCGATCAAGTTAGAAACCACCTTTGGAAGTGCTCTTAAATTGAATCATTGAGGATCGATCGCAATGAGACCCAGAAAGGAATTACACCTGCTGCTAATGGCCCTAGTGGTCAGTCTTAGTCTCAGTAAAATTAATGGTAAGTACTGGAGATCACATGTGCCATCACATGTTTAAAATTGTTCTGAAAAATAGTGGTCACTGTTAATTTGTTTTATTAATGAACCTTCCCAAAAAACTTAATAAATTAAAAACTATATTTTACTAAAATAACACGATTATATGAACAATCAAGTGAACAGTTTTTTTCTCTGATAAATTATTATTATAAAATCGTAATTTATGCTTAGGTCAAACCACCTGCAAAAACGGCTTAGGCCGAGTGCTCTATGAAAGATTGCCCAACCAGCAACTTCAGGGCTACGATGACGATGTGGTGAGGGATACGGCGCCACCATTCCGAGTGCTGGAAAAGTGTCAGGATCTGTGTTTGCGAGATCGCTCTGGCTCCAATAACCTGGTGCGGACCTGCACCAGTTTCGACTTCCAACCAGGCAGTCGGATCACCTCCTTTGGAGGGAATTCCGAGTACGAAGAGTCCCTGTGTTATTTGACCTCCGAACAAGCTGGACCCGAGGGTATTGGCAGCCTAATGCTGGTGCCCAATAGTGTGCACTTCAACGAGATCTGCTTGACCTGTAAGAGCTCTTGAAAAGGGTAAAGCAGAACCTATTTGATAAATCCAATCTCCTCCAATCTTTAGCAAGTCGACCAGAAAGGGAATGTCCCAGCAGGAGGTATGTCTTCGAGAGGCATCCCCGCAAGAAACTGAAGCTGCCCATAAGTGATATCAAGGAGATCACTGCTGCTAATCGCTCGGATTGTGAGGACAAGTGCCTGAATGAGTTTTCCTTTGTTTGTCGATCGGCCAACTTTGATTCCACCATGCGATCTTGTACGCTGAGCAGATTCACCCGACGCACTCATCCGGAACTGATGGAGGACGATCCCAACTCCGATTACCTGGAGAACACCTGTCTAAATGGTAAGCCAAGATCACAGGTCCCGCGTACATTAATTCATCCTGTGAACCATTGATTAGCCGAGAGGCGATGCGATGGACTGGCTGTTTTTGTCAAGGAGGAGAACAAACGCCTGGGTGGCCCCTTCGAGGTGGACATCTTCAACAACATGACGCTGGAGGAGTGCCAGACCATGTGCCTGCGGGCCGAGAAGTAAGTCATATGCGTAATAGCTCTATTTCAGAGCCATTTGAATTAATTGCCGACACCGCACCGCAATTTCGCACAGATACTTTTGCCGATCCGTGGAGTTTGACGACCAGAGCAAACAGTGCATACTCTCGGAGGAGGACTCCATCTCGCAGAAGGATGACATTAGCATCAGCTCCAGTCCCACACACCATTTCTATGATCTCGTGTGCCTCGATAATCGTAAGTGGCTACCGTAAAGACCCTCTCGTGTGAGCCGAGAGAAAAGTCAACAGCGACAACAAGATTATAGTGGTGCATCCCATCACAACGGTTGCATCCACATCCACATACATTTCCCCCCGACCATCTCCACATCTACGTCTATGTTATGTTGTATTCCCGTTGCAGAACGAGCCAACGATTATCCAGATAACTCAGTCACCTCGCACCTCTTCTCCAGCGGCCGGCGGCCAGATACAGCATTCCAGCGGTACCGCAACTCCAGGCTGGGCGGCGAGTTTCACTCCGAGATCACGGGCCGTTCGCTGAGCGAGTGCCTCGACGAGTGTCTTCGCCAGACGAGCTTCCAGTGCAGGTGCGTTTCCATCCTCGGACGATGCCGTTGCCGTTGCCATTCTAGTTATGATACCCTCGCAGAAAGTGTTCTTGGTTCACCAAAAGCTTATTACAGTTGCCTTATTTTTGAAGCAGCTAGTTAGTTTGTTGGGTTGTAAAATTATTTCATTTAATATGGTAAATATTTTGTTTAATCATAAAAACGTTCAAAGTAAATGATACCCAGGAAGATAGTATTCTTATTTACCCGAATATGATACCACCCAACAGTCCTGAAGTAAAATTGGAAGGAAAGTACTACTATTACATTTATTCTAAAAAAACCAACAAATATTTATATTTATGTCATTTATTAAAGATTAATGTAATGAACCAATCAGTAACGAGAGGATCCGTACAATCACTTTACATAACTAGAAGATTATTTAATAATATATTACTTGGTAGATAAATTAAGATATATATTAAAATTGAAATCATCGTTTTGCCACTACGATTTCAAGAAGCCTTACATTATCTAACAGGGTATTCCCATCTTCGGCTTGCATTGTCAACCCAGCTTTCTGGTTCTCCTACTGCCTCACTAACCAAACCACTCTATCCTCTCGCAAATTACAGGTCTGCTGTGTACAGCGATCGTTTTCGTACTTGTCGCCTGAGTCGGTACAATCAAAAGGACGGCATGCGCATTATATACGATGCTGATTATGATTACTACGAGAATCTAATGTGTAAGTGGTTAGAGGAGGTGCTAATAGCGGGCCAGTAATCCCTGACTTTGCTGCTGGTTCTATCTTGCAGTGAATGTGGTGGGCGGAGGCGCCGATGGCGATGGTGGTGGGCACAGTGGCGGCAGCGATGGCAAGCGACCCGGGGATCAGTCGGGCAGCAACTGGAGACAGCCTAATAAGCACGACGATCGCTACGGGTCAGGTGGTTCAACTGGCGGAGGAGGAGGAGGATCGCAGGGCGGGACGGGATCTGGCGGCTCAAGATTGCCCGCGGGCGAGGGCGTCGACTATAACAGACCATACGATCGTTATCCGGACTTCGCGGGCAATGAATATGGTAGGTTGCTCATTGAATGATTTTAAATTCACTCTTGATACACCATTTAATCCTAACCAGACCGCAATCCCTACGGCGGAGCTGGCGCCGATCGCGATAGAGATCGCTATCCCCCCGATCGTTATGGATCCAGATATCCAGCTGGAGGAGATGGAATGGGCTATGGCCGACCCTACGATCGCTTCCCGGATGATTATGGTAAGTAATCTTTGCTTTACTCTTTAAACCCTTTTAACCCTTAATGTCACAAACATAAAACGAGATCACCTCATTCTAATTCTACTGACAACTAATTCACTAACCCCCACGTCAGATCGGTACCCAGCTGGTGCGGGTGCCAATGGCGATAGAGACCGCGATCGGGAAAGGGATAGAGATCGTTATCCAGGACCTGGCGAAAGGGATCGAGATCGTTATCCAGGCATTGGAGACAGGGATCGTTATCCAGGAGCGGGTGACAGGGATCGTTATCCAGGCGATAGGGAAAGGGATCGCTATCCAGACCCTTATCCACCGGAGCGTTATGCCGACAGATATGGAGATCGGCGATATCCGGACAGGGAAAGGGATCGGGACCGTGACAGGTTGCCCTACCGCCCGCTGCCTTACCCCGGAATCAATGACAACAGTCTGCCCAACGACCTGCCGCACACCCGACCCTATCCCACCGATGATGATGCTCCCTTCCGGCCGTATGGATATGGAGGAGGTCGTTATGGTGAAAACAGATACGACAGTCGTTATCCCCCGCGTTTTCCACCTGGCCGCGAACGAGATCCCGTGGGCGGCTATACGGGCAGAGATGCGCCGGACAGCATTTTCCCGGACAGACGCTACAGGCCCTCGTCCATGGATGGACCCAGGTATCCCTATTTGCCAGACTCGCGGGGACCACCGGGCAGATACGATGATATAGTGCACAGTGCCAGGAGACCAGAACCGGATTCAGCCAAGCGATATCCACCAGCGCCAATTGCTCCAACGGGCAGTGCCAGCAAGTATGCCTCCACTCCAAACCGGTTTCCGGTAGGTAGCGATCGTTATCCCATTGACATCTACAAATACGGCAATCGTCCGAGACCCGATGATCTTGGCAGACGGCCTGGTAAGTACTTCGGGACGGGACTAACCAACTACCAACTCGTAACCCGTAACTCCTTTGGTGGCCAGTAGAGATGAGAAGATATATATGTTAATTGGTATACCCACTTACTACAGGTCTAGAACGTCCACCACCACCTTTCTACGACTACGACTACGAAGAGCGGTATGGCGATAGATACGCCCCCTACGATCGGGAGTACGATGGTCCGCCGGGCAGAAGACCTCCGAGCGGTGGCCCTTATGGACGCTACGACAGTCCCTTCAATCGTCCCTATGGTGGCAATGGCCTAGATGATCGTCCACTTCCCCTGCCTGGACTAGGTCTCTCCCATCCACCCACTCCCTACGGAGGTGGTGGCGGTGGGGGAAGTCACGTCGGTGTGGGCGTGGGTGTCAACTCGGGGCCCCCGCGACCTCCGATCACCCGTTGCGAGGAGAGCGACAATTTCAAGCAGATAGCCGCCAGGCACAAGATGCGTCGCCACTTTGTGCGACGAGCTCTAATCGTACCCAGCCTGATCCAATGCGAGAGGGAGTGCATCGAGAGTCGGGACTTTGTGTGTCGCAGCTTCAACTACAGGTGGGTGGGGACGGGATGGGATGGAGTGGGAGATTCAAGATAAGCGATACACGAGACGCTACAAATTCACATTGCAAATTTCAATTTGCAGAGACTCGGCCGCCTCCAGCTACGAGGACAGAGATAGGGATCGGGATCGCGAGTCGCCTAACTGCGAGCTGAGCGACAGAGACTCGCGGGAGCTGGACATCCACGATCCGGGCACCTTCGACGCCTCCAACTATGATTTCTATGAGCGCAGCATTGGACGCAGTGATGGAGAGTGCATGGACGGTGGGTGGAGAACCTATTGAAATGTCAATTTATCTTACTGAAATAAAATGCATTCTTTTAATGATCTAATCCAGTGACGCAAACGTGTAACGAGGAGGGTATGGAGTTTACTATCCGCACGCCGGAGGGATTTTTGGGACGGATATACACCTATGGATTCTACGATCGCTGCTTCTTCCGCGGAAATGGGGGTACTGTCAATGTACTTAGGCTCAGCGGACCGCAGGGATATCCAGACTGCGGAACTCAGCGGGTAAGTTCCTTAGTTGATGTAGACAGCTTAGACATCTAAATATCTAAAATATAACTAAAATATACCTTCAATTGAATTGAGATTGAAATGTCATAAACCTTTATAAAATATCTTTTAGTATGGTGACACGTTAACCAATATAGTGGTGGTTCAGTTCTCGGACAATGTGCAGACCAGCAGGGATAAACGCTACAACCTGACCTGCATCTTCCGTGGTCCTGGAGAGGCGGTGGTTAGCTCTGGTTATATAGGAGCAGGGTAATGGGGACAATCCTTGAACCCTCACAAACTTCGACTCACCCAGCTACTTTCAGATCCGGCAGTCCCATACCCATCGAGTATCTGCCAGCGGAGAATACGCTCAGTTCCAAGGTGCGTCTGAGTATCTTATACCAGGGCAGACCCACTACCACGATTGCCGTGGGTGATCCACTGACCTTCCGGCTGGAGGCGCAGGATGGCTACAACCATGTGACAGACATCTTTGCCACAAATGTGGTGGCCAGGGATCCCTATTCCGGACGCAGTATCCAATTAATAGACCGCTTTGGCTGTCCGGTTGATCCATTTGTGTTCCCTGAGTTGGACAAATTGCGCGATGGCGACACTTTGGAAGCCCGCTTTAATGCCTTTAAGATACCCGAGTCCAACTTCTTGGTCTTTGAGGCTACCGTTCGCTCTTGCCGAGAAGGATGCCAGCCGGCCTATTGTCCTGGACCAGCGGGTCGTCAGGAGCCATCATTTGGCCGCCGACGAAGATCCCTGAACACCACCGAAGAACCCGAACCGGAGGCACTGGCCCTGGAGGGCAGTAGCCAAATGGAGGCGTCTACTTTAGATGAAGTCACCGTGGTAAACAGCACTACAGTAAGTGCCACTTTGGGACAGGCTCCTGTAAATGAGACCCAAACGGGTGATAAGACTAAGGAGGCTGAGGAACCAGAGCAAGTTCGGGAAATGATTGAGGTGATTTAAAGTGATAATTAAGGGGCTTAACCATGTGCTAATAAAATCGCTTTAGGTCTTTGAAACCCGCGAGGAAATCGAAAAGGAATCGTATCCCCGCAAATTGGTGGCCCCTGTGGAAACGGTGTGCATGACTCCGGCTGAGTATCATGGCTTAATCACAGCCATTATCCTACTGATGATCTTGCTATTCAGCATCACGCTGGTGGCTGGTCTAGGATACAGGTAGGGTGTACTTAACAGGCTGAAGATTAATGCTAATTGGGGCTTTTTGCAGACGCTACTGGAAATCCATATCTAAGAATCGACTCGTGGACCGCCACTCGCCGATCCATTCGCTCGGACACTCCCATTCCTCCATACGCACCCATGAGCGCTTCACAGAGATCGGACATATGCCCAACCTGAATGGTGGAGGAGGTGGTGGCGGAACTGGAGGCGGAGCCAATCAGAGCGCATCGAATCGGGCCTCAAACGCTTTTCGCACCAACATGTCCATGTTCGGCGGCTCATTACACAAGACGTTTGCCACGGGGTGAGGAACGGCGAGTCCGCCAAAGTCGCCAAGACGCCAATCGCCCAACCGGTCCACTTATATGGGGTGTTTAATGTCTTTCCAGCAACTTGGCGCGCATGTGCCAGCTGCCAGTGATAAACCCGATGCGAAATGCCGGCCAGAGTGGCCACCAGTTCGAGGATCCCAGCGAGCCCATCTACACGGATCCCTCGCTCTTTGAGCGTTCCAGGCAAGTGGATAGTGATCCGCAGAAAGAGTCCCCTACCACCAGTCGCAATTGTAAATATGTTCGCCTTTTATTCCGATTTGTCTAACCCGTCACCTCACTACAAGGGTCTGCAGATGCAGAGGCCCACCTTGTTGCAAAGTCCATCCCGTCCGCCGGCTATTTGGCAGTTGGTACTGCACCAGTCGCCTTGCAACTGGCACAAGCCACTGAACGTGGGCATATCACCTGAAACTGCACCAGAAGTTAGCTCCCAACTTAGGCACAATCTTCTGTTCAAGATCAAACTTACTTGCTTGGGCACCGACTAAACAGACTAACAAAATAACCAGACAGAGGCGTAGGTATTCCATGCTGATGTGCTGTCAGATTCAGACTAAAAAGCCGAGCTGCGATGACGATAAGCCGTATCAGTCACGTGAACTTTGAACTCACCACTCTCCGTGGCTCTCTAACGAAATACTGGGAATCATATTAAAATTACTGATTAACATGCATTTGTTTTTTTTCGCTCACAGATCGCTGCGAAGTCTGACCATGGTGGCCGAGTCCGAAGACAATCAGGAGGTCTGAGATCCAAACTCCTGTGATTAGTTGTAAATAAGCTAAAGGTTCTAAACTCCAGTTAATCAAAGACAATCTGACAAATATCAATACGCTAGCTAAATGCGTGGGAGCCTCGAATATTCGATGGTCCATCAAGTAGCCTAAGAACTGCACCACTGACCAGTATCAAAATATTATGATCTTATGCTATTTAACATAGTTTATCTAAGCCTAACAACAGAAAACACAAGCAAGCAATTATTCTCTATACCAGCTAAGATATGAAATGCAATAAAGCCTAAACATATCCATATCAGAGTCGACTTTCGTTCTGCCTAGGGGAATGCAAATGCGGTTATTAATCAGCATACGTGAGGTGCAGTGGCACATTGGGCGGCTTTGCCGTTCGAGGGTTAACGAGCTTGGCCAATTGCCAGTTGCAGTGGCAGTTTCCGTTGCAGACAGTAGCCAGCGGGGTTTTGCGGTTAGAGTTGGAGACTGCTTTCTGGACAATCAGAGGAACCAGGAGGATTGGTCAGAGGCCAGCAAATAAATCAAGCAACAGGGCGGCTACTGAACGTAACCGTAAGGAAACCTCTGCAGCTTAGTGGGTCAAGAGGCTTTCCTGATGTATGTAATGAATAATAATGCTTCTTTACCCTGAAGAAACTGACCTACTTTGAAAACAATACGCATACAAAAAGATTAGCATATAGCCCAAATATCAAAACATATGAAAGAGTATAAAGCTCATATATACAAACAGATTTTAAAGTTCACTTCTTGGGAAACTGAGCCTAGAGAGACAGCACATTATTCCTTTCCTTTGCATACAGTTTAATAAACACTTTTGAATAAATTAAAACCACTTATAACTTAAAAATACATATATAAATTAATGCAGATTCGGAATCCCATTTGGGCCATCCCGATTGCTGGTCTTGACTAGCACAGTTGAAAAGCGATCGACAGCTTTGCAAATGCCTTCTTGGTGGGATTTTGGACCAATGCGACTCAATATTCTGACTGAATAATAGCTAACTTAAGTTATGAATTATATAGATTACACTATTTACAGAAACTAAGGGGCTAGCCCTTTAATCGTCGAAGAACAGTATTTCTAGGATTCGTTTTTGTGCACTTTTCTTGCGCTCCTTATTCATCTTGAGGAGCTCCGTGGTGACCAACTCGCCCAGCAGATGCTCCGACAATCGTTGGACACCCGGATGATTGGGCGGTGCTTGGAATTTCCCGAAGTTTGAGGGGTGTGAGCTGGTGGCCTGGTGTGGAAACTGCTGGTACAACTGGAAAAGGAAGTCCGTGTTTGACGGAAACATGTTCTGGTGCTGCTGTTGCTGTGGCTGCTGATTGTTGTGGCTGTTATTGGCGCTGTTGCCGCTGGTATTATTGCTCCCGCTATTACTGCCACTGCTATTTCCATTTCCATTACCACGCTGCATGTTCATCGAATTGCTATAGTGATTATCGTTCTGCATCAACACCTGAGGCTCCATCAGATCATGGCTATTGTCATCGGAATCGTCATCAGAGTCGTTGCCAAAGTGGCTGCCATTGCTGGTCATCTGGTTGTGGGTACTGCCATTGAGTTGTACCCGGGGTTTCTTCATGTGGAAATTGCTGGATGCCGAAGAGTCCAGGTCATCGCCCTTGGGGTTGTAAACGTTTGACGGATGCATTTGTAGGTTTGAACTAGCGCTGATGGAACCGCCTGCGGCACTGGAAGAGGAATGTACCACCGGAAGTTGCTGACCAGAAACCGGCGACTGTTGCTGGGATTGCTGCTGCTGCTGTTGTTGCTGTTGCTGATGTTGCTGCTGCTGCTGAGGATGATGGGTACCCGCCCCAATTCCTTGCAACGGCGACGAAAGCGGTGATTTCATAGAGGAAGACGTGGAGGTCAGGCTGCCGGCGCTGGTCTGGACGCCATTCACGACCACGGAACCGTCCTTATACTGATCCTGATATCCTTGCGAAGAGTCGGCCATCACAGCGGCCACGGCCGCCGCCTGCTGTTGCATTTGTGACTGTGAGATGTGCTGGAGCTGCTGCGAGGCCACGGCCGCCGCGAAGTCCCTGAAGACCTGGTCCGCCTCGATCTTCACCTGGCCATTGACGTTTTCCAGCGCCGAAGCTGCCGCTGTACTCAGAGCACTCATGGCATGCTGCTGATCTGGCTGGTGGTAGTGGTGGCTCTGGCCCGAGCTGTTAAACTGAGCCACATTCTTCATGGAGCCATTCGACTTGTCCACCTGGTACTCGTTGTAGCTGGAGCTGTTCGCCGACTGCGGTGAAGTTAGGAAGTTCGGCACATGGCGGTAGGACTTGCGCGGCTGGATGTGCTGGTCCAGGAACTTCATCTTCTCCAGGTAGGGACGCGACAGGTGTTCGTAGACGGGTGGATCACCCTGCTTTCGCTGGGAGACGTACCGCTCGCGCAGGTACTTCCACCGCTTCTTGCACGTGTCCACTGCAAAGGAGGACAACATTAAGATACAAAGTCTGGCCGGAGGAGCTCCTCATCCTCACCGTCCGTGCGCAACTTCATCGCTATCAGCTGCCAGGCCTCGTCCTTCGTCTCGTACTTTCCGCCGTTGGCGCCTCCGTTCAGGTAGTACTTCTGCCGGTTGTAGATCACCCCGTGCTGCGCCACCTCGTCGATTAGCTGCTCGTCCATCATTTTAGTTTAATTCGCGTTTTTAGCTGCCAATTTGCCTTTGGTGTATGTCAGGCCATTTCCAACACTGGCTACAGGCAGTGTGCCAGTGCGACAAGAGCGCGATTATTGCCAGAAGTAAAAAAATATTGGGGAAATACATTTATTTTTTATGTTGGCTTAATTTATTGAATTTTAGAATACAGAAAATTAAAAATCCAACTCCCAAGAATTAAAACGTTTTGGGAAAATCACAATCACATATAAGTGAATTCAAAACATTTTAAATGGAAAGCACATTTGCTTTCAATAATAGTCCCAGAAAAAACTTTATTAAGTTTTACCTTAAATGAATCAGAAAATGTCAAAACAAAATTATTTACACAGTTATTACTTTGACTTTTTATCAGTATTCAAAAACAATTAAATTAAAAGAAGATCTTAAGAAAACCGGGTAAAAACCGTTATTTTTTTATTGTACTCATAAAAATGAAGAAGTATTTTGTCCAAAGTCATGCCTTGGTCACACTGGCTATTTCGTACCCAAGTTGAATTGTAGTTTCGTTTCGTGCGGATAGTTATCAGTTAAGAACCGTGAATTAAAATGTTTAAACTGGCCCGTATGCTCCTGCCGCAGCAGCGGATCCTCGCCAGCCCGCTGCGCCTCCAGCGCCTGATCTCTACCAGCGACGAGGTCAACTCGGAGCCCATCCTACCTACCATTGGCGGCCTGCCCTCCGAACTTGTCAACGAACAAAAGCTGAAGAGAACCAGCAGGTAATCAATCTTACCGGTTTTCGCACTTGACCTTTGTTTTGTTTACGTTTCGACCGGTATATGCATGTATCGGATGCCTGATTTGGGCGTGATTTCGGATGCGGAGTTTCTCGGTGTTAATGTGGGGGAGAAAGTTTGTACCTACTTATGCAGTCACGTAGGCCAGATCTCTATATATGCGCCTGTGTTAGTTCTGCACTCTATTGTTCTTGACTTTGTTTTGTCCACAGAACCTTATCAACGCTCCAAAATCACTCGGTTCCCATAGCCGCTCGCGTCACGGTGTCGAAAGATGAGAGTCGCGACTTTATGGCCGTATTCCCAGGTGAACTGCGTTTACTTTTGCCAATTATCATGCTAATACTAATGCTAATTCTATTCCGTTTGGCAGATCTTGTGCGTGACATCACCACCGTGACGAAGACGTACAATTGCAACGATGCGGCCAAGTGGTTCGCCCAGGTCCTCCAGTACAATGTTCCCAGGGGCAAGAAGAACCGAGGCATTCTTACCGTGCTTACGTATAAAAATCTGGTTCCCGCCCAGGATCTCACGCCTGAGAACATAAAACTCGCCCAATATCTGGGCTGGTGTGTGGAAATGGTAGGAGTCCATCACAAAGAAGTTTTTCCTTTAAATAAAACACATTATTGTTCTAGCTCCAAAGCTTCTTCATCATATCCGATGATGTGATGGACAACAGCACCACCAGACGCGGTCAAACCTGCTGGCACAAGGTGGAGAATGTTGGTCTGACCGCCATAAACGACGCCCTTATGATTGAGAACGCCATGTACGCCATTCTGAAGATGCATTTCAGCCACCTGGACTGCTATGTGGCTCTGATGGAGCTCTTCCACGAAATCACCTACATTACCACCTGTGGACAATCGTTGGACCAGCTCAACTCAAATCGCTGTGTCTCGGAATTCACCATGGAAAACTACAAAGCAATTGTGGAAAACAAGACTGCCTATTACTCCTTCTACCTACCATTCGCCATTGCTTTACATTTAGCTGGGTGCGACATGAACCTTTAATTTCCGAGAGTTTCTTTACTAATCCTGTTTTTCTTTTGTTTAGTTATAAAGACGCCGAGGCTTTCCGTCAGTCAAAAACCATTCTTTTGGAAATGGGTAACTTTTTCCAGGTACAAGACGATTTCCTCGACTGTTTCGGTAATCCGGAAGTGACCGGCAAAATCGGGACCGATATTCAGGACAACAAGTGCTCTTGGCTGGCAGTGGTGGCCATGCAGCGAGCCAATGTCGAGCAGAAACAAATCATGATTGATTGCTATGGCAAAGAGGGTAGGGTCAAATTAGCTTTTTGTCATTATCTTTTCTCAAACATTCGATTATTTTGCAGATCCAGCTAAAGTAGACCGGGTCAAGGAGCTGTACAAGGAACTGGGACTGCCATCCACTTATGCCATTTTCGAGGAGGAATCCTACAACATGATCAAAACTCACATTCAACAAACCTCTCGCGGGGTGCCACATCAGACTTTCCTGCAAATTCTCAACAAAATCTACCAACGTGACTCCTAAATTACTCGATTACAACGACTTAACAAGTGTGTTTTTAATTAAATTGTAGTTTTAGCATTTATATGGATGAACTGTTAGCATGGGCTCAGCAATTACAACCGAAATGAAATTTTACTATACATACAGTGTTCTTTTCTTAGTCGTCTGTAAAATCAAAAGGAGCAAAAGCCTTTCGGAAGTCTTCTACATACGCCACTTCTTCGTCCTTGTCAAGAAGGCAATCCTTCCAGTTGACTTTTTCGTCACAATTCAGCAGATTCTCCGAACAGAACACGTCCCTGGAAATAAGCGATTATTAGCAGTTGTCTGAAGTAAATGAGATCTAAACGCACCTGGCAAAATGAATAGGAAAATGTTTCATTTGGCGCGTAATAAGCGTGCTGTCGTCGGGCAACTCAGCTAGGAAATAAGGTCCCATTTCTGGTAGCATTTTCTCAGAGTCCAATGCCGGCAACGTCTCAAACTCCAGGTTAAATTCCTCCGCTTTGTCCTAAAGTTTTATAAAAAGTTGTAAAATAAATATTTTGGGAGAATAAGGGTTGTGTGTACCTCAAAACTATGTTTAATCTTCCAGGCATATCCTTCTTCAAAGGCAAGCACATTGATTTGGAGGTGGACAGACTTGTAATGCCGCTCAGTAAAGCAAACGACTTGTCCCAAGGTTTTAAAGAGCTTTCGTAGCGCTGCCTTAAACTTATTCAGCTCCTCCCAATCCTCAGGACTGAGTTGAGCTGCGCAGGGAACATGTTTAGTGGACAATATCATGACATGATGCTTGTTGATGGGTCCTTTAGCCAGAGCCAGATAGAAACGTTCGCCCACAGTGATAATGAGATGCTTCTCCACATCGGGGGATGATAAACAGAACCAGCACTTATCTATAATAAAAGAGAAGAAATTTAATAAAAATGCAGTTTGTTATAGACGTTTGAAAACAAACCTTGCTCAATTTGAGGTATTTTCGGGCGTTTGTCTTTTCTGTTATTATCTCCTCTCACTCGCTTGCGACTGCCACCATCCATGTCATAAAAGTACTGGCGATTCTCAGACTAAATAAGGTAAAGTTACAGAATTAGTTAGATATTTCACCAAGGGTAGTCATCATCATACCGATTCATTCTTGTTGATGGCGCCACCTAAATCTAAGCCAATAAAAGGACATGGTATTTCGTTGGTTGTTTTTTGCACCAGGTCCAGCAATCGTGATTTATCAACTGGTTTTAGGGTAAGTGCGTAAATGTACTTGGCTTTCTCGGCATTTCCCACATCCGCCAGGGAAATAAATCGAGTGCAAAGCTCGAATTGGGTGGTTTCATCCTTGGGCATCCGAAAGGGAGCACTCTCGTAGTGGCTTCTGGGGCAGAAGTGATATCGCGGCTTGATCTCGCGGCAGAGAAATGATACCAGTTTGGATGCTGTGGCCTAGAATAGAAATTGTGTTTACAAATAGATGAATAGTGAAATCTCTAGAGAGACACATACGTTCTCCTTCTCCTGCATCCCGAAGGGCCATTGCGATGTGAGGAGGACATCCACTCCTCGGTATTCCGTGGAGCAGTTCTTGGACACCAGGCAGGAGTTTCGAACGGCTAAAACATCGGCTTTGGTGAACTCATACTCCGAACCAGAGGAATCCCCAGAGCTATCTGCCTCCAACCCACTTAGATAGGCTATTTTAACACCACTGCTCAGGGTGTAAACTCCACGCCTTCCAAGATATGTGAGATTGGTGCAGATTTCACCATCCGCCAAATTTTCAAAGTATGTGCCATGCTCCTTCTTGTTGGGCCCCAGGATGTAGGTGGGTACAGTGACTATGAATTAGAGGGTTATATAAAAACTTATACATGCTTATATTTCCTTCTACTTACTATGTTTAAATCCATTTTTGTAGGCAATCAATTCCTCGTTTTGTTTTTCTTCGCCAAAGAAATCACCAACACAACACAGGATTTCAAACGGTCCCGCCTTTTTGTTGACCTGCTCCACCCGTTGGAAAAGTTGCTTAAAGCGACCCCGCACATCGCCCACAACTAAGCTAGGAGGAATAAACAATAATAAACGATTAATTCATATTTTTAATCCATGTTTTATTACTCACATTTTGGTGCCCGCGTCCATTGTTATCGATAACTCAGCAATCGATTGTTACTTTACTGTAGAGTACTGCCAACTTGTTGTAGCGACAGGCGCCATTATTCAAAGTTTAAATATATATTGTTTTTTTATACTTACTTATCTAGTTAAATATCAACCAAATTTCGAAGTTGCTTAAACTAAACTAACTAAATTCAATCATAATGATCGCACATATTACTCGTTTTCAACGCCATGACACACTTTGCAGCGAAATTCCCAACTCCACAAATTTTCGGTAATTGCTGTTAAATTGACCGGAGAACGTTCTATGCTTATATAACGAACTATAACCTTACTGCAATGTCAATGGCCCAAAACATGACATTATTTATGACATTGGCCCCAAACAGCAGTAGATTGCAACAATGAACTTTTGCTGTGCCTTTCTGGTCATGCGTGGCTAGCACAATTAAGTGGCCATTACTCTTTGCGTTCCAATAGATGTGGAGCTGCGTGAGGGATATAAAATGGGCCTTTCGACTACATTTTCATATCAGTCATTTTAGTCAGTCAATCGAAGTAATGTCGCCCAGTCAGATTTTTTTGATCTCCGTTTTGCTTGGAGTTGCACTAAATACTTTTCAAGTATTTGGCCAAACCACTATTGATTGCCAAAGACCGCCGCAACTTGTGGTGGGTTTTTATTGTTTTTAATAGAAATGTGAGGAAATACTTAGCAATATTTATATTTTTTTTTAGGATCCTGCACTTTGTTGCAGAGACGGAGGACGTGACCAGATGTCAGAGCAATGCGCCCAGAGAATTCTAGGAGCTGCAAGTGGTCAAAAACAAGGGGGACCTCCATCTCTAGACACTGCAGCTGTAAGATTTTTTAGGAGAATATTCAAAAAACCTTAAACACATTAATTTCTTCATAATTTAGTGTCTGGCTGAGTGCATCCTAACATCTTCTAAGTATATTGAGGAACCACAAAAACTGAACTTGGCCAACATACGCAGCGATCTCTCGGCTAAATTCTCCAACGATACTTTATATGTGGAAGCAATGACGATGGCTTATTCCAAATGTGAACCACAATCCCAGCGAAGATTGGCTATGTTCCTTCAGCAACAGCAGCAGCAAACCCAGCAGCAACCACAAAGATGCAGTCCGTTTTCCGCCATCGTTCTGGGATGCACCTATATGGAATACTTCAAGAACTGTCCGGATCATCGGTGGACTCAGAATGCCCAGTGTGCTCTTGCCAAAGCATATGTTACGCAGTGCGGTTTGGGTGCTTAACCTTCCGATTCGTTTGAGACAGAGATTGTATATACAAATTAGTAAATAAATAATAATCAAGTATTTTATGTTTTTAAGTTTATTCCATATAAACGAGTCAGAAGTGAGTTCAAAATTCAGATACAATTTTAGTATTCTAATCAAATGTTCAGTTTAAAGTAACGGCTAATTTAAATGGGAGTGTGCCCAGGTTGCCTAGTATCGGTCTTAAGTAACAATAACTGCAGCCTCACTTTTCAATTTATCGATGTATCGTTATAAAGTAAAATTTTTTCTGACATCCGCAGCTTCCTCTCAGTCGTTTTTTTGTAATTATTGAGATAAAGTCGCAAGAAGAACGTGAAAAATCCAGTGCAGACGCTGCCCAAGTGCTCCTTAAAAGACAATCTTGAATAATATCAACATGGTCGACCTCACCGACGCCGGTTCGCCGTTCCAGCAGTCCATTCCCGACTTTGCATTTTATGTGCCGGCTGTTGTTGTTTTTACCCTGGCAGGTGAGTCCACCCCCTCCCCCATCCATCTTGGTATCGACCCCCTCCCATTCCCCCTATGTTATGCATGTTATAACCTGGTCGAAATCCCGACCGCAAATTGGGTCAAAAGACTTTCACCAAGCGAGCAACTCAATCTGAATGTTAGCCCCCTCGTAACTCCCCTTTTTTAACTACAGCTGTTGGATGTGTCATTTGTGTTTGGTTTTTCGTTCCTATCTTATTTTGGTTTGAGATAGTTTTATAGATTGGATTGTGATTTTGGCAGTTGTCTTACGTGTTCTATACGGCCATTCGGTGCCATTCCGGTTTTCTTGCCTACGTAGCCAAAAGTTTGTGGGTTTGAAGAGCGATAAGGGCGGTGTGATAAGAATTCGACCTGCCACCACTCAAAAGTCGATGTAGTACAGTCAAACCTCTGGAAAATAGAACTACTTATCTATTCAATAAACGAACAGAAATAGAAATAGGTTTTTTAATACAGAATTAATATCAAAATTTGGAATTGCAAAAACTTAAAAGGGAAAAACTAGCAATACAGTATTCTCTCTATAGCCGATTCTGAAACTTTTATCTTAACTTTAAAGAAATAAACCATAAACTCTTAGTTTCTATTAGTACGTTCTTTAACATCAGCATTCACTGTATATTTTTAGTAGGAACAAAGATTGGAGATAATGATGTTGTTGAAGTTACGGACATTATTAGGCATAATCAACTTTAAATTTCCATTTTCTGTAAACTCTGTAAAAGTAAAGAGAGTGTATCTTAAATCTTTAAGTACTAACTGGCTAACTTTTTAGCTATCTGTCTCGTGGGTGGGCCTCTTAGCTTGGACTCTGTTTCAATATAGTCGTGTGTCCGGCAGTGATTATTGGCTCTCCCTTATCGCACACAATATATATATATATGTACATATATATAAAGTATGCTCTTCAACTTCTTCGGACTACCTTTGAAAATATGCTGACGAAAGCGAGAGGCAAACCAAAAAGCGCAGCGAAAATTAAACTAGTGGGCATATCTGAGAGTAATGAAATATAACCGACTGATTACACACGAGGGGCAGTTTATTTTCGTATTGATTTTAATATACATTTTATAGAGACTCACTCAGTCCTCCTGAACAGCAGAAGCCGGAGCACGTAAGCACCGGCGATCTAGCGCCAAAATTAAATAATATTCAAAAGTGTGCAATCTGGGGGGGGGGGGAATACTATCTATGATTTGTTGAATAAGTTCTATACCCAATCGTAATTATCTCTGCATGCCGCGTGTCAAACTTGTGTTAAAGATAATCAAATCCATATAGCCCCAAGATCCGTTTAGTTTGTTTGTGCCACGTTGTTTGTTTCTGTGATTTTGTTTTTTGGCACCCCCTCCACCCCCCAGTAGCATGCTGAGACCCCAAAAAGCAGATCCGTAAACCATGATTTCCCATATATATACCACCCATTCAGAAGCGAACCGCTAAAAGCGAGAGCCCACAGAACACAGCCCGTAAATTAAAACCGAAAGCACAGAGAGATTAGATCATGGCTGAGGATCCGCTGAACCAGCAGGCATTCGCTGAGGACGTGGCAGCTGCCGCTGCGGCCGGAGGACCCAATGGTTTTGCCGGTCCCGAGCCGGGACATCCCGACTTCAAGATGCCCAGTGCCGAGGAGATCTGGAAGCTGGTCGAGGGCATGGAGGGCATTTCGGACGATGAGCGCGCCGAGCTGCGCGAGAGCATCTTCAACCCGAAGCCGCCGTCGCCGGAGGACTTCATGCGCCAGTATGGACAGCCGGCGGGCCACAGTTCCCGGGAGTACCTGGTGTTCTTCGTGATGCTGGCCCTAATACTGATTGTCTTTGGTAAGCGAGCGTCCTCCGGAACGAGCCATCCAGCCCGTTCCACCCTTATCGGGTGCGATATCGGCCCGCGCCCGCTTGGGCATGGGTTTCTGGGCAAAGGGGAAAGGCGGCGATAAGGTTTAGGGGGCCCTGCCAGAGCACTCACACACCCACGAGCCCCGGCTAGAGTGTTTGCCTCGTTTATAGGCGTTCGATTTTCGATAAGATAACCACCGGTGTGCGTAGAACTCACCACACAGACACCCAAGAAGCAGTACTTGTCAGAGACCCATGCCGTCCAGAAGTTGACACCTAGACCCCTTTCGAAAATCCCCCTCCCAAAAACATGAGTTTCTCAGGGCCCAATGACGAACTCGGCGTGATCGAGCAGCTCAAAAAGTCCGTGGAGGCGATTGTGGCCAAAACGGGGCCCAGCAGCAAGTTCTCGCAGGATCTGGTCAAGCGGATCGGCGATATGCAGAGCAAGCTGGAGTCCCTGGCCGAGACGGATAGGCATCAGTTTCTGGCCGAGATGAAGGAGAAGTTCCAGGAGACGATAGGCAGGATCGAACAGAGAATAGTGCAGCATGCCAACATAGCCCAGACCTACTCCAGTTCCATAGTGACGGCAGTGATTTTTCTCCTGGTCTCGATATTCGGTCTCAGTTCCTTTGAACTCAACTTACAAGCGAAATTACCTTACTAACTAGACTACCTTTTTTCCACATTACAGCTCTCTTCGGCTACAAGCTGTACAAATCCCTGACGGAGAAGGAACTCAAGAAGCAGGAGAAGCTCAAGAGCAAGCAGCAGAAGAAGGCCAAGAAGTCCAACTAGGATGAGACGAGGAAATCCCAAATGTAGTAACTTCCGGCCCTGAAACCTTCCATCTTGTTAATCAATACAATCGCCCTGTAAATGACTAAATTATGAACCAGTACACGTAATAAAATAAACCGTACCCCGTAACTCTTTTAAATGCCACGGTAATTGTGTTGTTACGAGGAGTCGAATTAATTGCCATTAAAATCAGCCATCAGGAAATGCAAATCGGTGTCGTGACCGAACTTGTTGCTGCCATCTAGGCAATCCTGGCCTCCGTTGTCATGGGAAACGCGGTCGTTTTGTCGAAGCGCCTCCTGTCAGGCTGCTATTAATAGCCAGATTCAGTTTCCAGTTACCCAGTTAAGCAGCAACACTCGCAGGAATCAACAACTTTTTCGGAAACACATAGAGATCATGTCCTACTCCAGCCGTAAGTGGAGGTTTGACCAAGAGTTCCCTACTTATACCCTATTTTTGCTCCCCAGGATTCGGTTTCGACTTCCACCTGCCGGACGAGGGATGGTGCTACCCGAAGAACGACATGCACTTCATCCGCAGCGCCGAGTGGGTGCCCGTGGAGAAGGCTGGCGTGGGTCGCTCCTTCGCAAATCCCAATGGCGTGATCTATCCCCGGGTGGTCGGCATGATTCCGCGCTACGGAGGCCATGTTCCGGGCAATAAGTTCCGAGTGGGCAACACCTACGGCCGCTCCACTATCGATGCCAAGCGTCATCTGGCCCTCAACCACGATTGAAGCGCCGACTCTTAGATCACTCCCTCACTTATAGCCAATCAAATTTGCTGTGTTACGCTTAGAAAAGCACCCAAAATAAATCGTATACTGTAGTGCAGCCGAATGAAGATATGTAGAAATATGGCATGATGAAATAAAATCATTCAATGTTTTGACTATATGGTCTTTATTTTCCAAATGTTTACATTTACAAATAATAAATAATCCTAGTGGCCAATAACTTACTACCAACACACGCACTCTTAAATGTAAAGCTTATTCCTCGCATTTTGTAAAAGTGATAAGAGCAAATTCAAATTGCCCGCCTTATAATGCTCGCTGATATTATATCGTTATCGTTAGCTTTTTGGTCTGCAAGATCTGGCAACTCTGGCACTGACTTTTAAACATTTTTATATTTCTGTACTTATTAACGTATTTAATGAGTAAATATATACCAAACCGGTACAGTTAATTGTTAAGGACATGTTTTAAGACTTTTTAAATATCCTTTTCTCTTTAAAAAGTCTAAAAAACTAAAGAAACCTCAATTAAAAAGTGTTACCAAGGCCCGATGACTGGTAAATACATTGTTTTGGTCCATTTATATTGGGTATTTTGCAGACCACCAGCAAAAGTCTTTAAAAGATAAGAGTAAATAACAAATCATTGTTAACAAACATATTTTATTTCATCATCGCTTTGATCCACAAATCAGCCACCTGTTAATAAGTAGTTATCCATCGTTATAGACCAAGAAAAGAATCGGCGAATGGTTAACTATGGGCCTTAATTTACTTAACATCTGGAGACGTGGCCTCCACACAAGTTCCGCCCGGTTGCAGGTGATCCGGAGTGCCACGCCCACCAAGCGGATATGCATCGTGGGCGCCGGACCCGCCGGCTTCTATGCCGCCCAACTAATCCTCAAGCAACTGGATGACTGCGTGGTGGACGTGGTCGAGAAGCTTCCGGTTCCCTTCGGACTGGTGCGGTAAGCAGATCTAGCTTTATAGGGCGGTGCTATTGGTTCCGAAACCGAAGCCAAAGAGTGGACCCACAATGGAGCGGAAGATGCCACTGAAGTAGGCTGAAAGATCGGGGAGAAGTGAGGAATATCCTCAAGCAATTCAAGACGACTACGTACCTCCCACTTGGTCAAGACTCCACAGAGGATTACCTGCTGTCAATTCCAAACTGGTGATCACCAAAAGGCAGACAACCAGTGGAGCACCTGGCATCTGCATCTCGGCAGCAAGACTGTGACTCCCTCTCCAAGCTCAAATGCTTTTATCCGCACCTGGTTGCGTGTCCACGGCATTCCATCGCACTTATCGACTAACGACTTGTCCCATTATGCAAATCACACATTGCAGCTTTGGCGTAGCACCCGATCATCCGGAGGTCAAGAACGTAATCAACACCTTCACCAAGACCGCAGAGCATCCGCGTTTGCGTTTCTTTGGCAATCTTTCGCTGGGCACGGATGTGAGCCTACAGGAACTGAGGGATCGATACCATGCCGTGTTGCTTACCTACGGAGCGGATCAGGATCGGCAGCTGGAGCTGGAGAACGAGCAGCAGGGCAATGTGATATCTGCTCGGAAATTCGTGGCCTGGTATAATGGTTTGCCCGGTGCGGAGAACCTCGCCCCTGATCTCAGTGGTCGGGATGTGACGATTGTGGGTCAAGGCAACGTGGCTGTGGATGTGGCTAGGATGCTCCTTAGTCCTTTGGATGCTCTGAAGGTTAGTTAGGCTTATGACTCAAATAAAACTCTTATACATACAATTACTTTCACAGACCACAGACACCACCGAGTACGCCCTGGAAGCCCTATCCCGCAGCCAAGTGGAGCGAGTGCATCTGGTGGGCAGACGTGGTCCCCTGCAGGCCGCCTTCACTATTAAGGAACTACGCGAGATGCTTAAGCTGCCCAATGTGGACACCCGCTGGCGAAACGATGATTTCTCAGGTGGCAATCAAGAAAATCTCCATGTTTTCACTTCCTAATGAGTAGATAATCTTCTCCAGGCATTGACACCCAGCTGGAAAAACTTCAACGTCCTCGCAAGCGACTCACCGAACTGATGCTCAAGAGTCTGAAGGAGCAGGGCAGGTCCTCTGGCCCCAAACAGTTCCTGCCCATTTTCCTGCGCGCCCCCAAGGCTATAAGCCCAGGGGAAATGGAGTTCTCCGTCACGGAACTCCAGCATGATGCAGCTGTGGCCACCAGTTCCACGGAGCGTCTTTCCTCGCACCTAATCCTGCGCAGCATTGGCTATAAATCCAGTTGTGTGGATGCGGGGATCAACTTTGACAACCAACGCGGACGTGTTCACAACATTGACGGTCGCGTTCTCAGGGATGATGCTGCGGGAACGGTGGACCCCGGACTTTATGTGGCCGGCTGGCTGGGGACTGGGCCCACTGGCGTTATTGTGACCACGATGGGCGGCGCCTTTGCAGCGGCCAAAAACATCTGTGATGACATTACAACGAATGTTTTGGACACCAGTTCAGCCAAACCGGGATACGATGCCGATGGCAAAAGAGTAGTCACATGGGATGGCTGGCGGCGGATCAATGATTTTGAGAGCGAGGCGGGCAAAGCCAAAGGAAAGCCGCGCGAGAAGATCGTTAACATCGAGGATATGCTGAGAATTGCGGGCGTCTGATTCCAGAACTCCATTGGTGATGGCTGACTATACTGTCTTTAGAACATGTCTAGCTTACTTTTATTTATCTGTCGTTTGAGGCCTTTGTTTATCATTGTAAATACATAAATCATTTATGGAACACTTGTAAATCCCTTTGTATCATTACTTAGTTTCTAAATTGCTTGTATAAGTTAAATTATAGTTAGTAAAATGGATCACGCCATAACGCCGGAGCCGCACTTGGTGCCAGGGTAAGAAATCTAAAGTTCCTTCTTATATTCTTCAATTTTGATTATATATTTATGTCTTATAGATACACGGGTCATTGCGCCCAAAATCGGGACAGAGTGGGTCGCACTTATGGCCGGCAGACGCACAAGTTACTAATAGATCCCTGCATCTACCATGCCCCGGAACTGATTGTGGCCCCTATTCATGCCAAGCATGGGCTTAAGGATTACCCCACAGAGCAAGAGCTGAAGATCCTGCGTACCCGAGAAGGGCTGGTGGACTCCGTGTACAGGCATCCCATTCTGCCGGGCTACGCTGGTTTTGTGCCCAACATAGTGAGTCAGATTGGCAAGCGGTATGTGGCCGCTGCATCCGCGGGAGTGGCTCGCCACGAGACCCTGATGGAGTGGTACCGCTGCGAGAAACGGACGCTGAGGCACCGGGATCTGCTGGAGAGCGGGAAGGGCCTGTTCGACCGCAAGATCAACGAGAGGCTGCTGCCACAGACCTACTACCGCTCACCGCTGATCCCAGTCACCGGAGTGTCCAAGGGCATCAAGGACGAGTCCTGTCCACCGCGAACCGAAAAGCTATGCTACAGCAAGTTTACTTCGCCCCATTTCCTCGAGGACGAGGATCCCGACAAGTTCATCATCAATGGATACGCCGGGCACATTCCCATGTCGGTGACCCGTTTTGGGGAGTCCAACAAGGTGCTCACCGGCCGGGCGCTTTGCAGCTTCTCGGATTACATGTACAAACGGAAGAGGGACACGTGGTGCTGCGGTCAGGACCTCAGCCGACCGGCCATCACCTGTCCGCCCGTTGGACACTTCATTGTCTATCACACGGACGACGGAATGAATCCAAGTTATGCAGGCCACGTTCCCGGAGAGACTTACAAGTTTGGACGAACGTATGGCAAGACCACTTACGATGCCAAGCGTTGGCTGGAGGTGCACAAGAATCTCACCGTGCTGCCGGAGGTGGCCAACCTGGATTACGCCTACTGAGAGGAGTTTATCTTTGGGGAATCCCCTTCGTGACGATTTCAAATTGTAACGCTTTTAGCAGAGTGCTGCCACCCCGCCGCGCAAATGCAGCATTTATCGTATATCTTTCACCTGGTCCCACCGGCGATTGTTGTGATGTATCGATACAACAACAACATCCCCAGCTTTCTATCTACGTCGTTTGTTGCAGCAAATAAATAAGTTTTAATTGATTGTGCGCTTCTAAAATGTACGAATTGTGGCTAATGCCGTGACCAACTGCAGAGCAGTGCCCCCGTGATCGGCAACAACATGAAATCGGCCATTTCAGGCAGCAGAAAAGGCCTAATGTGTCCACAAAACGCCAAAGGAAAAAATCTTTAGAATCGAATTCGAACAATTCAAACACACACACCTAGTGCCGAACCGTTCACACACCGCCCAGCAGTACAGTACCGCAGTGCGTGAGAGCAAGACGACCAGTGGGTCAGCAGATAACATACATTTGTGTACCTACCTCTCTTCCAAGTGGTGAGTTGAATGCCGATTATGCACCCTGCACGCGTCGCGTCGAGCATTGTATGCAATAAGTGAAGTGCAGCGCTGCGAGAAAAAATAAGCACCGTAGTGAAACAAGAAACCCCCAGATATACTCCCCGTGTGAACAGATCTAGGCAGCACCCCCATCGACCCCCCCAATTTTGACCGAGATTTATGGCGGGAACTTGAACGGAGTGTGCGCACAGGTCACTAACAAGTCGATGCGACCCCAACTGCGGTCGACTTGTTTATTAAGAGCGAACAAACGAATAAAAATAAAAACAAAAAAATATATATGTAATTTGTTGTAGCAGGTGAGACTTACGACTGTGTGTTGTTGGTATAGGAGAAAAGAGAAAGAGAGGAAAGCTATTCGTATTGAGAACGGGGGCGAATGGGAAACCGTGAAAAACCGCCAAAATGGGTTGAGTTCTTTTTGCATCGATTTTCCCGGTCGGAATGAAAAAAATGTTAAATTGTGTTTTTAAAATCTTTGACTTTGTCGGCAGACTGGAATACTTAATATCAATATATAATAATTATCAAACTGGTCATCTAGACAAATAAATTCGTATTATAACGGTATAAAAAATAAACAGTCGAACTTCCGTAACAAGAACTTTCTTTAACAAAAGTTTGTTTAAGGCGAATACGAGCAAAACAAAAGAACACATTTATACAAAAAAACATTTTTCTTTGCGAACGTAAACAATATAAAGTCAAACCTCCGTAACTCAGATTGCTCGCAGAGTGTATAGGTACTTTTTTTATATTGGCAACAGAGTGTTAAAATGCATTTAAAATCAATATAAAAAACAATGTTATTTTTTGGTCGTGATATTAAAATTCAACTGCAATAAATATAACGGCAATGGTAAAGACTCCACTGTAATTCGGGTAATAACTTCGGTACTCTTTTTTAATTGCAGAAGAGCGAGTGGAGTGATGAGCGAATCTCTGGCCTCACAAGTGGAGGAGACCAAGGTGTCCGAAGAAGATGGAGTAAAAGAGAAAGCTGAAGTGTCCACGTCCAAAGTTCCCGTGGGATCGGCCATGAAAGTGGTCACAGATGATACTTGCGATCAGGAGCAGGTGCACAGTGAGCCAGGAGAAAAGGAAAAACCCGCCACGGTGGACATAAACACACTCACCCCCTCGACGCCCTCGCAAACGCCACCACAACTGCTGGCCGCCGAAACTGCCACATCAGGAAGCACGGCCGTCATCCCGGAGAACATCCTGTCGCCGCCCAAGTCGGAAACCCAAACAGATGAGACCAACACGGCTACATCGACATCCTGCTCCCCGGCCTCCGAAGGCCAGCGATCTCCCGCGGCTGCACGTCCTCCGCAGCAGGAGCAGGCTAAGCCCACGGCTGCGGTGAATGGCTCCATACCAAAGTCGGGAAAGCCTCTCTCCACCGCTCTTAGCGGCAAGAAGCCCAGCAAGGCGGCGACCACGTCACCGCGAGCCTCCCGATCCCGCAAGCCCAAGGCGCTGCCCATGTACGAAAGCGAGATCAGCGACAACAAGGTGGGCATCAAGCTGTGCATTAAGAAGTCCGATGCTGGAGACGGCGCACCCGCTGGAGCCTCATCTCCCCCAGTCACTGTTCCCGCTGCTTCCAAGCCGGCGCGCAAGCGCGTGCGCAAACCCAAGCAACAGGACAGCGATGAGGCCGAGTATGAGCCGCGCAAGAAAAAAGGTGGAGGAGGTAGTGGCGGGGAAAAGAAGGTTTCAACTAGCTCGGATCCGGAGGCGGGCGTAGAGCCAATCGAGCAGAGTGTCTGGGCCCAAAAGCTGCCAGAGGAAGTCCTTTTCAGGGTAAGCATAAATATAAGTACCTAAAAAAAAAGCGAAAACTTATTTTAGTTTTATTTTTTTTAAAGATTTTTGAGCATGCTGTTGACACACAGGGCTGCCTGCCCACACTCTTTCGCCTTGGCAGAGTTTGCTCCCTCTGGCGCCAGGTTTCGCTGAGACCCACTCTGTGGCGCACCATGGATCTGACCACATGGGTCAAGGAAAAGTATCGCACTGAACTGAAGCTTAAGTGGTTTGTGGACAACCGCTGCAGTGCCTGTACAGAACTGAATGTTTGTAAGTGAGATAGATCTAGCTTGAAACTTTTATCTAACTCGAAATTATCACACTTCAGCCAATTGGAAAATATCGGACATCAATTGCTTCCTTGCCAAGTTGTCAAGCGGTTGCCCAAATCTTGCTGGCATTACGCTGTCCGGCTGGAAGGGTTTTACCTCGGATCATCTGACATATTTAGTGGATAACATGCACAAGTTGCAACGCTTAGACTTGAGCTCTATTAATGTAAGTTTATTCGTGTGTTTGCAAAATCTCTGTTTAATGTTAACTTGTATTCCCAGGTTGAGATGAATGCCAGCAAGAGTGCTGTGGGTGTCAACTCCCTGTGCAATGCACTACAGACCATGGGCAGTCGCCTGACACATCTTTACTTGGCGCACAACCGTTTGGCGGGAATTCCTCAGATAGTCGGAGTTCTTTCGGTGAGTATTGCATTTTAAAAGCTTATTTAATCTGGCTTATTGGCTTTTGTTTCTTATTTCAGACGCACTGTCCGAATCTAACGTTATTGGATCTCTCAAATGTGACCACTCAGGCCACATCACACGGCGTACTCCACATTGAGAAGTTGCAGCACGGCTGCCAGAAGCTAAAGGTTCTGCGGGTGACAAACTCTCACATAACGCCGAGCACGGCAACCATGCAGGAAATTGTAAGGCGACTTACGACCCTATTCAGTTTTTGTTTTACTAACTACATGCATTGTCAGATGGACTCCCCCGGCTTTCCGAATCTGGAAGAACTGTCCGTGGCTGCGTTGACGGACGAATCCCGCATCATAAGCGACGATCATTTGCAACGCATCCTGAAGAGCAGCTCTAAACTCAAGCTGCTGGACGTGCGTAACTGCACGCGGCTGACGCACGAGAGCCTTATCCGCCTACCAGCCTGGGATATCAAGCATTTATTCCTGTCAGGCTGCTCAGTGACACGAGACATGGGGTGGGTTCGATTGATTATCAGTATCAGAAAAGCAGCCTAATACAAAAATTATCCCAATTAGGTCGGGTCTGGAACTCATTGCCTCCAAATGGGCGCACAGTCTCATTGAACTGGATCTGGCCTGGGCGAATATGCAGCAGCCCATAGATAACGCCCTTCGTGCTCTTGCCGAAAAGGGCAGGGAGTCCCCGATGGCGTGAGTATATATTGAACTAATTAAACTATTGTGTGCTCATAATATCCAATTGCAGTCATTTAAATCTGTGTGGTTCGTCGGTTTCCGATGAGGCGGTAAAGGAAATACTGACGAATTGTCGGAAGATGAGCTCTATTAACCTGGCATCGTGCCGTGGACTGCCGCGGGGTGTTAAGCGCCTCATGCAGGGACCTCAGGAGCTGGGCGAACTGCGCGAGGTTCTGGGGGTGCAGCTGAAGAACAGCAGCGGGAGCAACTAATCCAGTCAGTGGGCGAGTCCACACACATCGGTTTTATTGTTGATCAGGCGGGCCAAGTTTAAATGTAATTTAAATTGTTGCATCCCTCTTTGTGCGAAGGGCGTTTAGCGCTTTGTTGATTTTGTAATGTAGTCGGCAAACATATTGCAATATTTGCAAATTTGCAATCGCTTGCATCTTCCAATAATGCTTATCTTGTTCATAGGCCCTAGTGTGTAATAATTGTACTATTGTACTAGTTTAGTATTCTCCGCACAGCGGCAGCAGTGGGATCCTCCCTTTCTGGAAGTTCCCGCATTTAGATGCTGTGCGAACGAGCAACCTTTTGTAAATGCAATATGTATTCATAATTTAGTTGATTCGAATTTTTTGCAGCGCGAAAATCATTCACTTTTGAGGACAGCCGTTAGCAACGATTTTCAATAATTTTTTTTATTATATAGGTACATCTATATATATTTACTGATTTATTGTTAAGTCCGACCATTGAGCGTTTGTAAAGTATGTATACAAGAATTTAAATTAAGTTTAAAGTGTATGTTTTGCAATACAAAAACAATATATTTACCATAAAATAGTCGTCAATTCAAAGTCGCCAACTAAGGCAATTTGTAGGATGTTTTAACCCGATAGAACTGTACATATTGGCGTTAGAGAAACTTTCCGATTGGATGTTTTTATATACAAAATAACCATTAATAAAGGTAACGCATATACCACACATAAATAACATAAATTAAAACAATTCAATTGTTAAGCATTATTAGCAGTTAAGAGACGGCAATTAAAGGTACATTTAATTTAAAATAAACGCAAACACTTTCAATCTACGCCCAGTATTATCTCTTCGGAGAAAAACAACGCGGTGCCTCGGGTTTATTGTATAATTTTATTCAAATATGCGGGAGATAATATTGCATTACGAGCTATGTACGGCCAAGACAGCAATTACAGTACGAACCCAGAGCTTGGGTTCCATCAGTTCATCTAGATCCATTGATCATCTAGTTCTTCTTTAGCTTGTCCACGTCCTGAATGTAATCGGTGCCGACCTTGACGATGGCGGCTCCTGTTCCCAATCCCGCCAAGGTCGCGAGCAGGGCGTTATCCTGGGGCAAGGCGGACTTGATGAGCGCCCAGGCCAGCACGGATCCCATGGAGAAGAGGGTGGCACCCAGCAGAGCGTAAGCTCCTCGCTTGTTATTCTTCACGTCCTTCAGATGGGGCCTGCCGTAAATGTAGAAGGCACTGCCCACCACAGCGGAGATAAGGAAGACGTTGGTCAGGTCCTTCTTGGGCAGGATCTTGGGCACGATCTGGGGGTTCATAACATTCACCGCTAGGGCTCCGTAGCTCACCAGGCCGTGGATCGGTATGTAGTAGTTAAACACATTATCTCGGGTGAAGGGCTTCAGGCCCACCTTTTCGCATATGCTGCAGGCGTCGTTAGATTGTGTGCTGGCCATTATTTTCGTTAAAAATGCAATTAATCTCTAAATCCCGGTGTGGTGGGGCCGATGGTCCTCTTCTTCTTCTTGTTATGTAAAGAGCAGAGTTGCCAAATCACCCAAAGCTAAAATTATGCCAGTCTTCCCTCTGCGGATTATCACGGTTTTTGGGTAGAAATAATAATGTTTTATATGTTTTGGGCAATATATGTCAGTATCTGTGAGCTTGAAGTATTTTTTAAATGTGTGATCTGACAATAAAGGGAATTTTTAAGCCTTTTAAGCCTCTTTTCGAATTTCAATGTTTACGAAGGTTACATTTTTGGCAAGCTTTTGAAAATCAAAAAATCTTGACAAAACTAAAACGTTTTTTAATTTGCGAAGAATTAGGTAATTTAGATAATAATTTAAAGCGTGCCATATTCATGCACCGCTTAAACTTAAAGATTAAACTTAATCATAGTTTATTTGGAAGTCAAATTTTCATAAATTTGCTACTTATTACAGCTTTTAAAAAATATTGGTGAACAAATGTTATGAAAAAATGGGTGACTTAACAGTTCTTCAATCTATCAACCATTTTAAACTCAGATAGTACTACACTAGTGAGTTTTCAAAAAAATTGTTTATTGCCAAAAACATGTTGCAACAATATCATATAGTTGAGACCCATTTTAATTTTCCTGACAATACCAATTAGGTACTTAGTATCATCACAATGCAAAGTAAATACCAATTAATACAAGCAGCTTTTTAATAAAGGAAAAACGACAATATTATGTATTATTTATGATTACTATATACATATCTTAAATTAAACTACAGCTTAGTGGTTCAGGAACCAGTACCTTTTAGAGCGGAAAGTGTCAACTCTGTTGAACAGCCGGCACAGTGTGCAAAACCAGGTGGCAACACCAGCCGGCGCAGGAGAGTGAGTGGGAGAGGGACAGAGAGGTGGGAGGACCGAATGGGGAGAGACAGAGAACGAAATAGGTGCGAAAAATTTGTAGTTGGCTGGAAATTCCTCGTTTTCGATCCGCAAAAAGTAAATATATCGTCCGCCGAAAAAGAGCCTCGATAGATGTGCGTGCCCAAAGAGCAGCGAACAGCCAAGACCAGCTCCTGAAGCACTCCAGTCAAGAGATATCGCCGAGAGCCACAGTGAAGCAGATCCGTGGACGACATGTTGACGCACAAAACTTGTCAAGCACGTAAGAAAATGCAGGTGAGTGCGCCAATTGGAAACGGGGGGTAGAGGACAGGGAAACAGGGAGGCAGAAACCCGAACCCAAAACTAATTCAATTAAACCGCCGGCGACAGGTTTCCTTTGTGATACGGGACGCCGAGGAGAAACAACACCGGAATGGCGTCAATGCCCTGCAGCTGGACGCAAATAACGGTAAACTATACTCCGCCGGACGCGACGCCATCATCCGTGTGTGGAACACACGAACGGACTCCAGCGAGAAGTACATACAGTCCATGGAGCACCACAACGATTGGGTCAACGACATAGTGCTTTGCTGCAATGGAAGGAACCGTGAGTTGGTCCAAAGATCAGGTTACTCAGTGATCTTATGTCTATTCTCCCTAATACTTAGTAATCAGCGCCAGCTGTGATACCACGGTCAAGGTGTGGAACGCCCAGAAGGGCTTCTGCATGTCTACCCTGCGCACCCATCGCGACTATGTGCAGGCATTAGCCTATGCCAAGGATCGCGAGCAGGTGGCCAGCGCCGGACTGGACAAGGCCATTTTCCTGTGGGACGTGAACACACTCACAGCTCTCACGGCCAGCAACAACACAGTGACCACCTCTAGTCTGACCGGGTCCAAGGACTCCATCTACAGCCTGGCCATGAATCCCTCGGGCACGGTCATCGTGAGCGGGTCCACGGAGAATATACTGCGTATCTGGGATCCCCGCACCTGCATGCGTAGCATGAAGCTGCGAGGCCACACGGAGAACGTGCGTTGCCTGGTGGTCTCGCCCGATGGCAACCAGGTGGTCTCGGGCAGCTCCGACGGCACCATCAAGGTGTGGAACCTAGGTCAGCAGAGGTGTGTTCAAACAATCCACGTGCATAAGGAGGGCGTGTGGTCGCTGCTGATGAGCGAAAACTTCCAATACATCATCTCCGGCAGCCGAGATCGCAACATCATTGTGACGGAGATGCGGAATCCCAGTAACAAGACGTTGGTGTGCGAAGAGCAGGCGCCCGTCCTCAGTCTGGGCTACAACATCGACAAGACGGGTGTGTGGGCCACCACCTGGAACTCGGACATTCGTTGCTGGAAGCTGCCCATGTACGAGAGGAGCACGATGAACTCCTCGGGAGGAATGGATGCGCAGTGGACACAGGGCGGCACAGAGGTAGCCTGCATTAAAGGAGGGGCTGCTATCAAGGAGTGCACGGTGCTGAACGACAAGCGTTATATAATAACCAAGGATTCACAGGATCAGGTCGTTGTCTACGATGTGTTGAGAGTTGTCAAGAAGGAGCAATTGGGGGCCGTGGATTACGAGGCGGAGGTGAAAAAGCGCAACAAGCAGGTTTACATTCCAAACTGGTTCACTGTTGATCTGAAAACCGGGGTAAGTTTAATGTCAGGTTAAGTTTATTGTATTTTGCTAATAATATATTTATCTGCAGATGCCAACGATTGTTTTGGGCCAGGAGGAAGTGGATTGCTTCTCGGCTTGGGTATCCATCGAAGCTGGACTGCCGGAATGCGGCGATCCCACAACAGAGATTAAGGTAGATACACGATTAAACAGTTTCTCAGTGGATTTTCTTAATGGCTATGCTTGATTTTCAGATCAACTATGGGAAACTTCTGCTGGAAGCTTTACTCGAGTACTGGACACCACCGCATAGCATACCACCAAACGAAATGGAGCCCGACATGCATGGCAATGGCTACTTCCAAGTACCCAAACACACGCCTGTCATCTTTAGGTGAGTTTCAGTGATGAAATCATGTTTTTACTATCACTAATTACTAAACTTTCTTGCTTAATTAAACAGTGAAGTGGGCGGCCGCACAGTTTGCCGACTTTTAGTGCGCGACGCAGCCGGAGATAGCGAAAGCACATTGCTCCACGAGACGGCGCCGCAGTGGGTGACCGATGTGGTGATAGAGAAGAACATTCCCAAGTTCCTCAAAATACCGTTCTTCCTGCAGCCCCATCCGCAAATGACCAAGCCAGAACGAACGAAGAAGGTAGCAGTCTAAAAAAGCTGTCCAAAGCGCAGTCTTCTTATATGCATTTTATACATTTTTTAGGATCGCCTGGTGGCTAATGAATTTATCCAGTGCCGCAAGGTCTGCGAGCATGTGCTAGAAAAGGTGCTGAATGCGGAGACCACCCCAAGTGGGGGTAATGCTAATAATTCCCTGCAGAATAGCCAGAGCGATGCTAACTCAGAGGGATCCCAACTGCCAGCGGAGGAACGCATTGAACTGTGGTGCAACGATGTGGTAAGAGGATGGCTGGAAATGCCTATAGAACATCTGGGTTCATTGTCAGTCTCTTCTTAGGTTGTGGACCCCAACATGGACCTGCGCACAGTGCGCCACTTTATCTGGAAACAATCGACCGATCTTACGTTTCAGTACAAGACCAAGCAGAATTTTAACTACGATGGTAAATAAGAGAGCCCACGCATAGATCAACACAAGAACACCCCTCACAAACACAACGCATTCTTGATTTCTGCAATTGCGATTGCCTAACCGAGAGTTGTGCTTATATATCCGCCCCATAGGTTCGATCGGGGATAGCCTGGAGCGCGTGACGCGCAAGTATTGAACGCTGGCATGTGATCTCCCGCCTAACCGAAGTAGTTCCAATGCATTATTGAATGAGAACGAGATTGAGCAGATCGATTAACCATTTGTATGTATTTATGCAATGTATTTGAGTTTACCTTCGACTTCTCGTTAGGAATACATATATGTACTTCAGATTCAGACTTATAAGAATTAAGCTTGCGACACACACGTAGATAAAACATTGCAAGGGAGTAACTACAGACATACCATTAAAACGTATTTGCATCTGAAGCATCTAGATCTAGAGGGGATTGCGCATATATGTATGTAATATTCACACTTGTTTCGCATTAGGTTTATACATAATTATATACATAGAACATAAGTTTAAGTAATCTGTTAAAGATACAAAAAATCAATGCAACGGCAGTAGTCCAACCTGTAAAACGCTCTATGCAAGCCAATTTGTACATAAGTAATAAGCGGAAAACGAAAATCAGGATGAAAATCAATTAAAGTTATTAAATTATTTGGAAATCGAGCCTGGCTCTCAATCCCTAAGACCCCCTGTTAACAACTATTTAACGTATGCTCCTAACGCCGACGTCTGGTGCCAGCTACGCGGGAATAGGACTCCATGGTGGTTAGCAGGAGGAGAAGTTGTTGCTTCAGCGTCGCGGGTATGTGGTAATTATGGATGATCCTCCTGGGCGCATTGCTCGTCCGGATTAGCCAGCGGGCCACCAGCCAGAGGCAATTTTCGCGCAGCGACCGCATCGGGAAGTGGATAAGCACCTGGCTGCGCACGTCGCAAAGCTGCTCCGGATGCTGTGGATTCTTCGGGATCCGCACCCGGATCGGCTGAAAGATCCGCCGCGAGCGTACGTGCATCCGTTCGCCCGTATAGTAGTCCCGGAAGAACCAGCTGTGCGTACTGAACGTGTTCACCCTGACCTCCTCGAAGGGCTTGAGGGTGAGGTATATGTTCTCCCGGTCCTGGTCGCACACCCAGTACAGATCCAGGGTACGATTGGTCGTGTTTACGAACAGCACGTACACCTCCACCACGAGCGACCCCTGGTGCCCCTGCCTCTGCCCCTGACCCAGACCCACCAGCTGCTGGCCATCGCGGTTGTTCTGCGCTATTTGGAGCGCCATCTCCAGCAGGGTGCTAAGCCGATCCGCAATGGCTACCAGATCAATTTTCGTTGTTTTTTATCCGCCCAAATTGGTAGAATTGAAATCAAAGCACCAGAACAACAAGTATAGATAAAATTCACTCCTTATCAGTTTACGGTAACATTTTTCGCAGCTTGTCAATAACAATGGGCACACTTTCGATGGGCGGTATATCGATAACGGGATGAACAGCTGACTTTCACCCACCTCTAATGAAAAAGTAAACAATTAAACACCCAAAAAAAAAACAAAATATGGCATTTTGCATAGCAGTTATTGGCAAGGATGTAAGTTATATTGTCGTTGTTTTAAAAAAATCAATAACCTATTAAATGCCCCAGAATGCCCCACTGTACTTGACGACAGCGGATATGGAGCAGGAACTTGATTTGCAATATCACGTACACGCCGCATTGGACGTCGTGGAGGAGAAGTGTTTAATTGGCAAGGGAGCTCCCGAGTCCAAGGAGCTGTACCTGGGACTGCTCTACTCCACGGAAAACCATAAAATGTACTTATATTTAGCTTAACCCATTGTATTTCTCTAACCTCAAGATTGAATCCTTTGCAGCTATGGATTTGTGACCAATACCAGGGTCAAATTTATAGTCGTCATCGATTCCAGCAATGTGGCTCTGCGGGAGAACGAAGTGCGAGCGGTGGGTTTCTTATACCATGTGAATATTATTTATTAAACCACTATATTTTAGATCTTCCGCAATCTCCACCTGCTCTACACAGATGCCATTTGCAATCCCTTCTACATTCCCGGAGAATCACTGACTTCCAAGTAAGCTGGCTTAATGAACCAGTCATCTATATATTCATTTCCTCAAATACCCTATTTCTCCACACAGGAACTTCGATCGCGCTGTCCAGAAGTTGATGAGCGGCAACGCCTAGACGTGGACTTAAACTAAACGAACAATAAAGTGAATTATTTATCAGACGCAGGTCTTGAGACCAAAGGTTTTTTTTGGAGGGATGTCAAGGTGACTTGACCAAAGTCCCGCCCGAAGCTAGATTCAAACAGAGATACGCACTAGAGCTACGCAAACCGGTCGCTAACTGGCTTCGGCCAAATATTATGCAAATTCAAAATTTTTGAAGAAAATAATTCGAGAATTAATTATATCTTTACAATGTGTCTGCTAGTTGACACATAGTTAGTTAATGTCTCCGTATCGAACTCGTCTTCCGTCTGTTTGTGGGCTTTGTTGTGGGATGCGCTGTGATCTTTAACTGAACGGCAATAACGAGGCTCACACATAAAAACATGTATTTTGTCTTATCTTATGCATAATTAATGAAATTAAATTCAACGCGTCACTTGACTCGAACTTGGGCGCCACCGGCTGAGGCAACCGAACCATCAGAGTATCATATAAAAAGCCGGCAAAAGTTCCAGTTCGATATCAGTTAGCCTTCTCAAGTCTTTCAACAAACAACATGAAGTTCTTCGTAAGTTGTTTTATTAAAAAGCGATCCTCAAGGGATACTAACTTATTGGATTCCATGTAGATTGCTTTCGCCTGCCTTTTGGCCGTTGCTGTTGCCAACGAAGATGCCAATGTCCTCCGTAGCGAGCAGGAGGTGAACGTGGATAACTTCAAGTATGCCTTGAAACTCGACAACTCTGTGGACGTCGAACAAACTGGTGAACTGCATGGCGAAGAGTGGATTGTTAAGGGACAGCAAGCCTGGAAATCTCCCGAAGGAGAGCCCGTTGCCATCACGTATGTCGCCGATGCCAACGGATACCAAGTGCTGAGTGCCAACCCTCCTCTGCCCACCCCTCCCCCAATCCCAGAGGCCATCCAGCGCGCTCTGGACTGGATCGCCAGCCACCCATCCAAGGAATAAGTTGTTTGTTATGAAATAAAAGCATTAAAAAGTATTCTCCAAGTGTCTCTGTTCTTCCCCCAAAGGATCCATCGCCTCCAAAATATTTGAATATTCAAAAATACCTCATTAACAGAACGAAACTAGTTTTCCTAATTTTATGCGCCATTCAGCAAGTGAAGGTCAGCCAGATAGAAAAAAAAAAACCTATTAATATTAGTATTTGAATAGGTCTGACAGATGGCTATTATGGATGAGATGCCCCTGAACTTGAGGTCTGCCAGAAAGCTTCCACTTTCGGTTTCGTTTTTGCTGACTAGGGAAGGCCGTTGGATTCTCGTTTGCATACTTTCAGGCATGCTGAACACCACCCACGCAAAACAAGATCTCAAGCTATGGATCAGATTTCAACATTTGCCTCGCCCAGGTGGTAACCGTATATGCAGAATTAATATTAACAAAGAACTCACAAATTGATAATTGCATTTGCATAGAAAATAAGCTTACCAAATGATGATAAATAGTTGGAGTTGATCCTAAAAAGTGGAAATACATTACCTATTTTGTTATCAGGCAATAAAGTTAAAAAAAATATTATACATTTCCTGGTTAGATCTATGAACTAAAAAACATTTTATTATTTTGACTTATTTATATCCTACTATCTTTATTCACCGAAAGAAAATCCTGCTTTAATAGTTTAAAAAATGCGATTTGGTACTGAGTATCATTTGAATGCGTATACAATTGATATTACTATAATATGAGTAATATTAATAAGAATTAGGTATACAATTGACAAGCAGCTGATATGATATTATTAATGTTTTAATAGAAACATGTTCTACTTATTGATTGGTGTAAAGCCATTTTTACCTTGATCTTGAAAGAACGTAGAAATGCTGGTTCAAAATGATAAATTAATTTTTTCTGTGTGGAGACATTTAGCAATCCCTATCTGGTCACGTGATCGCGATGGCAAAATCAGGCTCTTTATTGTCATAATTTCCGATGCAAATGCTACGCTTTCGGTCTTTGAAAGTGATGCGATGCGATGAGACCGTTTAAGTTGTGTGATGCAGAGTATGCCACTGCAATTATGATGACGTTCAAAGTGAATGCCATCGTAAATTACGTGGTGAGGCTGCCTGCAATGAGGGGCAAAAGTAGCAGTATCTAAAGTTACTAAAGTGGTCGATCCGCCGCGACGATCAAGGCTAGACCTCGTCGCCTGACAAATGTCAAAATAACATTGAAAAGTTGGCGCTCCGTTTACCGATTTGCCGCCGAATTCGTTAATTCTGATTCGGATTCTGGGTCGCTGAGGCTAATCGCTCTGGAAGCACAACATGAAATCCCCGACAGACTGCAAGCGATGGAAAACAAATCCGCAACGATGATGGATTGAGATGCTGAGAGGGCGATGTCAGATGCCAACATGCTGTCAGGGGATCGAATCGAATCGGGAGAGCACTGGAGGAAAAATTCCAACTAAAATCTGAAATTAACTTCTGCTTGATATATAACAATATTATGTGTGAAAATACATTTATTAAGGAACTTTATTTTTATAAAGAAAATATGTTTTTAATAGGTTTCCACAGTTTTAAAGCTAATTATTAATTTTTACTCGTATATATACACTTAATTATATCTATACATATCTTTTCAACCATTATAGATGTTTAAACATTTTAAAACCCCCCAAAAAAGTTAATTTATTCCTTTAAATACACTATGTTGTTAGAAATATTTTAATGCATATATGAAAACAATATGGTATTGTAAGTTTCAATATTAAATTAAGACATATTATTTTAAAATTCAAAAAAATAAACATTTTCAATATTTGCAAAGATGCTTTCAATTTAGGTTTAGTAAAATATATGATTTCCAGTTCGAAATAAATGAAAATTATTTTCTTTCTTTAACTGACAGTGTAAATATTCTTAGCCAGATGCAGCGGCAACCGAATTTCCCGGATTCTTTGCGGCGCCAAGGATTCTTTTCTTCGGCTCAGCTGTTGGCCATTACTAATTCCTGGCATTTTGAGATATGTGTCTCATATTTTTTCTGCTAATAAATTAATGAAAACATAAACAAATGGTCAATATGTCATCATGACGTCAACTTTTTGGCGGCTGCTTTGGCTGGCGCTGTCATAATTCGTAAACAACGTTTGGTTTCCTCAATTTTTCCAATATTCCATAGCCACATTAACAAATACGTTATTCCGAAAATGTGTGCCACACAAACAGTGATTTTATTAAAATATATAAATCAATTTGCATATCATGGCTGGCATTAAACAAAGCGAAAATTAATACTATGGCTGATTTAAATTTGAATATATATGTACGCGTGTAGGAAGCAGAATCGCAAGAGACAATATTCGAATCGTTTATAAAAATGTTTTAACACATTGTTCGTTTTATATTTCCATGTGAGAGTATTGGTGATTGTGTGTGGAATGATTCCATCCTCTTAATTAATGTCGATTTTTTAATTGCTCGTTAATTTGGTCGAGTTATAAAATGATTTTATGCGACCACCGTGATTGATTCATAAATCGTGTCACCGCAGTGAATTGGAAAATATGATCAGATTTGCTCCAATTATGAGTTGATATCTGATACATATTTAAATGAGCACCTCTTAACCGTACACTGGGGGAAATTGGTGAGTTGAACTTGGTCCACTTTCTGTTTCCATAAAAGCGAAACCGAAAAGCTAAAGTCGTAAAGCAGGGTTGGTTTTAAGTTTCAGGCGGAATTCTTAGTTTTTAATTTGCAATAAACAAAGACCAGTATCCATTGAAAAAATATAAAAAGAGATGTTTATTCAAATAAGTTGATTTAGGACTTTTTTATCATCATTAAGCGTGTTTAATTTTAACAGATGGTGACACCGCGTTTGGAACTGGTTTATCATCAGCATGCGATATTATCATTCCATGCGCCTCCGAATCTTATACATTTTTTCCCGCAGTGCTGCTTAAATATAGTCATTGTTAAGCTTAGCAAACCACTACAAAATCGTATTGGGTGGGTGGATGTGGATCGTCTGCTCTTGGCGGTGGTGGCATTATTGGTGGCCAGGCACAGTAAATTTGGCCGGAGCTCAATGGTTTTACAGTGCTTTTCGTATTTTCTTTTCTTTTTTCACTCCACAAAAATTAGAAACACATTTTAAAATTTCCACACGGACTTGTGTGTGCGTGCACCTCTTTTGTTTATTTCCCCTAGTTTTATTTTCGAAATGCTGTTGAAAACCATAAATTAGCTTGTTACTTTTGGAATGCCGGGCGATGTGTGTGGGTGTATTTGGTTCTTGGGGATCTCTAGAGCTAAATGCAGAAGTGGGGAACTGATTCAGTCGTTAGCGGTGATCGATCTGGTGAACAACTAGCACAGGATTTAACATGGACAACATTGTGAGTGCAGCGGGATTAAAGGAAACCTAAAGGATAGCCATTCAAACTTTGAGAAAGGCTCATAATAACAGATATAAAGTACTTAAGCGGGTTTTAAATATTTAAATGTATCATGTGAAGAAGTAAACGAAGTAATTTTGACAGTATGCAATTTCATTTCCATTGCATTGAATTTAAAATACAATTGTTACACCCCTAGTTTAATTGGTTTTTGGTCTTATAATTAAATAAAATTCCATTAATGAGTGTTCCAAAATATTATCTACTCTTCAGGATGAAGACCTGACCCCCGAGCAGATTGCCGTTCTGCAGAAGGCATTCAACAGCTTCGACCACCAGAAGACTGGCTCCATTCCCACCGAAATGGTGGCCGATATCCTGCGTCTGATGGGTCAGCCCTTCGACAGGCAGATCCTCGATGAGCTGATCAACGAGGTCGATGAGGACAGTGAGTATTGGATGCCTCATTCTGTCTGTCTGTTTTCCCCCACTGATCCCCGATCGTGTTGCAGAGTCTGGTCGCCTGGAGTTCGAGGAGTTCGTCCAGCTGGCCGCCAAGTTCATCGTGGAGGAGGATGACGAGGCCATGCAGAAGGAGCTGCGCGAAGCCTTCCGCCTGTACGACAAGCAGGGCAATGGCTACATTCCCACCTCCTGTCTGAAGGAGATCCTCAAGGAACTGGACGACCAGCTGACGGACAAGGAACTCGACATGATGATCGAGGAAATCGATTCCGACGGCTCCGGCACCGTGGACTTTGATGGTGAGTATGCGGACCAATTAGCCGCCGTCAGTCGGGCGATAAAATTCTCAAATTCTTTGGCCAGTTGCCAGGGTGTTTTCCCCTCAAATTATATCAATTTGTTGGTTGGAGCTCCTCACCCCGTTGTCGTGGGGAGCTGCCCTTGTATTGTTTTATTTATAGATCTTTAGATCTTTACACAGAAACAAACAGATATGGACTAGATTTTAAGAAACTCTCTCTAAAATAAATACATATGTGTAGGTTTTTCTTTGTCTCATTTTAAAATATTACTCACATTTGTTTTCATTACACCAAAAACGTATTTAGTGTTTACCTTTCATATCAGAAGTATTCTGTATGATGCAATAATTCTCTAGTTCCGTTTGCATTGAACTTCAGTACATTTATTTAAGTCATTAATTAAAAAATTTATTAAAATCGGGACTTGTAAAAATTCAATTCAATATCATTGAGTAACATGTTTTAAACAAAACAAATTCTTTGCACATAATATTTATTTATTATTTTTTGCACATAATATTTATTTATTATTTAAAACGACATATGACAAACCTTATTAATTGTTCAACTTTCCCATCCGTTTCATTCATAGAATTCATGGAGATGATGACTGGCGAGTAAGCATTTTGGACCCATCTTATCTTATTAATGTCTACTACCCACTATCCACGAGGCTTGAATAAACGTTTTGTATTTGATTTCTACAATTGAGTAATCATAATTACGCTATAAATAATCCGCTTGTTCAGGAACTGCTGAGGTAGAAAAACCCGAAGCGCGTCAAACATTCTATTGCTGCAGTGCATCTGCATCCGAGTTGAGTCATTTTAATTGCCACCCTCAAGCTGCGGATTATTATTATTTTTCGATGTTTGTGCAATGGGCTGGGAGGGGGCGTGGTCGCCGGCTCATTTGTGTGTTAATTTGGCAAGGCCACTCGGCGTATGAGTGATGCATGTTGCGCATACGCAACGTGGACTCACTGTTGGTTATTTTTTTGTTCGTTTGCTTATTTCTTGCTTCGATTGGTGGCAGTGCGTGCAAATTCCTTTTGCCACTTGGCTGGCGTTCTGGTCCGCGCAGCTGTGACCATCCCATGCAGAATAAAATCCACTGACAACCTGCGAGTCTTTTGGTTTTTTGCCTTTCCAAACAGTCAGCGTTTTGTAGCTGGCAAATGTCAATGAGCATTCTCCTTGTTGCCGAAAAGATGTCAAGCATTTACGCTAAACTTGGCCGCCGCGACATGCAGTGAGTTTTTCCCAAAAGGCGAAAAGAAGCAACTGCCCTTTTCGGAAAAGCTTACAAACAGCAAAAAAAAAAGGAGAAGGGGCTGGGGTTGGATGGATGTTGCCACCAAGTGGAGCAACTTGTTTTGCGCAATGGTAAGCCTTTCGGCCGGAGGGTGTCGATATTAGTGGTATTTATTACCGTTTCGAATCCAGTTTTCGTTTATCCCAATCATTAGGTGAAAGGTCACAGACTGGACGCCCTACGAAATAAGAAACAGCTTAGAGGCGATGGCAGCAAGTCAGATTTATTGACATCCGTCTGGGCAGACTTCTCAATATGCGATTCTTGACACCAGGCGCATTAAAATGGTTTCCCAAACGTGCAATTCAATGGAGATGAAGCTGAATGATGATGATGCGCTCGAGCGTTGAGAGTTTCGATTGGATTCCAATTTACGAGCACCACCAGCGGCAGTTGCTTGCTAATTTTTACCCACTAACCGAGGAGAGATGTGGCTGAGAGCGTTTGTTTAACAAGACAAGGTACATTGAGTAAACGAGATGCCGCCGTTGAGACAATAGTCGAACCCATGCATCTCGGCTGCCCCATGCCTCCTCCCTTCGGCGTGCGATTGTCTTTTTCTGTTATTTTTTTTTCTATGCCTCAGCTGGGGAGCCCAGCCACCAGCAACCAGGCACCACCACAGCTGCACACGATTGCAATAAATGCCATAAAGTATCAAAATCTCAGCACTCGCTCAGCGCCAAAGCTGCAAGCTCCGGCTTCAGATTCAGATTCAGCTACAGCCACAGCGTTTTCGTTCATTCCATTCCATTTGATTGCATTTGGCGCCAAACCAAGTATAAAAGCTGGAGAACCTGGGCTGCGATCGGCACACAAGTACCGTGACATTCGAGGAGCCACAACATAACACGCGGTGGTGCAACTGCAGCAGAGGTGCAACAAAGGACTCACGTGGATTACCCCAAGTTTGTGGATATATTACTTTGAGAGGGCCTACCCAGGCCTAGTTTCGTTGTCAAGGATTCTTCTTTTCGGTTGACTTGGATTAAACAATCAAAAGTTTGCAGCATGGCTCTTAAATGGGTAAGTGCAGTGACTATGTTTTAGTAGAAATATATCCAAAAGTGTTAAGTGCAACAGGATTACTCATTACTGTTATCAACAAATTTATGTACTTCAATATTAAAATGCTTAAATAGATAAGAGTCCTTAAAGTCCTTTTATAAAATTTCAATGCTGGCAAAACAATACCATGAACCAAACCATTTTTCATGTGTTCATTTAGAATAGAATTTATTTTTTTGCCAGGACAAAACGTAAAGAGTTTTAAAAATCAGTCGCGGAATTTTTTAGTCCTGTCTTTATTTTAACCTTTAAATTAAAAAAAAACTTTTAAAAATGTAAAATCTAAATCTACAAATTTCACACATATATATTTTGTATAAAAAGATAAAGATATATAATGGGGAACAAATGGCTCAACTTGTTTAAAATTTGAAAAACATTCTTGCTTTATGAATGAAAATATAAAGCAATTGGTTAAATATATGATATTATGTCATCAGAGTTCTCAATTTCCTTTTGGCTAAACCCAATAGTCATGTTTAAACAATTTACTTCGAGTGTTAAATATGCAAATGATTTTGTATAAACATTTTAATAAAAGAAAGACATAAAGGGTAATAAAAAATTAGAAAAGGATTATTTGTGATGTGAAAAATTATGTCATTAGGGAAAATCAATTAATTAAAAGCATTGAATTCGCCAATCTGCAATTGGCATATTTTAAAATATCATCAAAGGAACACGTTTCAACAATGAACTCGAGGGATGCCCCATTAGCGAGTGTTGAATAAGCAAAGGATTTCCCCATGGCACTTAGCATATCCGCGATTGTCTGGGAAAGATCAAGTAAATTCCCGCAAAACGCAAAACGCATAAATTAACAGCCCATTTGCAATCGGATGGATGGATAGATGGGTGGATTGTGGATGGTGGATGTTGGATGGCACGCAAAGTTGCCCAAGATGGATCGGTCGTGGTCGACCCGCCCCCAAAGCAGATCATCTAAATGGAAATGGAAGCAGTGGCGACCCAATTGGCAGCCCATTTGCAATTACGGCAATTATATTTGCAGTTGCGAAACGCTGTCGAAGATGTCTGCTAGGTGGTCACGAACTCTGCAAAAGACTCCCAGAGAATTTGGCCAAAGGGGCAGGCGTTGGTTTCGGTTGCATGTGCCACAGCCGCCGGATGAGTCAGTGTGGCAAATGTCAGAATTTCCACATTATTGCATTATTTCATTATAACATTATTCAGCTGTGGCGACAACTGAGCTCATCATCGATGGAGCTGTTAGGTTTATGGTCTATGGCCAAATGGAATCCGTAAACGGTTTAAACTTCAACTTGACACTCCGCTCCGTTTACTTAACCTTCCCAGCATTCAGTTCTGTTCACACGCTGCTGCATCTCCGAGTGCCTGAATCTTTCGGAGGCAGACATCTTCTGTCTAACAAGAAGTCCATAAATATCAGAGTTCGCTTCAGGCTGCGACAACTGCAACTCTGATGATGAGCTCGATAGTCGTCAGTCCCGCCGCATTAGCAGCCTTAATGGGCGACTAAAGTATCGGTTGCAACAATGGAAAACGTGAGCGGATCGGATTGCGTTGCTCTGTCAATGGGCGAATGTTCCATTGATGAAATGGCCGACATTTGGCCACACTCTTGACCCCGTTTGAGGTCCCCAGTGGGGTCAGGTTACATACCTGGCCAACATCTATTACATCAGGGTCGCTTTTTTTCAAAGAATATTGTTTAGAAAGTAAGTCATTCTTTGGAAGGTCTTTAAATCAGTTAGTTTATCAAGTTTAAACTTAATTTAACTTGGGTTTTATATAAAATTACAAGGATATCATTTTTTTTTATAAAGAATCACATTAACTTTATTAAATTAAGGGGTAAAATAATTCTTCAATGGTTTTTTAAATCCAGAAAAGTTTTCGGTAATAAATATTTTAATATTGATCCTCTGATTTATATTACTTTTTATTCTGTGTCCTTGAATTATTCAATTCTCTTCAGGTTTCGACCTAAAAACATAAATTATTTTTTATTTAATTAATTAATTTGCCTCAAAGCAAATACAATTATTTACAACTGCATATTAAACAATTACAATCACACATATGTGAAAATCAAACTTGCTACTTAAAGTTTATACCCATTTGATTTTTATATTTCCACTTTTATGGAGGAAAATTAAAATATTGCCTACCCATAAACCCATAATTTTGAGCATATTAATGTGTTAATTTTTTTATTAGACTCCAAGATTAATGGGAGAGGTACGAATTTAATAACCATTAACAAATCGCAATATTTTTTAACAATTAGCCACCAATACGATTTGTTACCTGTATTTATTTTGCAATCATATAAGTCAACCCATCAAAGTGCATTGCTTCAGGCGAATTTACAGCGTGCATCGCGATGGCAAATGCTGGATTCGCATGAACTTTCCATGTGCCTTGCATAAATTTGTGATGCCCCTCTGCTCCGATCTTTTCCAGGCTCTGGTGATCACGACATTGGCGTTGGCCCAGTCCGCGAAGCTGGATAACAAATACCTGCCGCCACCTGCAAGTGCGGCCAGTGCGGGCGGTAGTCCGGGAGCGGGACTCCAGGGACCAGGAGGTGGCTTCGGAGGAGGCGGCGGACCAGGTGGCGGAGGCTTCGGAGGAGGTGGCGGACCAGGTGGTGGAGGCTTCGGCGGAGGTGGCGGACCAGGAGGCGGAGGCTTCGGTGGGGGTGGTGCCGGCGGTGGAGGCTTCGGCGGAGGAGCGGGTGGCGGCGGAGGTGGGGGCTTTGGGGGTGGCAACAACGGATTGGGTGGCTTCGCAAATGGTCGACCCATCGCACCTGGCGGTGGTGCCCCCGCTCCACGTCCCAGTTCGCCAGGTGGTGCTCCTCCGGCCTCTGGACCACCTATTCCCATCCTCTCATTTGTAAACGAGAACGACGGCGATGGCAACTATCGATTCAGCTACGAGACCGGAAATGGTATCAAAGCCCAGGAGGAGGGCACCGTGAAGAACAAGGGATCGGCGAATGAAATCCCCTCCGTGATGGGCTCCTACTCCTACACAAATCCCGAGGGTGAGGTCGTGGAGATCATGTACACGGCGGACGAGAACGGCTTTGTGCCCTCGGGAAATGCTCTGCCCACGCCACCACCTATTCCGGAGGCGATAGCCAAGTCGTTGGCTGCCCAGGGAATCTCTGTGCTGCCAGGTGGTGGATTTAGTGGAGGCTCAGGAGGTCAGGGTGAGTGGTTATATTCGAAAATGAAGAATAGGAGTGACTAAATTCTATCTAATCTCCAATTTGCAGGTGCAGGTGGCGGTGGAGGCGGTGGTTCTGGCTATGGAGGCGGATCAGGATTTGGAGGAGGAGCTGGTGGAGGAGCAGGTGGAGGCGCTGGCGGAGGAGCTGGTGGAGGAGCTGGTGGAGGCGCCGGTTATGGAGGCGGAGCAGGTCGAGGCGGAGGTCCTGGAGGTCCCGGTAAGTTTATTTAAATCTACAAAAATCCTATAAACTATTTTCGCAACTAACCAAATTTATATCTTCAGGCGCACCAGGAGGAGGTGGATTCGGCGGTCAAGGTTGGTGATCTTCAGCTAATTTACATATTTAGTATTTTTAAATCATTAATATTTTAGGAGGTGGTGGCGGATATGGAGGCGCAGGTGGTGGAGCAGGTCGCGGTGGCTCTCCCGGAGGACCTGGTAAGTAAATGATTCCAGTTTCCATGATTAAATTACAAATTGTTTTATTCTTAGGAGCTCCCGGTGGAGGAGGTTTTGGAGGTGGTGGAGGATATGGTGGTGGAGCAGGTGCTGGAGGCGGAGCAGGTAGAGGCGGCTCTCCAGGAGGACCAGGTAATTGATTCAGTTTTCATGATTAATCACAATTTTTATACGTCATGGTTTTTAAAAAATGAGAGAAAACAAGAGAGAACGCTATAGTCGGGTGCCCCGACTATCAGATACCCGTTACTCAGGTAAAGGGAGTGCGAGGGAGATGGAGATAGAAACTTTGATCACGCATAACTTTTTAACGAATGGTCCGATTTGAAAAATTTCTTCTACATTTCGATAGGTATTGATAAACACAATAAAACTGCATTTTTACTTTTCCGAAATATTTAAATTTTTAAAATCGTATACAAGCGATTGTGGGCGTTAAAGGGGGCGTGGCACCTTTTTGAAACAAACTTGCGCTGCGTAGGAACTCCTAGAATCTGCATGCAAAATGCCAATCTTCTAGCTTTTATAGTTTCCGAGATCTCAGCGTTCATACGGACAGACAGACAGACGGACAGACAGACGGACAGACGGACAGACGGACAGACGGACATGGCTATATCGACTCGGCTAGTGACCCTGATCAAGAATATATATACTTTATAGGGTCGGAAACGCTTCCTTCTAGCTGTTACATACTTTTGCACGAATATAATATACCCTTTTACTCTACGAGTAACGGGTATAAATACTTACAATTTTCTGAGATGGCCATTCACAGCCCATTTTATATAACAAATTCTTTAAATTATTTATTAACAAATTTTTGGATTTTTAGGAGCTCCCGGTGGAGGAGGATTTGGTGGCCAAGGAGGAGCTGGTGGCGGTTATGGAGGCGGTGGCGGCGCCGGCCGCGGTGGTGGCGGTGGAGGTGGAGCACCAGGAGCTCCAGGTTAGTAGAATACTTACTACTAAAAAACATTTCATTTACTATACAATATTTAATTTCTAGGAGCTCCCGGTGGAGGAGGATTTGGTGGTCAAGGAGGAGCTGGTGGCGGATATGGAGGAGGCGGTGGACGCGGTGGTGGTGGAGGAGCGGGAGCTCCAGGTGAGTTGAAGATTTGTTTATAAATAGCATCATAGTTGTAAAAGCGATTCTCGAAAATAAACCATTTCCTTATTTGCAGGATCGCCAGGAGGAGGAGGTGGATTTGGAGGCCAAGGTTAGTGATCCTGTTATATTTTAAATTTTGATCAAATTTAAACGAATGCATTTCTCTTAGGAGGTGGTAGTGGATTTGGAGGCGGTGGTGGACGAGGTGGCGCTCCAGGAGCTCCAGGTGAGCTGTTTATTCTCATTCCTACATCTTATCGAAAATAATCTACTTTTTATTTGCAGGATCTCCCGGTGGAGGTGGATTTGGAGGTCACGGTAAGTTATTTTGCCATATTTCATTACTCGGAGTTTTCAGATGTAATCTTTTTAGGAGGTGCTGGTGGATCAGGAGGAGGCGCCGGTCGCGGTGGTGCTCCAGGAGCTCCAGGTCAGTAACTGATTTTATATCCTTGTTAAATGATTTTTAAAAATATATGTTTTAATTGTAAATTTATAGGATCTCCAGGAGGTGGTGGATTTGGAGGACAAGGTTTGTTATCTTGATATATTACATATTACGGACTTTAAAAATATATATATTTTAGGAGGAGGTGGTGGATTTGGAGGCGGCGGCGGACGTGGCGGTGCTCCAGGTGGTCCGGGTAAGTAAATTACTACCTTAATTTATAACTTGGTTAAACTAACGATGTTTTTTTCCTATTTAAATTTTCAGGATCTCCTGGAGGCGGCGGTTATGGAGGGGGTGCAGGTGGTGCAGGTAAATAATATTCTATGACCTCATTTCGGATTACTTGTCATCCTAGGTTTTCGGTGTATTGCAACTGTAAAAGTTTAAAGAGTTTCTTTAGTACCAATGCGATCTTCATGGGAAAATGTTATTAAGACCTGTCATTAAAGAGTATGAACCCAGGCTTCACAAGAAAAGTGTTATTCCCACGCATTTCAAGTTTGTTTACCATTATTTTTGTTGCAAAGCCTTTGTTTACTGTTATACCCACGATCTACTAACGACCTTTCATAAATAATTCATTTTGACTTAAAAAGCGGTCCCTTTGTAGTCAATAGAGTCACTAGACAAAAATGATTTTAAAGATTTATTGCAGATAAACAAAAAAGCGATTAAATAAATTGAGTTTTGAGCTGCCATAATAATGTTATGTATTTTCAGGAGGCTCCGGTGGATCTCCAGGACGTCCAGGTGCTCCAGGATTGCCCGGCGGCAATCAGTACGTGCCACCCCCAGCTGGAGGCGGTGCACCAGGCTCGCCCGGAAGACCGGGATCAGGACCTCCCGGCGCAGGATCACAGTACATCCCACCTCCTCCTGGAGCGCCCGGCGGAGGTCGCGGCAATGGGGAGTTCAACCCTCAGACAGGCTATAGCTACTAATCGAAGATATAAATCCCAAAACGCCAATCAAATCTCTCAAATCGAAGAAATGTCTTTGCAATGCAGGCTACCCTAAATGTTCTCTCACTCGAATGGTTAATTTATTTATGTAAGCTTCCCCCTTTTTCATTTTTTAGACAATGTGTGTGTGCAATTATCGAAATAAATGAATCTTGAAAACTTGAAATCGCTGTTTTATAATAATTGCCCGAAAAAATCCCATTAAAATAAGGTAGTTTGACTTTTTAGGTGCATGTATTTCATGCCTTTGAGTTGCGACTACAAGTTTGGACTAACTAATCGTTTCAATTATATTAATTTGTGATGTTATTTCTTTGGGGACTTCTTGAAGCGTCTGCCATACTGGTTGTAGCCATAGGTGTCCACCAGGTTGTTGGGTCTGCCCCTCAGTTGTTGGGTGATCAAAGCCTGTTGCTGCTGCTCATTTTGCTGCTCCTTCTGCTGCTGTTGTTGCTGCTGTTGCTGCTGCTGTTGCTGGTTGAGATTCTGTTGCTGTTGTGCCTGCTGCGCCGTGAGATTGCTGCCAAAGGATTGCTGGCCAAATTGTCCGGCATACTGACCAGGCAAATTACCGGAATGCAGCTGATTGAACGGCTGATCAGGCTGATATTGCCCGGAGTTCGGTTGCTGTTGCTGCTGGAAATTGCGTTGCTGTTGCAACTGTTGCTGCTGCTGCTGTTGTTGCTGTTGCAGCGGGGTCAACGGCTGTTGTCCCGGAAGCTGAGGACGAAAGGGGGCATTGGGCAGCGGTGGAGGCAGTTGGCGGAAGGGCGTCTGATATGGATTCAGGTTTGGATTGATCAAGCCCTGTTGGTAAGGTTGGGCACCTGCGAAATACTGCGGAGTAGCAGGAATCCCAGTGCCCTCTGCCCGGAATCCATTCTCATCGGCAATATAACGCACAGTAATGGGTGTGCCCTCTGGCGAGGTGTAGGAATAGGAGCCCTGGATTACCTGTTAAAGTGGATATCAGTACATTTCAAAAGGCCCTTAAAAGTATGCTAAAGAATTTGTAAAGTTCTTTAGTGTTATGCCGAAAAGATTGCAAGGTAATGTTGCAGCTAATTAAATTCATTTGATTTTTTGGAGCTAAGAAATGTGAGGTTTTGGCATGTTAAAAACATAAGATCCTTTATCTCTATAGAGTGGTAAAATCGGACTTGTAAGCTTTTAGCTATTCCAAAAAAATGTTTATAAACAATTTTCTATGAAAAGCTTATAAGAACATACAAGTTTTAACAACATCTTTTTTTATGAATTTCTAATAGTAAACTTATATTGTATTTTTGAAGTAAGTTTTTATTTATATAGGTTGAGAAAAGATTTCAAATTTTGCATTACATATAAACTATAAGCACTCAATCAATTTGACACATCTTATTTAATGAAAACCACCATAAAAGATCAATAATAAGATGTCCTTAACATTCAATCATTACTTTTCTGATAGATAACAAGTAGTTAACCCACCTGAGCCTCCACGCCTTCGCCGTATCCCAAGTTCTTGACATATCCCTGAGCCTGGGCAGTGGTTCCATCGGCCGATGAGTATCCGTAGGAGAAGCTGCCATCCAGATTGAGTTCGTTTTGGTAGGCCGTGATGGGCACGTAGTTCTGCTGCTGGTACTGATTGTAGCGGGTGTAGGGATTCTGGAGGGCAGCACCCGTGAGCGGAGGAGCCAGTGGGTTCAGGGGATTCCGCTGACCACCCGGAAAAAGTCCCTGTCCCTGGACGGGATTGGGCTGGCGACGCTGGAAGGGATTGGCCGGCTGCTGCAGCGATTGGAGCGGTGGAACCTGCGGCCGTTGTCCCTGGAACCCGGTGCCTGGCAACTGGGCCTGGCCAACGGATAACCAGAGGACCACCAGGCAGGCCACCCGGCGCAGGTGCCGGAATCGCGGGGTTCGGGGTCCAGACATTTAGGCTGTCAGTGGGCGGGTGCCGTGGATCATAAATCTCGCGAACGGAGCACAAATTACACGCTCGATAAACCCGACGTCTCACTTTTCGAGCTGGGAAACACTGGCGATTCTCAGATTCGATCGCAAATTCGAATTCGAAGCGAAGCTAATCCGTTGCTGCCACTGGAAGTTACTGATCGAGAGTCGTGCCACGACTGCAAATGCGGCTCCCACTGGCGGCGGTATTTATGCGATTCTCGATTCTCGAGTGGAACAGGCCCTAAAGCTCAGCGTTATGGTCAGAACAATCACAATCGGCCGCTTCCTGTGCTCCTCGCATCACTTTCTGACTGCATCTCGATGGTAATCTCTTCCGAGCGGCCAGTGTAATTTATCTACGTGTTAACAAGCCGCTGGGGTGGCAGCTTTATTGGTTTTTTATCGGCCATTGACAGAAGGACAAACGAATTTCGTTTGGCTTTGGCCAGGGCTGATTGATATCTTCATGGTGGCCAGTTGGCCACTTGGTCATGTCTTCCGCGCACTTGTTTATGAGCCAGCCCCGATATGCAAATTCTGGGCTTTTTGCTCCAGCACTTGTCTTCGCATCTGCCCCGAAGGTGTTTGTCTGAGTTATGTGCTGACAGTGGATGCTAGATAGTGTATATAGTAGTGGATGACCCCCTCATTTTCCCGTGGTCAAGGTGGAAGTCGGACCTCAACCTGGTCTACAAACATCATTTGTCAAATGGTATCCGAGAGATACCATTTATCCGCAGGATAGCTTGAGAGTATTTTTCGGGCCCCTAGGTGTTCCATTGTTCCACGCTCCACTGGGATTATTCATCGGCCTGGGATTGCTCATGTCTAGGTGTGATGTGATCGCCATCACTCATTTATAACTGCCAAGCATCTGACAGATACATTTTCGTTTGTCATCTGTATGAGCTGCCATTAAAATTCGAACATGTCTTGTTCCATGCTCAGCTCATACTTTAATTGCATATGCTAATTCTGATGAGGTTTTCCATTCCGGAGCAGGGTCAATTTATGCGAAAAGGTTCGTGGGTTAAAATTAATGCTTGTTCATGTTGGATTTACGTTAAATGTATAAAGAGAAAACCCTTTTTTTCTCAATAAAGGCAAAAAATTTCCTATTAAAGTTGTTAAATGCTACCAAAAGTTTTTTTAGTCTTGCATATTCTAGATCCCGCCTTGTGAGCTGCAATTGTTTCTAGCTAATTAAATATGACATTCAGCCTAATAGTAGGCTACACAAAATTTAAGTTAGCTAAATAGCTTCCACATTAGGCATCCAAAACTTTAAAATGCGCTACACTTGATAACGACTAAAGATGTAAGCTAAAAATAGTCAGTAGAAAATTGTACAATTAAATTTTTTGTATTGCGAAAATCCGGAATAAATCAACTAAGTTTCGGGTTCTTGTTCAAAACTCTGAGAAACATTAATTAAATGTTGGAGTGTCATACCTCGTTGAATTTGCTATACAATTTCTCATCAATTGGCGTTTTTTAGCTAAAAAATTTATTTTTTTAAAATTAAAAAAAAAAACATGAATAAAAACAAGAAAGGAAAGCTAACTTCGGGCGGAGCCGAAGTTGATATACCCTTGCATTATATTCTCCAAAATTATTTATATGATGCATTCTTAATACTCATAAAAAATCCCAACTTCCTAACTTTAAAAACACCAAAGTTATGTCATTTCCCATCGTTCAGTTATATGGCAGCTATAGGATATAGTCGGCCGATCCTTATGAAATTTGGCAGGTCGGATTGATTGGCCAAAAATAAAACCCATAGATAATCCCAACTTCCTAACTTTACAAACACCAAAGTTATGGCATTTCCGATCAATCAGTTATATGGCAGCTATAGGATATAGTCGTCCGATCCTTATGAAATTTTGTAAGTTAGACTGATTAGCCAAAAATAAAACCCATAGAACTTCCTAACTTGCTAACTTGAAAAACACCAAAGTTATGGCATTTCCGATCGTTCAGTTATATGGCAGCTATATGATATAGTAGCCCGATCCGGCTCGTTCCGACTTATATACTACCTGCAATAGAAAGACAACTTTTGGGAAAGTTTCAAGCGGATAGCTTTAAAACTGAGGGACTAGTTTGCGTAGAAACGGACGGACGGACAGACGGACAGACGGACAGACGGACAGACGGACGGACAGACGGACGGACAGACGGACATGGCTTGATCGACTCTCCTGGTGATGCTGATCAAGAATATATATACTTTATAGGGTCGGAAATGTCTCCTTCACTGCGTTGCAAACTTTTGACTGAAATTATAATACCCTCTGCAAGGGTATAAAAAGTTATTTTCGATATCAGGCGTATAATAATTGGTATCTAACAGTGCAGTTTCGGCTGTAGGTCTCAACGTAGAACGTAAACAACTACAAAAATAAATATTCAAAAAATGCGTGGCTTCAATTATTTTTGTAACCTTAAGCTTTCGCATAGTTGTTTTCACCTAATGACATGCTCAAATGTGAGTGCCAAATATTAGTTATAAATATGTTTTGGTCCACATTGGCCAACAGTCGTATGATTGATTTGCCATTTGAATAATTCACGAAACTGGGCGAATAAATAGCAATAAAACAAAGCACCGAAATGCGGGAAATCAAGCGCAAAATGTGGCGATGCGGGGAGCGACATAAAAATGGCCCGCCAAATTTATGCAGAAATGCGAGACACAACAAGCGCACAACACAATGTTTTGTGGCCCGATGAGCAAACCGCATTAAAGACAGGTCGGACACTCCTCCCACGACTCCGACTGCAGCATGGGTTTTAGGCTTTGGGCCTCAGTCATTTTAGCCTCAAATCCACCTAAAAGTCGGACAGCGATGGCGACGGTTATTAATAGACTGCAGCCAGAAAGTTGCACCGCATCGCAATGGTTTAGATGTCTTAGATGTCTTGGATGATTTTCGCAGAGTGGGCCTGACATTTTGCAATTGTGAATTCCATTAGTGAGAAATTATGGCCGCCAGCGGGGCTAATTGATTCACTTTGAGCTGTGCGTAGTGCGACTGCAACTGCGAGTTCTGGCTTCGGGTTCCGGCTGGCAGATCTTGGCTAAAGGTTAACAAGTCGCAGCTCTGAATTATGACCTCGTCGGCATGGAGGCTACATTATGTTTATGTTGCTACATTAATGAGTTTCCACTTCTGTGGCAGGCGCGTCAAATGCCGCTCTGCAAAGTCACACTCGCAAAATTGGGTCCTGTCTCACATTGGAAAATTTTGTAAGACATTAAAGAGCATCTATTAATAGTATAGTTTTAAGGACAAACACAAACAGGACGAATATTGATGCGTTCGTAAGGGAAAGTCACTTTCCAAAAAAATAGATATTTAAACTAAAAAACAAATTCTAGAAATAAATGAAATAGTCTAGTATAATGTAAAATATTCAGTATAATATTTAATCTAAAATACAAATTTTGGAAATAAATGAAATAGTCTAGTATACTGTATTCAGTATAATATTCAATCTAGAAAACAAATTGAAGAAATAAATGAAATAGTCTAGAGTAATAAAGAATGTCTATATATTTAAATTACGAAATTGTAGAATAATAGGAATTGTCTAGTATAACATAATTTTTCTACATGTTTAGGTTAATGAATTCATTGAATGTTAAGCGATGCACATTTTTAGCAATTAAGTTTAAGTTTACTTTCGTTCTTAATATATATTTCAAACGATTTCTTCCAGTGCATACTTGCAGTAGTACTTGTTTCAGCTGGATTTAATCCAACTCCCCGACTGGGGAGCCACAAAGAATCAATTTATTAACACGTTGCCCGAGAGCCTGGCCGTTTTGGCAAGTGGAACTGGAAATTGGAACTGGGCGGGCCAAGGCAAATGCCAAAATGCAACTTCTGCCGCAGTCGGCTGCTGTGGCAGAGTTGCGAAATTGCTGGAAATTATTATTGAATTCTTTGTGCCTTGCCGTTTTTTTTCCGTCTTGGCCATAAATGTTAGCCGCTTCCCAAAGACGCCCGAGGTGCCCACCCACTGTAACCGAGAGTTACATGGCCCGGAATTCGCATGGAAGTCTGGTGGAGCAGTCAGCCGTTACCATTTTCGGCACCTTTCGCTTGCCGCAGTGCCAAATTGTGACAAATTTTATTAGCCAGCTGCACCTTTCCAGCAGAACCCACGCGATTCACATGTCTTTATGGATGCTATCTGCATTGTAAACATGACAGTTTACCAGCTCCACACTTCTAATTTCCATTTGAATTGCAAATCGGGGGTTCAATGAACCCCAGAAAAGCATGAAACTCGACCTGCTACTTTCTACTGACCTCAAAAACAGCATCTGTCGTTGCATAACTTTGTCTGGTGATCTGGAAGAAAGGTCTATATAACTGGCATCGCCAACGAAGTGCTATAAAAAGCGCAGAATCTTTTAGTATCGCTTAGTATTAGCATAAATCATGTTCGCATTGGTAAGAAGTCGGGAGCTCATGAATAGCCGAACGCTAAGTGACTTTGGTTTTTTTTTTTGTTTCGTTTTGGGTCTTCCAGTTATTGATCTTGACTTGCTGCCAACTGTGGAGTTGGCCCGCTGAGAGTGCTGCCATTAATGAACCGGTGCCAATCCTCAAATCGGTGGCCGAACAACTCAGTTCTGGCTCCTATTTATTTTCGTACGAGGGCGCAGATGGCAGTTATCGCGAGGAGGTGGGCATAGTTAAATCCGATCCAAAGACAAAGACAATCGATGACGATCTGGAGGTGTCCGGCATGTATGGCTATATCGACGACAGGGGCCAGAAGGTGGAAGTCAGCTATACGGCGGACAAGAATGGCTTTCTGCCCCATGTTAGGTACTTTGCCAGGGGGGAGCCTATAAATAAATCGAAGTGAGCCATTATCTTTGATGGCCACACATTCTTGCAAATGTTAGCCAGACAATTACTAAAGCCAAGAGCCGATCCAGGCGCGAATGCCCATCTCTGGGCCAAAAGGAGCGGCACACGGTAAAAAATTATATATAAAACTAGATTTATCGTGCTCTTAATACCAACCGTAGCTATACTGTATGCAAAAATTTATAAATTTTATGTTTTTTCCTAAAGATTATTCATAATTTCTGAAGAAACTTACAAATTATATTTTTATACAGAAAACAAGTTAAGTAAAATATGTTCAAGGGTACACTCAACCCAAAAAACTGTAATTTAAAGTTATCTTTATTTATTTAAGTTAAAATCAAATACAAATAACTCGTTATTGTAAGTCTTAGCATTGTACTCAAACCTTTTTACCTTTAACCCACTATTAATAAAACCATATCTTAAATAAAGTTGAATTGCTTTTTTTGGGTGTCTGGTCCAGCAGCTGAATTTGAAATCGCTTGCTCATCGCTGGGATTTTTAATTTTCGGAAGATTTGCGAAATTAGTTAAGCTGTCAAAGTTATAAATTGTGGCAGCATCGCAGATTGCCCTTTGAGCCAAGCCAAGTAAAATGTCGTTCGGTGCAGCGACATGGATTTGTATTTATCACCCCATGAAATGAATAACGAAAAGTAACACGATCGTTAAAAACTACCGATAATTGAATTAATAGCGCAGCAATGTAAATGAAATGGCTGATGCACCCCATTGAGATTCTGAATCGAGCCATTTGTCAGCCGAAGATGTTCGATAGATAGTTATAGATGGGAATAGATAGATGGATATATATGTAGATGCCCTGGGCTGGGGGCTACACCCCGGTACAGATCATAGTATAAACTGCATTAAAGCTGACATTTTACACATTTCTGGGATTGGTATGGTCGTTGTGGTGCAAGGTGTGAGGTGCGACTGATTAATGGCGACACCTGGCGAGTGGGTGAAGCCATGCAAGTTATGCAGTTGCAGAGGTTGTTAATGTAGCCGCCGATCGGTGTCATCAATCGCCGGCGTCATCACCCAGAGAACTGACTCAGATCTCCGATCCCAAATCCCGCCAGCATAGTGACACATTTTCGCATTCCCAAGTCTGATAACTGACCCATAAGAGACCTTGACATTTCAAGCCAGTCGCATTTTGAAGTTTGCGGACGTAGCGTCCACATAAAACGGGATGCAAACATGTTTGGCATGTTAACGCGAAAGAGTCGAAAGAGCTGGAAGTGGTCGAAATTTTGGAGCAGGAGTGCGCGGCTATAAAAGCCAACTGGCCGATCCACTTTGAGTTCACACGCGCTTTAACTCTCGCTTTCTACGCTCCCAAAATCGCAAAAATGTTCAAGATCGTAAGTGGATTCCATAAAGGATTAGATGCAGTAACTCCTTTCTCTCCTTTTTAATAATTCGATAATGAGAAGTGAAATTGATAGAGGATTATACGCAGAGAAAGAAAAATAAAAAGGATATTGAGATTCATAACTAAACCAATTGCATAACTTGCCTGCTTTTCGGTCTTTTATTTAGAGTCTAAAAGTTTTCTTTGCTCGTGAAAAAATAACCGAAATAAGGTGTAGATGCATTATGACCTAGATAAATAAATATATAAATTTTCTAACTTTTTAAAATAAATAATAAAATGTTTATTAACTTATGAGATATTTATGAGATTATATAAAATAATTTCCACATATCTGTTTTCTGTGTATCCTATTTTATTAAGGAGTTATGTGAAATTAGTATTTATAATTTGAATATTAAGTTAGGAAAAGGAGATATATCCTTGTTCCTGAAATAATGTATCGGTGTAATGGTGTTCCCAAATTAAAAGGTCCTAATATTCTGATCTCCGGCAGCTTCCTCTTTTTGTCCTGGCCGTGGTGGTCGCCTGTTGCCAAGCTCTTCCCGTGGAACCCGAACGCGAGACAGTGGCCATCTTGAAATCCGAGATCACTAAGAAGAATAATGGAGGCTATGAATCTGAGTACGAGGCTGCAGATGGAACCAAGCGCTTCGAGCAGGCTGATGTGGTGAACGAGGGCACCGACGAGGAGGCTCTGGAGGTGAAGGGATCCTACAAATACACCGATGACCAGGGCCAGGAGGTGGAGGTGTTCTACACGGCGGGAAAGAACGGATTCGTCCCATACGGAACCATCATCAACCCGGAAATCACAGCTGTTGCTGAGGCAGCCAAGGATCTGCCCAAACCAGAGAAGAAGGAGAAGTTGGGTCAATAGGACCTGTTTTCTCGAAGAGATCTCGTAGAACTTAGTTCATAAGATTGATGGAAAGAGCCAGCAGCGCGTTGAAACTAGGCAAACAAAAATAAAAGTCAAAACTGATGCATAGAAAAGAAGTTTGAACCTTTGAGTATTTGTATTTCTAAACATGTTTGACATGTTAACGCAAAAGAGTCGAAAGACCTGGTAGTGGTCGAATTTTGGAGCAGGAGTGCGCGGCTATAAAAGCCAACTGGTTGATCTACTTTGAGTTCACACGCGCTTTAACTCTCGCTTTTTACACCTCCAAAATCTCAAAAATGTTCAAGATCGTAAGTGGATTCAATAATAATTCGATAAGGATACGTGAAATTGACAGAGAAAATACAATAAAAAGGATTCATAATTAACCTCCTTTTCGGTCTTTAATTTGTTAAATTAAAGTTCTCTTTGCTCGTGAAAAATTAACTTTTTAAATCGTATAACAAAAGGTTTAAAAATCTATGAAATATTTATGAGATTATACAAAATAATTTTCACATATATGTTTTCTGTGTTCCAAGAAGTTATAACCTTGATAAAATGAGATACACAGAAAACAGATATGTGGAAATTAGTATGTATAACTTGAATATTAAGTTAGGAAAAGGAGATTTGTCTTGTTCCGCAGATAATGAATCGGGTAAAACTGTCCCAAATTAAAAGGTCCTCATATTCTGATCTCCGGCAGCTTCCTCTTTTCGTCCTGGCCGTGGTGGTCGCCTGTTGTCAAGCTCTTCCCGTGGAACCCGAACGTATGACAGTGGCCATCTTGAAATCCGAGATGAACAAGCACAATGATGGGAGCTATGACACTATCTACGAGGCTGGAGATGGAACCAAGCGCCAAGAGGACGCTGCTGTGGTGAGCGAGGGCACCGAAGAGGAAGCTCTGGAGGTGAAGGGATCCTACACGTACATCGATGACGACGGCAAGGTGGTGGAGGTGTTCTATACGGCGGGAAAGAACGGATTCGTTCCATACGGTGACACTATCAACCCGGAAATCACAGCTGTTGCTGAGGCAGCCAAGGATCTTCCCAAGCCAGAGAAGAAGGAGAAGTTTGGTCAATAGGACTCGTTTTTTTGAAGATATCTCGTAGAACTTAGTTCATAAGATTGATGGAAAGAGCCAGCAGCGCGTTGAAACTAGGCAAACAAAAATAAAAGTCAAAACCGATGCCAAGAAAAGAAGTTTGAACCTTTGAGTATTTGTTTTTCTAATTTGCATAATTCTAACTTTTTCGTTTACTTAGCTGGTGAATATTGGTAAAATACACTGGGAAATATTGTGTCTATAAAAGTTTTCATACTTATAAAAGCCAAATCAAATCAAAAGTCAAATAAGATTTATATAAAGATATATATATATATTTGAAAGAGGTGTTTAAATAAGAGTTAAGGTTTTACATTTTTTTTCGAATTTTTCCCAGTGCAGATGGGAAATACCCGACTCAAAAGACCTTGAAAGCAGACAAAAAAGGTGGCACAGTATCAAAGTCTGGGACGTCATATGATTAAGCACACGTTTGTCCACTTTGCGGCGGTACAGTGAGCCCTGGGGCCACAAACGAGACACCTGCCACAATACATCATTACACGCTTAAACATCGTCCATTAGCTTTGATCAGAGACACAAGAAATGAAGATCTAACGAACAGGAAAGCATAAGAATGAAATTGGCCATTTAATGAGACATAAATCATCTAGGGAATTTGCATATTTGATGGGCATGGCGTGGGGGCACATATTGTTAACCCTTTCACACGCCATAAGCGTGGATAACGCCCTTCTCCAGAAGAATTAGAACTCCCAGGAAGAAGATGTAGTAGAAAACCAACAGAAAACCACAAGCTCGTCGCATATTGAAGTTTGTGGTGAGGGCGGAGAGCATTGAGAAGCACATTCCAACCTCCACGAAGATGCACACCGTCTCGCCGAAACCGCCCTCCGAAACCTTTTGGAAGATCACATTAAAATAATAACACCTTTCTTATTATTTACTTACGCTTATATTTTTGGGTGCATTCACAAACGATTGAACCACCAGTGGCAGGGCCAGAAACACAAAGGATCCTGCAATAAAATAAAGGCTAGATCATCAATATAATATCCAGTTTGATTAAGTACCAAATACAGGTGCTGAAAAGGTGGCCGTGAATGCCATGCGAGGCCATCCTTGACGAGCTAGAGAAAGATTGGCCACCAAATCGTTGCTACTCAAGGCCCAGCATACGGCAGTTGCCAAGGAAAACTCCTGGCTCACTTTCAATATGGTGGCTAGTGTGAAGAACATGGCATTCACCTCAGTGGTTAAGCAGAAGATCAGGAAAATGGTAGCCAGGAAACCCATTCCAGATGTAAACTGTAAAATGCAAACTCAAAATGTAAACTATTTATTGGCTAATATACTTAGAAAACGGAATAAAAATGATTTGTGGGTTACTAAATGCAGAATACCAGCTCATTAAATTCTATCACATTTCTTCAAAAACTGATTTAAATATTTTATATAACTTTTTCACTAAATTAATGTCACCCAAAATTTTTCTAAAATGAAATAATTTAAAATCAGAAAAATTCCCATTCATTCTTTATTGAAAGAGAATACTCCTACTGATTTTTGAATACATATAAAGTTCATTTTAAGCAAACGAGTTATAAAGATATAAATTAAGATAAGTATAAAAGAAACTGCTCTTCTACCCTCTAATTATACCCTTGCAGAGGGTATTATAATTTTGGTCAAAAGTGTGCAACGCAGTGAAGAAGACATCTCCGACCCTATAAAGTATATATATTCTTGATCAGGATCACCTCCTGAGTTGATATAGCCATGTCCGTCTGTCCGTCTGTCCGTCTGTCCGTCTGTCTGTCCGTCTGTCTGTCCGTCTGTCTGTTTCTACGCAAACTAGTCTCTCAGTTTTAAAGCTATCGAACTGAAACTTTGCACACACCCTTCTTTCCTTTGCACGCAGTATATAAGTCGGAACGGACGGGATCGGCCGACTATATCCTATAGCTGCCATATAACTGATTGATCGGAAATGCCATAACTTTGGTGTTTGTAAAGTAAGGAAGCTGGGACTTCCTATGGGTTTTATATTTGGCCAATCAATCCGACCTACCAAATTTCATAAGGATCGGCCGACTATATCCTATAGCTGCCATATAACTGAACGATTGGAAATGCCATAACTTTGGTGTTTGCAAAGCTAGGAAGCTGGGACTTCCTATGGGTTTTATATTTGACCAATCAATCCGACCTACCAAATTTCATAAGGATCGGCCGACTATATCCTTTAGCTGCCATATAACTGATTGATCGGAAATGTCATAACTTTGGTGTTTGTTAAGTTAGGAAGTTGGGATTTTCTATGGGCTTTATTTTTGGCCAATCAATCCGACCTATCAAATTTCATAAGGATCGGCCGACTATATCCTATAGCTGCCATATAACTGAACGATTGGAAATGCCATAACTTTGGTGTTTTTAAAGTAAGAAAGTTGTGATTTTTTATGAGTATTAAGAATGCATCATATGAATAATTTTGGAGAATATAATTTACAGAGTATTCTGCAAGGGTATATCAACTTCGGCTTCGCCCGAAGTTAGCTTTCCTTTCTTGTTTTTCAAATGAAATGACTCAGAATCCAGAGAAGTCTGTTAGAGATAAGGATCAATTTCATCTCCGGGGGCACGAAACTTTGTAGTTCAAAATGATTATATTTAGCCATTTTTAAGAAAACTGGTTTTATGAGTACGTGCCTGAAATCAGCATTAGAAATACCGAGAACTTACCCTGAAGAATTTGGGCGGGGTGTCGGTGCGCGTGACAAAAAATATCAAGATGGAAACGGGGACCATAGTCATGAGGATGAGCAGATAGGCGGCGATGCCCGCAATGTTATATCCCCGAACTGTATGGAATATCATAAGGTTGATCATTTACAAGACAACAACGAGACAAGCTCACCAATTATGTAGGCAATGTAGGTGGGAACGAGAATCAGTTGCAGATTGAAGAGCAGCTTGGACCATCCGTAGAGGGGCTTCTCCATGTCCACCACTGGGATGAGGATTCGGAGCACCATATCGATGGGCTGCTTGACCACCAGGTAGACCTTCACCATCAGGGTTCCCCTGCGAAAGCGATCCGTGTCGAACTCGGCGACCGTGTTCCAGAATTGTCGGAAAATTCGCCGATTTCGCTTACCCTGATGTTTGGATGTCCAATCGATTTCCTGGCGCTTCAGTGGCAACTGCGTCTGCGGCTTCAGTTCCTCCAGTTGCAATGCCTCATTGAGAGTTATACGTTTTCGCTCCAGTTCTAGGGAAGATTTATGGATCTTATATATGGGTTTTAGTTTAAGAAGTTACTCACTTCGAATGCGTGCCATTAGCAAATGCTGGTCGATAACGGCCACCACAACGTAGCCCACAAAGATGAAGGGACTGGGTAAGGCGGACACCCAGTTAATTCCTTGGGGTCGCTTGTGGATATAGTCCATGTAGGCGGTGTTCAAGAACAGGAAGCCAAAATCCCGCATGTAGTAATTGGGCTCATAGTTAAAGGGCTTGGTCAGGATCACCATTCCGGCGACAAAGATGTGGAGGAACATGGTCTGCGACATGCACGAAAGGAAGGCGTACTTGGAGCTCTGCAGCCTCGAAGCAATGGCAGTGAATAGATCTGGTGATCCATTGGCAATGGCCAGCACTGTAACTCCAGCGGTGCTCTCGTTCAACCTAAATGCATCCGTGATTACCTTCAAAGTGGGACAAAAGCTGGAGAAGTATTACCCTTATAACTACTTATATATTGGAATGGTAATATATTAAAGACTCACTAGTGGTGTACCGCCAACTGCATCATCCAGAAGACGTAGATTAGTATCAGGGTCATTCCGAGTCCACTCCAAAAGGCATTGAAACTGCTTCGAACATCCACTTTGCAGTAATGCCAGCTCAGGTAGTTGATCAAGTTCATGTTAGACAGACAATCCTGATTGGTTTCCACAAATCTACATCGTTGGGTCTCCGGTAAATTATGAATCGCTCCGCACGTGTCCTCGTTAAGCATTTTTAACTCGGTATTTATTTTCCTATTACTAGATTATTACATTGATGCTGATTGAAAATCCTAAGCTGTCTAAAGGTTTATTAAACTGATGTGGGTGAATAATAACTTGGGACTTAAAATCCCGTCTCTTAACTTGTCTACAATGTTATTGTGCCTGTATGATTTGTTCTGCTTTTAATTTACAAAAGGTAATAAAGTAGTAGTCAAAAAAGCCATAGTTTAAAGTTGAAAATAACTCCTGCAGTTCAACAATTGATTGACTTTTTTAACGATCCAATGTGCGAATGACATTTAAAAATGCGTATTTTATGATATAATATAATATTAGTGTTTACGAGTAGGTTAATACCTAAAGGCCAGTTTTTGCAATCCATAAAAATGTTTTTCGCTTAGACAAAGGATTGTGTGACACGTTGTTTACGAATTTTAAGCAAATGAGTTTTATCATGCCGGATTACTAATCAACGAAATATCTCAATTCGCTTTGTTTCCATTATGCCATTCTCGCTTGATTATACCAATCGTTAATCTTTTCATATTCTCCAATAAAGTTCTAAGCCATGAGCGTCATTCCAACAATTTGTGGCCGGTGAGATAATTTCTTGTTGTCGGCTTTCTGCTTAAATTAGCACTAACCATAGCGAAATTTATGATAAGTATTTATATGCAGCACGGAATCCGCATTTCACATGCAGCTGCTGTCGCTTCCATTTAAATCGAGAACGATGCGGATTTCAGATAGGGAATCGTTTTATTGCTAGCCAGTTAAATTAGATCGCACTCGTTATTAAATTAAACAATACTTAGGTAAGTCTAGAGTCTAGGAAAGCTTAGGCAGTCTTGGTTTCGACCTTCTTCTCGTCTTCGATGGCCACCTTCACCTCGGTTTCTGGCACGGCATCGAGGACCACCTGGACAGGGACCACCTGGGACTCAGCGGGCAGGGGCTCGGATTTCTCCACCACCACCGATTCCTTGGCCACCACGGTGCCCTCCTTCTCCACGGGAGTGGCCTCATTCTCCACGACAGCTGACTTCTTCTCCAGCTCCTGGGAGCGGGCCTTGCGGTTCCTTAGCTCTTCCTCCACGGAAACCTTGGGAAGATCGGCGGCAGCCCTGGCCAGCTCGGTAATCTCCTTGGGAATGATGGTGCCTACGGGCACAAATCCGTTCTTTCCGGCGGTGTAGTGAACCACCACAGTGTTGCCATCGGCATCCACATAGCTGTACATTCCGGAGACCTCCAAGGCCTCGTCCTCGGTGCCGGCATCCACGACAACGCCCTTCTCCGAGCGGATGGACTGATCGCCGCCCTCGTAGCTGAAGTGGAAGGAGCCATCGGGCTGCTTCTCCGTCTCGAATTTCAGCACGGGAACGATCTCCCGCTTCTCGGTGGTGCTATCCACCTGGCCAATACTGGCGGCCAGGGATCCACTGGCCAGGGCCAACAAACAGATGGCGATCTTGAACATCTTGGTGGTTATTATTTGGGTTATTAAGATGGAAGAGATAGAAGAGATGCTTTCTTGACGGGAACCGGCGGACGACTTGGCTTACTACATCTGCCATCCACTTTATATACCGGCGTTTAATGTGCGCAGCAGCCGCGAATTAGCATCTTCCAGTCCCATTACGCCATAACCGAAAAATACACAAAAATATACCCAAAACAAAACGGAAAAAACACCAAAGAAATTCTATGGAAGCGAACAGAATGTGATTTAATAAAACACTCACAGCCAAGAGACAAGATTTGCATATTTTATGATTCAGCGACTCGTTTTTAAAGAAGAGAGGTCAAGTGATCAAGCCAATGATGAGGCACTGTAATGAGATCGATTTCGGGCTGGTCATCCGAGTGTTTCGGTAATCGCAGAAATTCCCGTCCGAACAGGTTGATCATCATGATCGCGATCAGAACACGTCATAAACTTGTTTCGCATTCGCTGGAAGCCAATCCATCACTTGAAGTGCCCAAAAATACCTGGGCATACGGGCCAGAGCAACTGATTGATTGCCAATGTTTAGGAAACTGCACTCGATTAGCATAGTGCTCCACACGCTCCGCCAGACAAAGGGGCATAAATTAAGATAGATTTGATGTGCGCCTAAAACGAGTCCATATCGGATTCGAATCGCACGCGATCCATCAGTCATCAGTCATCACACGGGAAACTGCTTGGCCACAGTGAGTGTGTCGGGGCGAAAAAATAAAAAAACAAGAAAGGAAAGCTAACTTCGGGCGGAGCCGAAGTTGATATACCCTTGCAGAATTCTCTATAATAATATTCTCCAAAATTATTCCTATGATGCATTCTTAATACTCATAAAAAATCCAAACTTCCTAACTTTAAAAACACCAAAGTTATGGCATTTCGAATCGTTCAGTTATATGGCAGCTATAGGATATAGTCGGTCGATCCTTATGAAATTTGGTAGGTCGGATTGATTGGCCAAATATAAAACCTGTAGAAAACTTAACTTTCTAACTTTACAAACACCAAAGTTATGGCGTTTCCAATCGTTCAGTTATATGGCAGCTATAGGATATAGTCGGCCGATCCTTATGAAATTTGGTAGGTCGGATTGACTGGCCAAATATAAAACCCATAGAACATCCCAACTTTCTAACTTTACAAACACCAAAGTTATGGCATTTCCGATCAATCAGTTATATGGCAGCTATAGGATATAGTCGGCCGATCCTTATGAAATTTGGTACGTCGGATTGATTGGCCAAATATAATACCCATAGAGAGTCCCAACTTCCTAACTTAACAAACAGCAGAGTTATGGCATTTCCGATCAATCAGTTATATGGCAGCTATAGGATATAGTCGGCCGATCCCGGCCGTTCCGACTTATATACTGCGTGCAAAGGAAAGAAGGGTGTGTGCAAAGTTTCAATTCGATAGCTTTAAAACTGAGAGACTAGTTTGCGTAGAAACAGACAGACGGACAGACGGACAGACAGACGGACAGACGGACAGACGGACATGGCTATATCAACTCAGGAGGTGATCCTGATCAAGAATATATATACTTTATAGGGTCGGAGATGCCTCCTTCACTGCGTTGCACACTTTTGACCAAAATTATAATACCCTCTGCAAGGGTATAAAAATGCATCCACTATAAGTGAGTGAGCTGCAAATTGTATGTCAAATGTGAAAAATGCACTAAGCCAGCTAACAACTCTTCCTCTCAGTCAGCTGCAATTTTGCGAGAAGCAGCGCGAAGGCCAAAATAAAACGCGGGCAACCGCGAAATTGGCCAAGTAACATGGAAAACGTAAGAAAGGGAAAACCAACGGGTCAGGCCGAAAATACAAATACAAATACAAATACAGATTTCGGGCGATGTTCATCATGTTCGTGATCATCTGCATCGCAGCAGCGTTGGCTGGATTTTTGCAGCAGTTATTGCTGTAATTTTTATGAATTGCAACTGACATTTCCTACACGCTGGAAAAGTTTAAAGTTTAAGCTCGGAGCAAAAAAATTGGCTTAGCCGGCCGGCAAAAGCGGGTAACTGGTGCAGAAGGGAGTGGTCCCTGCGACCTGGTCAACGAAATTGGCCCAAAAGGGCAGGGGTGCATCGGTGAATTCGTAGTGAAAACAAAGACAAATAATGCTCTTAAACGATGCATTGAAATGGACAAGTTGGCTACGCCCCATCCCGCGGCATATTCAAATGTCAGGCGGTAATCAAAGATTCCATTACGATTTATTGGCAGGCATGTGGCCAAATGGCCAATTCATCAGTTCGAAAACCAATTGCAACATTTGTAATCTTTTAATTAATATTTGACTTAACGAATTATTGCAGCCAGCCAGCCGAGCATCCAGCGGGGGCACTAATCAAATGAAGTTCGCATTGCTAATTCACATAAATTACAACGCGGAGAACTGTGAGCTGTAAGCCGCATACGCGGCGTATGCGCAACGCCCATTTGCATTTGAAACTCGTTGCGCATACGCTACGTGGTGCGGTGCACCGGCAACGGCAGCGACGGCAGCTCTTCCGATTCTCTTGCTGTCAAGCCAGCAAACACTGTTTGTTTGAAAGCCCGCTTCTCCCCCCCTCTCCGCCATCTGCCCTTCCAGCCTCCGATTCTGGGGCTGCTGCACTGCATCTGGTTGCGGATGCTGGCGCTGCTTCTGCCGCTGCTCTGCTTCCAGCTGCAGTGAATGCGATTTCGGTATAAAAACGTTTGTGGCAACTGCAGCCAAGTCAAAGCACTTTTGACGAGCCTTCCAGCGCAGTACCCGCTATCAAGTCGCGAATCCGAAGTGAGTTTCAGTTCTACTTGCGGTGGTGAATCCTTAGAGTCAGGATTAAAAAACTACAGAATACCCATATTCAACTAAGAACTCAAGTGGAGCTAGTCCTGTTTAAAGGATACTTATAAAAAAACTCTAACCATAAAGGCTGCTATTACTTTGGATGGCTTGGCTGGAGACCCAGCCTCTTATATGGATATTTTTCCCACGACCTTCATCATCATAACCATCATCATTTCGCAGAACTTTCAAATCGCAAAAAGCCAATCGGAGTATATCAGATACTAATTGCCAAGCAACGAGTTTGACATTCAAAGACAACGCCGCCGGCAACTCAATCGGGGCACCAGAAAACTGAACACCAAACACTGAAAATTGCACACCGCACCTCATCTCACTTATGACTCTATTTAACCACCAAACCCCGTCGCGGTCCTCCCGTCCTCTTTCTCGCCCACTAAAGGTCATGACGATCACCCACGCCTCCTTCGCAGCCGTCGTTTTGGCCCTCTGCTGCCTGAGTTCGGTCCATTCCCAGCCACAACGAGGACTTCCCCCGCCCCGCGGCAACTCCTTCGATGCGAACGCGGTGATCCTCAAGCAGAACTTCGACCTCAATCCCGATGGCTCCTACCAGTACAAGTAAGTGGGGGCCAGGCTCTATTCGATTACCTCTTCAGTTAATCATCATCACTTCTATGAAATCTAATGCTTTTATACACCATTTTTTAAACTTTGTATTACAAACATGGACTTAATGGTTACGATGCAACTAGAACTGATCATTAACAGTTTGATAGTATTACTCCATTTCTTTAGTTCTTCTATGTTGCACGCAGCTATTTTTATATGAAAATAATGCTTATGTTAAATGTTAACATTATTTCCGTTTTTTTACATTTTTCCTAAGATCCACTTTTTTATTACTGAATGAAAAAAATCTAGATAAAACAATTTAATTTATTTTGAATAGATGTGTTATGTTGTTAAAAACACGTTTGTATACAAGTTTTAAATGTATGTGCTTGTTAAAATATAACAAACTATACAACCCTTTAAGCAACCAAAACCTTAACGTAAAATGTATATTTTGGGAGTTTCCACAATTTGTTTTTTTTTTTCAAGAAGCAATACAACTTAGACATCTTAGTTCTATCCAAATAGGAACATTTTAAAGGCATTTAATGTGAGCTATAGTTGTTTTTAACTTATATAAAAAAATACAATTTTCTAAATTAAATTCTTTTTCTTACCTTTTTAACTGTTGCTTAAAAATATATAACTCTGTGTTCATTTAAAAGTTTGCTTTATAATTTTTCCCGCTGAAAACAAAAACATTTTAAAACACATTGTTGTTTTGTTTATTTTATGTTTTTTTAATGCCTAATTATTGCGATTTTTTTCGAACCATTTTAGCTACGAGACGAGCAATGGAATCCGAGCGGATGAGGCTGGCTATTTGAAGAACCCGGGCAGTCAGTTGGAGGCTCAGGTAAGCATGCTTTTGGGCTTGATCTTTAGAAAAATATAGCATACTTTGGGGCACAACTAAAATGTTATACTCATCTCTTATGATAATCCAGGTAATGCAGGGATCTTACTCGTATACCGGACCCGATGGCGTGGTCTACACCATCAACTACATTGCCGATGAGAACGGATACCGTGCCGAGGGTGCCCACATACCCACTCCGCCTCCAGTTCGTGCCGCCGCCGCTCCCGGAAGATTCTTCAAGTAAACCCCATCACTCCAACTTCGTGTTCTAATTCTTCATCGCTACGCTCAAGTTGGCAATCGTTTCGTTGCGGGTCAGTTAAATTGACCGAAAGTGAACCAGATACAAACAAGAGAGATCCATCATCCCACCCCCAACCATTTCCCTGCTCCCGAAAACCTTCCTCACCTTCGTGCTTCATCTGTGCATTTCTAAGGCAAAGCCAATTTCCAATCTACGTTCTACATTCTACTTAGTGCCTAACAAACTGTGTGTGAGATAAACATTTGTAAAATATGTAAATTCGATTGTTAAATGTCGTACGGCAACGCAAGCTCAGCAATAAAACGAAAATTGCACAAAAATCAATCCAATGCATTGTGATGACTCCTTTTTAAGAGAAGGATCTCAGCATGGTAATGTAGGACATGGCTGTGCGAACAATCTGAAATGGGAAATAAGTGGGTCAGTGATGGGAAGTTTTTTTAAATGCTAATTTTCAGGAACTGATTTTTCAGGTGTTATATTCGATCAATCCCTATATTCAAGGAAAATACTTAAAGACCTTAAAAAAATTATTATTCTAAATTTGAAACTAAGGTGAACTCCTGAAAAACCAGCTCATTCAAATGTGGTAAATGGCATATATACACTCACCGATGAGAAGGCCTCCATGTTGGCCTCGAAAAAGTAGCCAGTGATGCGAAATCCGTGATGGGCCCGCATCATGCTGATCAGTAGGGATCGGCAGATGGAAGTGGAGGCGCCACCAGCTCCCAAACTTTCGTGCCACGGACTGTCGTAGATGGCCCACTCAAACAGGGCACTCTCCGTCTTCAGATTCTCCCCGCAATAGCAGTAGATATAGGCCTGTATAATGATGGTGGCTATGAAAGAGGCGTAGTACACGCCCTCTGTCTGGGCAAAGGTAATGGAAAACAGGTAACCCAGCATGCAAAGTTGCAGCGAAGAGATGAAAAACTGGGCACAAATAATGGGTTGGTAGCAGAGATTCAAGTCGGCGCACATATCCAAACTCGTTTGATAAAGGGCAAACACTTTGTTAAGAGTGGCCTGTGATTCCCTATGATTTCCGCCTTTGAATCTTAAAACCTTGTACTGTGCGATTTTGAAAAAGGCACACAGATTGCTGGTGAAGGAGCAGAATATGGTATCCAAGCTAACAGCAGGTAAAACCACACCAGTTGATGCAAAGGCACTCCAAATAAAACTCAAGGCATAGTTTCGCATGATGTGGATGTCCCAGGGAAATCTATAAAAATTAATCATGAAAATATAATTTTTATGAGCTATATTTTAATACCCACAGACAGGGAAAAGGCAGCTCTGGCTCAGCGTGTCCTGCCAGCCAATAACTGAGTCCCATTCTCACAAAGGGCAGCACACTATTCAGAGCCCAGGCGAGAAGAAAACAGGTCCTGAACAAGGTGCACATACGTTGATCCTGCTTGTTTGCGGTATTAAGAATCTCGGCATACTCTTCTCCTTGTTCCGATTCTTTTAGACATTAAAATATTAATAAATACATCTCCAAATAAAACACAACTCACCATTTGCCATCAGTAAGCGAAACTTATCAATCAATCGCTTAAAATCCCGTCGCAAGTAAAGTATCATGCTGAACTTGAAGAGTCCTAGAATGGTAATTAATAGAGCCACCATGGCATCCGCCAGCAGCATTACATTCTTCCAATTGTGGAGAACAGCAGCCAGGATGAAGGGAAAAATGGCAGCTATTCCAAAGACATTAATGGCTCTGTAGGGACGTTTCCACATCTCACGGTTTTCACTAAACAAATCAAATCCCAGCAGGGCGATGGTGCTCTTCTGTACTTCCAGGAAACTATCCATGTCGTCTAGTGTTAAATCAATCTCACACTAAGGAATTTCAGCTTACAACAGGGGTTTTAAACCTTTCCACTGAGCAAAGGACATGGTTAAAGGATACTGAATTACCGAATACCCTTTCCGGGTTATTATTTCCATGATAACTTTACAAAATAAAAAAAAAGGACCTTTTGACTTACGTATTCTTTTTTAACTCAGGCTTCTTCTATAAATTGAAAAACCTACTTGGTAATTTCAATTAACTGAAAGGATTCCAACCTTATTATCTTATAATAAGAAATATCCATTTTAAGACATCCACTTCTAATTGACTAAGTCTTTGTAGATTATAAAGAATTTTTCTAAATCTTCAATAATATCTGTTTATATGTAAATCAAATACTAAGTTGTCTGATGACTTAATGCTTTGAAGAGTTGCTACAAAATATTCGAAAGGATAAAGATACCCAAAGGAAGGCAATAATAACAGGCCTTAAAACACCACCTCCGATTGACACCTCTTCAGGCATACGAAATGAGAATCAAATTTTAATGCTTCAATGTTCTTTATTCACGCCTCGACATCCGTGGGTGTCCTTTTGACGTGGGGCAAGTGGTGGGCTTGGTCGGGGGCGTGTTCATTACCAACCGCGACCCCAACCTCCGCGGCCACCTCCCCATCCGCCGCGGCCGCCTCCCCAACCGCCCCATCCTCCACGTCCGCCCCATCCGCCGCCTCCATGATGACCCCATCCGCCTCCACGTCCACCCCATCCTCCGCCCCACTGGCGGGCCTCTCGGGCTCCATCGTTGGCATGGTTGGCTCCCTGATCCGCGACGTCCAGGAGTCCGATCACCCGCTCTTCGTTGGCGGCATCATCCAGGGCGTAGGCGTATGCCAGGCACAGGATGCCAATGAAGGCCAGAAGTGTTAGACGCAACATTCCGTACGATTGAATTCGATTGATTGCTGGTGAAGACCTGAGTGCAACTGATGAATTGTGGACTCGAATGCGCGCCTTATATTGGAAGATCTCGTCACTCGGCGTTCCTGTTCTCATACGCATCAATAAGTCGGGGTCTCGGAACCCTCCCCCCATGGCTCACCCCCTCTTACCCATATAAATACTAAGCCACATACCATATACTATGTATACCTGGCCTGAGGTGCGATTGTTTAGGGGCTTTTTTGACCGGGTTCTGTTTTGCATCGTTATATTTCACCACACAATTATTACACTCTTTGTTATACTGTCCGTCTGCTTGAGTTTTTTGGTCATTTTTTTTGGCTGTCATTACTGAATCATTTAAAAATTTAAATGTCTCATTTGCGAAAGTTGTCGGGATGCTGCTCCTAAGTGGTTCCATACATAGATCATAGGATTAGGGTTTGCAGCCTGTAAACAATGGGGACCTGTTTTAATTTATGGGTTTTTACTTAAATGCATTTGGATACTAAAAGTCCATGGGAGGTTTAAGCAACAAAGCTAAGTATTGACATTAGAAACATTCCACTTGTAAACTAAATTGCAACTAATTGCAGGTTGAGTAAGCATATCTAATATTGACTAATCTTTGACTACCTCATCATTAAGAAATCCCAAGTGACACACATTAATATGCAAAGCCTATTAGTATCGGGTTAAGCTAGAAGTTATTGAACTGACAGACTTTTAGAGGCTAGTAAACTATAAAATGGAAAATTACCCTACATGCGCATTTAAATCATAATGATGGATCACCTTATAAAAAAATTACTTGTTTTTAATCTTCTTATCCACACTTATAAATATATATATGATTATTAAACAAGTGGCTCCTTCACTTGATAGCAATCACATGTATTCACAAGGATTCATATGGAAATGAGCTCTCAATTGTCTAATAAATGTCAAGATCGTCTTGTTTGCTCTAGACTCTAAAAAGTAAACAACTTGGGGATTTACGATGGCAAGCCAATGAACCTAAGCTGTCAATACAGGTTCCCCTCGAAATATCCCGAAAGTTTTTTAATGCTTTTAAAAAAATAAAAACAATCATTTAGCTGATTTGCTTAATTTGCTCGTGCACGTCGAACAAAAAAAACACGCCCACTGTTAAACTAAGTATGATTATATTTTGGCAATAAACTTGAGTTCCACCAAATTTCAATAATTCGTTCTGGAGCTTAAAAAGTTTTCTAAAATCAAAGCTCTTTTACTTAGGTATATATAACTGAAAGAGGGCTTGTCATTTTCATACTCTTACAGAGGGTATTACCTTTTATTTATTCAATTTTGTTCAAATATAAATTATTTACTCGATTTCAGCTTTAAGTTTTTAACTTGATGACTAAATCTTTATATCTGCCATTTGCTTTATATTGTCGTTTCTTAGTTTTAAATGATTCAAATTATTTGTTTTCTTGGCAGAATATACATTTTTTAAAACTTTAAGAGAATAGTTTTCTTTGTGCTTTAATAGTTTTTCATTGTCATTTGCATAACAAACATGTTCATATTACTCAGTCCTCAAATGCCAGTTACGTTATGTATTTATCTTTTCAATTTATTAATGTACTTTCGGGGAATTTGTAAATTTGTAAAATACCTTAAAAAATGAACTCATATGTTATGAGTTAGTTGGAACTTCCGATCATTAACAACCGAGTGTTAAATTAATAAAACATGTACTATGGATTTTTTTAGAGTTTACTATTTTGTATTAAAACAGTTTTTGAAAGACTCCCTCTCAATCTCAGAAAAATATGAAAATGTTTTTTTTTTTAATTTTTTTATTTACAGAACATTGGGTTGGGAATTTTAAGTGATATCTACAGTCTAGTGAGCATAGTGTCAATAATGACCACCACGACCACCACCATGGCCGCCGTGACCACCATGACCGCCTCCATGTCCTCCTCCGTAATGTCCTCCACCTCCACGTCCTCCACCTCCGTAATGACCTCCACCTCCATGTCCTCCGCCTCCATAACCTCCGTAGTTGCCACCGCGAGCCTGCCGCACTCCGCTTTCGGCATGGGCTCCTCCATGATGTGCCACGTCCAGCAGATCCTTCAGATTGGCTTCATTATCCTTCAGGGCCAAGGCATAGGTCAAGCACAGTAGGCCAACGACGGCAAACAGGATCAGACGCATCTTGTAGATACTTTATTTGGGTGACTTTAGAGATAGATTATTTCGCTTGATCTTGGTTATTTGCTTTGTGCAACTGTGAATCTGTGGGCCAAAACCATGCTCTTTTATTCGGCCAACGATCCAGAGAATCGACAGACATTCCTGTTTTTTGTTTACTATTTTGAGTATTCAGGTTTATTGGGGTTTAATTTAATGTTTCATATAAAATTCCGAGAAATAAACAATTTAAACGGCTTTGCTTTTTAAATGGGCCAATAAAAAGCTCTTTAAAGCATTGGTTTTTTGTTTACTTAATTGCGCTTTGATTTGAAAAGCTTTCAGGGAGCTTAAACAAAAGTTATTAATTCGGCCCGAATCGTTTATTTATTTAAGTTGGTATAAATTTTTTGGAAGCGACTGTATTTGGGTTAGCTACCACCAGTAGTTGCTCCAGGGGCGATATGAGACACTCCATCCATTGTTCCATCCTCCGTTCCAGCTGCCACCCCATCCTCCATTCCAGCCTCCTCCCCATCCGGAGTTCCAACCTCCTCCCCATCCTCCAGAAAGCCAGCGGGCAGGCCTTTCGCCCTCTTTTGCCCCCTGACCTCCAAAATCAGCCACGTCCTCCAAAGTGACAGGAGGAGCAGGATCCTCGTCGACAGGCTGGGCCAAAGCCCTTCCTAAAAGAGCCAAAAATGACACGAATAAGATGAACTGCATCCTAGGCCACCGCTTCAAAAAATACTATGATCCAACTGATCTCGACTACCTCATTTTATACAATCTCACAGAGTTCAGTTTTCCGCCCTCTAATTGCAATTTATTTGCAAGTTGAAGACGAGAAGCTGAGAAGCCCTGACCCAAGACCCATACCATATTAGCAAATAACAATAAATGCATTTAACACAATTTACATAGCTTAACAAAGCAACAACTTTTGGAGTAGAATTAATTTAGCCGGTAAGAGACAGGTGGAAAGAGAAGCCCAGCAAAAATTGGTTCGCAATTAACTGCATAAACACCATTAATTTATGTTCAACAAATAACAAAACATTTATTTAGTTAGCAGGTTTAACAACATTAAATTAGAATATGGATAAGATTTATATATAAAATATTATTTTAAAATAATAACTTTGATAGATTAGATATGAGTATTCAGTATAAAGAGGCAGATTTAATTTACTTACTTAATTAACTTTAAATTCTGAATTGAAGAACGCATTTTGGTAAGAGAAGAAAACTAAGTTTGGTTTAAATAAAAAAATTTTAAAAGGTAAGAATTATTTAACATTTCTTTTTTCCGTCAATTCTTGAGAAAAGAAATATATGGAAATTTAAAATGCTGGTTCGATGACGTATGAACTATAATAATACTATTGGACTTAAGACCTAACCGAGCAGACTGAGTAGGCCGCTCAGCGCTTGAGGATTAGCCCCTGCCCCAGTTGCTCCACCTGCCCCGCCCCCATTCGCGAGCAGGGGGCGTAGACTGCTGCCCAAAGCCTGGCCCAAAATTCCAGCCAATTGAGCTTGCTGGGCAGTGGAAAGCTGTGAGGTACCAGCTCCAGCTCCAGGTATTGCACCTGCTCCTGCTCCCACTCCAACTGCCGATGATGCGGGAGAACTGGATATACTAGCCGAACTGCCATATCCTCCATTCGAGGGATAACCCGCTGATGCTCCTAAGTAACTATAATTGGGCCTGTAGCCGTAATACTGCTGCGGTCTCTGGTAGCCAGCATAGTTGTAGTAGTTGGGTCTGTAATAGTTCTGGCCATAGCCATAAGCCAGGCCGGGATATCCATAGTTGTAGCCATAACTGGGATAGCCATATCCATAGTTGGGCCTATAACCATAGCTGGGATAACTGCCGCCGTAATAGGAATCCAGGGGATCGGATTGAGTGCCTCCACCTCCAGCGGCGGATGAAGATCCAATTCCAGGTCCTGCAGCCAGGGGTACATCGAAGAGGGGACGACCACCGCCTAGTAACAGAGGCGTTAATAGACCCAAAGTCCTGCCCTGCGGCCGATCCTGTCCAGATTTTCTCCTCTGCCCGTTGGACAACGAAAATAGAAGGCTCAAGAGAGCAAAACGCGCGGGTAGAAACATTCCGTGACCGTCGAAGGCAGATTAACAACTGAAGACCGACTGAAAAACCCAATAATATTTTATACCACAGAGTTCTTGAGTGAATTTCCAAATGTGTTTTGCCAAAAAAGTAAAAAAGACTAGAAGACCTTCGGCACCTTCAAATAATGATCGCAGGTCGAGCGGAACTTCGCAAGTTTTGGGCCAGAACGTCATCAACTGGTTAGAGCCACGCTGCTTTCACGCCCAGTTCGAGATCGTCTTGTTTTTGGCCCAGTCTGCAGACGAATCACTTTGGCACACACCCGACATTGACCTTGCCAAAATGTTGGCCAAATAAGTCAGCAATCTGTTTCACACCGTTAACTCGATCGCTCACTTCCGCAGGTTTTGTTTTGTTTTTTGGCCTGTTGTTTCATTCACAATCAAATAGCCTGTGGGCGTTTCTGCTATATTTGCCGGCTATAATAACAAAAATCGTCAATAGCAAAGTTAATTAGCGGTCTGGAAATCTCTTCACTCCTCAGCAAATGCATTCCCATAGATCTTCGCATCACTGATTCTGAATCATCTTATACGTATAAGTGTATAAGAGCAAAGGTTCCCCTTTTTTGTGTTTCCAGGCCTTTCGGGACTGCCGCGAATTATTATATTTGCACTAATTGATCAGCGTTTCGCCAGACATGGAAATCTTTGGCTTTTGATTTGATTAGGTCTGGCTAGACATCTGCCAGTTAGCCAATCCGATTAGGTAATTAATGTGTTAGTGGCTCGGTATAAATTTTAATATAATTAAGAGTTCTCTTTAATAGCAGGGAATATAGTAAAATATTGCAAAGTGTTAATAAATAGGAAATTATTTATTATAAAATAACAAATATTTTATTTTTAATATAATATATTATGTCTCTTGTTAGTAGATAATGGTAAATGGTGAAGTGTCTTTTGTTTGGTTAATGTTAATGCATCCCTAAAATATAATTCCGTAGAATTCCAATCATTATTTGGGCCTTGTTAATAGATAATAGTAATTTGTAAAGTGTCTTGTGTTTGGTTGAATGTCTATGCATCCCTTACATATATTTCCATATAATTCCAATCATTTTGTCAATCAAATTAAGCCATTAAGTAACACGCCCTTAAACCGGTTTAACCCATCGCAATGATATACGATTTGTTTTGTTTAAGTGTCTAACGTCTTTTCCGTTTTGCCTGCCCATCAGTAGATCAATTTTTACGCTTGAAATGTCTCGCACAAGCGTAAGAAAAAAACTGGTTTTACTTTATTACTGAACCTTTTAATATTTTCGCTTAAACAATTAATGTGCTTTCCCTGATCCATAAAAACAGACACCGATCTAAGTTAATGAAGAAAATTCGATACCCTGCTAATACTTTATAGAATGTGATTATTTAACTGCACAAAATCCCTATTTCTTTGGGTCGATGATCACTTAAGAGATGTTGTTGATCTGAGTTCAACCGTAAGAGAAGTAAATCCCCAACTTGGGGGCTGGTCTGAAAATATCTGCAATAACTATACACGGAAAAAAACCATCTACTTTTTAGAATGTTTTAAGATATTTAAAAAATTTAAATTATACAATAAATTAGATATTATAAAGGTCAGTAGTGAATATATGATTTGACAAAGAATTTGGTATTATTAAATAAATCACTTGTTGAATACAAACTTTATAAAACGGTATTTTCTAATATGAAGATACAATTAATAAATCATACTGTTACTGTACTGGTTTTTTATGTGCTTTTTTTTTTTTTTTTTGTTTTATTTCTGTGATAGTTTGGGGGCTCTGGGATTTCCGTTGACCTTAAGTTTTGGTGAAATCATCAGCATCATATGATAATTGCCTCGCGGGTATAACTAATGATACTTGGATAGTAAATACTAGTTAATAGGGCCATAGAACACTTGCTCTTCAGGCGGGACATCCCCGAATTATCTAGCTATAAAAGTTAGAACCCGAGTTGATTTGATTTTAGAAAGTGTTTGAAAGTCCAATATGAATCAATACCTGGTGTTTGCTCTCGTCTTCGTGGCGATTCTGTTCCTGGCCAGCGGACATCCTTTGGAGGATCAGAAAATTACCCTGGAAGAGGTCGAAGTTCAGCCGGGAATCGATGATGGAACTGGCGCAAGAGCTGCCCGAGGCTTTGGAGGATTCGGAGGATATGGCCGACGTGGCGGTGGATACTGCTGCGGAGGAGGAGGAGGTGGTGGCTTCCGTCGAGGAGGATACGGTGGTGGTGGCTATCCCCGTGGAGGCTACGGCGGCTACGGAGGAGGCAGTGCATCGGCATCGGCGTCCGCTTCAGCCAGTTCCAGTTGGGGACGTTAATAATTTCAATTTGCTTCACTTTAATTGAGACGAAAATAGATAAAAGTCAAGACGAAAACAAAAACATATGACTTTGTTTTGGGTGAGAATTGTGGGCACATGGTGTAAGGGGCGTGGCAGATTGCTTACGCACTTAGTCGCAAATAGTACGCAATCAAATGGAACCGGTCTACAAACGCTAATCAATGAATGCGATTCAAACTCGATCGAATTTATATTTTTATCACAATTGATAAAATCTTCCGATCCAAAGATTCCGCTAGTTCTAAGCCATTTAATTAATAATAGCACACCTGGATCATAAATATACCTTTGTTTTTGTTTATGGCATTTAAAGCAATTTTCGCTAGTGCTTGTGAAATATATTTATTACTGAAAGGAGTCGCTGAATCTGGATAATGTAACCTGTTTTCTAAGGCACACACTAATTGGCAAGTCAATAAAAAGCTAGTTCCACCAATTTCGAGACATCTGGGATTGGGACAGGGTTTTTGCGGTTTTGTTTTCATGCACCCCCAAAAACCTTGCGATCGAGTATTTTAACGGAAAATTACCTCCAAGTTCCTGGCACAACATTTCACCAAAGGGGATGAACTTCAAATTGCGTAATTTTATGATTCATGACTTTTAATAGGTAATAAAAATATTTTCCTCACTCAATTGAGGAACTCATTTCCGTTGTCAACATGATTCATGTTTGTTTCTAAGTTTTCGCAATTGCACTTAATTAGCATCCCACCCACTTTGCGAATTACAATTTTCAACAAAAATGTGGGAACAAATATTTTGTAAATTACTTGCCCTTCATTATCTTGATTGCATGAAGTTCAAGCCCAAATCTTAATATTATTATTTAATATTAAGAAGTCTAAAATTACTTGGAAACATATCCCAAAATAAATACTCAAAGTGTTCAATCACGCTGTAGACTTTCTTGACTGACACTGCGGTTTACCGACTTTGTGGTTTTTCACTCTCGATCAATCCCACAAAAAGAAAAACTTAAACATTTTCAAATGTTCAAATTGCGGTATGTAACCACAGCTTAAAATATTAATAGCAAGATTTATAGACTTATTAAAGTCATTTACTAAAATAAAGTATTTATACTCTTAATATCGGAGTTTATCTGTTGCCTTAATAAATATATAAATAAAGATATATATACGAAAACCAAATGCAGTTATCACGATTTTTCAACGGTCAACTGAATTTATACACTGTTTGATCTCTGAAACTGGCTTGGCCTATAGTGCTAAAGAATTCTTGCTGAATACGTCATAGATTCTTAGAAATGCCTAATTGATGACCAATTTGAATGATACGGTGGCCAACTCCTCAAATGAATCATTCGCAGTTTGGCAGTGCCTACCGCAACAAAAAGCGAAATTAAAGAGTTGTGAATGCCGAATGCCGACAAACGAAAAGCGAAAACCGCAAGACCCAAGAAAGGTCACCCCCCAAAGGGGCACAGCCCCCAACTGACGTCACACGAGAGAAGTTGTGAGCTGGAAACCGGCTGGAAACCAAAAGGCTGGACCACATTGACGGAAATGTTGTGCGGCCCGATCCCTGCTAATTAAATGAAAATTAGTGCCCCACAACTGTCACCGCTGGAATCTGGCTGACTGGCTGGGCGATTTGGTCTGTCATAACAATTAGCGCGTATTTTGGGAAAGATTCGCGGCTATAAAAGCCAACGGCGGATGGCAGATCAGGCACAGAACCCCAAGGAACTCCAGCTAGAGTGGATATACCAAGCCAGCTAAAAACTACAAATCAAAACCAAACAAAGAAACCCACAAATACCTGATAACCATGCAGTTAGCCATCTCCTTCGTTGTGATCTCCTTGATCTTCAGTTTGAGCATGATCCAAGCAGCTCCTGTCAGGGAATTCGTTTCGGCCACGGATATCACAGGAGAACCAGTGCGCCAAAAGCGAGCCAGTGCGGATTACTACCAGGGCGACTACTTCATCTGCTATCCCAAGAGCGAGGTCTACGGCAAAAAATCTAGTCGCTACGGTGGATCCAATCGCAGGTCCTATGACTCGGAGGACGATACACCTCACTACCTGGCCGATGATCCTTTGGCTGTCCGCCAAGCTCGTGCAGATGCCAGAAGGGCTGCCTACACCGACAGTTTTGGCAAATAATTTTTCTCGAAATTAATTAATTAATTAATCTCGAAATAACATACCTACGAAGTTGGGGAAACGCACAGGTCTAGCTTAAGAAGTTGTACAAAGAATATTATTAGTATTTATTAAAAACAATTTAAAACTATGATTAAAAACAAATAAAATTGTTAAATAAAAACATGAAAGATATCGTATTTATTGAACAACATATACTTTCAGTAGTTTCCATACATTGATAGTTTATCATATTAGATATAGACATCCGAATTCTAGTAGTTTTAGGAATTTTAAGGTTTTTACCCTAAGTATAAATATAATTAAATAAATAGTTTTTCTAAACTTAATGGAAAATTCATTGCGAAGAAATTTAACTGTAGTGTTATTGAATTACTCGAGGTCATACGTTGGTTATATTTTAATTTAAAAATGTTAAAAAATTAAAATATAACCAACCTATGACCTCGAGTAATTTAATAACACTACAATTATTGTTTAATAGGTCGATACAAAAACCAAAGAAAATTTAACTTTTAAGAAACCTATTTGTATAGGCCTTCCAAAAAAAACCGCTAGAAATAATTAAAAATTCAAGCGACAATTTTTCATGGCATATTTCTAGGCTGTGGTCCCAACTAATTTCTAGCCCCTTGATTTCATCTTCAGACAGAGACGCCCCCGCTTTACCCTACAGATATAAGATACATATTAAAATCACAAAACCGACGACTCATCTGGTGAGCAACGATTTTCTGCAAGGCGAACTCCGTGCGCTGGGCCGCTGAGACATTTCGCACCTTATTTGCCTTGGGCATTAGGCTAAAAGTGTGAATTGTTTATAAAGAGATTACAAAACCGAAGACAGGGCGCTTCAGTGGGCCGGCAGTGTTCGACTTTTGCCGCCATAAAAACATAAAAAGAAAAAAAAACGGCATCACTTTAAACGAAAAACCAAGGCGGATAATCGCAAAAGAAAGTTTTCACCATCGGCCTCGGCATAAAAGGCGATTCCAACGAGCCGGAAGCAAACAGTCGCATCCAGAGATAGCTACCGAAATGACCAAGTTTGTGGCTAAGAAAGCACTTCTCCTGTTCACCCTGCTAGTCCTGGGTACGGTCCAAGCCAAGCCACTGGATCGGGAACAGGATCTGAATCAGGATCAGCATGTGCGAAAGGAGCGCCAGTTGAAGATGGCCGGCTCAACGGATGCGGATGTCAAGATGGTGGCCAATGTGACTCCGGCTGCCGCTTCTCAACCCATGGGATTACCGATGAACCAGATGGCCCTGAACTCCGTGGGTGGCCAGTTGGTGAGGTATCCCAACTATCCTGGCCTGATTTACTCCGGCATTGCTCCGGCACCTGGAATAAATGGCATTCCCGGCCTGCAGACGAACATTGCCAACAACTATCCCTCGTATCCGGATCCCAACCTGGCAGGATCTGCTCCAGGCTTCAACCCCTTCGGCTCCTTCGGCTATCCCGGCGTGCCACAGATGTACGGCAACCCCCTGATGTATCCCAATCCCCAGCTGCCCAATGGATTTGTGCCCAACCCAGCGGTGGATAACTACCAATCGCTAAACAGCATTGTCAACATGGCCAATGCTCAAGGATTGGGTGGCGGAAATACTGGCTTGTATCCAGCACCTCAGGGATTCGGTGGTGTTAACTCGGGACTGTATCCTGCCCCCCAGGGATTCGGTGGAGCCAACTCTGGACTGTATCCAGTTCCACAGGCCAATATGCAGGGTCTCTATCCACCACCCGGTGGCTTCTTGGAGCGCATGAACATGCAGGCCTATGCCCCCGGCTTTTAAATGAGTACCACAACTCACTATTTAATAAGATAATTTATTTTATTTATTTCGCAAAATACAAGCACATTTAATCAGAAAAGGAAATGCGGTTTTCTTTATTTACTGAATTACTTGTTTGTAAGTTTCCGATGTCTTGGAAATAGGTTACCCACAAATGGACTTTTCGATTCTATAACTTTTCCAAATTTAAGCCGGTTCCAAAGTGGCGTACCCCTAAAGACTCGTGTTTTGATTTTAAAAAAAACTGCATTCAAAATTTTCATTTTAGCGTTGGTCAAAATTTTTATTCATTTTCATGTTAGTTATTTTCAAGTTTCCGATGACTTGTAAAAAGGTAACCCACCATTAGACTGTGGAGCCCATAACTTTTCTAAATTTAAGCCGATCCCAAAGTGGCATACCTCTAAAGACTCGTGTTTGATTCTCAAAAAATCTGCATTCAAAATTTTCATTTTAACGTTAGTCAAAATTTTGACCCATTTTCATGTTAGTTATTTGTATGTTTCCGATGTCTTGTAAAAAGGTGACTCACCATTGGGCTTGTGGAGTCCATAACTTTTCCAAATTTAATCCGATTCCAAAGTAGCATACCTCTAAAGACTCGTGTTTTGATTCTCAAAAAAACTGCATTCAAAATTTTCATTTTAACGTTGGTCAAAATTTTGACCCATTTTCATGTTGGTTATTTGTATGTTTCCGATGTCTTGTAAAAAGGTGACCCACCATTGGACTTGTGGAGTCCATAACTTTTCCAAATTTAAGGCGATTCCAAAGTAGCATACCTCTAAAGACTCGTGTTTTGATTCTCAAAAAAACTGCATTCAAAATTTTCATTTTAACGTTGATCAAATTTTTGACCCATTTTCATGTTAGTTATTTGTATGTTTCCGATGTCTTGTAAATAGGTGACCCAAACTTGGACTGTGGAGTCCATAACTTTACTAAATCTAAGCCGATTATATAGTAGAATACCTCGGAAGATTTGTGGCTTGATTCCCTAAAAGTCGGTATTAAAATTTTTCATTTTAACGTTGATACATTTTTGACCTATTTTCATGTAAAAAATTGGACTTCTAGAGTTCGTAAATATAAGCCGTTTAAACAGTTTTAATATGCATCTGATGAAAAGTTTTCGACTGTTATATAGTATTACTCACCAGATAATCTTTTAAGGCCATTTAAAAGCAATCACTTGGGGATCTGTATGTCTTCACCCGTTCTTCAGAGAAATATGGACATACATACCCTGGAGAGTAACCTCTTTTTAAACGCTAATTAAGCAGCAGGTGTCAAGTGCAATGTTGGTAATTTGGCAAAGGCGGCCAAAAGTATATATTTGGAAAGTGAAAATGAACATGCTGATTTGCACCCGCAGAGCCATTGAACTATTTCTATTCTATCCGATTTTTCCCTAGAGATAAAGATACCTTTTCCCACTTTGATTTACGATCCACAGTGATTTGTTGGCCTGGCAATGCATTTATCTGAGTACCTGGGTCATTGATAAGTTAGGCAGGTAGTTGGGTCTGGGATAATCCGATAATGGAGTGTGTTCAGCTGGGTATAAGAACCGGGGTTGAAAGGTCAAAGAGCAGCAGTCTTTAATGAACCATTGCACCATGAACTACTCCACGTTGAATCGCATATTTTTGGTTGCACCTATCTTCCTGCTTTTCCTCATGGATATCTGTGAGTCCAAGGCGTGGTGGCCATCAAAAGAAGCCAAAGACTATTCCAGTTTGGATCCTGTGGTCTGGTCGAGATCTTTCGCCCCCGAGCATGTGAGAAAAACACGATATAATGTCATCTCGGAACCTATGAGGAAACATCGCCACCGACAATCATCGAAACTTTGGTACCAAAAGCCTGTTTATCCCGAAAACTTTGTCAGTGCAAAATACTACAAGAAATTCCTAAGGAGACGACAGAAACTGGCGGCACGTGAGATGTACGCACACTGGAGGCAATAGCCCCATATCAGTCATAACCATTAGGTGCTAAGCAAATCTTTATATCTAGTAATTAGCATAAAAAACAAAAGACCTAAAGCACAAACGAGCTGGCTTTTTATTTTTAGCTGGCAAAGTCGCGCGTCAGCCAGAAAATCCTGACTCGCTTCGATTAGCAGGAGTTCTAAACTAGTTCGAGGAGGAGTAAAACCAAATCTGGTCCAAAACAAACACAGACTAAGGTCAACGCGATTACGTTTCAAGACCAGCAACCTGGTAATCGCATTGGCAAACATGATGTAACTATCGTTAGGTCCAAGCTAAAGACCTGAGCAAACCCAACCATTTGCACACACTCACTCGCTGAAAGACGAAAAACTCACCGAAAACCCAGCCCAAAAGTCCAACAAAATTTTGGATGAATGAAAGTACGAGTATATTTGGCCAAGATCGTTGCTGGGCCCACACTTTGTTGACACTGCAAATTAGCAACTCTTCGCACGAGCCCAAGACCCAGACCAGAAGTATATAAACCTAGTTGTCATGGCACTTGGTATTAAGTACCAATCCAGCCAGCATCCATCAATCAGCTATCTCCAATCTCTTTGAAAACCCTTTTGAGAAGCCACAGTATGAAGTTCCTTGCCCTGAGTCTCGCCCTGATCGCCGTGATCACCTGCTGTTTGGCCCTTCCGGTGGATCTGGTCGATGGTGCACCACTGACCCTACTGGAACTGGAGGCGGAACAGGATCCCCAGGTGGATGAACTGGAGGGCGAGCGAGTGGAACGAGGACTAGGAGGTCTGGGAGGACTCGGCGGCAAGTTCGGCGGCTTCGGAGGACTCGGTGGCCTGAAGGGAGGATTCGGTGGACTGGGACACGGCTTTGGCGGTGGATTCGGAGGACATGGCTTCGGCGGCGGCTTCGGTGGACTGGGCAGCTTCAAGAGTCTCTTCAACAAGAAGTTCCGTTGATGTTGCAGCAAACACAAATTGTAGTCTAGTAATTTCGTAATAAAGTATGTTTAAGTAAAATTAAAAGTTCCCCGTTTGATATATGGGATTCAGAGCTCCATAGAACTGCAGTTCTGGCTCTGGAGTACTGGTGGTAATACCCATCCTGGTCTTAACGGTGGGGGGAGGAGGAGGTGGAGGGGGAGTGGGTGCTTTGGGCTGAAAGGGACTGAAGGCCAAGCGCACTTGACTGGCAAAACTTCGCCATAGTTGGAACGGTTTGGGAACTGAAAGTGGTTAATTTTGGATTAATTTCTAAAGCGTAACAAAAACTAGACCAAATTAAACTAGGTAAAAGCTATCAGTACTTATAACCAAAGGAATTATTTAAATAACAACTTCATAAATATTCAAAAAATAAAATTTTACATTGAAATTCTAAAGTTTATACTTTCTTTAAATGGTTAAATATTATTTGAGAGTAAAAGTTAGTTTTGTTATTTAAAGGGATATAAGCCTTACCCAAACTTGGTGATGGTGCCACCTGTGGATCGAATTCGCGCTCATCCAAAGCAGCCACCAGCACCACAGTGATCCAAAGCAGCAACAGACGGATCATTTTGGCTGTCGACCATAGTTGCCTTCTTATAAACACCTCCAATCTTGACTTTCCCCCACCATAAACCCAAAGTGATATTAATAAACCATACAAAATCACCGCCTGAATGGACTTGCATAAGGTAAATAATTTTATTGCACCCAATGGGGCAGTACAAAAGAAGTATCACAAGATGGGCAATGAAATTCAGTTCAGCTGATTAACCATAGAAGCCACCGCCGTAGTAGCCACCGCGTCCACGGTAACGGGTGCGGGTGACCACTCGAGTTCTCTGGAATCCACCGCCGAAACCGCCACCAAAACCACCGCCATAGTACGGTGGTGGAGGGGGGCCGAAAAAGGGTGGTGGTGGAGGACCAAACGGAGGTGGTCCAAAGTACTGGCGCACCTTCCTCACACTCTCATCTCCAGAATCAGCCTGCGCAGTTTCTCCAGCCTCCAGAAGTTGCACGGAACTGGGTTGCTCCTCAATCAATTCGGTTTCCGTTTCATCGGCACTTACAAAATTACACAAAAGCAGAGCCGTCGCAATGGTGAACAAAAATAATATCCGCTTGTAATCCATTTCGCTGTCGTATTCCTTCTCAGACTTTGTCAAATACTAAAACTTATCGCCCCCTGGTCTTTAATTTATAGCCAAACATTTGCCAAGAACACCCATCACCTGGTCTCATAAACAAAGGAGGTTCATTGGCATTTGCTGATTGCCATTGGGTGTCTTTTTTTTTACATTTTTCGTCTAATTTCAATCTCTGTCAAGCAAAGCCGCCGAGAATAATTAGTGGCCTGAAAAAAACCCGAAAATAAAGTCTACACAAATACATTAGGTTGACCCAATCTTAATGTGTTGATGAAATGAAATATAATACGGAAGTGAGGGCAACAGTGGTACAACATGTAGATCATCGAGGTATATGTAACTTTATACGCTATTATTTAATCTATACAATTTGGGATCGTTAAGATTATTTTGAATAAAAAGGTTGTGAAAAAACCCACATTTTCTGCGCAAAAGGTATGAAGACGTCGTTATCGCTAAGATGGATTAGTACTACCAATCTGGGAAAAAGTAAACTGAGTATAATACACGTTTTCGTGAAAATTAATCCACCAAAAACAAAAAAAATATGTTTTGTGTAAAGCCCAGTCTTTCCAAACAAATGCTATTAGGGATTATATTTTCCAATGATGTCAGATCGTTAAGATGGATTGGTAATACCTAGCTGGGAAAACCTACTATATCTAAATAAAAATAATTGAGAGTAATATTTTCAAGGCCTTGCTAGTATTTTTAACAGGTTCTTCTTCAGTTGAGAAGATGATATGACCAAAGAAAATACTGGAACCATCAATGTCGAAACCTTAACCTTCACCGTAACCTAAGAATCCATCGAACTTCAACGATTACGAATTGGCAATACGATTACCCAGTATCCAATTGCTCTCCAAGCCAGCCAACTTGACCCACTGTAATCGCTTGATGGCTTGTTGTTTACCACTCGAAAAGCCCAACCGCTCGCCTCGCGTCATATTCGGTACATATATTATTTTAAAGCAAACAACAGCGAGAGACTCTTCCAGAAATATCAACGAACGGCTCAAACACAACCAGTTGAAAACGGAATATGCAAGCTCATCGAATCTGTTGATTCCCAAACACTCGACAAAACGAAACTCGATCTCGCAGCACTTTTGTTTATTCATTGTTTACACTAGAGACCCACTCAGACTTATTCGGAAACATCTAGCCGAAGAAACCGCCTTTGAATTTGGCGAAACCCACAGCGCCACCGACGAAGCTACCACCTCCGATGCCACCAAGTCCACCCAATCCTCCAGCTGCCGGATAGCCGCCTCCATATCCATTGTATCCATATCCGTATCCATAGCTAGGGATCGTTTGAATGCTGGACACCACGGGAACAGTGGTGATTATGGGCACGGTGGACACAACGGGAACTGTTTGAATGGCGGGAGCTGCTATTAGAGGGGCAGCTACTCCTCCGCCTCCTCCAATGATTCCACCGCCCACGATTCCACCTCCAACCACTCCTCCACCTCCAAATCCTCCAATGTGCCGGGGTTTTCTTATACTCTCCTGGAGCGGATCGCTGCTGGAGAGGATCGGTGTGGTACTGGCCATGGCGCACGCCAAGACGAGCAGGTAGACCGTTTGCCACAACATGATGAGGTTAACTGTTTGGACTACCCCACTCCCAGCTGCTTATTTATGCAAATTAATTAGTGGCCACTGTTTGCACATCCAATTGGCGTATTGTTGGGCGCCCGAGTAGAAAAAAACCCCGAAAAATCTCTAAGGCCCCAGCTCTGTTTTGGCGGTTCTAGTAAGGGAATCGTGGTTTTTGGTTTTACCCAATGGTCAGTGGTTCACACCTCATCATCGTCATCGTTTGTAGTCCGAAGGTCGCTGGCTTGGAGCATTAAAAACCAGGTTTTTTGGGGTAAGGTAACTCAAATCGTTATTGGACACTCAGCTAAGATGAGGTGCGATCTGCAAGTGCAACTTTTGCTGTTACTGGGAATTGGTGCTTGGAGGATTGGAGCTCATTCCCTGGGAGGAGGTGGAATTGGAGCTGTTGGAGGAGTGGGAGCAATAGGAGGAGTAGGAGCCATCGGAGGAGTAGGAGCCATTGGAGGAGTCCAGCAAGTTCCAGTCGTCCAACAAGTGCCCATTGTCCAGCAGGTGCCCATTGTGCAACAGGTGCCGGTCATCCAACAACAACCTCAGGCTCTGGGACTCGCCGGAGGAGGTGGATTCATTGGCGGTGGAATCGGAGGAGGAGCCGGATTTGGCCACTACAAGGAAAGCTATCGCGTGCGAGCAAGGGGATTCGGTGGTGGATACCGTGCCCGTTACGACAAGAAGTTCGGAGGAGGATTTGCAGGATTTGGAGCTGCTGCAGGAGCGGGAGCAGCGGGTGGCGGTCTACTGGGATAAATATTAGCAATTAATGTAGAAAATTTACCAATTAATATAAATGTCACTGTAACTTAAAATAAATGCGAATCAGCAGAATCATTTATCTTTTGTCATCGAGCTAACCTTTCAGCGAAAAATTGTACTTATAATTCAATCTTCAATCAGGATTTTTAAAATCCCTGTTGAAATGCCTTACCTCGTTGAATTCTTTTAAAATTTCCAATCGATTGGCATTCACAGCTGAAAAATTTTATTTTCAAACTATTTTCGAAAGAAATTTTGAAAAATAATTTTTCCCAAATCAACCTGTAACTGATAGCTAAGGACCTCAGCTGCATTTTACAGTCAATATTGGAAAATATTTTTCCAAGAACAATTTTTGCAGATTACATCCGAACACCCTGTATTTGTGTCCGCTCTGATTTTCTGCTGACCTGCGCAGTTTTCACCCCCAGAAAAAGTCGCCACGGCGCTCTGTGTTCTCCCACTTTTGGGCTTCCCGCTCTCTGGTGGTGCATTTGGTTCCATTCATTTCCGTCGTCGCTCCACTTACTCAAGCTCTCTCGGTCGGTCACTTGGCTTGTCTTCTCTTTAAAAGAATTTATGTCTTCCCTAACTTGAACTCTTATTTTGACAATTAAAACACCTTACACAGGTCAGATTTATGCGAACCATTGACACTCTCCTCTTTTTGTCGATATTCTTTCCTTTGGATTTAAAGTCTTTAAAAAACGACACTAAGGATTTTATAAAAATTTAACAAAAAAAAAATAAAAATTTAAAAACTAAGACATATGATAGCCATAAAAGAAGTTGATTAAAGCAATATTATATTGCATTTATAAACAGATTTTTTAACATATGATAAATATTAAATAAATATTGTTATTCATTAAACAACTCGAGAACTGTTAACTCAAACTTCAAAGCAATCTCAGCAAAATTGTATTTCAAATTAGATTTTTAATTGCGCCAAGAGATTAACCAAGAGATAGTTTAAGAGTGAGATGGTTTGCTCTTAGGAAAAACATGCAGACCATAGAGAGAGCTTAAGAGATTGGGGAAATGGTCATGGCAGTAGCCCCGACGTCAAAATGAATTCCTGAAATTAAACGTTGTTCTTTTGCCATCGTGTGCAGTCGCTCTCGCTCCCGTTATTCGCCGTTCTGGGATTCCCGCTGGCGGACTCTAGTGACAATATCACCTTGATAATCCTTTTGAAAAATGTGAGAGCCTCCAAGGATACAAAGTGCAACCAAAATAACGGTTAACTTAGCTAGTGCGCAATATTAGTGGCCTAAAAATAGCAAAGAAAATATTATCGAAAATAGCAGACATGCCGTGTTTTTGTGCCTCTGTGTGTGCGTGAGTGTCTGCGAGTGAAGTGGAAATTTAAAAATAAAACAACGCTGGGACACAAGTGAAATCCGTCAGTATTGTATTGGCCAACTGCCCAGAAAAACTCCAGGTGATAACCACTTTTTGAATGATTGTTGGTTTTTTTTTGGGGGCCTGATTTTGTTGTTAATCAAATTCTCTGGGGAAAACTTTCAATACTCTCTCCGTTTACTCTCTCTTTTCTCTGTGATTTCACACTCGCTCTCTCTCTGTTTCTCTTAAGCCACCGCTATTTGCAGTATGACCAAACTTCACTTTAGGTTTGATTTAAAGTACACAGTGCAAGTTCTTTGTGCTTAAAAACTAGAGAGATTTAAGGGTGTTGGAGACCTGGTACCTGCCTTATCTATCAGCCACAAGGACTCCCATTGTCTACCCATCCACTTGGGCAAATGACAGCCCCGGGCAGCGTCATTATTCAGCTTTTCGCCAGACCTCTTGGCCTGCCTCGGCTTTCCTCAGCGTAATTAGTGTAATTGGGGCCAATCCGACTCTATTTCTTGGCTTCTGCTTGTCATTTGGTTGATTGGCAGCTGTAATAGTTGCAACTGCAACCACCCCCCAAGCGAATTTCTTTTAAACTACAGGAAACAACATTTCTGTAACTAAAACTAACGACTAAACTTTGTACGATTAGGTCTTCATGACCTAAACTTCACTTTTTAACTTTTTCGAGGCTGACATTCGATTTATTTAAAGTCATCATGTCAAAGTACAAATGTAATAAAATAGTTTACATAAACGTTTTTCATTTTATATATAATTTTTAAGTTTTTTTTTTTATTTGCATATATTGTTTCCAATAATTATAGAAATCTTGTTAACTTTACTCTTTATTTAAACACAACAGAAACCTGTTAGAACATATGTAATGCCAGTGCAAACCTTAAAAAAACACATGTTTGATCACAATGGTGGTAGTTTAAGCAATGTTAGTTACCCTGTTGTTAAAATTGCACCCCCTGGTATAAAATACTCTCAAATGTGGCTGCAACCCTCGGATCCCACGCACTGACGTCGGTGCAACTCACCCTGAAAACTGTTTGTAGTTCGGGCTTATTTGCTGGGTGGCTGTGTGTACCGACGAGTATGTAGTTCAAGGTCGTTGGACAAGTTCTGTCCGCTGGCTAAGATGTGTCCTGGTCCCATTACCATATAGAGAAGCTGAAACTTGAGACCCCGTGGCAAGTTGAAGGACATGTGAATGCCCCACTTGAGACGCTATTCTTGGGCTCCAAAGAGTCCATTCAGTTGACACTAATCACCACCCACGCCAGCTCCATGAAAACGTGGCACTAATGAGCACCGGTCATGCAACGTGTTGGTGACCCCTTCGGAATATGGCACCTGGCCAAGGATCCTCCACAGCCAGCAACAACAACAACAACAACACATCAGGACAGGAAGCGCAGTCATTGAACAGTTAATGGAGTGCAGATTGCAACAAGGGACGCCAACATTCCGGGCCACTGGGCAGATGAAAGTGACCATAAATTCAACGCCTGCTCTAATCAACTTGCCCCCTGGCCAGAAGCCAATGGCCAACAGCAGTGGACGCCCCACTTGGCCAGGCTTAATGTCAGCTAATTGTACTGGCCGGGAGCTCTCTTTTCCTCAGACTAAGCGTCGTCAGTGGGCTCCCCAAATCCCCCACTCCATCTGGTTCAATGGGGCGCAAACTGTTGTTATGGTAACTAAACAGTGGAGCTTCTATAAGAAGAACTAGCTGTAGTTAGTAATGCCAAAAAATGTAATTAAAAAAAAACATTTAATAACAATAAATTTAAAAACTCAATAATTGCATATTTAAGATTGAATATTGACTTACTTTTTTAGTTGTATTTAAATTTTAAGTTTATATAAAAATTTTCATTTGAATGTTATATTGCCAATAAAAGTTCTTACTAAAGAAACTAAAATAACTGTTGATTTTCCCAGTCTTTAGAAAATCACAAAATGTAGACCGAAACCATCGTTATTTTGATTTACACATTATCATAATTGCAATATTATTCTCTTATGACAAACATTAAATTCTGAAAAGTTTTAATGGGAACAATTTATAAACATGTTTTTCGGTTGTGCCACATAGCAAATGGATTTATAGAAGAAGAACTGTATGTTAATATCCAAAACAGAGCTTTGGCAACATTTACCAGTGTTTGGTGTCCTTTGTGGCGAGTGACGTAAACGAAGTCGCGGGGGGGAGGAGGAAGGTTATGGTGTTTATGGTTGTTGAGCGGTGGGTGGTGCTCGGTGTGTGTTAGCCTTGGGCCTGGAATTATCATTTGGCTTTCGTCTAGCCCCGCTTGCCCCCTGTTGACATGTTTATGCGCAAAATTTGTTGTTAAAGTCCCATATCGATTTTGTTAACTCGATTATAGGAACATCGCCAACGCCAAAGGATAAATTGTAAAGGATAAACAAGGACAGTGACTAGTCGACGGTTGTGTGACATGCTAGCAGCAGTTATGGCATCGGACATCAACTGGGATCCAGGTGAGTGACGCACTCGAGCTGTCCAAAATGATTGATTACACCACACGCACCTTTTTCCAGCTCTATCAAAATTGATCAGTACACTCAAGGAGTCGGAAAATCTGTCCAATGACCAGGAGATTGACTTCCTGAAGGCGCTGCTGGAGTCCAAAGAGCTGAATGCCCTGGTCAATGTCCACACGAAGGTGGCCAAGGTGGGGCGGGATGATCGACTAGCTCCCGTGCTCTCCACCTCCGCCCAAGTCCTGTACGAGGTCCTGGAGCAGCTGTCCCAGCACTGCCACCTCAATGACGACTGCAAGGAGGCCTTCCACCTCCTGCAGGACTCTCATGTCCAGGTGGGTAATAATCTTTTAATAATCCTCTTTTTGCCGCCATAAAAAGTTGACTTATGGAAAACTCAAATAAGATATAGTTAAAGACTTCCTTAATAACCAAATTATAGATTAATAAAATTGGAATACATTTTTGGAAATATTATTTAAATTAGCTTAAAACTCTCTACATAATATTCTTTAATATGCATTTGTATAAATCAAGTTCTTTCTAGGGGAATAAATAAATATTTTGGTTATATTTAAAGTCGAACATTTTGATATTATTAAATCAAAAACAAAGATTACTTTTATTCTGCTAGAATACCTTTTGTGTGTGATATCTGTGTCATTAAAAAATTTGAGCCCATATATTTTAACATTTCAAGAAACAATGAGAAATTTAATATTTTAAGGTTGTTTAACTTTTTTAAATTGTTAGTAAAGAGAATGATAAATCGTATAAAAATTGCATATTTACTAAACCAATTAATAGCAACTTTTTAAATTAAAATATGATTTATTCCAGCACCTCCTGTTTGCCCACGATGCCATTGCTCAGAAGGACTTTTACCCGCATCTGCCGGAGGCGCCTGTCGAAATGGACGAGGATGAGGAGACCATCAAGATTGTGCAGCTCGTGAAGAGCAACGAGCCCCTGGTGAGTGTCCATATGCAGCTGGACCTTCACTTTTCCATGCCCATCTCATCACCGTGATCGCTGTTCTGTGCTGTCCATCGCTTTCCACTGTCCGCTCTCGACTTTCATTTCCGCCCCCCACTTTCACAGCCCGTTTCCAACTCTCCCCCTCCCACTTTCGCCCTTGCCAACAGCTCCTCTCTCTGCGCCTTCATTCATATTCGTACTTCCACTGTAATCGCCTTCATGTCAACTCTTCCCAATGCTAATCAATTTTGTAAACTTTGCCTTTGTTAAAATCGAATGAAATCGAATCAATTTCTCGAATTCGCCCATAACAAACCAAACAAAAATGCATTTGTAACAAAAAAAAAAAATATATAAAAAATCGAATAATGTAAAAAATAACACAGACAGGAGCACAGAGTGCGGAGCCAATTGTTGTAAGTAATTGAATGTCCATAGCTGTACAAATGTCCACTGTAAAAAAAAACAGAAACCCGTTCGCCAAGCACAAAATACAACAAATAACAAAGATACATAACATAAGATACATTCCGTTGTCCTCATTCCTTTGTCGTTGTTGTTGTGACACATCCATCAGATACACACATCTAAAACATCGGAAACCGCACTTCACACAGATACACACTCACACACAGGCACACATACGCACACATACGCGCCTTGTGCTAAATTTCCAGTGATAGTTATTGCCTACTTTTAGGGGGCCACCATAAAAACGGACGAGGAAACGGGCAAGATAATCATCGCGAGAATCATGCACGGCGGAGCTGCAGATCGCTCCGGATTGATACACGTCGGCGACGAGGTCATCGAGGTCAACAACATCAATGTGGAGGGCAAGACGCCTGGCGATGTGCTCACCATATTGGTAAGGACTCCCAAATCACTATAGGGCCAAAGTTCTTAGTTACCAATAATGATTCTTTAGTAATTCAAAATGGATTTTCATCCAAGAAAATTAGTTATTTGATGTTTAAAAAAACTAAAATAAATAGTTAAATAGAAAAAAAATATTTTAAGAACAAACTAAGATATCCCCAGATATTTGCTATGATGCCTAGGATTTTTCAAAGAATAATACTTTATTAAAGGGACCTAAACTTAAATACTTTTCAAAAATAATCTATATCCAATAGATCTATCTACTAGTCATTTATGATAAGGTTTAAGATATGTGCGCAGAAACTAATATTATCTCGTTTTTGTAGCAAAACTCCGAGGGCACCATTACCTTCAAGCTGGTCCCCGCGGACAACAAGGGCGCCCAGCGCGAGTCCAAGGTGCGGGTGCGGGCCCACTTCGACTACAATCCGGATGTGGATCCCTACATACCGTGCAAGGAGGCGGGGCTGGCCTTCCAGCGTGGCGATGTGCTGCACATTGTGGGCCAGGACGATGCCTACTGGTGGCAGGCGCGCAAGGAGCACGAACGCTCGGCGAGAGCGGGCCTGATTCCCAGTCGGGCGCTCCAGGAACGCCGCATCCTCCACGACCGATCGCAGAAGGATGGCATTGATCTGGACTCGAAGCGTAAGCATCAGCAGGTTGCCAGCTCATTGGTTCCATAACATACCGCGTTGTTCCATTGTCATTGAATAAATTTGCTCTAATTTCATGCTGCATCGTTAACCCCAAATCATCTAACCCGCAACTGAACACATCCATCAACCCAACCAATCAACCATTGCCATCGCCAGCCGGATCATGCGCCTCACTCTGCACCACCCCACCTGGTTCCCCGCGTCTGCCTGCGAGCAGCAGCAGCTCCTCCTGCCGCCAGCCCAAGACTAAAAAGATCATGTACGATTTGACAGAGAACGACGACTTCGATCGCGAGCAGATCGCCACGTACGAGGAGGTGGCCAAGCTGTATCCCCGGCCAGGAGTCTTCAGGCCCATAGTGCTCATCGGAGCTCCCGGAGTGGGTCGCAACGAGCTGCGCCGCCGGCTGATAGCCCGGGATCCCGAGAAGTTCCGCAGCCCGGTGCCCTGTAAGTATTCCTCATGAATGAATGGTTCACTTGAGTGCGTGAGCAAATAATAATGGTTCACTGGAGTAGATGAACTAAATCAGTTCACCCACTTAGAGTAGCTGTTCATTTGTTCACTTGCTTACTTATTTCTGGCTCAGTTGTTCATTGGATGAAATGTTCACTTTGTCAGTTGTTCATTGGTTCACTTGTGAGTGAATGATAAAACTGATGTTAAAGGAACAAGCGATTAAGTATACTAAAAAGTGATCAACTTGTTTTTTAAATTGAACCAGTACATTCCCATAATTGGTCTATAACAGAATCTCTCCAGAGATTTTAAATTCCTTTCTAAACACCACTAAAAATATGCCTTTTGTAGACACCACCCGACCAATGCGCACCGGAGAAGTGGCCGGACGCGAGTACATCTTTGTGCCGCGCGAGAAAATGGACGCGGACATCGAGGCGGGCAAGTTCGTGGAGCACGGCGAGTACAAGGGTCATCTGTATGGAACCTCGGCGGAAAGCGTCAAGTCAATCGTGAATGCAGGATGTGTTTGTGTGTTGAGTCCGCATTACCAGGCGATCAAGACTCTGCGCACGGCCCAGCTGAAACCGTTCCTCATCCACGTGAAGCCGCCAGAGTTGGACATCCTAAAGGCCACGCGAACGGAGGCCAGGGCCAAGTCCACCTTCGATGAGGCGAATGCCAGGAGTTTCACCGACGAAGAATTCGATGATATGGTCAAGTCGGCCGAACGCATTGATTTCCTGTACGGACACTTCTTCGACGTGGAACTGGTCAATGCAGAACTGGTCAACGCCTTCGAGCAGCTGGTCCAGAATGTGCAGCGTCTGGAGAACGAGCCAATATGGGCACCATCCATGTGGGTGCAGTAGGAGTAGTAGGAGGATGCCAAATGTGGAGAAGCATTTCATGCAATTTGTTAAACAACACAACACCAAAGTATTTTTGCCATACGAATTTAGCAATCTGCTAGAGAGACGAAGGAGGAGAGACACTATTTACCCGTAGGCGGTCCTGCTGGGCACTCCCGTCCGGCCTTAGTCCTTTTCACGACATGTACCTTTTTGCGTAACAGTGAAAACAAAGAAATGAATACAATAATAAACAAAAAGAGAAGGAAATTTAAACTCATCCAGCATCTATCTTACGATTACGATAACAATTAAATTATAAAAAACTTGTTGTACAAAATTTATTTGTGTTCAAAAATGGACTAAATTATAAATGTATTTATTACACGTTGTTGAAATCAAAGAACAGAGTTAATCCCCCCGTAACCCTAACGCTAACCGTATTGTATCTCAATTGTATATACACTCACTCACTAACTAGAGCATATTGGATACAATGTGACATTCTGTGTAATATGTCTGATTTCATCAAAACGTAGTGACAAATTGTTGAAAACAAGTGAGAAATTAATAAAAACCTATTTTAAATGCGATCAAGAGGGAAGCGTTATTTATAAGCTAGACTTTTGATAAGGTATATTACATTTATTTGGGATAGAGAAGACTTAAACACAGCTTTTTTTGGGCAGCACACTTGTTGACATATTGACATGCTCAAGTAAATACATATATTTATATATAATCTGTCACTTATGTTAACCTATGGCAAATATGTAAATTTAGCTTAGGCATATGAAGTCTATCCAGGATGTATTGTTCAGTTTCCTTGATTGTTTTTATATGCCTAGCACTCACTTAAATTAAGATATGAAATTAAAGTCTGGGAATACTAGAATATTTTGGTCATTAAATTTGTTTTCTACATATTTCGTTTTAAAATTTATTGACCGAAATTTCCATTTCATAGAATTCTTAATTCAGGCTCGAGTACTAGGCTTTAGTGCGAAGACAGATACTAATTTCACATCTACCCATTATAGTGGTTCAGGTACAATATCCCCCCACCCCCACTATCAGCTAGAGTTGCGATTTGGTACCAGATCGGGAGATGCTCAAGCCGTAGAATTGGGCCAATCGCCTGGCCTCCCGCCATCCCGCCTCGACTGCTCCATGGACCGTGGAGTAGTAGTGCTCGCTGGAGGCCTCCCCCGCAAACTGGACAATGGGCCTATCGCAGCGACTCTGCTGCCACGCCTCGTCCTCCGCATCCTTCTCTCTCTCGGGCGTGGTGGCCACCACGGTCAGGGGATAGGCCAACTCCCGGGCACCGGTGCCCAGTTGCTCCGTGTCCATGGATCGATAGGAATAGGATCCACGGAAATTGTCATTCGTGTACCAAGTGGAAGTACGGAAATTGGAAGGCTCGGGGATTTTCCACTTGAGGAACCGTCGGAAGAGGTACATTACTCCAGCTTGGACCTCATCCACGGGAAGGGTTTCCATGTGCCTGCCACTTTTATTGGTGATCCAACCAGCCAGTATCCTCGGCTGGTAGCTCACCCTGTAGAAGCCGAAGACGTCCTCCAACCAAGCTCTTGAGGTGCCGCGAATATCGTCCAGATCCTCTTCCCGCCAAAGCAGGGTGAAGCCCGTCCAATCCTCGGGCCAAAAGGCCTCGGGAAACTCCACAAAGATCTTGTTGACCGTCCCGAAAGCTAAGCCATCAATGGCGCGTTGTTTCTCCACCGGAAGCTGGGGTTCGAATAGTCGGAAGTGCTGATCCTTGAGAACTCCCAGTGAAACGGTGACCACCACATGGTCGGCAATGCAGTTGTCTCCATTGCTCAGCTGCAACTCCACTCGTCCATCGTTCCGGTTCCAGTTGATCTTGAGCACGCGAGTGGACAGTAGAAGTCGCTGCTCCAGAACCCCATGCTCCACTTTTAGTTCCCGAGAACGCATGAGGAGTTTGAGGAGCTCGACAAAGCCCTTGTCCTTCCAGTTGAGCAGGATGTCACCCTCGCACTCCCAGTAGTCGAGATAGCCCCTACCCGAGACCTGTTCCAGCGTATCCGAGGCCTCTACGGAGTTCTCGAACTTCTGGTAGTTGTCAAAGAACTCCCTCGCCACCTCGGCGTCTATATCGGAGTTCTCGGGACGCCAGAGAGTGTCGTAGAACTTGTTGGTCAGGTAGCTGCCCAGGGAGCCGCTGCAGTGGCGCAGTTCCAACTGTCGGGTGACCAGGGAATCGCCCACGATGGCTTTGAGGCGACTGGCCACCTGTTCGGGCACCACATCCCCATTGGATCTCACGCACTGGTAGTTATCATACACCGGACCCGTGGACTCCAGCAGCTCCTCATCCTGCTTTCGGGTGAGCTCATAGACCAGGTTGTCCCTCTCCCCATGACACCACTGCGCTCCAAGATCGATCACATTATCGGCAAAGGGAATGGTGTGTATGCGACCTCCTAGACGATCCTCCGCCTCCACGACGAGCACATTCTGGAAGCCCAGTTCCAGGAGCTTGGTGGCACAGGCCACGCCCGAGGCTCCCGCTCCGATGACAACGATCTTGCGATCCAGATTCCGCTGTGCGACACTCATTCCGGGTAACTGAATCTGTTTCTGCAAATAAAGGGGTTGCCGAACAACAGGAGAAACGCAAATTAAATGATAAACAGCTTGAGTTCGAGCGAGTGGGTTGGTGACAATTGGACTAACACTTAAAAAAATACATATACTCCTCCCCATTTAATTCAGGGTGTATTCCAAAATAAAAAGTTTATGATATTGCAAGTAAAATAAGGTAAAGTAAGCCCTTTTTAAAATTCTGTACGTGATTTTTGCCATGTTTTTTCACAGAAATTTAAATATTCTAGCACTAAGACTGGAAATAATTACGACTCACCTTGAAAAAGCACTAGTTGTCACGTTTTTTTTTATTTCATGCACTTTAAATTAAAACAAAGCTAGTACTCCCTATGAAATCAGGGTAATGCTTAAAATTATTGCTCATATTACCAATTGTTTTAATGTTCACAGTGTTCTTTTAGAGAAAATGCCTTTTTGTTTACGCTTTCACTTTCAAAAATAGCATTGTAAATAGATTTCGCAATAAATGAATAACGTATTATATTAAAAACAATAAATACGATGTCTGTATAATAGACCCTTCAACATAAAATGAATTTACATAAGTAGGAACATTGTAGACAGCAATGTACATATATTAAAAAATTCTATTTTTAAAGATGTATTAAAACTTTGCACTTTATAAACCTGATTTTGCTAAGTGCACTCCTCGCCACCGTTAGACGATTTGTTTATGGAATTGGTGCAGTGCAATTTCAGGCACTTGAGTTTTATCACCGCCCACTTCCCCGAGAATAATAGAACTGTCTTTTGGTTCAAAAAACTAAACGCATAGCCGCTCATCTGTTTCGATAACGAATTGCTGCCCGCAATTCCGACTTTTGATAAGAGTTTCGAAAAAGCTCCCCCCAAGAGCAACACATTCGGCCAAAGGAAAACACATGTGTACAAACACATAAATATGTTCACTCGCCTCTGGCTACATGCTTTTATAAATAGCCATGGAAGCAAAGGGAAATCGGAGGGGAAAAGGCCGGGGAAAAATCCCAGAAGGAGTATCTAGCCAACCGGACCAGCTGGTTTTACCTGAAGTTCACCTAAAATCTGTATTTTTTGCCAACGAGACGAAATGGGAAGGTGGAAATGGGATGGGAAGCAGTTTCCACCTCCTTCAGTTTGGCATTGATTTTATATTTTTGGCCAAAAAAAATGTTCAAGGTTTTCTGCGACAAGCAATAAAACAAAAGTAAGAACCAGCCACAAAAAAATATGAGGGGAAATGGAATTTTTTCGCCACTTTTTGGGGGTGATAATGAATGGTATATTGACTTCACTGCACACTCCACTCACCAAAATAACTCGAAAACCGTTAGAACGTATTTATTCAACAATTGAACATTTCTACCGGAAACTTTACTATATATACTATATTTTTGCGGCTAGCAAAACTCCAGCTTCGCGGAAAATGCAAACAAAACTGAATGCCGAAAGCGGAAAACATCACATGGAAACGTGCCGCTCTGCCCGTGTGCTTATGCTGCGTTCAGGGGCTTAGTTGGAATTTCTAGGGGGGATTATGCACTGGTATATTTTCAGGGTCCCCCATGAGGACGCCCCTGTGCACTCTGCGCAGACTGTAAGCTCCCCAAAAGCTCTGGGCAAAAGCACCCAACACAGCTGAGTGAGTGGGTAAATCGAGTGGGTTGTCGAGTGATTTGGGGCATTGAGAGGGAATGAGAAAGGGGCCTGACCTGACCCTCTACCCAAATGCACAGAGAAAATTTCACAACGAATTTCAAATTAAATAAATTAATAGGTTTCTTTTCTTTTTTTTCACATTTTAGAGAGCCCAATTTTAAATCATCAAGAATTAAACCTTCTAAAGGTCTGCCTATCTACCTTTGTATTGGCAATATTAATACCGGACATTTTAATGTGTATTTTCGTAGTTCGACTTTACCAAATTCGTTTACCGATTAATTTTGGAGAATTTGTAATTACAGATTAGTAAAAACTTATTTTTAAGCCTGAAGACTATAAACAAAAGCCACCTGATGTTATAGGTTGATGAAATAGGTTCTTCAATGTGGATTTAACTTATTTAAATTTTTCAAATATAAACTATCTAAACTAGGGACTTGTTTTCTTTTTTCTCTGTGCACTATAAGTTAAGTATGCCTTTCGGCACCCCGTAAAAAGATTCTCATTTAAGCTTTAATTGATTAGTTTAATTTATATATATGTATATATTTACTCAACTGCATACAAGTTTTTGCTAGATTTGGTTAAAGGAATTTCCTAAGACTCTTCGTTAAAGAACTCGTTTGATATTGTTAGGTCCATTCTGTGTATATATGTAGATATATCCTTCGATGTATGTACAGGTCAGTTGCAGTATCCTTTGGCCAAATCGGGAATGACAGAAATCTGGAGCACTTGGTATTTATGTATGTAGTTAGTTATCATTTATTACCCGCCTACATTGACTTTACATGATCATCTGTTCCTAGCTTTGGAATTACATTAAATATAGAGGCTGGTAATAAATCTGGTTAAAATGTTTTACGTGTATATACAGCAAGGGAGTTTACTTGGAATATGCTGATAATTCGTTTAAATAAACAGTATTTGATTTGCTCTAAAGGACCGGAATTAAAAACCAAGCCATGTTATAAATAAATCTAATTTACACTAAATATAACTGATTTGGAAACACAACTAGAAAGCGATTACAAAATAATAAACAAAATTATCACAAACAATAACAGCCCGGATAGGATGAGAATGGCGGCCCATTGTCGTTTATCTGCGGGGAGAAAGTAAAATAAGTTATTTTAATATAACATATTAGATGTTGTAGGAAAACTTGACGGGTAATTTGGATTTAGGATTACTGATTTATGCTGGCCTAAATATATTGAAAATCAACATTTGTATATATTAAACAAAAACAGATGATGGTCTTGGAACGAAGAAAAGCTAAAGATTTTTGTATAATTAGTCATGATGCATGAATCAGTAGTCCCCGATCGAAAATCCCAGCTGAGTGCCACAATTACGCCACACTCACCATTATTCATGTGCAAGACTTTGGCAACTTTCTTCATGGTCGTGTCCAACTTGGACTCCGTGGTATCGAACTCGTTTCCGAAGTCATCCAGCATCACCGCCTGTTCGTCGAGCTCCACGCCAATTTGCCGCGAGACAGTCTTCAGAGTGCCAATCGAATCACTGATCATGTCCAGCTGCTCATCCTGCCCCTGGATCATGCGTTGCTGGATGGACACCGTCTCGCCCACATACCGATGACTCGGACTGTCCATGCCGCCGTGATGCGTCTGCCCGTAATGACTGGGACTGTCCAGGGCGTTCTCCAGCTTGGAGTACTTGGTGCCGCTGTGGCGGGAAGCTGCTGCCGCTGCCGCAGACATGGTTCCGGCTATGGTATTGGCCACCACCTGGCTGCCACTGTTGATCAGCGAGTTGCCGTTGAGCCCACTGGGACACTCCACCAGATAAGTACGATCGTTGTGCGGATGCTGATGGTACTCGTTGGAATTGGAATTGGAATTCGAATTGGGTATGGCAATGGAGTGATTGTGATTGGGGCTGTGGCGTTCGTTGTCGAGCAGCGGCTGGTGTGCGGTGATGTCTCTGTCCCGGCTCCGGTTCAGGCTCATCTTATCCTTCATCTGCTTGACCTCATCGCGCGTGTTGTCGATGAAATGGCGCCGGCTGGAAAGTTCGCGATTGTCGATCCGAAACTTACTCGGATTCTTTTCAACGATGCGTACAGATCGAAATGGTTAGGGTTAAGGAGGTAACCTTGGGAAAATTGGGGAAATCTTTGGTCTCTTCAGACCTAGAGACAAATAAAGTCGATTGACCCGACTTTCAGATACCCGGTACTCATTAAATTTAATAAAATGTATTTAAAAGAAATAAAGAATACCCCAAAAAGGTTCCTAAACATACACTTTATCTGAATTTCAATTTTAGCTAACATTTAATATGTTTAATATTATATCATTAAAATATTTTTGTATAAAATATTTGCTTATTTTAACAGGATTGTTTAGCAAATTTTTGGTAAGGTCTTAAATTTTTCTGGCGCAAAAGGATAAGACAAACTGACATTGCCAAATTAACTGAGGTAAGAAAACCATAATTTCACATAAAGTAACATCCAACCCCCTGCTTAAACCCCTTGAGTACCGGGTGAGGAATTGATTTTCCAATGGATTGCTTTGCCAAAAAGGATATTGATAGTGTCCTCGAGGTCCTCGAGATCCCACTCGATGCTCCGGAGCGAGTTACGCAGCTCGGTGGTGGTCCATTCAGCCTCCGTTCCTCCGCTCTCGCCCAACTCCCGCCAACGCAAATAGAGGCCGCGGGTTTTGTTCAGAGCTTTGAATACCTCGCTGCGAAGAGAATAAGAAAGGTAAGTAATGGGGAAAATTCAGGAAAACTGCAATTGCCATTGATAAAAGGACCTACTCCTTGACTACGAAAAAGGGATCCTCCAGAGACATGCCGTGCTCTCTTCTTGGCCTGAAATGGAAATTGAAACTCCTAGCAGTTTTTCACCAGCGTGGCGCACTTGACGGTTATTTTCATGGATTTTTCCGGGCGAAAACCACCCCCAAAAAACTCTTGGGGGAAAGTGCAAGTTGGTAATGCCAAACACAGGGGGTTACATCAAAAGTCAATCCGAAAAGGGGGAATTTATTTTTCTATTTTTTTTTCCTTTTTAGCAGTAATTTCACAATCAACTGGGTTTTATCTTTGGCTATGAGCGAAGTTTGCACAGCACGTTTATTGATTATTGCACTTGAGGCCGCACCGTCTTATCGCCCGATTTCTCTATAGTTTCCGCCGATTTAGCTGGTTCCGCCAATGGCCCAGAGAACACTGTCGTTATTCGCGCTCCTCAGGCCAAAAACCCCTTTAAAGAACTATTGGCATTTGTTTACGCCGCTCCCGCGCCTGCGCACTGACCATTTCCTTTTCTACCCCTAATAACCGTTTTAAAAACAACCCGAAATATGGCCAAAAAATTCCACAACAACAAAAAGTCGGCCAAAATGACAGCACTATTTTAATTTTTGTCACTCACCTGCTGCTCGTCGCCACCTCATTTAGCAAACTTCGATCCAAGAACACGGTGACTGACTCTAATTTTAAATGGACACAGGATTGATTTGTATTACTATCTTTAAATTAGTTTTATTTTTGTTTTGCTGCCTACAAAATAAACCGTCAGGCTTAGTATGACCTAAACACGTTAGTACATTTTGCTCAAAAAAAAATATAGTAACTATCGTTAAATAAAAAAATACGTTATTTTATAGACTATGAAATATGTGGCAACTCTATATTTAAAATTATTTACTACCTTTGTGGTGTTTATTATTTAAACCTCTACAGCAATAGAAAAACAATTTCAAAATAGGAATGTGAAAGGGTACACACACACCTTCTTCAATTAATATTTATTTGAAAATTTTTTAATTGTGTATTCGCACATCTATTTTGATTGTAACTAAAATATATATTCTGGTAAAAGACAACACTTAAAACAACACTATAAATTTCCCATAAATACACAAATTAAAAAATCTTTTAAAATTGCCTATGGTAAAATATAATTATTTTCTTACCAAAACAGTTTCCCAAATACCCTCGTACCCCATAATTCCGACTACTGATAACAATTTAGCCGCGTAGTTTTCGAATAACCATAATTAGTATTTCGTTTTCATTGTGTGACTGTCACACTGAACCCCTTTAGCCGTTTTATTTAGACCGCTGTCAAATAAGTTTGAAAAGTGCTTGCAAAATGTTGCAAAACGACGCGGTGCGGACTTTGCAATATGATAGTGAGATCCGCGTGGCCCAGCAGCCAAATCCCTCAGAACCGAGAGGTAAATTGGGGAAATAGTTTCGAAATAAGTTTACAAAATAAGAACACTTAATGAATCACCCATGGACAGTGGTAACTGCCTTGTTACCAACTGATAAGAACTGCACCGGATTAATTATTATTGGCAGCGAGTGTGTCACAGTTCGACGCAAATATGCGGCAACAAGTTGGCTATATCTATATCTTATCGGCTGGCGTTTTGTTGTGGTCTCGGTCTCCTCAAGTGCCTTTGTTTTGGGACGATCGAACCGATCATACTATAAAACAGAACTTATCTGTATCAAATAGTACTTTTTTCTATTCCAAGAAATGTAATAAAACTTTGGAAAAGAAAACCAACCTTAGTTTTCTAATAAGTACTTATACATTTTTCGAAAATTTCAAACCTTACAGAGTTTGTCTTTTGTTTGAGTATAAAAATATATTAAACAATAGAAAACAGATATCAATTCAATTGCCGAAGATTAAGAGTAATCTTGTTTATTTAATCTATAAGAAGTGCAATTATATTATATTAAATATTTATATATATGTATATATTTAAGCATAACTGACCGTAATTTGTTTGCACAGTGTAAAAGCTATTATCATAAAACTTTTCAAATCGTTTTATGTGTATATATGTGCATATAACTCCCACAATAATTATGGTGTGAAATTTGCGTATATTTCGGTCTTTTTGCCTAAAATAATGGTTTTATATCATTTCAGAACTATTTCTTGAGTTGACTACATCCTATATCTATCATATGCATTTCCTAGTAGTGAACGTTTTCATCAATATTTGATATGGTTTTCATCAAGGGTATTAAACCTTCGGCATGCCAAAGCTTGCTTCCGTTCTTGCTTTATTTTATTTTTATTTAAAAAGGTCTTTGGCTAAGACACAATCTACTTTGAACAGTGACTTATTAAGAAAACTTTTCCTTGTTTACTTCCAGTTTACGACTCCCATATCAGCATTACATCGCAGCCGCGGGCGGAGATTCCCCGGATTCCCCTACCGGTGCCCATTGCCACGGTTACGGGCAGCCGGACCTTCATTCCCCTTTCCGGATACGATTGCCTGGCGGACCTGCCATCGGTGCATATTGAACAGTCCTTTGAGCTGAACGCGGGTATATAAAATCCCAGCTAAAACAAAACTAGATATTTCAGTCCTAAACTTCTTTATTCTGCTTTAGCTCTGACAGGAGTCTCCTCGGAGAATCGTTATGTGGTGCGATCTCCATTGAATGATGCCATTTTCGCGGCCAGCGAGAGCTCCACAGAGAGCAATCGTCTCATCTGGGGAGCTGGACGACCGTTCCAGATGCACCTTCTGGATAAAACCCACCAGGAAGCGCTGGTCTTCCGAAAGAAACTAGCCCTTGGATCACTCTGCTGCCAGCCAAAATGTCTGGAGATCTGGGTACCTCCGGGTAATGTCCTTGGAAGAGTGGTGCAGTCACCCACTTTCATGCAGCCAGAGTTCTTTATCGAGGATGGAAACACCGGACAGCCCGTGTTTTGTGTGGAGGGTCCTGCAAATTCAGGATTCTGCTGCTTCTGCCTGCCAAGGGAATGTTACTTTAGGGTAAGAACATGAAGCTATACTTCTCAATCAATCCTGGATCATAAATTAGTCTTTTAAAAACATAAGTTTTGAACCAAATATTATTTTTAAAATATTTAAAATAATTATAATTCCCTGCAGATTAATTCGGGTGGCAGTATGAGAGCATCCATTGACCATAAATGGATGGCCAGCAAGTCCCAATACACCACAAATATTTACTTCAGTGATCCGAAGCTAACAGCCAAAGAGAGAGCATTGATTCTAGGATCAGCCTTTTTGCTGGTAATTTTCTCTCAAGCAAAACAAAATAATAAAATAATATTTTTTTCTTCTTTCAGGAATATCTTTACTTCCAAACCCGGCTTTAAACCAAACAAATTTAATAAACCTTGTATATTCACATTGATTTCTTTATTTTTGTCATTTTTTTGTATAAGATTTTGTTTTTTGTGTTGTGTTTTTTTCAGTTTTTTGATATATTTTACAATAATGTAATAGATCACTTCATTTTCTTGTTGTTTAACCACATACATACATTTAAATATATATATATATATATCTATGTGTATATATACGTTGCTGCAGCTCTTGCCTCAGCAGTTTGTACAATAATTTTCATTTATCTCTATCAACTTTGTGTAGTTTTTTTTGACTAACCTACCGCTTAATGCATATATGACAACATATTGATTATTTACAGTTAGCTATTCTTTATCATTTCGTTTCTCTTCTGTCGAATACAAAATTAAAACAAACAATTAAAAGAGTCTCGTGGTCTCGTCGTTTTGTAAGATGAAACAAAACTAGGGTTATACATCGTTTATCATTTCTTTTTTAACTTGATGTGATAACAATTTGAAATAAGGAAGAACTACGTGATTTCTAGATGATTTGATTTGGACTTGGAAAACCAATTTATATACTCAGTGTAGGTGTTCTGATTCATTATCGGGGCTAGGCCTTATAAATAACACACTTTCTCGCTCTCGGCTTTTTACATTTGTAGATAGACTCACAGCACTTCAGGAGTTTTTGCATTTATGCATTTCGAAAACAAATTATGGTTGAATGTATATAATATATATAGACTTATACGTGTGCTTGTTGGTTGTTGGCTTATAACTAGGGCTAGCTGATGACGATTCCTTAAACTAAATACTTAAGAGGCAGATCGAAACGATCCGCGGGGGACTGACTGCCTTCTCAAACCGTATAAGACTTTGTATAAGATTCTTTCGGGTCAGTAGTCCCCATAGAGTGTTTACACTGGAATAGCTGACTCGCTTATCTGGCTCTCCTATCGTTCGATTACGATTCGCGATTAGCCCAATATCATTGGGAACTATCACGGGAGAGAGGTGGTGGGTCTTATAGGCTAGCTCTAGAGTAAGTTGTGTGTGTGCCCAAATGCGATATGCTTAGACATTTGATATGCGCTCGTTGGAGGTGGTTTGGTCATGGCGGCCCTCGCTCCTGGAATTGTAGACGGCATACTGACTGGTGTCCAGGTGGTAGACCGCTGGATACTGATAGCCTCAGCTGGGCTGCAGCATGTACATGTACTGTCAGTTGCTGGCCGCCGCCGAAGCAGCCACGGGAACGGCCACCGGGACGGGAACAGGCAACTCCTGGCCAGAACGAGCACGCTTCTCCTCTGCGGGATTATCGCTCTCCTCGCCCGTGCTGCTGAAACTGCCCGGCAGACGACGCTTCAGACTGTGATTCAGGCCATTGGCCACGGTTTCATCCTCGGACATGGAGCTGGCCCGCTTGGGTGTGTTGCCAGCACTGTCGTTGTCCAGCGATGCTATGGCCGAGGCTATGACCGCACTGAAGCCATCTTCGGAGGCGCTATCCTGGGAGACGGGACCAGTTGCATCTTGGGTCATGCCAGAAGGCGTTGTGTAGCCGCTCAGCTTGTTCGGATCCTTCTCCAGCAGTTTCTGGGCCAGCAACTTAAGTGATGTCAGGGAATTCTCGCAGTCACTTGTATCAATTTCAGTGAGACTTATACCAGCACGTTCGATTTCAGCGTAGGTTCCAAATGGCAACTTCTGCAGGCACTCCAGCTTCTGTACGTGCGTCTTGGATCGCAGATGTTTGGCCAAGTGCCCGTGGATGCGGAAGGCAATCTTGCAGTCGGTGCACTCAAAGGGACGCGGATTGGAGGTGGTTGGAACACCAAACGTCGACGTCATCATTACCTTGTTCTTGTGCGCCTCCGATCGCTCGTGCTTCTGCAGATGACCCTGTGTCCGGAAGGAGATGCTGCACGGTTCGCACTTGAACTTGCGCTCCATGTAATGGATGTTCATGTGCAGGGTTAGCTGATGTTGCCGCTGGAACGTTTTGGAGCAGATGGTGCACGTGGGTCGTGCATCGCTTGCGATGGGCGCTCCTGTTGGCACTCCTCTGCCGTAGGGCACATGCGGGAGTTCGCTGCTCTTGCTGCTCGGCGTGGAGCTCTTGAAGCCATCTTCGCCCACGATCACAGTACGCTGGGTGGGCTGCGTTGAGTTGGAGGTTGTGGATGAGGTTGCCACAGGAGAAGCTGTGGAAGTAGTCACTGTAGCAGCCACAGTTACTGCTGGCGGTGGCGGTGGCGGAGGATTTCCGAGTACTCCACTGAAATCATTGGCATCCGGTTGCTGCACAGCAGCGGGAAGATTGGCATTATGCGGTTCCACAATGGTGGGCTTCTCCTGATCCGAATGTGATTCGTTTTCCTCGTTTTCTTCTTGGATCTTCACTGGAATTGGCGTTGATGTGACTGGAGCAATTACAGGAGCAATAGTTGGCGGCTCGACCGCTTCCGGAGTCTTAACTTCGTGGACTTCGATGATAGGAACCTCATTTATGCTCATGACGGGCCTGCTGCTGGTGGTAGTAAACAGGTTACTACTGCTACTGATGCTCATTACTGGAGACGCCGTGGAGTACAAAGTGTGGACTAGGTAGCTGCGACTGAACTGACTCTGCTTTATTTTGGCCTGGTGCAGAGCATGCTCCTTGATGTAGGTCTGCAACTGGACATCCTCACCCTCCGCCTCGTGCTTGGCCTGCTCCTCCATTTCGGCGGAAATGCGCACTTTGTCCGAAACCGAGATCAGGGTCTTCATGAAACCACTCTCGTTGCCAGAGCTGCCGAAGATTACATCGTGCATCTGCTGAGCCTGCGATTTGGGGAGATCCTGGATGGGCGGATGACCTATCAATGAGATGGCTGACATCGAGCCGCGCGGCTTGGTGAGATCCATGGGGGCGCTCTCCTCGCTAGCCACGCTTCGCTTAGGCTTGGATTCCTCAGGGTTGGAATAATACTGTTCCTGCTTCTGGTAGTCGAACGGTGGCTTCGGCGAAGTAAAAGAGCACACCAATCTCTTGGGCAGTGATCCCGAGGATCCAATGCTGTTGGCGGGACTGGCCGCCGGTAGAGGTGTATCCTGCAACTGTGGATAAGGTGACACACTCTGTGGAATTGGCGGCGTCATCGATAGAGATAGCAGACCCCTGGCAGCCTCGTGCTCTTTTAATCGGGACTTGGATTCATCCGTGTCTGTAAAAAGGTTTTAAATTAATAAGATAGCCCATTAATAAGTATATAATTTCAACTTACCACTACTCTCCGATTCATTGTCGCTGTAATCATCTGAATCAGATTCCCCAGCCATTGAGGATGTGCGTCCTCCCGCCGAAGTGGATGACTGCTGGTCAAAGTCCATGTCCACATCCAGGAACTCACTATCTGGTGGCATTGGCCCCGGATTGATGCCCAGTTCAATGCACTTCTTAAAGTGAGTCTTTGACTGCATGTGCTTGGTCAGATTGCCCTTAGTTTTGAAACTGTAGAAAAAGAAAGAGGTTAATTATAAAGATTCTTTCAGAGATTTCGAGTGCAATTATGGGATTTAAAGAAGTTTAACTAACCTGAAATTGCAGTGGCTGCAGGTGAATGGCCTCACATCCGTATGGGTGCGAATATGCTTCTTAAGCATCGAAGGCTTCTTGCAGCGAATGCCGCACTCTGAGCAAACATATCGGCCCCGTCCTCGTCCACGGATGTAGGTGTAATCCTCGTGCGACTCGTACCCACCCACCAGGGGCTGTCCAGACGGACTGGTCTCCATCTTCTTGGCCTGCGCCTCCTCATTCGCCTTGGCCGCCACATTTGCCTCACTCAGAGCGGCCACTGTGACAGTTGGTGGCGTTTTCAAGGGTCCCTGATAGAAGGCACTGCTACTGGACGACGTCGAAGTGGAGCACACTGTCTGCTGTGAGGCAACCAGATTGTAGCTCAGTTTTCCTGATCCAGCCATTGCAGAGGAGCTTCCATTTCCCAACATTCGTTGACGTGAGTCATATAGAGCCATTACTTGCTTCAATTTAAATCCAAGTGGATGTGGCTGGTTCTCCTCGCACACCTGCCACACACTGTACATCGACAGCTTGTGCATGCCAGCCACATACGAAGGTTGCGGGCAGTTCACCGTACAGTAGAACATTTTGGTGCTGCACTTCAGACCCAAGTAGGTGTAGGCATGTCCATTGAGATACAGTTGCACACAGGATTTAGAGGGTCTCGGAGTCTCCGGCGAGATCAACGGCAGTGTATTTGCCGTGGGTGTAATTCCATGATGGCGTTTTGGGGTAAAGGTTCCGGGTTTCAATGGCAAGCTAGTGGGTCGCAAGAACTTTGACTTGGCCGATGAAGACGAACTGGCAACCGGATTAGCCTCCTCTGTGGCACTTCCATTGGGAGTCTCCACATGCAGTGGTGTCAAAGGCAACTCCTGCTGTTTCCCAGCAATCACATTGTCCAGATTGAAGTGACGCACTTCTGGTTCCGTGGTCTTCACATTATCCGCCATGCGTAGAAAATTGAACGGTGCCTTCTTCGGCGTCTCCTTGCTGTTCCACTGCAGAGCTTGTCGCTGGGCAGGAGTTGGTGGCTGTCGGCTAAATTCGCTTGGAAGATTCTGAACTCCACCAAATGGCGACAAAGCCTTCAGTTCTCCAACTGCTCCTCCCAAGAGAAGTGGACTGGGTTGCTTGCGATTCGGACTGCGTCCTCGACTCGAGGGCATCGGCAACTGCAGTTGCTGTGGCGGCGGGGGCAGCAGTGGCATTTGCGGCGTCAAACTTCCTGGGCCAGGCATTCCAGGCACATGAGGTATTGGAGTGACTGGAGTGGACTTATCACCACCGCTCATCGGTGGCAAAGTTAGCGGATTAAAGGCAGTTATTGAGTTAATGGGCGGAAACTGAAAGTGCTGGGGGCCAGAGCTAACGCCGAGCAGTCCACTGCTACTAACCAGTGCCATCAACTTGCGCTCTTTAATCGATGGTCCTGATTCAATGTTTGACTTTACTGAGACGTCCTGGAAGCTTCCACCGGACAACAATGGAGTTCGTATCACCTTGGGGCTGTTCTCCAAATCGGGGCACTCCGAAATTGGAATCATGGTGCCCCCCGAGGAAGTGAATCTGCGAAGTCGCTCCTCTTTCATGGACCGCAACTCTGGTACACCATTGTTGTTAAAGGAAAAATTAAAGTTTGGGGTCTGCTGAGTGGAGGACGTCGCCACCTGTTCGCTAATCTTCGAACGTTTTGCCGGTTGAGCCTCAATATCGCGCATAGCAAACTGTCGATCCTCGTGCATTTTGGTTATAACCACCGAGTCCTGGGCCTTGCGTGGTGCATTCTGTTGAGCGTAGTCCACTAAGGGAGTTTTTCCCAACAGCGGACCTGGCGACGGTAGAGGAGCATCCACAAAGCGCAGGGCTTCAATCTGAGGAGCAGGAGCAGCTGATGCAGCAGAAGCCGTAGAAGGAGCGGGAGCTGGAGCAGGTGCAGTTGCAGTAGGAGCTGTCACAGTGGAGGTTCTCGCAGGCGTTTGTGCTGCACTAAGACGACTCAATACCAGAGTGCTCCTCTTGGTCTTCAACTGCGACCAGGCCAACTTGGCCAGAGATAAGGGATTTTTCGAGTTGGCCATGTGACTCTTCAGTTCCGGCAGACTTAACGAGATCGAATTGGAACGGAAGGGCGACGAAGCCGGACTCATCGGCGCACTGGAGCTTGCATCCTGGCAGTAGGTGCTGTTGTGAAGCTTCAGATCGTCCGCACTGCGGAATTCATTCGCACAAATGGGACACGAATAAACGGCATCATCGCCCTCGCCAATTGGCACAGCCAATCCTCTAGCATTCAGCAGCAGATTCTTGATGATCGAGTTATTCACCTGGGCAGGAGGTGGGGCAGTTTTGGAGCTGCTGGTCGGATTTGCAGAGGTCGCGGGTGTCGATGCCACAGAGCTGATGGGCAAGGAGCTTACAGGCACTGTAACAAGAGTTGGTTTCGGCTTTGCAGACAAGTTTAAGGGCATCGCATGGACTGCTGCCGCGGGTTGCTCAACTTTAGCTACTGGCGTTGCAGGATCCTGTCGATATTGCATCGTTTGCATGGGCAGCGGGGAGGGCGGAGGAGGCAGTTGTTGTTGCTGTTTCACAGGCGTTGTCATCGCTGATGCAGGCTTATAGGTATTCCTTTTAACCAAGCCATTTGGTGGTTCCAATTGCTGCTGTTGTTGCTGCTGATTCTCCTGCTGCTGTTGCATGTACGTGTAGTAGCTCTGCTGGTCAAGTTGCTGTTGCTGTTGGATTAACTGCTGTTGGAGTTGCTGATGTTGCTGTTGCTGCTGTTGTTGCTGCTGCTGTTGCTGTTGTTGCTGCTGGTGTTTTTGGACTATGGCCTGTGCCAAATTCACTTTAGTCTCCCGCTCCGGCATCTGTGCATTGATGTTGTGAATGCTGTTGGCATGCAATGCCGCCGTGTTGCTGCCGTGCTGCGTTGCATTGTTGCTGTTGGCATTGTTGAAGCTGCGGGAACGACTCAGCTGCTTGGGGTATTTCTTCTGCAGCAGTATCTCCTTGTTCTCCACAATGGCTTCATTTTGAGAGATCAACTTGGAAATGTGCTCCTGTACTTTGGCCACATTCTAAAAGAAATTAAGTTTAGATTAATAAGGGAATGATGAAAAAAAATTTGTGAAACACTTACCACTTGCTTGCCGCCACTGGAACTGGCAAAACTGCTGAGATTTGCGGCGGGTGTGGGTGTGGCAGGTGCTGTTACTACATTTGCAACCTGGCTATTGGCTCGCACCAGCTATACATAATAAAATATATAAATTATTAACAATAATCCCAATAAAAAACTATTTTTAACCAACCTGTTGAGGCGGCAGACTTGTAGGCTGTTGCATTGGCGGTGGCGCCTTCACCAGAGGTGAGTGTTGCTGCTGCTGTTGTTGCTGCTGCTGCTGCTGCTGGGCCAGGTGGATTTGTTGCAGATGAAATTGCTGAATAACCAGCGCTTGCTGGTGAATGGCCGCCGCCGCTGCATCTTGGTTGTAATAGGGCGGCTGCCCCAGGTAATAAACCCCTCCAGGTGTCACTGGCATGGCGGCCAACAGCGATTGCTGAGCCAAAAGGGATTGTTGCTGCTGCATCTGCAACTGGATCTGATGCGAGTTAATGTGGTGCTTCATCTTCATCTGCGTACTGGGCGAGAGTGTGGGATGTGCCAGCGATGGCTGCTGCACCAATGGCAGTTGAATGGATAGCTTCTGCTGGGCCATTTGGTGTTGTTGTTGCTGCTGCTGAATCTGCAGGTGTTGTTGCTGCTGCTGTTGCTCCTTGCTACTGCCGGGTGCATACAACGAGGCATTGTGGAACTTGGGTTTATATGGCTTGTAGTCAATCGACTGGCGATGCTGGGCAGTGGCCGAGTGCAGATTATCCGCAGTGGTGGGTGGCAATGTCCCTGCAGCCGGGGAGCCCAGCGGCAACTGTTGCATGTGCTGCGGGAGCGGTGGCTGCTGAATGTAGGCACTCTTGGCCGCCGACAGCGTGGAAGGTGAGGGTGTGGGCGAACTCATGGGCTCATCATAAGGCGATCCAGCGCGACTTGGCTGCAAATATAACAAAGAATTAGCTACGTATGGCTTGAGGAATCCCATTCAATCAACTTACCAACTCCGAACTACTGTTGCTCAGTTCGGCATCCTGATCGGACAGTCCATCATCTGCATCCGCAGGCACTTCCAAGCCACGAGCTCTGGCTGCATGCGATCTGGAGCGGCAATGTTTGTACAAATTACTCTTTGTCTTGAACGCAATGCCGCAGGTATCGCATGGATAGGGTCGCTCGTTGGTGTGGGCCCGTATGTGCTTCTCCAGCACCGAGGGCTTGGCACAGAGCAGATTGCAGTATGGGCAGACGTATCGTCCGGATTTCTCTCCTGCAGGATTCGACACGGCTGCTCCGCCTGGAATTCCCGGACTGACCGTTGTTGGCTGCGTCATTTGCTGATGCTGGGCAAATGTTGCCGGTGATAGTGTTGCATTTGCCGCATAGTTGCTGTTGCTGGTCGTGTTGCTGTTGCTATTACTGAGTGGCGTTCGCGTTCTGGCCGCTGCCTTGTAGCCACTATTGCTGATGATGCTCTCCTCATGACCAATGGCATTGACATGATTGCTATTTACAAAATTGGCACTGAATTCATGTGTGGCTGCTGCTGACGGCGGTGGCGGCGGTGGTTGATGTTGCTGCTGCACTTGCTGTTGCTCGTTGATCAGATGGTGACCATTGGCCAGCGGCATCGTCATCGGCATCGGCATTGGCGGTGGTGGTGAAAGCGAACTGTTTGAGGACAGCGATGTGGTGCGGATACCATCTCCACTTGGATGATGAGCACCACCACCATTACCATTCGTCGACGCACTACCACTCTCCACTTCGGTGGTGCTGGCCAAACGTTTGAACTTCTTGTGCAGATAGCGTGAAATATTTGACCAATCCCCCAATGGAGGCTCATCGGTGGCGGGTGTGGCATTTGCGGTGGCCTGGCTGCTAATGATGATGCTCGAGTTGCTCATCGTGTTGGCCACATTTGGAGCCACTGGCTCCTGGTTGCTGCTGACTGCTGCCATCTGTTGTAGCGTCATTTTGCTATCACTTAGACTTGCTTTATCTCTACACTTAAATTCATAATTATTCTCACTAATACTATTATCACTGTGGTGGTTGTTGTTGTTATTTGTATTATTATTATTATTATTGTTGTTGTTGTTGTTGCTGATGATGTGATTGCTGTTGTCAGCAGTCGGCAACTCGCTTAGTTTATCTCGTGTGCTTGTACTGGGTTTGCTGTTGCTGTTGGTGTTGCTATTGCCACCAGCAACATCTGATGCTGCTACTGTTGCTTTGGAGGTTGTTAATGTTGCAACTGCGGGTGTTGCCGTTGCTGATGTTGCTTCTGTTGCAGCTGTTGCAGCTGCTGCTGCTGCTCTGTTAGCTTTGTTTGTTGCTCTCTGAGTGACTGTGGTTGCTGTTGCAGTTTCCCGATATGTCTGCTTCTTGGTTGATGTTGCTGCTGTTGTTACTGTTGTGGTTGTTGCTGCTGCTGCTGCTGCTGCCGCCGCTGCTGCTGCTGTGGCACGTCGCGTATTGTTCACTTTATTGGTCTTGTACTGTTTGCCTGCGGTTTTGTAATGCTTGGCCGTTGTGGTTGTTGCATTTTCCATATTATTATCGAATTTATTACCCTGTGACGTATTTGGAGCGGGCTCATCTATAGCGAAACGAGAAAAAGAAATCCAAATTAATTTAATGTATTCCGCATAATTTAATTTAAACGCCAATGCTAATTGATACATCCACGATAATCCCATTTATACATTGGTTTGCCTGCTCAATGCCCTGTTGAATATTTTAAATGATAAACTGGTAACTAACAACGCGAATGGCCGGAAAAAGTCAGTGCTGTTGACCAAGAACTTGGCCGTGTTTCAATGCAATTAAATATTTACACTCAGCTAATACACGCTTCATGTTAACTTTCAGCTAATAGACCCTTTGGCTGGAAACAATTTTGAATAATTCAAGTGCACTTGCTGTTTGCGATTGGGTTTCCCAAGACGTGCTTCCCTTGCCCCTTAGTAATCTTTTATTTCCATTTCCAGCCACATTATCAGCTCTAATTGGGGCTCAATCTTATCGCCGCGTAGCTGAGAATGTCAGATACTGAGCACGCTAATTCGAGGCGATCAATCCACAAAGTGAATCAGAAATTGGCAAATTCCTGTGCACTATTGAAAATCAATTTCCCACCCAGCGAACGTGTGAACATCGATAAAGCACAGTGGCAGAAGTATATATATATATGAATGTAAACTTTTTCCTTGTTTCTTTTTTATCAGCTTTCTATTTTGAACTCCCAATTTAGCTAAGGTTCAGGCCCCACCTGCTTGCAAGCCAGACAGGCGACCAAAAAATACGAAAATCCAAGAAATGTGACAAGTGAAGTGTAATGATTGGTGTCACTGGCGTGTCGTTTGTTGTTGGGGGCTTCCTTATCACAGCTCGTGCACACATGTGTGACAACAGTGCGTATCAGTTATATACAGCTGCTCACAGGAGATTACAAATGGGATTATAAAATGTTGTCAAATATTAAGTAGAAAACTTGGAAATTTCACAAGAGACTGTTCTCGTTTTGATCAATTATTTTAAAATACATTTTTGTGTTCCAATTAATAACAATTATTTTTTTAGAAATATAAAAATAGCATATCAAAAGTAAGCGGTTTTTATTCATTTTAAAACCCAAATTTGTAACAGCTTTATAATCACAATTAAAGAAAGAGACTTTGAAGATTTTCTTATGAATAAAGTAAATTAACATTTTTAGTATTTATTAATTTGTATGATATAAAGTGTCAACAAATTTATTGTGAAACATGTAAAACATGTAACATAAAAAAAAAATATAGATTACAAAATTCTAGAATACTACGAATTTTAAGAACTGCGTCATGGTGTCGGAAATTTGATAAGAGTTTATGAACAATTATTACACTTATTATCTTTACACTCGAAACCGCTGCTATTATTGTGAGCCCCACCGTCTGCTTGGATGTATTATATGACTCGCTCGACGATTAGTAAGCTGGGGCAGTTCTCAAATCACAATCGCACACAGACCGACGACCGAAAGACTGAAAAAAAAACTCACTGGCAACCGAGTTGGGTCGCGTTAATTGACTCGACTGCGACTGTTTAGCATTCAGCGTTATTATTATACACATTATACGGCATTATGCGATCGCAGCGACTCTCGTCGCGTCCCAATGTTTACTCGATTCGTTATCAACACGGCTATAAGGCTTTCAAGCCGTGCGACCGCAAAAAAAACGAATTGCCTAAAAGTTCCATTGATAATGCCAAGCTCTATATAAGTGCGGTAGGTATTTTCGGTATGTGTGTTTGCCAGATTCATTATCAGTTATCAGTGGGGACTATCGTGCGCCTGAGTCAGAAACAAAGCCCCCGATAAGCGATCCCCATTGTAACCCAAGTGATTGCCAATTTGCCCGGCTGCAGACGCGTTGACGTCAGTTATCCGATATTTATTCCAATAAATGGCCTGCCAGATTGTCAACTTGTTGGGAAATTAAGTGGCATTCGCTGGTGATTAGCTGCTCGGGGATCCAAATACTAATTACATAATCACGTGTAGGAAATATGTGTATTTACACAACTTATTAATAAACGAGTGAGTAGGTCAATTACAAGGCGCCAACTGCGCCACAATTGAAATATGTTTAGCGATTATAGAAGGAATGAGAGTGTTGTTTGCTCCTAATAAAAACAAAAGCGGAAAAACAAAAACAAGCATTTTGACTAAACAAATCGAGCAAAGTCCAATAAACTGAACCTACGCACTCAGAAAAAATCAAAGATTTTGCAAAAGATTTAAGTCAATGTAAATAAAAAATACATTTTCGTCCGATTTGAACAACACAAAGTTGATTCAAAATATTACAAGAAATGGGAAGAATTTGGGAAAATGTAACATTTGCAAATTAAGGAAAGTAATTATTAAAAATATATAAATAAGGAAGTCTAAACTATCGAAGTTTAACTGTACATAATCACGAAGTAAACTTAACTATACAGCATAGACTTGCGATCTTAAGCCACCAAGAGTCACAACAATATAATAAAGTCAAGCGGGAATAAAGCAGATAAGCTAATCAGAAGGAGGCGCCTATAAAAACCCCAGCAATTAAAATAAGAATACTCATATTCGAGATACCAAAAGTACATAAAGCACAAAGTGCAGTGTGACGTTTAAAGATCTTGACTTTACACCATCATTGTTAGCCACGTAAATCAATTTGCCACAGCTATCAAGTAAATATTAATATGACATTTTCGTTATCACGAATTTTTGTTTAACGATTCGGGTTCTAATTACGCCTGTTTGCCAGCATTTTGAGGCGTGAAAACACCAAGTAAACGTGAAACACATGGGAACGTTTTTTATATACAAACTGCAACTGCATTTGCATTGGCATTTTCATTTGCATGCACTTTTTTATTGAGCCAGGCGAAACACAATTGCCCCTGTGCAAAGTGCAATAAATAAAGCGCTATGGCAAATAATCAGACATGGCTGGGTACACTACAATTTTTTTCATTAAACATTTTTTAAATTTATTTTAAAATTAAAATCAACATATTTTATAATAAACATATTTTGAAGAAAATGTTCAATACTTTTTATGGGTACATTAATATACCTTCCAAAATGACGTAAACAATTTTCAGATTATTAAAAATTTGGTTGATTTCATAGAGAAAGCCGGAAATGTAAAACATCTGTGATTTAATATTGATATTTATTTTGTTGTGTAGAAAGACCTGCTTGTCAGTTGATAAATTGACGCAAATATTGGGCACACGCTATCGCCTACGTCACAGTGCATTTGGCGATAAAATAAATAATAAAATAAAACAAAAATAATATAAAACACGAGCACCAGCACAGAGAATAATAAAAAATATAAAAAAAACAACGAGGTGCGGCGACGGCGCCACAAAGTCCACACATCTGTCTGACGGTCAGTCTGTCACTCTGCCATTCGGTCATTCCCTCAGTCATACATTCCCTCATTGCCCCCACGATGATGACGACGACGTCATCGCAGTGCAAAAAGCACTAAGCACTCGCCCACTTAGCAATTGTTTATAATTTATTAGCGAGCAGCGTTTTACAGCGGTGGCAAAAAAAAAACAGAATACGTCAAATTCGCGGAAAAGATTCCGAAATTCCAGCGAACAGCTAAATGCCCGATAAAAAGCGTCGAAAAAAGACAAACGGTAAAGAGAAACATACCCAAGCTTAATTGTGACCACACGCATTTCTCAGTCTGTTCCGCTCATTTGCATAGTAGTTGTTGTTGTTTTTGTTGCTTATTGGCGAAACGCAACAATTGAAAATGCACGGCGAGAAAAAAAGATCGCGGCGCGCGAAAATCCGAGAAATCGAAAGAGGCGACAATCGACCAAACAGACGACCGACGCGCCTGAAACATTTAAGGCAACTAGACGAGGCGACCAGCGAAATTCATTCAGAGTGTGTTTCGGACTGCTTTTTGTTGTGTGTGTGCGAAAAAGAAAACGAAGAAGCGACCGAACAGGGCAAAAACAACTAGTAAGAAGTCTAAAGTCGAGCTATCCGACTAAGTCATACCGGGTATACAAAGCAGGAGTTTGAAAACTCAAAATATCTATTGCCAACAAGGGATATATCTAAATGCTATTGTCATAACTTTTAAAAGTCTAAAGCAATCTTGAGGCTGTCCTAAAATTACAACATTAACAAAAATTTACGTTTATTTAAATATCGTATTTAAAAATTTGGTCTATAACCAATGTTTCAGTTTTCGGTCCAGAAAAAAAAACAGATTTCTGAATTGTTTATAACGAATTTTACCAAATCCAATTATCCTTACCTAGCTATCTCCCTATAAAAGTCCTAATATATGTGAGATTTCTGAATGTTTTTCAATTGAAGATTATTTAAACTTCAGTTTTTACATGCTGTGTATACCCGTGATTTTATTGGGTTATTGGGTATTAAAAGGCGCGACGTCAGCGCAGGCATCAGTAAAAAAAAAGTACAATAATCAAATAATTGCGGCTGATTCGTCGCCACCCCCCGCACACACAAACACACACACTCAACCTCCCCACTCACACGCATTTGCAATTGTCAATCAAAAGTAAGCACAGGGTCGCTGCTGCTTCTTATTCAGCTTTTGATTTTGCGGCAGCCACTGAAAAATGATCAAATCAAGCAAAAATTAAGAGAAAAAAAATTAAGAAAACAAAACCAACAACAGGTGACGCGAAGTACGAAGCGAAATGAAACGAATCGAAATGAAATGAAAGACTGTCGCCAGCCAGTCAGACGTTGTTGTTGTTGTTTTTCCCCCCTATTGTTGATTACGTACGCCACACACACTCACACACACATTTACGTAAAACACGCGCACGCACACAAGCAAACAGTCGACCACATTCCCCCGCACAAATATGCGAAATTTTGCTGACTAAGGAAGGTCTGGGGAGCACCAGGCAGAAAAAAGCAAAAAGTAGAAAAAAAGGCACACCGCGATAACAACAAAAGCATTTAAAAGCGTAGAAGCACAAAACGAACCAACGGAAAAAGTGATAATAAAATAATAATTGCTACAGCGCACACCGATCGCGAGAGAGAGAGAG